AAAATAACTTCTTTCATTTACGCAAATTAAATTTTCTAAGAAGAACAGTTTCTCAGATGTTGGCACTTTTAGCGAAGAAGAACGCTCGTGTTGTTCGTGGCTGTTAGAACAGTTGGAGAATAAAAAAAAAAAAAAAAAGGCAGAAAACGGAGAGAGAGAGAGAGATTCGCTTATAAAATAAAATCCCCGAGAGAGAAGGAGTTAAATAGAAAAGGAAAGGAAAAGTCTCTACCTGAGCCATCGCACGAGTCACGACCTTAACTCCGAGTCTAAGAACTATAAGCATAAGACAAGCGAGAGATGGGAAAGAAGAGAGGGGGAGAGGGGGGTTTAGCCACATTCTTAACCACCCCCATTGAAACTTTGATGAAAACGAAAATGCAATTTGATATTATATAGAAATTCAAAATAACCCCATCAAATTGATAAATTATAAAAAAAATTCTGAATCTTTCTAGAAAATTAATATCTATAAAAATTTTACTCATGTAAAAAAAATTTAATTTTAACTCCAAAAGAAATTTTTTTTTATTAAAAAACTGCATTTGTTACAAAATATCAGAGAATGAAAAAAGAAATGAATCCTAATTGAAAGTGGAATCGAATAAATTTGCAATTTCTATGAACGATTTGCGGGCAACTAGCTATCATTAACCACAATCTAAAACAGCAAATTCTAAGATGACGTCACATAATCAAGTTCCATAGTTTCAAAGTAGGCCATGGTCATCGTGATGTCTTTTTCAATATATATATATGGGCACCAGAATAATAAATTTAAAAAATAAAATTTTGTAGTTTCGAACTAATTAATAATTCAAAAAAAAAAAAAAAATTAAAAACATTTTTATTTATTATTCCCATTGGGAATGAAAAACATTATGGCAAATTTTCGAATATAGTTTCTGATGTTGCAGATAAATTTTTTTTTTTGCAAGAAGAGTAGAGAATGAGTTTCATCTTCAGTGCGGAATGTGTATAATAAAATTCTAGAACTATATAAGAGAAAGTTTCTTTCGTATCTCGCTCATCGTTGGTTTTTTTTACTCACTAATAGTCAAATTTCTATTTCAACTAATTAGTCTCAATACCATTTCCGATATAAAAAAAAAAAACCAATTAGCGAATTTTTTTTTTATTAACAATTTAATAAAATGAAGATAAATTTTTTGTATATACAAATAAGAAATTTTTTTTATCGACAAAATAAATTTCCACCTGTGTGGTTTAATTTCTTTCACATTTGTATATATATAGTCACTATGCTAATGTTAGTCATCAGTTCATTTGCAATTAGGAAGTAATCGAGACGTCTAGGTGAATCATTGACTTTCATGAAAGAAGAAAAATTTTCTTAAACGTGAATAATAATTTTTTTCTTAGCAATCGATTGAATTTTTACTAACAAAGTTCATTTTTTCAGTTTCCTAAAAATAAATTCGAAAAATATGAAAATGCAATTTTTTTTAAAACAAAAATCCAGGGTTTGCCACACCCACTTTAACACAATTGAAGAAGCACGTATATATATAAAATTCCATTGTATCTCTCAAAACAGGATCTGAGTAACCCACGTATGTACTATAACTTAAACATGTATCGCATCGGAAGTATATAATGTCTGTCCTTGAGACTGATAAGCAACATATGAAATTATAAAAAAAAGAAAGAAAAAAAAAAGTTTATAGAATAGTTAATTACTTTATTTATATATACTATTGAACAATTTATTTGAAAAAAAAACGAAAGCAAGAAAATTTGGAAAAAATCATATTTGGAATAAAATAAACTAAATATTGTCGTGTGAAATTTTACAAATTGATTGTATAACTTGTGAAAGTGGTATTAACTCATATTGAAAAGGATCTCTAATGAGTTTGAAAATTAAAGTGTCTGCGATGCGATTTAGTTATCTTCTATGCGATAGCATTAAACACATCCCCTGCAATGCAAGTAGGCGAGGTTTATGTGGGAGTATATATGTATATAAAGTTCTCTCGCTCTTGAAAATTATATACATCTCCTCTGAATTATCGTATATTGACATTTTGCCCCATTCAATCATGGTACATACGTATATATAATGCGGAAATTCATTTTAGAAGAGAGCTACCTTCCTATACTGAAGTTGAATAATAATATGCTTCAAGTTATGATGAAAGTTTACTTTCCTTTTTGAAGAAGAACAAAACTGATTATCGTATCTCTCTATTTCCTCAAAATTAATTAAAATTAATTTTTCGACAATAAAAAATTATTCCAATAATCAAGAAGTAATTACCAGAAAATAAATCAATCGAGATTCGAACCCAAACCAACAAATTTATCAAATTTTAAACTCTATAAATTAGAATGTAAATTTTTTAATTCGCCTTTTTTTACCAATTTGGAAAAATTTTTTAAATTGTAAAAAAATAAAGTAATAATTATTATTAAAAGTAAATTTAATTTTCAATAGTAATTACAATCAAAATTTCAAATATCAATTACCATTTTTTGAAATTGTTATTGATTTTTTACTATCAAATGAAACGGAAAATATTGAAAATTATGCCATTACTTGCAATCATTGTTGATTTAAAATTATCATCATTTAATACTATCTTTCCTTGAAAGCAAGAGTTTCAAAAATATCACTATAACTCTTTTTAATTTGATTTTGCTTTTTTCATAAACAAATTTAAATAATTTCAAAATGATTAACTTTTCCTTTTAGGAAAAACGAATCGGTATTGAATTATCAGCAAAAAAAAAAGTAATTCAACTGTATAGGAACGTCATTAAAAAAAATGACGTTATCGATATATTTAATGTTTAAAGTAAACATTCTAAAAATAAAAATATATAAAAAAAATTGTGTGTTCACAATTTATATTAAACTTTTAAGACTTTTGTAATACATAAAAAAAATGTGAACTTAAAAATAAATACATAAAAATTAATTAAGTACTTTTTTTCCACACGACATTAAAAAATATATTTTTATTTGAACGATTGCGTAAATAAATTATTATCAAATTTCATATAAGGTTAATGATCAAGAAGAAAACAAGACTTTTTTTTGTTCTACAGAGAGAAAATAGCTGTACAGAAATAGTAACGAGGAATCTGTTTTCACAGAGAGAGAGAGAAAGAGAGAGAGAGATAAAATTATTCAAGTACGTTAAAGCGAAAGTTGGGTGTTGAGAGTATAATCTAGTGCGAAATTCGTACCTATACCTATTTTAATAAATTAAATCATTTACAAGTTCGATTCTAAATGAATGTTTTGAACTTTCTATTTTGCTATTTCTAGAACCTTATAGTGATATTACGTTACTCGCGATATTATAAATGCATATTGTAATTATAAAACGTGAGCGACCAATGATCATAATTAGATAACAAATTTTCGAAGAGCATATTACGTAAAAAATTTGAATATTTAATTTCTTTATAAGTTTCACTAAAAATTCTAAATTTGTAATAAAATATACAGATTATGACACAAAATCTATATTTTATACAGAAATCATAATAACAAAATTTGATATATTTTTTCTTAAAATGATAAAAAAAAAAGAAAAATTATTATTCAAAATAGTTTCTTTAGACAAAATTCCTTAGTGAAATTTTTGTATATTAGGTCCTCTATATTATTATCGAGCAGTCATGAACAAGAAAAGAAATTGGAACAGATCGATAGGTCGTCTTTCTCATCGCCAGGTTACTAACTTCCATTCGCCCACATTCTCAGAAAATCATATACATTTATTGATATAACATTTTATGATAACAAAATAATAATCAAATTAATGTCAAATTGAAATTAATAATAATTATAATCTATTATATACAAAAACGTATGTTTATTGACACACCTGTATTTGGAAACATTTTTTTTTTCAATTATTCTAAAAGGAAAAATATTCCCTTAAATAGGAAATTATGTTACTGGTTTAAATTTACCTTTGATAATATTTCAAACATAATACTTGAATCATTAACGTGATCATCGTAACATAAAATTTTTAAACACGGTTGAATGAACAAAACTTTTATGGTCACCTGGCTTTTCTCATAAACAAATTATTAAAAAATAAATTTTAAATGTCACTCCATTTAAATTCAATAAAATTTATTTCAATTTGATTAAAATTATTATCAACAAAAGTAATTTAATAAATAAAGTAATTAATAAAAATTTAATTAAAGTACATATATTATTGAAAGTTGAATGAAAATTTTTTTCAAAAGAAATTTCTAGAGTACGATAGCAATGCAAAAATATTTTGCAGTAAATGACTAATGAAAATTAATGACGTTAACTGTCAACTAATGAAAATCTAATAATTTCATTATTAAAAGTCGCATAAACAAAAGTTGTATTTAAAGGTCTTAATTTAAAAACTCTTAAGACCTTCGAGATTAAAATCACAGTTGATTTTACAAAGACTGATAAATTTAATTAATACTACAAAAATGAAGTCTTAAAGAGAAACTAGTGGTTTAAATTATCGATTTCTTTCTAGTTAAGAGAGCAAGAAGTATAGCTAGAAAAAAAAAATTACGTTACAAAAAGTATGAATGACAGGACGTAATTGTCTTATTGTATACGACAAAATAACTTGATGTCATTTACGAGTTTCTCCATATCACTTTTAAAGACAGTGCTCTTAATTGTCATTTAAAAATCACTATCTAAAAAAGCCTATTTCTCTTTAAATTTATGACATGTTACAAGTGTGACGTAAATGAAAAGCTGGAGTACGCGCAAAAGCACAAAACCTGGAGGGATCCATTTGGATTTTCTAACCTCGCCCCACAGGATTTTGATTTAATTTTTTTTTTTTTAATTCAGCAATATATTGAAATCTTGAGCAATCAGGTAACCAATACTTGACTTCGAGTAACCGGCTTGTCGTTGAAAACCGGTATTTTCGAAATCTCAAGATGGTAAACGAGGGAATGAATCGGAGCATAAAATTTTAAATCTGATTTTATACAATGGCAAAACTTACAATCCAAATGTTTTTTCTTCGGTCCTATCATTTCCTCGGTGGTTGCTTTACAAACAGCTTTTGCAAGGCCCTGTCCGGCAATGCTGTGCCTTGCTGCCAATAATCTGTCGCTTATCGTTTGTCCCGCCATACTGGAGATATTTCGCCTAAAATCGTGCCGTTCTGTCCCGTCCTGGTTTGGTCCTTTAATTATTGTACACTTATCCTCTATTCTATTCTCGATGTATATATCGGAATTCGTTTATTTCCTGATGGAGATTGTAAGCACCCGTTTTTACTACACACGATATGACACAAAACTAAACTTGGCACCCACCACCTCACGCACACTTGAGTAAACACCGATAACGATCACTCCACCTTCCGGTCCAGCTAACCCTTTTACGCCCTTTTTATCAAGTTCCCGTACTTGTCCTGTTTAATTCTCCAGTCTCTCTTTCTCTCCTTCTCTTACTCTCTCTCTTTTTCTCTCTCTCTTCCTTTGCGCGATTTTATGATCGCTCCAAACTGAGCTGAGCGAGCTCTCAGCGTCAGCTGGAGACAGGTTCAACAATTGTGATGTAATTCAATTTTTCGCCACCATAGCGCTGATTGTTGTCGGCCATTTTGAAATTAGTTCTGCGCATACTCGAAAAATTGTGTTTTTGTTGTTGTACGCACGTTGTACATGTTAACAAATCCTATTTTTACTATTTTTATCATTATATATTAATAGTTGATATATTTATATAAATTTAGCTGAAAAAATCAACTTTGGAATATCTAGTTGTTTTGTTAGTTGTTTGTTAATAAATAAATGAATTAAATATATACGTTAATGACTGAACATAACCATACTTTTTGTACAAATTGCAAAAATTTGTAAATAACTTTTTAATTATTATGAGTTGTAAAATAAGACAACTGGTTCACAAAAAGGTGATTGTTTATTAATTTTTTCTATTTCAGTTTTTTGAAATTGATTATTTTTTGATCTATTGTTACAACTTTGTACACTGACATTTTGAAGGTTATAAATGTGTTTTAAATGTAAAATTATTTATATATATAATTCTACTTGTTTATTTTGTATAGAAAATATTATTATTTGTACTTAGTTTACTATTTTTTAAAATATTTTTATTTTGAATTCTTTTTTTAATTCACGTATTTCTTTTTCGTTATTGTCAATTTTTATCTAATACTTTTGAATATAATTATTATTTGCTTTAGGTTGCTGAATCTTTTCATAACTTGGACCACATAAAAAATGTACAAATTCCGAATTTGAAACTAAAGCGCAACGAAGAAGGGGATACGTTTTCTTTTCAATTACCATTAAAAAATAGAGAGTACGATATTCGTAGAGAAGCTGATTGTTTAACAAATAATTTAATTGATAATTATGTGAAAAATATTGAACATGGAAAAAATGGAAATAATGAATGGTTGTCATTTCAATTGCACAGAAATCCATATATTCAAAATACTTTAAATAATAATCTCAAAGAAATATTGCCACCTGTTAATCAAAATGTAAAGAAAATTATAGTAGAATATAGTTCTCCAAATATTGCGAAACCATTTCACGTTGGTCACTTGAGATCTACGATAATTGGCAATTATATTTCAAATGTAAATCGATATTTAAAGAATAATGTAACGAGCATAAATTATTTAGGCGATTGGGGAACACAATTTGGTTTTATTCAACTTGGACGTGACTTGGGTAATGTTTCCGAGACAGAAATGAAAAATGATCCAATTAATAATTTGTATAAAGCATATGTTCATGCAAATAATTTAAGTCTAAAAGATCCAACATTAATTGAGAAAGCTAAAGATATTTTTCGAAAATTAGAAGAAGGTGATGAAGAAAATTTGAAAGAATGGGAAATTATAAGACAATACACTGCCGATGAAATAAAAAAAACTTATAGTCGATTAGGCGTGACTTTTGATGAATATCATTGGGAATCTATGTATAATGCAAAAAAATTACAACCACTTCTCTCTGATTTACAACAATTACAATTATTGACAAATGATGATCAAAATAGAAAAGTAATTTGGTTACATGAAAAAGAAAGTGTTCCTTTGATAAAAAGCGATGGGACTACATTATATATAACGAGAGATATTGCGGCAGCAATTGATAGATTTAATGATTATAAATTTGATTCAATGTTATATGTCGTGGATAATTCACAAAGTGCACATTTTACGAAAATTAAAAAAATTCTTGAACTTATGCAACTTTCATGGTCGAATAGAATAGAACATGTGAAATTTGGAAAAATAAGGGGCATGAGTACGAGAAAAGGGACGGCTGTATTTTTAACTGATATACTCGATGAAACAAGAACAGTTATGAAAGAAAGACAGATACAATCTCCTAGTTAGTATTTTTAGTTTGTTATTAGTTTATTTTTATTTAAATACCTAAAATAAGAAAAATAAAAAGTATTTAAATGATTTTCAAAAAATTTTCCGGATATTTTTCAAGATTTATCAAATTTCAGATACGAAAATTTTTTTGGGTTCAACTGATGAGAGTACCGATATTCTTGGTATTTCAGCAGTGATTATTAATGATTTGAAACAAAAACGAATTCAAGATTATAATTTCGACTGGAACAAGGCGTTAGATGTAAATTTTATTTAATATAGTTTCTTCATACTAATTTCAAATATTTACTTACACCAGAAATTGATAACTATTTTGAAATGGTACAATTTTTATCAATATTAATTTTTAACGTTTTTTAATTTTAGATAAGAGGTGAAACAGGTGTAAAATTGCAATACACACATTGTAGATTAGTGAGTTTAATTGAAAATAGTGAAATGGAAATCGCAATGGAATGTAATCCAGAAATATTAAAGGAATCAGTTGTAGATGAATTAGTTTTCGTTTTTGGCCTTTACGAGGAAATGTTGCTTAAATCTCATGAAAAATTGGAACCATGTATTTTTGTGAATTACTTATTTCGGTTAAGGTAATTGACTTTTAGAATTTCTTTTCTAAATTAAAACTTACACTTTTTTAGGAAATTAATTTTTTTAGTCTTCTTTTAAGTTTTAATTTTTTGAGTAATTATATTTATATTTTTTTTTTTGCAGTCATGTTATTAACAAATCAGTGGAGTTGTTGAGAGTTAAGGATGAATCACCGGAAATAGCTGCACAGCGTTTACTTCTTTTTACGGTAGCTAAAAACTTTCTTGCTCAAGGAATGAAATTAGTAGGTTTAACACCATTGAAAAAAATGTAAGTTTCATTGAAAGAAAAAATTGTAGAGGAATTAGATATTTTTACAATAGAATTTAAATAAATCTAAGAACAATTTTGCATTTAAAAAAAGTTCCTAGTTCTTTATTATTTTTAACCAAAGTAATTAATTTATTAATTTGTATTATTAATGAATTAATTATTTAAGTGTCACTTTTAATGTGTATAAACAATTTCTTTTTACACTAAATAAGAAATATATTGTTTTTCTCTATATTTCATAAAATATTCTAACGCTTTTTCCAGGTGAATTTTCTTCTGGCTCCTTCTTGACCTGGCTTCTTTCTTTCCCTTTTTCTCCAGTCCCTCGTCAAAAGTCCGGCTAGTAAATTAAAGAAAAAAAATTGTTTTTCATTAATAATTTTATTTATTAATTTTGAAAAAATTGCTTCGATCTTTGGTGTTAAGAAGAACTTAACTTACCGACTTTCATTTTTTCAATCATTTGTCTATCAACAAAACTACGAAGGCCCCAAGCAATACCCCAACGAATTGCTCCTGATTGTCCCGTTGGTCCTCCCATTTTTACTGTCGCTTCAACATCAATTTTGTTTTGCATTCCAGAAAATATTAGCGGAAATAGAATCTGAAATTGAAAGTAATCGTGAGTAAAATATACTTATACATATTTATTTAAAAAATCAATTTTCTAATCGGCAATTATTTTTAAAAAATTTTGGAATAAATAAGTAGAATAATATTAAGTTTCTACGAATAAAACTACAATATTAAATAAAATAAACAGTCACTATTAAATTTACTATATAAAATAAATAAATAAATTTAATTTTTTCTTCATAAAATATCATATATAAAAATATTGGTAAATAAAAAAAATTAAATAAGTAATTTAACGAATCTGCAAAAAAAAAAATTCCAGATATGTGGAATATCAAAACGATTAATGGATTTTTCAATAATAAGATATTATATTTTTATTCTAGATATAAACTACAATAATACCTATTGGAAGAAGATTAAAAACATCATAAATAAGGTAAAAAAAAAAGTTTCTTGAAATTAAAAATATGATAATTTAACTATGGTAATTTCAGTCTAATCGATTCTAAAATTTGTTTAACATCCCGAAACTGATCTCTGACATTGTGTATCTCATCAGTAACAGTTTTCATCTGCAATGTAATTTTTTGCACAGCCGAATCTAAGGTTGATCGTAAATTCTCTTCCATTCCTTCCTCTGTCCATGAATCTTTTTTATAACCATCGCGATCACTCTTATCGTCCATTATTGGATTACGTTTACGAGCAATTTCAAAAGCAGCCTTCAAAATATCCTTAGGAAGACTTTTTTCCATTGGATTTAATGGTTTTACCACAAAAATATCATACAAACTTCGCATTTCATGTTTAGGTATCAATATCGCAAAAAGTGGGGTAAATTTTATTGTACACTGCACAGCTTCCGTGTAGAGAATAAGTTTCGTTTGTCGTACCAATTTTGTGACACCTGCATGCATTCTTAAACCCTGAATATCATGAACAGCAATGCCAACAAGTAAATTCATTAAAATAATGACAATAAAAATAATGAAAATTAAAAATAGAATTTGTGCACAAATCGCAAGTGGATGAAAAAAACTATTTGAAAAATTATCATTCAAATGTGATAGACTAATGAGTCCTTCAAAATCCAATTCACCAGCCATCATTGCAAGAACTTTAATCAATCCCGTGAATGGATTTCGAAATGATGGTTCCCTCGTGTAAATCACACAAAAACTCAATGTAAATCCAAGAAGTAATCCCGAATAGGCAAACAAAAGTTTAGCAAATTCATATTGAATGTGAGTAAACATTGCAACGTATGTACCAAATGTTGGAAGTTGTCCAATCATCAACATTAAATTTGTCCAAGCGCTAAGAATCGCAAATGCGCCATAATAATTTTGCCAATCATAATTTTTACCCGTGTAAATAAACGAAGTGATATAAACACTCGAGATCATTATTAAATCAAGAAAATTCTCTAAATTCCACAAACACTGTTTAATGCATCTATTCATTGAGAATGTTAATAATTTTCGCGGTAATATACAACAAGTCAATGTCAACCACATATACCATTCAAATTCAATGATCCATTTGGAAAAATGTTGACAAATAAAATGTGAATCAATTTTATTGTTTTCTGTGGTGAAATTATAGCATTTAAATGATAACGCTGTTAATATATAAGCTGTCATGAAAATAATTGTCAAAGTATATTGAAAAATATTGAAAAGATAAAATCTTCGAATTTTCTTCCATTTCAGATATAAAAATGCCCTAATTAGTGGATGTGACAAAAGTTCCTTTCGATTTTCTACAATAAATGTATTAATAACACTTGTTTCAGGTTTTTTATTACAACTCGGTAAAAGCGTTTTAAAATCCAAACTCATTTCAATTTCACGATTTTGACAACCTGGACGTTTTAATTTAATTGATGAATCCATTTTTACACGAAACACTTCAAATGATTCGGGAATTTTACGAAGAATTATATTTAATGCTGATACACCTTTACTTGTGGTACAACTGACATCGGCACCATTCCAAATAAGTGTCTCCGAGCATTTTGATTTTTCATTTAACGATGCAATATGAAGTGGTGAAAATCCAGTTTTATCAATGACATTTACGTGTGCTCCATGTTTAACAAGAATGTCAATTAATCGAAAATCACACCACGATGACATGGTAGCATAGTGAAGTGGTGTTCGATTCATCACATCAATTGCATTAATATCAATTTGGGGTTTTTCCATTAACATTCGACAACAATTCACCGAGTAGACGGAACACGCGACATGAAGTGGAGTTTCGCCAAGACTATTTTTTTCAGCTGGATCGGCACCACGTTCAAGAAATAATTCAACAATTGATTCATTTTTAGCTTTGATGGCATAATGCAAAAGTGGATTTGTTTTTGATATTCCTGGATAATTTAAATTCGCTCCATTATCAAGGAGTAATTTTGCCGTTTCGTAGGAGTTTCCAGCTACCGCAAAGTGTAAACAATTCCGACCGTCGATAGGATTCACGTAATTTAAATCAACATTTCTCTCAATAAGATATTGTACACAGGATTTATGTCCCGAATAACAGGCAGTCATCATTGCACTTGTTCCACTGAAACATGTATTGTGAGCATCAGCTCCTGAAGCTTCCAACTTGGGTAGAAGATGTAATAAACCACGAAATGATGCCCATATAAATGCACGATTTTTAAACTCTATATCACTGTCTGGAAAGATAATTCCATTTTTTTCGGGAATAATTCCCGATTCCATTTGTAATAATTTTTTCAAGTCGTCATCATTTATAATTTGCTGAATGAAATTCAGTAAATTTAATCCTTCAAATTCTTGATTTTTCAGATCATTGAGAGCTTTCTCGATATAAGAATCGTCAATTATAAATGATGATGTATCTTCAATGTTTATTTTTGTCTCTTGAGATTTTTTGATTTCTTGAGATTCTGGATAAATATTTAGCGGTGATTTCAGAGAATTGTAAGATTTATTCAGTTTATCATATAATTGTTCATCGGCTTTTATTTGATCGTAGACGAAACTTGCAGAAAAATGCCGTCGACTTGTATCGTAAGTTGGAGACAATAAAGATAAATTATTGTAGTTTTGTTGATTGATAGAAAGCGAACTTTTTGGTCTTCTCGGAGAAATTGGAGAGATTCCTTGCAGATTATTCTTAAACATACAAAAATCATTTTTAACTAATATTCATTTTGAAAAATCATTTTTTTCATCTTTATTCGAATAATTAATATTAATAAAAATCGAAGAATAAAATACATACCAATTTCATTAACTCATCTTCTTCTGCCTGTAGATAATTGGCAAACTCCATGATTTCTTTGGCTAAAATTCCAATTTTTTCAAAATCTTTAAAAAAAAGTTGATTTAAATTTTTCAAATAACATTTTTAGTTATCTAGATAATTAAAATTTACAGAATTGCCAAAATAGTTGCTTCGCGAATTGCTTTGACGAAACACTCTGACGAGAGTCTGTAGTCTCAATGAGTTACAAATTTCATTTGAAATTGCGTTTATACATCACTAATCCTGAACATATGTAGTAGGGCGTGTCCATGATTTTATTTTTTTTTTCCCTCGGAAAATACTCATATCTTTTAATCAATGAATTGCAAAAAAAAGAAGAAATTTTCACTAATTCTATTAATGATTAAAAATTTTTTTTTCATCATTAATCTAATTATCCCGTAAATTATTTTAGATGATAAAATTTATAGATGAAACCGGTTGATAATATAAATTATGAAATAATTATTAGATCTTTGTTATTATTATGTTTTTAAAAGTTGATGTTTTGGCCAAGGTCTTTGCTCTTATCATGACTAATCAAATACTTATTTCATAATTATAATTTTTTTTCCTTGTCTTGATAATGACCATAACCTTGGGTGAAACGTCGACTTTTCATAAATAATAATAATAATAATTATGTTTTATTAAAAATATTGTTCGATATTTACATTTCATTTAGTAATTTGCCATTTAGCAATGAACTTGACTTATTAATTAAAGGGTAGCTTTTTAAATATCTCATTAATTATCCTGGTACTCTTATCTATCACGAGAATTATATATCATTAAGAACTAAAAAAAAATGTGTATCGATTACAATAATAGGGAGTGTTAACAATTACGCTCTTTAAACTAAAGAGTGAAAATTCAATTTCTTAAATGCAATGAAAGAAATACATTTGAAACATTATTTATTTTTATTGGCACAATTTACATTTACAAATATTTCTTAATGCATGTAAGTGAATCGTAAAAAAATTAAATGAACACTATATAAAAATTGAGAAATTAAATGCAAATTATATTGCAATTATTATTAAATTATAAAAATTTAAAGTGAATTAAAAAATTTTATATTCGTTTGAATAAAAAATAAATTTTACGAGACAAAATTTATTTTTTTTTAACTTCTTTGGATTTTTCATTCGAATTAATTATTATTCGAATGTTATTTATTTGCGTATTTACTTTAATACTTTTAAAATCAAATTTTCTAAAATTTTCTTAGTGTCTAATAATTGATCCTTAATGAAATGAATTTCCTCTTCACTAGATTTTATTTGTAATGTTAATTTTTCAACCGCCAATTGTACATCAGAATCGGAACCATCTTCACTAAGTTGATTGTTCCATGAAATAAATTCACACAAATCATCATTATCCTCATTAATTAATGGACCATTTTTCTGTGCAATATCATATGCCGATTTTAAAATATCTTTTGGCAATCGTTTTTCCAACGGATTCAATGGTTTTACAATAAGAACTCGTTTTCGATTTTCCACATCGATATTGTGATCGGACATCCATTTTCGAAATAAATATGGAATTCGTCCATTATGCAGGACCATTTCCGTAAAGAGAATTAATTTTGTTTGACGTACCAATTTTGTAAGACCAGCATGATTACGTAAACCCTGTATATCATGTACGGCAATGCCAACCAAAAGATTCATTAAAATCACCGTTACAAATACAATAAAGAGAGTGAACAAAATTTGCGAACAAACCGAAAGCGGATGATAAATGACAAATGAACCATCAGTCATTAAATCAGCTTGATTTATTAATCCCTCGAAATCCAATTCACCCGCCATCATTGCCAGTACTTTAATTAAACCTGTGAATGGATTACCAAATGATGGTTCACCGACAAATATAACGCAAAAACTTATTGTAAAACCAATGAGAAGTCCTGAGTAGGCTAATAAAAGTTTGGCAAATTCAAATTGTATGTGAGTAAACATTGCAACGTATGTACCAAAAGCAGGAAGTTGACCAACCATTAACATGAGATTGGTCCACGCGCAAAGAATAGCAAAAGCTCCAATATAATTTTGCCAATCGTAAGTGCGTCCCGTATAAATGAAAGAAGTGAGAAAAACACTTATAACAACAATTGCATCGAGAATATTTTCAATATTTGAAAAATATTGTTTTATCGATTTATAAACTGTGAATGCCATAACTTTTCGCGGTATCGCAACTGATGTTAATATCAATGACAAATACCATTCAATTTCAATCACTGATTTTCTAAATAAAAAACTCGAGACACGTTTATTATTGCAAATTTTACTATTAATTGCCTCGTCAGTATTATAACATTTATATGCCAATGCTGTGAGTACATATGTCGTCATACAAATCACTGTCAATGCATAAAAGAAAATTCGAAGAAGATAAATTTTTCTTATCTTCTCCCATTTGAGATGAAGAAATGCCATGACAAGTGGATGTGATAAAAGATCCTTACAATGCTCTTGAACAAAAGTATTAATAAAACTTGTCTCACAATGATTATTACTTGGAAATAATATATCAAATTCCATTTTCATTTCAAATTCACGATTATGTGGAACTGGTCGTTTTAATCGAATTGATGCATCTAAACGACGACGAAACACCTGCAATGATTCGGGTATTTTTCGAAGAATTATATTTAATGCCGAGAGTCCAGAATTAGTGGTTGCACTAACATCGGCACCGGCCCAAATCAATGCCTCAACACAATGTGACAATTCATTTAATGATGCAATATGTAGCGGTGAAAAACTCGTCTTATCAAAAACATTCACTTGTGCTCCATGTTTCAATAAAAGTTTCACAAGTTCAGCCGATGATGATGTATTCATTACGGCATAATGCAATGGTGTTCGATGCATACGATCAACGGCATTAACATCGGTACCCTGAGTTGAAAGAAGCATTCGCGCGCAATTCAACGACTGAACAAAACAAGCAACATGAAGTGGTGTCTCGCCAAGACGATTTTTTTCCGCTAAACTTATACCTTTTGCAAGCAATAATTCAACCACTGATTCAGATTGTGCTTTAATACTCGAATGAAGAATTGGTTCAACATCATGTGAATTGAGTGTATGTAATTTTGCTCCATTATTGAGAAGAATTTCGGCAGCGTCACGTGAATTGGCAATAGCGGCAATATGCAAACATGTGTAATTATTCACAAGACTCGTATGATTTACGTCAACGCTTTTTTTTATTAAATATTCCAAACATGGAATATTGCCCGAGACACACGCGACCATTATGGAATTTGCACCTGTCACATGATCAATATAATGAATATCGCAACCAATTGATTCGAGAATTGGCAATAGATGAATTAAACCACGAAAACATGCCCAGAGAAATGCAATATTTTTAAAATTCTCATGACAATTTTGAAATAATTTACCGCTTTTTAATTTTGTAATATTACCACGTTCCATTTCAAGGAGAAGTTTCATTTCGGTCACATTAAGTGAGGACCAAATTTTTGTCATTAGACTTGTACCATCGACTTTCATGTGTTTCAATGCTTCGAGATTGTCGAAAAATAGAGAATCATCAACTGGTGGTGGTTCACCGGCATCAATTTCAATTGGTTCCGTTATTGTTTCCTTGTTGTCGAGACCTTTTTCAATGCATGTTGGCTTGATGGATCTGTAGATTGGTGCTGCCATTCCCTTAAAAAAGGGATCCTGTTTACTCACATGATCATAAAGACATCCCACAGAATAGTGACGTGGTTTTGTTTCTTCATTGAGTAGAGGACATGGTGGTTGAGTGTTGTCATTTTTACCAAGTTTATAGAATGACGTTGAACTCTCGGAACGACAGAAGATTCGATCAGGTGGTGATTTCTGAGTTATTGACAAAATTTGTCGAGGGAGTGCCTGAAAAAAAAATTCCAATTAGAACTTGTAATAAAATTTATATCATTTTGTTTTCTCATGAGAGATTTTGTATTTTATCAGAATTGGTAATAATTTAGATCATTTTAATTACTTTTATCCTAAATAATTTAGAAATTCAATTTAATAATTATTTTACAAATTTTTTCTTCTTTAATTATTTTGGAATTAAACTTTAACAAATTAATGTATTTCTTCATTAATAAATAAAAATATGTTTTTATATTTAAAAATAATCATTCAAATTAAATAATTTTCTATAATTTATTTTTTTGTAATTCTGTTAAAATACTAAATTTCTGAATGAGGAAGCAAAAAACAATTGATGAATCTCACCTTTTCTTGTGTGGCTATGTTGTCGTAGCCCATATTGACTTAATTTCCAAAAAAATGTTGCTGATAAATTGGCCAAATTCCAAAATAATCAAAAGATGGCAGCATCTTTTTTTTTACATGGCACACACAGGTTGAGTGATACCGATCTTGTTCGCTCACTTCTAAACACTGTTAGGCGTGTAAGGTCGTTTAAACCCACTTTAGATCAAAACGTCGTCATTACCTTCTATATGTTCAGGAGTCGTGTCATTTCCCTTAATATGTGTTACAAGCCCGGTTACGAATTGCGCATTCATATGTGAAGATATATAGGACGTAGTCAATCACTTTATTTCCTTCCAGTGGAAATGCGTGCAGGCTTTCATTCAATCAACGAATTACTTGCAAATAATTTCATGAAATTCTTGACAAGGTTGTTGATAATAATAAATAGTTTTAAATTCTTCCAATAGATATATTTGGAAAATATTAGATAGAAGAAAAATTCATATGACAATGCGAATGAATATCTTCAAACGTGACTATCCACTTGATTCAAAAATTTCATATTATTGCAGGAAGCAGTTACTTTAAACACATTGGACTTCACTTCGATGAACATCAAGATTAATCCTCTCCGCTTTTCAAAACTCTTTTCAAGTTTATTTCGCTTTGATGTTTTTTTTTCCTTGATAATTTTTTTCTTCAAATTTATTTCCTCCAAAATCTTTTTTTCTTCTTGGCGATTACTTTCCTTTGTAGTTTATTTTTTTCTGGTCAATTTTGGTAATTTGTGAATTGAAGAAATTCAAAGCCACGATGAGTCAATTTCGCGTATCTTCAAAAGAAATATATATATTACACATAAAAACATATTAAAATGTTTACAAAAATTTGACGACTTTTATCTCGTTTGATTAGATAATTTAATTTTGTCTCAAAAAATTCAAGCTTCAAACAATTCCACTTTTTTTCGATGGAAATTTTAGATTTAAGATTAAAGTAAACTTGAATACAGGTGCGATGAAAACAATCAGCTAAAATGTTAACACAAGAACTGAGAAATTGCGAGAAATATTTTATTAATATACTCACGAAAAAGAAAAATTATTCAAAAGTGGGGGAAACAAATTTCGTCAATTCAGAGTAAATTCTTATGATATGTATGAATCTCATTTTTGTAAAATACAAAAGAAAGGGATACTAAATTTCAATTAATCACGTATTTAAATTAACATTTTTACACGTGCAGTTTAAGTACTTAATTTCGTGTTTATATATACGCTGGTATCTCATTTAGTAATGAAATAAATAAAGATAAAAAAAATAATAATAAAAGAATAAAAATTACTTTTTTGAATGTCTTCAATTTAAAAAAACTTAGCGTCCTTGCTTTAATACAACTAGAAACATAAAAGCGTTTATTCAATTTCAACAATCGTATATAATTATTTTTAACAGCAAAGAGATGTTCAATTATTTTAAGAATTTTCAGAATTTTGCGACTTATTAAATTTTTTTTTATTAAATTTGACCTTCCTACTTTCAAACCACTTGTTATGCTATGAGCAAAATGTCAATTGAATGATACAACAATTTCAAGTCAAGATTTCTATAGAATTCATAATGAACTTACAGTCTGATATAGAATGCTTGGGCAAGAATATTATTCTCAACATTTCAATTGTAAACATTAAAATTCAAATTCAATCGAGGAAAAATTATTTATCATTTTTCTCTCAATTTTTAATTTCACGAGAAAATTAAATTTTTATTTGTGAACAAAAGGTAAAAATAGAATCAACTGATATTTATTTTGTAAAGAAGATTTTTTATTATTTTGCTTTTCTTTTTCTACAATTGAGCAAAATTGTAAATTTCATTTTATAATTACATTTGAAAATATTTGTAAAAACAATAAATGACAAAATGATATTGTTTTTCACATGATATGAAATATAACTATATAGAATCATTTAATATATAAAATCTTACAAAATTTGGATTTTTTTTTATTAATAAATCGAACAGATATACTATGACTAAAATCACACTATGAGTTGAGCAACTATTATTTATAAATTCTAAGTGAGCATTACAACTAAATTGCTCTTATTAACGTGCAATTTTATACATATATGAAACCGCGTCACTAATTTCTTTATTTTCTTAATAATACACAATTCCTTACAATTGTGATTATATAAATTGTAATTATACAATTATAAATATACAAATTGCATATAATTTTTTTTTTTAATTCTTTGAAGCCCTCATTCTGTGATAAGAATGGATCAAAAAATATTATTTTCTTTTTCGTTATAAATATTACATTTGGACGGAATAAAAATATCTCATAGTTTTTTCATTTTTTTTTCGAAAATAAAAGACTAATGAAAAAATTAACCTACAGTAAAAAAATAATCTTTGATCATATCTGATTTTAACAAAAAAAGTATGTTAAAATTCAAACAAGTAAATGAAGATAAAAGTATTAAAAGCTCGATGAAATTCGATTTGAATAAAAGTTAAAATGACTAGGCGTCTACACATGATTTAAAACAATTGAAACAATTTAAAGACGTTTAGATTCATGAAATTGATTGATGCAACATGATTATAAAATTAGAAAACCAAAAAAAAAAAAAAAAATAGAAAAAAAATCACAAACTTTCTGTAATTGCATTTGGATTGAATCGTTGATCCAACGCAAGTGCCATGACAAGATCTTGAATAAGTTTGTGATTTTCCTGACAAATTTTCTTCAATTCCATCACTTGATTTCTCAATTTAACATTATTTTCGCTCAATAATTGTTCATAATTTCCATCACGTCTGATTGATGAATACATATCATGTTTCAAATACGCAAAAGTAGAATTATTACTTTTATTCGACATTGTGCCGGAAATAAATTTTTTCTCCCTCGCCACTTTATGTGCCGCGGTTAAAACCTCCTGTGGAAGTCTTTTTTCCCTTGGATTTAATGGTCGAACAGTCAACACAGCCTTTAGTGGTGATGGAAGAACCAATGCCGTCCATCGTAATAATTTCATTAATCGCCTTGGCACAAGACCCAAAAATAATGCAGCCTCAACATCGCAAATTAGTTTTGTTTGTCGCACAAGTTTTGCCAATCCTGCCGTTTTTTGTAATCCCTTAATATCATGAACAGCAATGCCAACCAATAAATTCATCAAAACAATTGTGACAAACAACAAAAATAATACAAATGACAATTGTGCCGAAACTTGCAACAATATCCAAGATGTTCCACCCACATCAACAGGACGTCCACCTTCTTCTTCAGGAAAAAATAATTCTTCAAAATCCAATTCACCCGTCATCATTACCAATACTTTAATCAAACCCGTGTGTGGACTACTAAATGATTTTGATCTTGGAAAAATAACACAAAAACTCGCCGTAAAACCCACCAAGAGACAAGCATAAGCAAGTAACAATTTAAAAACCTGTGCCTGAACACTTGTAAACATTGCAACATAGGCACCAAACATTGGCAATTGTCCAATCATTAACATCAAATTACTCCAACCGCAAAGAACAGCAAATGCACCAACATGACTCTGCCACGTATAAGTCCTTCCCGTATAAACAAAAGATGTAGCAAATACACTCACAATAACACACCATTCCACCATATTTTCAGCTTGTGTGAAAAATTGCCTCACCGATGAATATGTAAAAATACCCGCTAATTTTCTTAAACACTCCAATACCGTCAATACAACCAATGCGTACCATTCAATTTCCAAAACAATTGGATTCGTATAGAGAAAATTATTCAATCCCGTTGAATTTGCACACAATGGCGTTGCTGGATTGTCCAATTGTCCATGTGATTCATTATAACAATTATGAGCCAATGCCGTTATCACCCATGCAGTCAACACCAAAACATACAACAAATAAAACAATAAACGTCCCACATAGTATTTACGAATTTTCTCCCATTTCAAATAAAGAAACGATTGACATAATGGATGTTCGAGAATTTCTTTATAACCTTCTTTTACAAATGTTCCTAAATAACCAATCTCCCCTTGCTCCTGATGCTGCAACAATGGATGAAAATCAAGACGCAATTCAACTTCACCCGTTGCCGAACCATGCTGATGGAGAGTTATCGATGAATCCAATTTCTCCTTAAAAACATTTAACGAAGTTGGTGTTTTACGTAAAATTATCGACAAAGCCGTTGTTCCACCTTTTGTACGCGCACTCAAATCGGCTCCACGTTTTATTAGAATATCAACGCATTGGGATAATTCATTAACAGCGGCAACATGAAGCGGTGTATATCCATATTTATCTGATTTATTAACATTCGCCATTCGAGTTATTAATAAATCACTCACATCATAAGCGAGCAATGATCTTCCTAAAGCAAGATGTAATGGTGTCCTTCCATCATTATCCTCTGCATTTGGATCACTATTTGCTTTTTGAAGCAGAACCTCAACACACTCGAGACAATGTGAACGTGCCGCCAAATGTAATGGTGTTTGTCCACGAAAATTTTTCTTACCAACATTTGCACCATTTTTCAGTAACAATTCAACATTTTCCACACAGCCAGCCTCTGCCGCTAAATGTAAAGCAGTATCACCTTTTTTCGATGGTAAATCCACTTGGCAACCATTTGACAATAAAACCTCAAGGCACATCGAATCACCACGATCAGCAACATGATGAATTGGTGCATAACCATTTTTATCCTTAACATTCAATGAAGGATTATTGGCAGCCAACAAGTGAAGAACATTTAATGCATTACTTCTAGCAGCTGAATGTAATACCGATTCATCACCCAATGGTGATTCTTGATTAAATCCCTGTTGTTTAAAATGCTGTGCAACATCAAATGAATCTCCAAATGCAGCATAATGAAATGGTGTATGCGCTTTTCGTGAATTAATATTAGCTCCATTACTAATGAGATATTTTACACCCGTCAGAGAATTACTATAAGCACACAAATGTAGAGCCGTCAATCCTAATTCTTGTTCAGAGTGATTTAAGTCAGCGCCGCATTTATGCAATCCTGGTATTAAATCACCACGACCTAAAAAACTTGCATGCAAAAGAAGTGCATTTATTTCCGATAATTTATAAACACTAAGCTCTTCAACACTGTCAATGGTTATTTTTAATGTTTCTAAATCATCCAATAATTGTAATCGACCACCAACTCCTCTCATATGTTCAACGAGAAGATTTCTTATTAAATCATTTGTCACCTGTACTGCACAATTTTTTTCATCGCTTATTGAACTTTCACTAATGCACATGGAATAACAATGTGGTTCATCAACAGGCGGTGGTGTACCATATTCCATTGAACGATCATCCAATGTCCATGTATCATCTTCATGTTCCGGTGTTACTGGTCGTTTAGACACAAGCCAACGTGTTAAAAGTAAAGAAGTTGCTGATTTTGATTTTTGACATGGAGGAGTTTTTACCATTGGTGATTGCATACTAAATGCACGTTCCAATTGTACTCGTTTCCTAGCTGGAGGCAAAATTGGCGGTGTTGATGGCTTATCATCGCTCATGATGAAAATTTCTCTAAAATTACGTCAGGATCATTTCTCTGAAAATAAAATTTTAATTTTTAAAAATTAATCAAAAAATTGCTGACGTCAATGAAGAAACTTCTTCCTGAACATAATTAGACCAACGACGATTGTCAATTGGAAAATCGTTTTAGTTTAAAAAGCAGGCAAAAAAAAAAAAAAAAAAAACATTTAACAGATAAAGAAATAAAGATTAATACCAAGAAATATTAAAATGATTCACTATATATTAAGGTAAACAAGAAATTAATTTGAATATTCAAAAGAAAAATTCAAGGTGAGATTTTAAAAATTATCGAATTAGAAGACACGAGGACAATCACCTGTTTGTGAACTTGAACTGAAAAACTGAATTAAACTCGATAAAAGTTAAATATTTTGATAATGAAAGTCACGCCAAATGTACCAACCAAGATCATTCTGTCTGGCTGAACATTCTGACACTGACTGAACGAAAGGTTGATCTTAACACACAACTATAATATACAGATGAAGCATTCACATGTGACACAGAATTGTAGATATATGCAGAGAACGTGGAAAGACCAAGTAAACCGGTTAACTTCGTGGACCACGATTGACTGACTATTTTTTTCTTTTTTATTTACAATGATGCTACAAAGACGATCTAAACTTTATTCAAATACAGTGGGGGAGGGGAAGGGGCGAAAAAAAAATTATTTCACTTTCTTTTTTCAATTGTTATCCAATTTGTCGAGTCAGAATGATTTGCAACTGAAGATATATAAAAAAACCACGATTTCGATTAAATCGCGATTGAGATATCTTTATTTGTGTATTCCATAATCTTTTTTTTGTTTTTTTTTCCTCAATATTTATTATTTTTTATTCACTTATTATTATATATACTGATTGGAGAGATAAATAAAAAATATAATTTGTAATAAATAATTAATTTAAACGATTTTAATTAAATTATAGAATTGATTGAAAGAAAAAAAAATATTAGTAAAAAAATTAATCATAGCAAAAACAGTAAATTGAAACTGAATTACTGTATACTTAAAAATTCAGTCATTTCTATTTTGCATTCTGAAATATCCAACGAAAAAAGGATCAGAAACTTGTTTGGGATTTATTTTTGTTAGGGGAGTACCCTGATCATCGCGAAACGAAAAAGTAGACGGGACGTTTTTTTTTTAACTAGGTATAGTAAAAAAAAAGTAAATTTTTGCAACACATTTCTGCTTTCTTATTTTATAGATTCCACTGGGAAATAATACGAATTATTAAAAATTTTTACTTTTGCACGAAACAAATAATTAATAAATTATTAATTTTTCATTAATTTCAAATTATTTACATTATTTTGCATTTAAAAATGGTACTTGATTATCAATTGTTTTGTAATTTATTTTAATTTGTGCAGAATTTGAAAATTAGAGAATTTTATTGTCCAATTATTGTCGTTACATTATTTATATTTTGTTAATTAAAAGTTTTAAGTTGTTTTTTTTTCTTATTCTTATGTTTCAAAAATGTCTACAATATTTTCTTTATTGATTCTGATGACGCACATAAAATTTATGGCATTAATTTGTGTTGTATAATGCACAAGCGACTGCACTCCCAGGTGCATATGTCAAATTCAAATATTTTTATCGTTACTTGTATCCTGTTTTAATGTTTACAAAAAAAAAAAAAAAAAATATTATTACTAAAAGAGAAAACACACATGTTGTATAAGAACTTAAAATTTGCATAGTTTTTGGCCACAGATTAAATTATGGCTTCTTAACTATATGCAAATATTTATTAATAATAACTTTCAAAAATTTAAATTTTGTTTCTCTTTTCTATAAATTAATAGTTATCGGATTAGTTTTTTGAAATTTGTTAATTTTATCATTCTACAAATGAGAAATACATTAAAAAAATTGTATTTTATAAATTAAGTAAATGTTCTACTTTTGATCGCTATAGCTTTCAATTGATAAACCGGTATTTATTTAAACTGAAAAATTAATGACCTCCTTTATATTTTTTTATCAAATATACGAATTCTATATTTTCTTTTTTGTTCTTGTAAATAAGATTATCGCACGTAATTTTTTATCTTTGTTACTTATTTAAATTATAAATTTTTTTTTTTGACAAAAACGAAATACGTGATTTAAATAAAGATTGTTTATCTAGTTTTTATTAAAGATTTTTTTTTAAAAGTAATTTTAAATAAATTGAACCATTAAAATGATTTATTGATATTGAAATTTATTTTAAAATATTCGCACGTTTTAATATTTTTAATGGAGCTATATGTTTACCTAAATAACGGTTTTTAAAATATTAAACACTGTAACAATGCACTCAGTATCTTAAATATGAGAAGGTCGTCGGTGACTAAACAGACGAATGAAAGGTTCTTCCACCTGTAGAGTAAGTTTTTTTGAATAGCGGTAAAGCACTTTCTAGTATAATTTATCTACAGATGAAAAGGTCGCGACTAAGCCAAAAACTTGTTTAAATACTTTTTTTTTAATTAATTAATTTCAATTAACGTGAAAAAATTCCTATTTCGTATTATTAATTTTTAACGAAAATATTTTTTTCCCTTTATATATATATATATAAATTAATACAAATAAATCATTAATCACTATTAATTGTAAATTAATTAGTCATTGATGACAAACAAAATAATTTAAAAATAAATTTTTTAGATTTAAATAACGAAATGATATTTTTAAACAAGAGAATCTTAATTTAATTCTCACCGGATGCAACCAGTGAATGTATTTAAGATGATTCATGAATGAAGGTTATTTAATAAAAACAAGTAGATATCCTGAGAAAGGATATGTACAATAAAAAAATAATAAAAATAAAAAATTGTTTTTATCTACTAAAGAAAAGAATGAAAGAGTTCACGAAAGTTCAATAGATTCATAATATATAATTATTTCACGTAAACGCTCGCAATTGTCTGTTTTCCAATTTTATGGTGATTTTCTAGTTCGATTTTTCCCGTTTCCTTGTAATGAATTATTCAAAAGTATAACTGATTTCTCGTCAAATCTATATACGTAATTAAGAAAAAAATTTTGCCACAGGAAAACTTAGCAGGAAATTTCAAAAAAAAAATTAATTCTTTGCAAATTTTTATAAAAATAAATGCCAACTAATGTATAAAAAATTGACGTCAACAAAATTATTTTAATAAATCAAATAATTAAATTCACTTACCTGATGCGCAACAATTGAATACTTAAGTTATTAATCATTTCACACAACTAGTCAAACCAGACGAGAAAAAAAATATTAACACGGAAATATTTTGAATTTTATAAATGTTTTGCGAATGACCAAAAATAATCATTAAAATGATAAATAAAAAATATTAACTCGTTGGAATTAACCGTTTAGATTTGTTTTCGAAAATAAATTAAATTAATACTTTCAATATAAACATTATTAAAATGTGTATTATTGAATATATTTATAGGAATATTTTAGATAATAAAGATATTAAAGAAAATGCCGATTAGAAAATATGATCGTATGATTAATAAATTATATTAAAAGCTTAAAAACTCACTTGCTCTCTGCTTTGCCAAGATTCAAAGTAGAAAATATTCTCACCATTGATTGTTATTTTACCAGAACCTTCGCCTCGTAGAATTACATCAGCTTTTGCACTTTTTCTTTGACAATCTAAATAAATATTAATAATTAATATTCATTGTCTTTCATAAAAAAAATAATTAGAATTCAAATTAAAAAATTTTCTCATTCAATTTTAACTTTTCTTTAAATTTCTGTTAATAAATGTAAAAGATTAATTTTTTTCAAAATATTAATCGACTTACTAGAGACATAAACGAAGGATCTTCCATCTGCGTCATATTGAATCTGAAAATTGAGAGAATATTAAATTGATAGATAAAATTTTCATTTTAGTTTATTTTATTAAAAATAATTTTATCGATCACACTTACCGAAAGTATTTCAATGGCATCAGAAATATTTTTCAATTTTTTCCTATAGTTCATAATAAAGTCTTTAGCTTCATAAGATATGGGATGAGTTGCCAATCTCTCCATAGTATTTATAAAGTATTCATACTAAAATTTTTAAAAATAATTACTGTTTTTTTTTTAAATATTTTTTTCAAAACAAGAAAAAAGTAATTACCAAGTTATCTGGCAAAGGTTCAAGAAGCATTTTCTCAAAATTTGACTTTGTAATCCAAACTGAAGTTTCTAGATCACTGTAAAATAAATTTATTTTACACATTCATGAATTAATTGTTTTGTGTTTTAAGATTTCGATTTTTTTCATTTATATGATTTTTACGTACAGTTTTAGTTTTTCATTTGGTCGTAAACCCTTTTCATAAAGCTCATCTTCTTTTTCATCCAATTCATGCATTTTGCCTACAATTTTCTGTAACATTTATTTTCAGAAATTTAACTATTGTTATTTATTACAATTTAAAAATTAATGAATAAATTAATAAAACAGTAAGAATATTTTAATAAGAATAAAAAGATATTTTACGTGAAGTGTTTGATAATAATTTGGTCTGCATGTATAAAACATTGAATTGAATGGTCTTCCAGATTCATCGAATTCTGCTGCTTTTCGAGGTGGAAATATTTCATCTGGAGGTTTCATAACAGGTCTAGCATGTGGATCATATATTCCCGATGGAAATAGATATTCTATTGCTTTCTAAAAACAAAAAAGTAAAGGTGAACTGTAAAAACATAAAATTATTATTGCAATTATAACAAAAAAAAAGAAAAACTTACATTCACTTCATCTTGCGAGAAATTATCTGGATTTTCGCCCATCATATTAGCAAGATGTCGTTTTCCAATCTGATACTCAGCTCTCGCTTTATTTATAAACTCATCTGTTTAACAGTATTTTCATTCATAAATATAATTATCAAATATTTTAAATTTAAAAGAAAAAATGAATAAGTGATAATTTAGAAAATAATTTACTTACTGTGCTCTTTTGATCGCTCCACATAGGCTATCATAGATTTGCTCATTTTCTTATTTTTTAAACCAAAAGCAGCATTTTCTATTTCATCAGTAAAATTTACATTTTCTTCCGTGGCGGAATATGAACATTTATTAAAAATCTATAAAAAAAAATATAAGAGAAAATAAAAACATATTTTTTGAGGTTATAATTTAAACATTCGCAATGTGATTAGAAATTTATGATGTTAATGTAAATAATAAAAATATAGAAATTACCTGACAATTTGTAATTGATAATAAACAACTAGGAATAACATTTTTTGTCACAAGACTACTGTTATTTTTATTTAAATAACATATAAATGCACGTGAAGTAGAAAACGCCATGTTTCACTATATTGACAAACCGAGTGACTGATTGTCGTCTGCTCGCTAGTGTTGCCAATAGATAAATTTGAATTTTTTGTTGGTACACCTGTAAATTTAAAACAAATAACGATTGAATTTTAATTTGAATATTTTGTAAATTGTTGAAATTATGTTTTTTTATGAAACATTATTAACAAATATTGTAAATTAAATTTATTTTTTATACTATTTAATGTTTAAAATAATATTGATTTTATTAGACATCGTGTAGAATTTTTATTTTAAAGAATTATAAATAATTAGAAATAATTTTGTAAGATTATGCGATAGGATAAATAAAATAGAAAATTAATAAATATGAGTAATTTTTCTTTTTTTAATAATAAAAGCAAAATATTAGTAATGTAAATAAATAAAATAGAAAATAAGTATTTTCTAAGAATAATAGTAAATCGCTTTTTTATATTAATCTTAAAAAAAATTCAATTAATTTATCATCAAACAAAAATATCTTAAATAAAGACATTCGTTGTGTTTAAGACACTTACATATCGTATACTAAGACACTAAAATATAGCAAATTTATGACATTACAATATTTATATTAAGAGAATAAAATATATTAAACTAAGACACTAAAACATCTTAAATTAAGACACTAAAATATTTTAAAGTAAGATACTCAAATGTCGTAAACTAAGACACTAAAATATATTAAATTAAGATTACAATACTTATATTTAGATACTAAAATATCGTAAATTAAGACACTAAAATATCATAAATTAAGACACTAAAAAGTCTTAAAAAAAATCTCAAATTAATTTTTGTCTAAAAAATAAAAAAAAAATATATATTATCCTATTTGGGGTAAATTAAAAAAAAAAAGTTTACGTCTCGAAATTGATGGATGCGTGTTTCTTCTAGGTGGTAAAGATGGAGCGGTATGTTGTCTTTGAATAAATTTTAGTCGTCTACGTTTAAGAACCAGTGCTGCCGCAAAGAACCTCGCTCTATATCGAGAGCCCTCCCGAGAGTCTCGGCTCGTAGCGGGCCAACGACGGTCTCACTTCCCGATAGTTTTTTTCCAATTTTTTTTTTTTTTTTTTTGTTGCTTTCATCGTTTTTGCGCTGTCTCCATTTTTCTTTTTTTTTAAATTTTTTTTTAACAAAATCGTAACATTTGGAGATATATAGAATACATAAATATATATATATATAGAATCGCGAATGAAGATCAGTGCATTCATCTTATTCGTCATATATATATATATTAAAATTTAATTATTTATAACAGACCGGACATTCGGGTCACGTGTCATTGTCCTCCTCCTTCTTCAACACCACCTCCTCAAATTTCTTCATTATTATAAATCGACGAAGAAATCATGGGCAACGCCCAGAGGAAGTCACATTATTCAAAGCCAATTTCTTCTTCGGGAAGTGGTACGAAGAAGGTACATTGGGAAGGTCCAGGTAATTTTTGTCCATCCTTCCGTTTTGAAAAAATAAAAAAAAAAATTTTTTTTTGAGACAAACTCGCTTTTTTATACTGCTTATTTTTTTGTAAATTTTTTTTTAAGTGATTTTTTATTTGGTGAATATATATTTTGTATGAATAATTTTTTTGGAATTTAAAATTTTTTTTTATAAGTAAAAGGAAAAATGAAATTTTTCTTTTACAATGTTGATTTTTTTTTTGAATTGGTATCCGATGTCATCCTTCCCGGAGCTGCCCAGTGGTTTTGCTCTCTTCTGATTGCCAAATGTTCATCGTTTTATTTCGGGAGAGCCACGTGCAGCTATCCGTTAGGTCGCGTGCTCACTAACATATTATTATTATTATTATATTGAATGCTTTTGTTATACAATACAAGCACTGACACATGCACATTGACTGTTAAGATGATTTAAAAATATTTTTCTGCATAACATCGATTTAGAGTGATATCTTCATTTTAGATTATCTTATACGTTCAAGTCAATTTTCGTGCAGACTTTTTTAAATATTTCATTTTTTTTAAAAAATAGTAAAAGAAATAATTTTTACGAAAAATAAATAATAAAATAATAATTTTTATAATTAAATTAATTATCTGAATAAATGAAAAAAAAAAATATTATGGAATTTAAAGAAATGTTTTTTTTTTTTTTTTAAAAAGCAAGAAATGCGTTTTTCCCTCAATTTGTGATGACTGTTCTTTCCACACTGGTTTTATTTTTAATTCACAGGAATAAATCATTCTTATTAGCAGTTCTGCTTTTTGCTTCTTTGAGAAAAACCATGTGCTTTTTGCAGGCTAAACAGTTTACACACACACATACACAAAATATTTTATTTAAGACGGTGGAAAAAAAAAATTCTCAGAATAAAAATATACCAATCGGCAAATTGAATGTTTCTGCAAAATATTTCAATAAAAAATATTATTTTATTTACAATAAAAAAAAAACGAAGACAGAAAATTTCCAAGAGGAAATTTTTTAATTAATACACCTTTAATTAAAAATGAAGTTCCAACTTAATGAATTTAACAATCGAAGTAACTAATTTCAAATTAATCGAAAACTTATTATAAAAAAAAATAATTTAAATAAATAATTAAAAAAAAATTTTCAAATTAAAAAAAATTAAAAAATTTATTATTATTAAAAAATTAAAAATTATTATGGAAAAAAATATCTATTAAATAAATAAAAAACTAATTAATTTAAAAAAAAAAAAATTTCAATTAATTTTGATTAAAATTTTCGAAATTCAAGGTTTACCATTATCGCCTGGAAAGCCAATATTGATACCGGGCACTGAAGAAACACAACCAGATGTTGTTAGTATCAGATGGGAACGATCATCAAGTAATGGAGGATCGGCTATTATTGGTTATTTGGTTGAGCATCGTAAATTGGGATCACCAAATTGGATTCGTTCAACTCCAATTTTATGTAAATTTCCCGAAGTCACATTAAGTGGCCTTGAACCCGGATGGCGTTATCAATTTCGTATTCGTGCACAAAATGCCTTGGGATTATCAGAGCCAAGTGAAATTTCTGATCCTCTCACTGTCACTCTACAACGTGCTATTGCTTCTTCACCTCAATTTGATCTTGAATTAATTGACATAATTTCACTTGAAAATGATCAGGTTTACATAAATTATTATTATTTTTCATATTTAATTACACAAAAAATTATTATTATTCAAAAAAAAATAATAAAAAATAATTTACTAACAATTATTTTTATTTTATTTATTAACAATATTTATTTGCATCTTGCGTACACAGAAAATTAAAAGGCATTAAAATAAACTGCAACGCTTATTATTTTAATCCAATTTTGCTTATTTTAATCCATTTTAGTATTAAAATAAGCAAAATTGGATTAAAATAATAAAATAAAATAAAATAATTAAAATAATAAAATAAAATAATTAAAATAATAAAATAAAATAATTAAAATAAGCTGCAACGCTTATTATTTTAATCCAATTTTGCTTATTTTAATCCATTTTGGTATTAAAATAAGCAAAATTGGATTAAAATAATAAAATAAAATAATTAAAATAAGCGTTGCAGCTTATTTTAATGCCTTTTAATTTTCTGTGTAGAAAAAAAAATGGAAATTAATAAAAATTATAATTTACAGGCGGAATTTGAAGTTCGATATTCTGGAATGCCATCGCCAAAAATTGCCTGGTTCAAAGATGGTTTTGAAATATTTAGCAGTCGACGAACAAGAATTGTCACAGAAAATGGAAAAAGTATTCTTTTAATTCATCGAACTGCACTTGATGATGAAGGTGAAATTAAATGCACTGCTACAAATCGAGCTGGACATGTGAGCACAAAAGCAAGATTAATTCTTGAAGGTTTGTTCTTTTTTTCTATTTATTTATTATTATTAATATTTATAATTATTTATTAATTATTTATATTATTTTCTATTTGTTCTATTTAAATTTAAGTAAAGAAATGTTTTCGAAAAAGAAAAATTCTTTTCAATATAATTTATAATTTTATTGTAAAAATTATTTAGCACCACCAAGAATACGACTTCCACGTCAATATGAGGATGGATTACTTTTTGAACAAGACGAAACAATTCGATTGAAGATAACATTGGCTGGTCGACCATCACCTGAAGTCACATGGTATCATGATGGTGATATGCTTAATAAAGATGAGAGACATATATTCGAATTAATGGACGGTGAAAGTATACTAAAGATACCTGATGCAAAAAGAAAAGATCGCGGTGAATATAGTGTGAAGGTGATGAATAAATTAGGTGAAGACATCGCTTCATTTTTAGTCACCGTAACAGGTAGGTAGGTAATGATTTTGCCAGCCAAATGTTAATATAATGATAATAATAATTTCGTAATTTATATTTTGGCATCGAATTTTTATGATATATAAAATGATATGTAGATCGACCTTCTTCACCTGGCAAGGCTACTGTTGCTATGACCTTGGGTAGGTCCGTCACACTCAAGTGGAATGAGCCTGAAGACGATGGAGGTTGCAAAATTGGTACATATATCGTTGAATATTATCGAGTTGGATGGGATATGTGGCTTAAAGCAGCGACATGTCGACAGACAACAACAACACTCAGTGAATTAATCGAGGGTTCTGAATATCGTTTTCGTATTAAAGCTGAAAATCCCTATGGTGTCAGTGATCCCAGTGAGGAGAGTGACATTGTCTTCATTCCAGATCTAAAAAGAGGGTGAGTGATTATTTCTAATTTTTTTTTTTTTTTATTTTCAATTTTTCTTTTTTTAATTTATTTTTTTATAAAAATAGAATTACAGGACCATTGAGTAATAAATCGCAGAGTCATCGTGAAATTCATAGAGGACGAAGTGAAAGACGTGAAGTGAGTTTTGTTGAACCATCACAAAGAACAAGAAGCTTGACACGAGAAGAAAATTATTCTAGAGAAAATCCTGTTGAACGTTCCATATCATCACAACGTCTCAGTTCAGGAAGATCATCGAGATCCGATAGTCGAGTGACGTTCGCTTTGGACATTGTTGATCAGGAGGAGATGCCAAAGAAAAAGGATCAGGTAATATATTTTTATTCTTATTTTTATTTTCCGTTTGCAAATTTTTTTTTCAGATTTCAGATGCACTCAGAACGGAATCAGAAGTGAAACAACCAACGACTATTGTCGTTACTCCGTTTGATGATTCAGGTGGAGAATCTCCAATTCCACAACCAAGATCACGTTCTCGGAATCCAGCTCCTCCTAAACCACCAAGAGCTCATGATCCAAAAAATAAAACGGCATCACCTGATCGTACTCATCTTAGTCCTCCAGTTTCCACATTGAGAAAGGAACAAAATTTCACCGATTTATCAGTACAAGAAGATTCTTCATTTCTTGATGTGAAACGAAAACAATTTGCAAGAACCGAACCAGCTTCATTTGCAGATGATGAAAATCTTCACGGTAGTTCGGAATTTGTTCTTGTTCTCTATCCGGAAGAAACTGAAATACATGATCCCATCAAAGATCCTTCAGGTATAATATTTTTTTGCTTTTTTCGAATTTCTGCTAATTTCTGTCATTTTTTTTATTAGATCACAATGAAGAGGATGATCTTGTACCACCGCCAAAATCTCTATCGCTTCCAGAATTATTTAGAATTGATCATGAATTCGTCGAGACAATGCGCGAGGCTGTCAGTTCAACGGAACTTCTTCATGAACGTGCCATGGAACGTTTCTATCGTGCAATTGCCGTTGAAGAAGCTGTTGATGAAGCTAAACGACAGAATGCAACTGATTCAACGAATAATGATTATCCACTTTTTGAGCAGAGAATATTATTGAGAAAAAAACTTCATCTAACCGGTGCTCATTCATCATTATGGCAAGCTAAACGTGATCGTAGACGATGCAGCGATAGTCAAACGGAAAAATTACGTGTACCCCCTAGAATTGTACCTGATGTTCTAGAAGACGCTGCTTCCGATCCCAATTTGTGTTCAATAGAAACAAAAATCGAGTGGAATTCTCAAGATTTGGAAATAAAGGCTAATTCTGGAAAAGTAAGAACACAATATTCTACACAAATTGATTATTCCGAAGAATACACGGAGCAAATCAAAGTGGAAGAAGTGGATGAAAATTTTGATGAACAACAACTTTCCGAGCCATTACGCAGATGGCATGATTTCCCATTAGAAAATACATTCACTCCAATTGAAATGATTGAAAATAAAGAAAAAATTGATGATCAAATTTACAAGACAGAAGAAATAGAAACACAAAGTGTCGAGACATCGATCGAATCATCCGAAGAGGAAAGTAGCGATGAGGATTTACGACAATTTAGAGCAAGAATTCTAGCAATTCCAGTTGAAAATGAAGAGGACACTTATCATCCGCGAGGAAATCCAGTTCGTCACGTTAGTCCAGAAAAATCGATAATAATTCCTCCTCCAGTCCCCCCGCATCGAGTTCAAGTAATTGATCCATCATCATCGGAAAAAAATTATTCAATTCCATCACCGCCAATGTCACCAACAAATATTATTCCAAAATCAATTCTCAAAAAACGAGTGGAACCCGATATTGTTCCAATTACAGAACCAATTGAAATTTTAAAATCTTCCAATCAACAAGAAATGGCATTATCCGATATTGATAATGAAAATGTCCTCTCAGCTGCAGAAGTAGCGAGAAATCGTCGTAGACAACTGAAGCAATTATCAAAAAATTCAATCACATCATCAGACAATGAAGAGGAACGTGAGGGAGAAAGAATGGCCCTCGTTAGTCATTATACGGAAATTGTTAATCAATTTTCAATGAATCATAAACCATTTCCTCAAAGACGAGTGCCAATTCGAAATGAAAATATTAATGATCTTCAAACAATTGAACGTACTCTATCACCACCACGTGCGAAATTCGATTATTCCTCTGATGAAAAATCAAGTGATAATTCGCAAATTTATCATGATAAAAATATTATTCATCAAATATGGGAAAAAGAAATTAATGATTCATTAAAAACAGAAACAAAAAGACGTGGTCGATCACGTATCGATGAATCAATGTCAAGATCAAGAAATGTTTCCACAGAAAGAGGTGAATCATCGAGATCATCGTCAAAAACAAGAGCAAGAGGTTCGCGATCATCGTCAAAAACAAGAAATAATGAAATTAATACAAAATCAATAAGACAAAAAAATAATAATAGTCGTTCAAATTCACGTGATCGTTCACGTTGTCAAACACCAACTGAAGCAAAAATGGAACGTTTACAACAACGAACACAAAATGCCAATGAAAAAAAACAAAGATCAAGACGAATATCAACACACGAGAGATATGAAAATATTGATCAATATTCAAAATATTTATTAGAAATTCAAGCTGAACGAAATGTTAGATCAAGTTTCAGTTATGTGACTGATGTAATTTTATTGTTGGCCGCTGTATATGTTTATTTATTTAAGGAAGCAATTTTTGCAATTCCTATTATTGGACTTATTCTATATCGTCGAATTCAACAAGGTGTTCGCGATTTAATTCCTAAATGGTTGCGTGGTCCCAAACGTTAAAAACGAAAAGTTTCCAAAAAAAAAAAAAATACTTTTATGACTGATGATTATTATTGAATAATTGAGTCTTCTTCATTGTGAGTAGTAAACAAAAAAAAAATTAAAATTCATTTCAAAATTTTTGATTTATACAAACAATTTATTTTGATTCAAATAATCGATTACTTGACTATTATCAAATAATTATATATACTTAAACCAAATAATTTTAGAACCAACCAATTTTTGTTTCAATTAAATAAACTGTATTTGAAATAATTTATGAATTTGAAAAAAATTTCATTTAATTGACTTAAATAATAATTATTTGATATAAATAAATATTTATTTCATAACAGTCATGTAATACGATTATTTGAATCAAATAATTTTTTTTTTAAATAATAATAAAGTATTTAATACTTTTTTTGTTTTAACTAAGAAAATGTGTGGGACATTTATAGAATCCCATTGGGAGTTAAATTTTTACTCTCCTTTTTACAGTGTATAATTTAATATTTTACGGGATTAAATGACATGAAGATTCAGAGATATTATATATCTCTAAATTGTAAATATTGTATACTTGTCCTTGTTTTGTAATCACTGATCAAGTTTCCCTTGTGATACGTAAGATTGCAATAATTTTTTTTTTTTATTGGTATTGAAAAGAAAATCGTACAGAGTAAAAAAAAATCTTAATTATTAAGAAGCATATGAAATTAAGATTATTTTACTATTTTTTTGAGAATTTCAACAATTTTTCTGACTATTTACTGACTTATACTACTGATACAAAAATTATAAAAAATTTTAATTTAATTTTATTAAATTTAATTAAATTAAATTTTGTTAAATCAAATTTAGTTAAATTTAATTCCAATTGAGTAAATTTTGTCTGACTGACACGCTGGCTTTTTACTGCTATAACAAAAATTTCAATAATCCGGAAATTTGTCTCACTAATACTGTCTTATACTAAATAAAAAATTACAAGAATTCGGTATTATTCTGTCTAACTAAAACTGTCCCTTACTACTGAACGTTCACTTAATAAATTTACAACGTTATGTCTAAATGTTGCTGACTTTTACTACTAAAATAATATTCAAAAAATTTAAATCTTTTTTTAACAGACAAAATTTTAGGAATTATTTTATTATAATATTTTTATATAATATATTTATATAATATATTTATATATTATATTGTATATTTTATTATTATTTTATTTAGTTGAATTCGGAAATTTTCTTGTCTGACTAAATCTGACCTATACTACTAAATTAAAAATTATAATTTCTTTTTTAAAATTTGCAATTTTACGTGTCACTAGAGTTTGATTTCTATTGAAAATCTGTTACTTGAAAAAAAATCGTGTTTTTTACGAACAAATGTGTCTGATTATTGGTTTTTATTGTCTTGACAGCTTGTACTATGTGCTCTATGTGTACAGAACTCTAAATAATAAAAATATAATTAAAAGAATATTTTTTCTTTCTTTAAAATTTTCATTTACTGAAAAATTAAGACAAAAAAAATCTATAATTTCAAATTACATTAATTAATTAATTCTCTATTATTTTTTACAATTAACTTTCAATTTTTTGCAAAATGTTTTTATAGGGGAAAAAAAATTTACCAGGAACAGTGAAAAATTTCACTAGAATAGTGAAAGATTTATTTGAAATAATTAAAACTTTTGCTCTCATTGTGAAACTTTCAGCTATTCCAGATAAATTTTTTTTCCGTGTAATATATTTTTATGCATTATTTTGTTCTTTATATTAATTAAATATTATATTAATATTAACAATATTAATTAATATTATTAATGTTAATTAATATTATTAATGTTAATGTTAATTAATATTATTAATGTTACTATTAATTAATAAAATTAATAATTATTATTATTTAAATATTAACAATATAGGCCTGCAAAATTCGACTTTTTTATATTAGAGTTAATTTCAATGTATTTTCATCAGCTGAATGTGATTCCAGGTTCCAAAATTGTCTAGCATGTCAGAATTTTGAAAAAAGTGGGGGTAGAGTCCCAAAAAAATTTTTTTTTGTATTATTTTTGATATCGGAGTGATTTTCAATTTATTTTTGTCAGCTGAATACGATTCCGGATTCCAAAATTGTCTCGAATGTCAGGATTTTGAAAAAAGTGGGGGTAAAAACCGAAAAACCCGGTGTTTTAGTGTTTTTCAAATATTATTTTTTCCATTTAACCCGACTTTGGAGAGGTTTTCAATTAAAGCTTGAATCGTACATTTTAAGACCCATATGCGTATTACAAAAAAAATTTAGGATTTTGAAAAAAGTGGGGTAGAGTCCCAAAAAAATTTTTTTTTTTGTTACTTTTGATGTCGGAGTGGTTTTCAATGTATTTTTGTCAGTTGAATACGATTCCGGATTCCAAAATTGTCTAGTATTTCAGAATTTTGAAAAAAGTGGGGGTAGAGTCCCAAAAAAATTTTTTTTTGTTTTATTTTTGATATCGGAGTGGTTTTCAATTTATTTTTGCCAGTTAAATACGATTCCGGATTCCAAAATTGTCTAGAATGTCATGATTTTGAAAAAAGTGGGGGTAAAAACCGAAAAACCCGGTGTTTTAGTGTTTTTCAAATATTATTTTTTCCATTTAACCCGACTTTGGAGAGGTTTTCAATTAAAGCTTGAATCGTACATTTTAAGACCCATATGCGTATTACAAAAAAAATTTAGGATTTTGAAAAAAGTGGGGTAGAGTCCCAAAAAAATTTTTTTTTTTGTTACTTTTGATGTCGGAGTGGTTTTCAATGTATTTTTGTCAGTTGAATACGATTCCGGATTCCAAAATTGTCTAGTATTTCAGAATTTTGAAAAAAGTGGGGGTAGAGTCCCAAAAAAATTTTTTTTTGTTTTATTTTTGATATCGGAGTGGTTTTCAATTTATTTTTGCCAGTTAAATACGATTCCGGATTCCAAAATTGTCTAGAATGTCATGATTTTGAAAAAAGTGGAGGTAAAAACCGAAAAAATGGGTATTTTAGGGTTTTTCAATATTATTTTTTCCATTTAACCCAACTTTGAAGACGTTTTCAATTAAAGCTTGAATCGTACACTTTAAGACCCATATGCATATTACAAAAAAAAATTTAGGATTTTGAAAAAAGTAGGGTAGAGTCCCAAAAAAAAATTTTTTTGTGTTATTTTTGATATCGGAGTCGTTTTCAATGTATTTTTGCCAGTTGAATACGATTCCGGATACCAAAATTGTCTAGTATTTCAGGATTTTGAGAAAAGTGGGGGTAGAGTAATCAAAAAAAATTTTTTTGTGTTATTTTTGATATCGGAGTCGTTTTTAATGTATTTTTGCCAGTTAAATACGATTCCGGATTCCAAAATTGTCTCGAATGTCAGGATTTTGAAAAAAGTGGGGGTGAAAACCGAAAAAACGGGTATTTTAGGGTTTTTCAATATTATTTTTTCCATTTAACCCGACTTTGGTGAGGTTTTCAATTAAAGCTTGAATCATACACTTTAAGACCCACATGCGTATTACAAAAAAAATTCAGGATTTTGAAAAAAGTGGGGTAGAGTCCCAAAAAAAATTTTTTTTTTGTTACTTTTGATATCGGAGTGGTTTTCAATGTATTTTTGCCAGTTAAATACGATTCCGGATTCCAAAATTGTCTACCATTTCAGGATTTTGAGAAAAGTGGGGGTAGAGTCCTCAAAAAAAAATTTTTTTTGTGTTATTTTTGATATGGGAATCGTTTTTAATGTATTTTTGCCAGCTAAATACGATTCTAGATCCCAAATTTTTCTATCATGTCAGGATTTCAAAAAAAGTGGGGGTAAAGGCCCCAAAAAAAACGTATTTTTGTGTGATTTATTCCACTTTTCTCTTAATCCTGACTTGCAAGATAATTTTAGTACCTGGGATCATATTCAACGGATATTATTACATTGAAATCGATTCCAATATCGAAAATAAAAAAAATCATACCATCTATAATTATTTTGATATTTTTATTATCTATTTAATTATTTTATTTCTATAAATTAAAATATTAAATTTTTTAATATTTTCATAAAAGTATAATTTCTTTTATCAGGGGAAAATATTTCGAAACTTGCCTTTTTTTTCTTTTGCATGACAAAAGCAAAATTTTCAACTGGTGAAACCCATTAAATGCAAGGGACGAGTGCAAATAGTGTTTAAATATATACACTCGCACTCTGCAAACTAGATCCCACGGATTTAGATGCTTTTAATTAGTTCCTCATTCCTTGTTCGCCATTATTCTCTCTTAGCGTGATTTTCGTTGTCGTACGTTGCCTGTCCATAAAGATAGAGTTTATGGGCATAAAATTTTCCAAAGAATGAGAGAGAAAGAGAGACTAAGAGAGAAAGAGAGAGTGTTATTATTACGTCAGGTCGAGAACTCGAGGCGCATGTCTTCTTCTCTTCTGGTGCTTTTTGCTCCGTTCTTCTTCTTCTTCTCTTCTTTCTGTATGTGTGTGTGTGTGTGTTTATAAAACGATGAAAATTTTTGAGAGTGAAGAAGCGCGCACACACTTTTGAACCGTCGTCGTCGTGACGATTTTAGATCAGAGCCCTTGGCTTGGCAGTTAGGGTGTGCGAGAGACACGGCAAAATTCGACGTGTGGTATTGGATAAGAAAGAAGGAAGGAGGGAAACGAGAAAGACGGAACGATAAAAAAGGGAAGTGTTATTTGGCCGCGCGAAAAACAGATAGTATCCGGAGTTATGTCAAAGCGAGAAAGAATCGACAATCAAACCTGACGGAATGACCTTAACAGGTAAATTTAAAAAAAAAAAAAATTAACTAACAAATTTATTTTTCATTATACCTTTTTTCAATCTCACATTTTTTGCAATTAACTTTGCTTTTTGTTTTTGATAGTAAAAAAAAAAAAATCCAAGGTCGAATAAAAACAATTTTTTCTTTTAATTTAAAATTTTTTTCCAAAGTTTTAAAATTTACATATATAATTTTTTGTTTTGAACAATATTTTTTTCTTTTGTTATTATTTAGACAAAATTTTACTTTTCTTTCTTTTAAATTTGAAATTTTTTTTATTTCTATGATTAAAAAAACGAGTTATTTATTGTTTGAATTTTTTTAATATGGAAATAAAATTGCTTTGAAAAAATTTTTAAAAAATAGTTTTTTTTTTTGAATTAAAAAAAAAGTGCCTCAAAACAAGCGGATTTGGGTCGATTTTTTTCTCGATGAATGCGACGGATGCACTTGGAGAATATTTTGAGAGTTGGCCAGTCTTTATAAACAGTGTTGCATAAACGTGTGTGTGTGTGTGTGTGTGTGTGTGGAAAATTATTGTTTTCGTTATTAAAAAATATTTATTAGAATTTTGATAAGCCGGTAATAATTTAGACTTTATAATTTTGAAAAAAAAAATGATAAAAATAGATTAAAAAAGTATATTTTTTTTGACATGTGTTTGAAAATGTTGACATGCTTGAGCCACGTCAATTTTGATTGACATAATATATTATAAATTTTAGTGAGGAAATATTTTCAAAATTTCATTATAATACTAATTTTAAAATTTTTTTTCGTATATAATTACGTCAAAAATTCCATTGTGTATTAATTTTAGTTCAAATTTTTTTTTTTTTTTTGAGAAAAAAAAAGAAAAGAGAAATGAGAAGACTAATAGTAAACCACTCGTTTCTTATATACGTGCGGTCATTTGAAGTTGATATTTTTAGAAAGCCGGTTAGTCGAAGTTAGCGAATCAACTCAATTGCGATTTCTATTGCATTTTCTGATTATTTTTTTTTTTTTTACTTAACAAAAAAAAGTTTTGTTTAAAAATTTTTTAATTAATTATTTAAAAAATTTACTAAACAAAATACAATTGAAAAATGCGAACAATATACAAAAAAGTTTACTAAAAAATTAATTTAAAAAAAAATTTAAGTTAAGAAAAATGTGCTAATATTTTAATCAAAATTTTTTTTAGATCATTCCTCCAGAATCGAAACATCAATATGGGAGGAAGAGGAAGAAATAAAAGTGAACAGTCGATTGGGCGAAGATATTGTCATATCGATGAAAATACGCCAAACAGAAAATTGCGACAATTTTCTTTTTGAATTGTGAGTGATTTTTTTTGTACAATTTTTCTATGATTTTGAGATATTGAAATTTTTACTTATTTATTGTATTTTATTATTATTATTATTATTATTATTATTATTATTGAATTTTATTTATTTATTTAATAATAATAATTTAATATTTAATAATAATTTAATTAATCAGTAACTGATTATATACTTGGAACTGAAAATAATTAATTTATTTTGCTAAATTAAAATTAATAATTATTTAATATAAATTAAGGAAAAAGTTTTGTGCGACCAAATTTTTGTAACTTTCTGAGAAAATAGTTATTTTAGTGCGTACATTTTGGTTTTGGCGCTACTGGCTTATAGATTTCTCTCAATGACTAATAGAATTGCAAACTTTTCATACTAAAAGACTGTTCGCGTAATAATTCAATAAATATTTATTTTTAATTTATTACTTAGTAAAACAGTTAATCGATAAGATTATTAAATTTAAGGAAAAAGGGAAAATAAAAAAAAAAAATTTCTTCTATTTAGAAATGATATAAATTTTAATAAAGATTTTTTATTTTTATTCAATTTTTTCGAACTGTTTTTTTTCAAATTTAAAAATGTAATAAATTTTTTTTAGTTTTGTAAATTGGTAATTTAAAAAATTTAATTACAATTATTGAATTAATGATGTAAAATTAAAAATTGAAATTGTTACTATGTAATATATGGAAAAGAACGAAACATTGGTCGCTAATTTGTCCTGGTTCCCGTGAAACTATCACGCGTGCCAAGCATCATCAGAAAGTGTTTATTTCAAGCAGTCGTGGATTTAATTTTGCGAGGTCGAAATTATTCTCGTCGTGTCATTTCGTCGCGAGACTGTCTTCAATGCCAGGGACGTATGGGATCATTGCATTTTCCTCTGTTTTCACTAAAGCTTCGTGGGAATAGCTTCATCACAACAAATAACATGTGTGATAAACTTTTCTAATTATATAAACATTTTTTTTTTTTATAAATCGCGCTTTCATTAAATACAATAGAATAGAATCAATAGAATCAATACAATTAAAAAAAAAGTGATTATTATTTTATCAGACAAAATTTTACCAAGTTTTTAGAGAATTATTACTCGGTCTAGCGCCAATTACAAAAAAAACGTGCGTTGAGACATTGTTTTTGTCTGACTGAAAATTACTTGTACTACTGAAATTAAAATTACAAGTTTGTATCGATTTTTACTACTGAGGATAGAAATTCAGTTAATTTTTCCTATCACTGCAAATATTTGTTAGTGGAAATAAAATAGAAGGAATTTAAAAATTGTTGGTCTGACTGATACTGTCTTTTACTACTAAGTAAAAAATTAATTTTCAACTTTTTGTCGTTCATTTAATACTGAGTTTCATTGTACTAATTGTCTGACTGATAATGACTTTTACTACTGAAACAAAAATTATGAGAATTTGAAAATGTTCCGTCTGACTAAAAATGTCTTATGCTACTTAATTGCGGAAATTACAAGTATTCGAAAATGTAATACAAATAAATACCAACAAAAATTCGTCATTTCACAAAAATTGTCCTTTACTACTGACAAGAATACTTTTTAGTAGTTGTCTGTCTTTTATTGATTGTTACTACTGAATCAAAAAGTAACATTAGAAATTTAATGCCAATTTACTATTTTTTATTCCATTTTATGCGAATTTACAATATTTTTTAAATTTTCTCCGAAGTTATTATTAAAACTTTCTGTTACTACTAATACAAAATTGTTCCAATTTTTTAAATTTTTTCTAACTCATACTATTTTTTCCTTTACTTGTATAGTATAGAATACTAAAACAATATTACTTGAAAAAATTCGTAAATTCGTCTGACTCAAACTGTCTTACACTACTAAAATAATATAAGTAAAAATTGGAAAATATTTTGTCCATCACCAATATTTAATTTACTAAGTTTTGTCTGACTATTATTGACTTATACTACTGACACTTAATTTGTAACCTTATAAGAATTTTTACAATTGGTCTGACCAAAACTGTCTTTTACTACTAAATATTTAATATTTAATACTAAAATTATTCAATAATTATATTGTTCCACTAAAACTGTTTTTACTACTAATATAAATAATTTACGAATTAAAAAATATTTCATCTGACTAAAACTGACAATACTACTGATTACAAAAGTTAGACGAATTTAAAAAATTTTTGTCTGACTAATTTTTGATATTTACTATTAACAAAAAAGTACAAAAATTAGTTAAAATTCTGTCTGATTAAAAAGTGGCTTTTATCACTGCACTCCGAAAAAAATTCGTTTGAAGCAACCAAATTTTGGTTAAATCAACAAAATAAATGCATTGATATACAGTTAACTAAACATTTGGTTGCATAAACCAAACGTTTATTTAGCTAAATCAAATTTTTTCTTTGTTCAAAAAAATTTATTAAAATAAACCAAACAGTTATTTACATCAAATAAATATTTATTTGAATTAAATAAATTTTGTTTGAACTAACCAAAAAATTTGGTAAATATAAAAAAATGGTTCATTTAGTTTGAAAAACATATTTTTTTTTGAGTGCGATAACAAAATGATAAAAATTGGGTAAAGCTCTGTCTGACTAACACTGTCTGTTACTACTAATACTAATATACTTTTTTACAGTTTTGTGTGACAGCATTAAAAAAATATTTAATAATTATATTGCCTAACTAAAACTGTCTTTTACTACTAACTCTCTAAATCTGAATTAGTAAAAATGTTTACTAATTTAAATTAGTGACTCACTTTTTGCTTTAGAATTAGTTAAATTTTACTAATTGTTAGTAAAAGTTACTAATAATTAGTAAAATTTTACTAATTCATAAGCAAAAAGTGAGACACTAATTCAAAGTAGTAAACACTTTTACTAATTCAGATTTACAGAGAACATAAATAATTCACGAATTAAAAATATGTCGTCTGCCTGAAAGTGACTTTTACTACTTATTTCAAGAATTAAACGAATTTTAATCATTTTTGTCTAATTTCGTCATTTACTACTAAAAAATTCTAAAAATTGTTTAAAATTCTGTCTGCTTAAAAGTTGATTCTATCACTAATATCAAAATTACAAGAATCAGTTTCTGTCTGACTAACACTGTCTATTACTACTAATACTTTTTTTACAGTTTTGTCTGACAGCATTAAAAAAATATTTAATAATCATATTGTCTAACTAAAACTCTTTTTTACTACTAACATAAATAATTTACGAATTAAAAAAATTTCGTCTGACTAAAACTGACTTTTACTACTGATTTCAAAAATTAAACGAATTTTAATCATTTTTGTCTAATTTCGTCATTTACTACTAAAAAATTCTAAAAATTGTTTAAAATTCTGTCTGATTAAAAGTGGCTTCTATCACTAATATCAAAAATTACAAGAATTGGATTAGTTTTTGTCTGACTAACACTGTCTATTACTACTAATACTTTTTTCACAGTTTTTTATAACAGCATTAAAAAAATATTTAATAATTATATTGCCTAACTAAAACTGTCTTTTACTACTAACATAAATAATTCACGAATTAAAAAAAAAATTCGTCTGACTAAAACAGACTTTTACTACTGATTTCAAAAATTATAAGAATTTTACATTTTTTTTGTCTGATTAATATTACAACAAGAAAAAAAGTCTAAAAATTTGGTTAAATAAAAATATTCATTCAATAATAATCAACTAACCGATTATTTGAAAAAAAAAAATTTTTCTATTAATTTTGATATTTTTAAATTATGTTGGACATGAATGATAATATACGTCGCAAAACTTTATGCTATATATTTAAAAAAAAAATATGCGTTTGAAAATTCCTCTCATAATTTCTATATACATAACACTAAATTTAATTTATTATTCGAGTCTTTGCTAAATCTAGACAGATTAATTCTTGACCTATTTTTGCTTTGTGCTTCTCCTCGTTTGCGTAAAGTAGAAGAAGATGAAGAAAATGAAGAAGAAGAAGAAGAAGAAGAAGAAGGAGGGTGATGGCAGTGACTGTGTCTGCCACCTAAAGCCACACAGAAAAACTATCAGTCTCGCGAGAGACCCCGACACATACAACGACGATTGCAAATTTAATGACGATCAATTAAGAATTGACTGACTTATTGGTGCCCTTGTAACCAACGACAAAAGAAGAGAGCGATGCTTCGAATTAGGGCGAAGCGAACACAAAGTGGACCAATACACCTTTTCATTGGTGACACTCGCGTTCAAAATTTATTTCTTCTCTGAAAACAAAAAAAAAAAAAAAAAAAATTTATTAGTGCGCGTATTCAAAAACAAATTCTAAACGTCGTCATTAAAAATATTTTTTATTTTTTTAAAATTGGATAAGAAAAATGTCCATTCGAAATTATATTTTGAAAAATTATAAATTGAAAAGTGATTTTATTGTCATTTGTTTGATTCAATGAAGAATTGTGTTTCTCCCGCCTTTTTTTGTGCCACGTTATGGGTAGCAAATGTTGCAAATGTGCCAAGAAAACCCATGCCGCTAATTCCAACGATGGATCCAGATACCGGTATGAATGATTTTTTTCCGAGAATTTGGTTTCTTTTTTTTGGAAAATTTTTCCAAAAAAATAGTTTCTTTTAACAATTTTCTCTATACAAAAAAAAATCTTCACCTGGAACAGCTTGTTTCATTAAAACAAGAAAAGTTTTTGAGAGATGTTCCAGAAAAATTTTGTTTTCATGCTTTTTTTTTAGCTATAATGAATAATTGTTTAAATTGAGTTTTGTTTGAAGACATTGTTTCATGAATTCTTGTCCTACAGCAATATATATATATATATATATATATATATATATATATATATATATATATATATATATATATATATATTGTGTGTGATCTAGAAATATCACGAGCCTCGTTTCTGACGGTTGCGTACCCTCGTGGATCTGACGTAAGCTTGTAACAGATATCCGCTCGCTTTTATAATTTACATCCTCATCAACAATTTTTGATTAAATTTAGATAAATTTCAAGATTTTCTAAAAATTTTCCCAAAAAAAATTTCTCAATGAGAAGAAAAAAAAAATTGTTACAAAAAAAATAAACCGGTTTAATTTTTTTTCTTTACTGAATTGATTTTCGAGTATTCTTGTTTGGTATTGCGCAAGCTTAACGGGCTCTGAATGAGAGGAATCTATAGAATTAGAAGAACGATAAAGAATAGTCGATGACGTTTCAATTGGACTTTAGCCATCACGTGAAGAAAATGACAAAACTTTACAAATTTTCACAAATTTTTTTTCTTTTCTGTTTTTTCTATAAAAAAATATTTTCTTCTTCTTTTTATTTTATTGTCCAACATTTTTTTTTTTTTTTTTTTTTTTGATTGAATTTCTCTTGCAGATATCGAGGGGAGCTGCCAATTCCGTCTAATCGTTATCGAATAGAACCACAGGGAAATTTGGTTCAATTAACATTAAAAGAAACTAAACAAGATGATGCTGGACATTATTCACTTATTGCAAAGAAAATTACACAAAATGGAAATCAAAATAAATTTACAAGGCGAATTCACTTGAGAGTTGACGAATCATCATCTGGTTTCGATGAAGGTGATCTTCCTATCTTTGTCCGACGATTAAGTGATCTATCCGTCAAAGTTGGCACAAGAACGAGATTTTTGGTTGAAATACGAAGTCCCGCTACTCCAAAAGTGGGTATTTTTTTATTAAATTATTTAACATTTCTAATTATTATTATTATTATTATTATTATTATTATTATTATTATTATTATTATTTTTGTTATAAGTCAGTGAAATGTAATTTTTTATTCCCAGGTAACGTGGCACAAAAATGATCAACTTATTCAAGCAAATACACGTTTTTCATTTGTCAATGAGGGAAATTTTTATTGCATTGACGTTGCCCCGGTAACGGTTGACGATGAAGGCCATTGGACCTGTATGGTGGAAAATTATTGCGGAAGATCATCATGCTCATCTCACTTGACAGTTATTGGTGAATGATTTTTATTTTTTCGAAAATTATTTCTTCAATTTTTAATATTTTATTTAAAAATTTATTAATATAATAATTATATATATATATATATATATATATATATATATATATTTATTCATATTTTTATTTTAACTAATTTTATTTTTAAAAAAAGTCTTCTATTTTTATATTATTTATTTATATTTAAATTTTATTAAATTAAATTTTATGTTTATCTCTTTATTTATATCTTTAACTTCTCTATTTTGTTTCTAAGTTTATCTTTTATTTATATCCGAGTTGTCTTGGATTTATTTTTGTACTTGTCTTCGAATTTGTTTATATTTTTATTTACTTTAATTTATTTAGAACTTTTTTTTGTTTTATTCATTTAGATCTTTTTTTTTTTTTTATTAAATATTTATATTTTCGAGGGGTATGAACATCCAGAAACCATTATTATAATTATTATTTGTTCTTCATCTAATTTTTTTTTTTTTTTAATTATTTATTTTACTAAAAATCGAAAATTTTTTTATTTGTTTCGATTTCAGTTCCAAAAGCCTATAAAAAGCCAGAATTTGTTGGGGAACTTCGAGCAATATTAACGGAAACTGGAACAGTTTCATTGGAATGTAAAGTTGTTGGGGTACCAACGCCATTATTAAAATGGTTCAAGGACAATAAGGAAATAAAGGCTGGTGATGTTTTTGCCCTAACGGCTAATGTTGATGATCCAACATCATTGGGGACTTATACTTGTGAGGCGACAAATTGTATGGGAACTGCCTTCTCTTCCTCAAAGGTTAATGAAAAAAAATAGCTTCAAAATTATCAAGAATTTTATTTTAGAAGTTATTTTTTTTGACTTTTTATTTATCCAGGTTCACGTGGTTGGAAAAGGAAGTAGAGAAGGATCATTGAGGCCAGCAGATACATTGTCTCCTTCTGGACCACTTCCAATTTTCAGACAAATTCTTCAAGATGAATCTTGTAAAATTGGTGAATCCCTCTGTCTATCTTGCAAAGGTGATTAAATTAGTTAATTAAATTTTTTTTTAACTCTAATTTTTCCAAAAAAAAAATTTTTTTTTTTCTTAGTTGAAGTTCCACCATGGCCAAAAGAGATTACATGGTACAATAAAGAAGGAAAAGTGGAAGCAAGTGAAAGATATCACATTCAGGCTGATGGTCTAGGTGGATATTCGATTGTAATTAATCCAGTTGAAGCAATGGATGAAGGAGAATGGAAATGTGTTGCAACGAGTTTCGAAAATATGAAACAGTTCACGACCTGTTATGTCGCCATGTCCAGTAAGATTTTTTGATTTAAATATATTTTTATTTTTTAATATTTAAAAAAAAAAATTTACTTTCCAGTCCCAAAAAATTATCGAAAGCCTCGTTTTATGGAGAGCTTAAAGGCGATTTTAACAGAAGAAGGATTAGTGTCCTTTGAATGTAAAGTTGTTGGATTTCCCACACCTCTGTTGCAATGGTTCAAAGATGGACAAGAACTAAAGCCAGGGGATGTTTATCAGCTTACTGGTGCTAATTCATTAGGTATTTTTGAAAATTATTTTTATAATTATCAAATAATTTTTTTTCCTAACTCTCTATTATAATTTATTATTATCATTAATATTAAATAATTAAATATAATTTATTATCATTTATCATATATTCAGGTTCTTATTGTTGTATCGCGAGAAATTGTATGGGTGAAGCTAAAAGCACTGCTGAATTAACCGTCGAAGATATTCAAAATCAATTAAATGAAGAAGAACGTCTACAACTTTTGAGTACAAATCAACCACCCAAATTCATTAGAGGTCTTAGAAGTTGTGAAGCTAGAATTTGTGATAATTTCCGATTTACGGTCCAAGGTATGAAATTAAAGTAATTATTATATATAAGGGAATTAAATATTAATTATTTATTTAAATTATTCAATCAGTGAGTCTTGCACCGGCGCCAAGCTTATTTTGGTATCGAGATGATTCCCAAGTTGATGAAAATGACAAGTACAAAATAGAAAAAGAATCTTTGGGAACGTGTCATTTCGATGTGCAACGACTTGATTTTGTTGATCAAGTAAGTATTTGAAATTTTATTTTATCTATTCATCACTGATCAATAAATAATTATTAGGAATCGGGGATTAATTAACAATTATTATTAGTAATCTGAGATCAATGATTAATTACTGGTAATCAGAGATCAACAATCAGTTACCATTAATTAGGGAAAAATAATTAATTACTGCTAATTCAAGTTCTATAAAAATTACTACTTATAAATTATCTATAATCAATTACTGATGATTAGAGATCAATTATCAGTAATCAGCGATAAATAATTAATTTCTTTGAATAAGTGATCAATAATCAGTTATTAGTAATCTGGGATCAATGAACAATTTTTTTTTAATCAGGTATAACTCTTTAATTACGAATGATCAGGGATCAATAATAAATTACAATAATTAGTGATCAGTAATGAATTACTTATAATCAGTGATCATTAATCACTTACCAATAATCAGGGATCAATAATCACTTACCAATAATAAGGGAAAAATAATTAATTGCATATAATCAGGGATAAATAATTAATTACTAGTAATTAAGGATCAATAATCAGTAACAGTAATTAGGGATCAATAATGATTACCAATAATCAGGGATGAATAATCATTTACCAATTATCAGGGAAAAATAATTAATTGCTTATAATCAGGGATAAATAATTAATTTCTAGTTATTAAGGATCAATAATCAGTAACAGTAATTAGGGATCAATAATGATTACCAATAATCAGGGATGAGTAATAAATTACTAGAAGGTAATGATCAATAAGTACATACCAATAATCAGGGTTAAATAATTAATTACTTGTAAATAGTGATCAAACATCAGTAACCAGTAATTATTCATCAGTAATTCATTACTAACAATCAGGGATCAATAATCAATTACCAGTAATCGAGGATAAATGATCAATTACTAGAAATAAGTGATCAATAATCAATTACTTATAATCAGGGATAAATTAAATTAATTACTGTATTAATAATAACTAATTACTAATTAATAATTTAATTATTGGTAATTAATGATTAGTAATCAGTTACTAGTTATAAATGATCTATAATCATTTAATACTAATTAGAGAGCAATAATCAATTATCAGTAATCAGTGATCAATATTCACCAATAATTAGTAAAAAATTAATTTCCTATTATCAGGGATAAATTATTCGTTACTAGTAAGTAGTGATTAATAATCAGTTACTAGTAATAAATGATCTATAATCAATTAATGGTAATTAAAGATCAATATTTCGTTACTAGTATTAAATGATCTATAATCAATTAATGGAAAATAAAGATCACTAATCAGTTACTAGTAATAAATGATCTATAATCAATTAATGGTAATTAAAGATCAATAATCAGTTACTAGTAATAAATGATCTATAATCAATTAATGGTAATTAAAGATCAATAATCAGTTACTAGTACTAAATGATCTATAATCAATTAATAGTAATTAAAGATTAATAATCAATTACTAGTAACTGAGAATAAATGTTCAATTACTAGAATTAAGTGATCAATAATCAATTATCCATAATCAGGGATAAATAATTAATTACTAGTAATTAAGGATCAATAATCAGTTATAGTAATTAGGGATCAATTATGATTACCAATAATCAGGAATCAATTACTAGAAGTAATAAGTACTTATCAATAATCAGGGATAAATAATTAATTACTTGTAATTAGTAATCAATAATAAGTTACTAATAATTAGTCATCAATAATTAATTACTAATAATCATGGATAAATAATTAATTACTTGTAAATAGTGATCAAATAATCAATTATTAATAATTAGGGATCAATAATAATCAATTCCTAGAATTCACTGATCAATGATCAATTATTAGTAATCAGAGTTGAATCAATCATCAAATGCTGATTATAGTTGATGATTATTTTACCAGGCCGAGTGGAAGTGCGTGGCGAGCAACGATTACGGACACAGCGTAACATCCTGTTTCCTGAAACTCATCATTCCAAAACATTATAAGCAACCAAAATTCTTAGAGAATCTCCGAGCTATCCTATCCGAAGAAGGCGCTGTTAATCTCGAATGTAAAGTAATTGGTGTTCCTCAGCCAACTTTGAAATGGTTCAAAGATGGAGCTGAGCTCAAAGCTGGTGATATTCACAGAATTATATCCGGACAAGATGGCACCTGTTGTCTCGGTACATACACATGTGAAGCATCAAATTGCATGGGAACTGTGAGCAGTTCAGCATCACTGCTTGGTTTTGAAGATCGTGTTGTCACTTCAACAGGAAATGGTGATGTTACAAGGCCATTTTCAGCATTCGATCACGAACGTGAATTAGCACACAATCTATCATTGTCAACAATTCATGAAGAGAGAACATCACAATTGCACGATACTGTTCATACTGATCAATCAGTGACTGTTGATGATCGTGGTGAAGTGTCATTTAGTTTCGATGGCAAAGAAGTTTCCGTAAGCTTGTATGAAACACCCGATCTCACTGAGGAGGAAGCTATTCAAATTGTTGAAATGTACGCTGATCAATTATCGGAACATGTCACTGAACATAATATTATTGAACTTCCACCAATGAGATTTATGAAGGAGACATCAAATTCGGGTAATCTCTTGATGGAAGCAGTTGTTATTGATGTGTCACCGGAATATTTTGTCTCTGTTGAAGAAGGTGATGATCTTCGTACTGAAGCTGATGTTGAAGATATGTCAATGATGGATGAACAGGCTACTCATTCTCTTTCACCATCATTTCCAGTTGATGTCAGTTTTTCTGAAGGTGATCGTCCACCAGTGAAACCACCAAGAAGAAAATCGAGTGCAAAGAGCGAAAAGAGCGATAGAATGATGATTCAGTCGGAAAGTTATCACAGTGCAAGGGAACCGATAAAATCATTATCGATTGAGAAAAAGGATAGTTTTGAGATGGACAGTGAAGCGTTTACTGATGCACTTTCATCAGGCGACAGTAAATTAATGAAATTCGAAAAAAATGATCAAGAATCTTCATTTGACAATGGTATCGTGAAAAAATCAACAAAAAAGAAACGTTCATTACTTGAGAAAACATCATCGGAGGAATCATCAAGAGAGGAATTTAAGAAAACAAAAAGAAGTGATTCTGCCGATCCAATTTTAACTGGAAAATCTGATGATGAATTGGAAAAAAAATTGAATAATAAAGAAATGCTAAATATGTTTCAACAATTATCCGAACCTACATTAATAATACGAAATGCATTAATTGATTTTGATTCTCTTTTACAATTAGCTGAAAGCAGTGATCATGAACAGAATTTATTTATTACTGAAAATTTTGCATTACCAATTGAAAATTTGTTTAATCAAATTAATCATATTGAAGCGAATGCTTTGAAAGATGCAGGTAAACGATCAATGGCTCAAAATGTTAGAATTGCTGTTCTTGAAGCAATGAGTGGTCCAACTGAAGAATTACTACGTGGTATTGAAGTAATGAAACGAAGGGAAAAATTAAAAGTCGATCCTGTTATTTTGGAACCATTGGTGAATCCAGTTGATGAAATAATTGCAGGATTGGCTAAAATAGAATATGAAATTTCCGGCTCTTCGAAACATGAGAAACCAATTATTCTTGAACGTATGATGAGAACAATTTCTTGGCTTGGACATCGAATTGAAGAATCTGATGCATCGTCGATTTTGTCGAAACCATTGACGATGATTCATAAAACATTGGAAAAATTCGTTGATCAAATTCCATTGAATCCGGTGAATGGTACATGGAATGAGAATATTGATGCTGTTCTTATTGAATCATTATGTTTACCTTTGGAAGATTTGACTCGAATTTCAGAAGATATTCTCAGTAGGGACATCAATATGAATCCTGATGTTGCGAAACAAATTGCAGAACCTTTTGATGAATTATTGACTAGGCTTGATGCTCTTGTTGTCGCATTAGAGGGTTATGAAACTGATCATCGTACGGAATTTGTATTGGCACTTAAATCATCATTAGTTGGAGCTGCTGAGGAATTAACAACGTTTACTGAAAGAACAACAACATCATTCGAAGAACCTGTAACACTACCTGAAGTGATTTTAGATCCATTAATTGATGTTCAATCATCAGTCAATACCATTTTACGTGTTATCGATGATCCACATTCAGAAAAAGAGAAAGACATTTCACAAGCTCTTGGTTCATCGGAATTGATCATGAGTTTAACGCAATTACGACAAACATTATCAAATGCTGCTCATACAGCAACAACTCTAAAAGAAGATGAAACAATTAATTCATTGATTGATTTACGAGAACCTTTATTCGATTTACAAATTGCTCTATCATCGGAATTACTTTACGAAGAAATTCCCATTATAAACAGTATTATTCCTCCTTTAAATACATTGAAGAAAATTTTTTCAACTACTCTTAATCATGTAAATGGAATTGAAATCACAAATTCCATTAGTCCAATTTTAGAAACATTGGAAGAAATACAACAACAAGTTCCAATGATCATTGAACAACTTATTTCGATGAAAAATGAACCATTTGAAATTCCATTAGAAGTCAATAGAAGAAAAGAATTGACAGAAATTTTAGAATCATTGGAAATTGCTTCACAATTGAGTACAGTATTTTTTGATATATCATCAATATTGGAACAACAAGAACGTAAAATTGGCAAAACATCATTAAATGATTCCACATTGGTTATAAAATTAGAGGAAGTGAGAGAAAGTTTAGGATCAACAACTGTGGCACTTGGCAATCTTCCAATAAAAATAGACCTAAATGATGATGACATAATTAACGAGTTGGCACACTTAAGTGCACCGCTAATAAATCTTCAAAAGGAATTAAATAAAAAACACAATTCATTGGAAGAAGAAATTTTAAAAGGATTAATAAAACCAATTGGTGAGATAAAAAATATAATTGAAAGTCTTGCTGAAGGTATTTCAAAACAGGAGCAAGTCATGTTAATTGTAGGATTATTGGGAGGTATCGAAGAAAATATAAAAGAATTACAGAAGAAGGTTATTTTTGAAAGTACCATTGAAGAGATTGAAGAAATTGATTCCGAAAGGGGAGAAGAATCATTGAACTTCAGTAAAATGGAACATCAAAAAGTGAATAAAATTGAAGATACTAAAACGTCAGATGAAGAAATAAAAGTAATACAAATAGGAAAAGAAGTTTTGGAATTTGATGAAGCTAAATTTAGTGAAGCTGCGGAAATTAATGAAGCTATAGAAATTGATAAAGCTGTAGAAGTTAATAAAGTTATTGAAGTTAATAAAGACACAGGAGTCAATGAAGCTATACAACTTAAAGAAGTTGTTGGACTTGAAAATATTGAGGAACTTAAGGAAATGAAGAGTAATATTTCTGAAGTTCATCAGCAAGTAGCCATTGAAGAATCAAAAACTGACAAAGCAAATGTAGAAGAGATTCAAAATATTTTAAAAATTGTAGAAATTGAAGAAACTAAAGAAATTACAGAAACGATAAAGGAAACTAATGAATGTAATATAACAAAAGTTGAAGAATCACCCAAATTTTATAGCGCTACTGAAGAAATAGAATTTGCTAAACAAGAGAAAGCAAACATTGTTTTAGAAAATTTGCCAGAAGCTAAAAATGTTCAGCAATTTATTGATTCAGCACGCCTAGAAGAGGCAACAAATTTGAAAGGACCGGAAGTTTTACAATCTTCAACAATTAATGAAGCTAAAACTGAAGACATGGCAAACGAATTAAAAGAACTAGAAGAAGAATTTACAATTAAAGAAAAAGAAGAAGATTTCAAATTAGTATCTACTACTTCAACTGAAGGTCAAAATATTTATAATATTGGAAAAATTGAAGATATTTCACAATTAAAAGAAGAAACAAAGAATTTGGAAGAAATAAAGCAAGAAATGGATATATTGAATGAAGTAAAAACATCTGAGACTCAAGAGATTCATATTTCTGATCAACCAAAAATATTTCAAATGGGTGATGCTGATGAAATTACACGTACTGAAGAACTTGAGAGTCTTGATGAAGATTCTATTTCAAAACAATATGCAAATAAAGTTCAAGAAATACCAAATACTCTTCAAATAGCAGCAGAACAAACGGAGCATTTTGAAGATTCATTGTTGTCTAGTTTAAAGGATAGCAAAGATATTTTGAATTTTAAATTACAAGAATCGGAAGATTCGATGAAATTAGAATCCATAGCAATTGGTGATATGTCTCAAGTTATTCAAAAAGAAGAAATGAAGGAAGTACGTGAATTAGATCAAGATTCGGGATTAATTGACGAATATGAAACTAAAACTGAAAGAGGTTTGTGTTCGGAAATTGTATCCTTACAGGAAGCAATTGATGTTACAAATGCTCCTCTTGTTTTGAAAATGCCAATTGATGAAGATATTTCTTCATTATCTGAAGAAGTAATGGGCATTGATAAGGAAACAAGAGATGAAGTCCAATTGACCGAGATGATTGATAATTTAGAAACATATGAATCTTCGAAACCTCCAGAAGTATTAAAAATGGCAAAAATAAACCAAGAAGATAATAAATTGGAAGAAAGTGAAGAGAAGAATAAAATTGATAAGGAAACGTTATTGGAACGTTTGGAAGAAACTTTGGTACCTATTGAACAGTCAATTGTTTGTGAAGAAAATGTACAATCTGAAGAATCTAAAAAACTTGATGAAGCAACAATGCTTAAATCAGAAACAATCGAAATAGCTGAAGATATCAAGGAATCAACAGAATCTGGAGAATTTGCTAAAACATCTGCTACTGAATCTCAAGAAGCTGATACAGTAAAAGTTTCAGAATCTCCTAAACTATTTGGTGTTGCTGAAGAAATAGAATTTGCAAAACTAGAGGAAGTAAATGTTCTTTCAGAAAATTTACCAGAAGCTAAAGACGTTCAACAAATTGTTGATTCATCAGCAAGTTTGGAAAATGTAAATTTAAAAAGACCAGAGGTTTTACAGTCTGCAAATGAAGCTATGACTGAAGATATATCAAAAGAATTAAAAGAATTAGTAGAATTAAAAGAAGATAATAAAGTGATGTTTAATGCTGAAGAGAAACAAGAGGATATTAAATTAACTGCTCATTCTGAAGCTCCGAATGTATATAATGCAGCAAAAAGTAAAGATCTTTCACAATTAGAAGAAGAAGAAGCGATAAGTTTAGAGGAAATGACAATGGAAAAATTAAACGAAATAGAATCATCTGAAACTAAAGAAGTTCTACAAATTTTCGATCAACCAAAAGTGTTTCAAATGGAAAATGTTGATGAAATATCAAAAACTGAAGATCTAAAAAGTATTGATGATGACAGTTTTTCTAAACAATTTGCTCTTGAAATTGAAGAATCAGAAAAAAATCTACAGATAGGAGCAGAACAATCGGAACAATTTAAAGATTCTCTTGCAGAAAATTTAGAAAATACAGATTTTAAAGAATTTAATTTACAAGAATCTAAAGAGCCTGAACATACAGAAACTGTAACTCTATTTGGTACGCCACAAATTTTGCAAAAAGAAGAAATAAACGAAATGTCCGAAGCTGATCAAACTGGAATAATTGATGAGATTGAAAAGGAAAGTGGAAATATTTTAGAAACAAATTCCTTACACGAAACATTTGAAATTACTGGTACACCACTTGTTATGCAAATGGCAGCCGGTGATGATATTTCTTCATTAACAGAAGAAGTTGCAAGTATGACAAGTGAGGGTAAGGATGATACAACTCTACATGAAGTAATTGAACAAACAGATGTGTTTGATATAATGGAGAAACCGGAAGTTGGAGAAGCCAAGATTGAAGAAAGTTCAGATGAAAAATTAGAAGAAGCTTCAATTGTCGGTGAAACACCTAAAATTGAATTAGAAACTAGCATTCCAACAGTACCAAAATTAGAAGAAGGTAAAGAAGAACCTGAAGAAGAACCTAAAGAAGAACCTAAAGAAGAACTTAAAGAAGAACCTAAGGAAGAACCTAAAGAAGAACTTAAAAAAGAACTTAAAGAAGAACCTAAAGCAGAATCTAAAGAAGAACCTAAAGAAGAACCTAAAGATGAACCTAAAGAAGAACCTGAAGCAGAATCTAAAGAAGAATCTAAAGAAGAACCTAAAGAAGAACTGAAAGAAGAACATAAAGAAGAACTTAAAGCAGAACCTAAAGAAGAACCTAAAGCAGAATTTAAAGAAGAACCTAAAGAAAAACCTAAAGCAGAACCTAAAGAAGAACCTAAAGATGAACCTAAAGAAGAACTTAAAGAAGAACATAAAGAAGAACTTAAAGCAGGACCTAAAGAAGAACCTAAAGCAGAATCTAAAGAAGAACCTAAAGTAATACCTAAAGAAGAACCTAAAGAAGAAGAAACATTAAAACCTGCAAAGAAAGAGTTAAAAGAAAATGAAGAAAGAGCAGAACCGTCCGAAGAGAAGAAGCAGCTTCAAAAAGAACTTATCACTAAATTAAGCAACAATCTTAATGAAGTCAAACAACAAATGATAAACATTGTAGAGGAATTTGAACAAAGACCGGTAACAACTCCATCGTTATCAGTTTCACAATTGGCAACAGCCATTGAAATGTTAAGAAGAACAGTATCAAATATTTCTTCAGTAGTGACAAAGTCTGCTGAAGAAATGAAAAATTCCAAAATTGAATCCACATTTAATGATGAACAATTGTTGATTAAATTAATGGAGATGCTATATCCATTGGTAAAAATTAGTGAAGCACTGTCAGCAACTCAAGAATGTGGTGCACCCGAGTTGATACTTTTGAATAAGCTCAACAATCCAATTGAAAATATAAAACAAAAAATTGTCAATTTAATGATTGAATTTAATTCCAAAGATGTTGAACAAACATTGACTGCAACTACTCTAGCGCCAATGATTAAAATTTTAGAAACAATTGAAAAGAAAATTCCTCTCGCTCTAAATGAAGTGAAATATAAATTGGAGATTGTCAATGTTTTACATAATGTTTTAAGACCATTGGATGTTGTTAGAGAGAGAATGAATGATCTTGATACGTCTGCTGAACGAACTTTAGAAACAGATGTTGCAAATATTCTTGTGGGACCAACGAATTATTTTACACGAATTCTTGGTGATATTGTGAAGAAATTTGAAGTTTCTAATCATTCAGATGAATGTATGCGAAATGCAGTGTTGAAACTTCATGGATTGATAGAACCACTTTTTGAATTTCATAGTACTTTATCGATGGTTCGTAGTAGTCGACGTAGTTCCGTGATGGAAACGGAATTACTGGAAAAGAGAAAGAATGTCATTCTTCGTTCGATTGAAGGTTTAAATGATGCTTTGTCGGAAATAATTGTTGGAATAGAAGGAGGAAATGGAAATGATGATATTGATGCTCTTTTTGATTCTTTGATTACATTGAACGCAGCAATGACATCTGTTCAACGACATGTTTGGTAAGTTTCTAATTATTCTGGTAATTTTGTTGTAAAAATAAATTTTTGATTTATTGATTTAAATGATTAAATGATTTCATTTCAGCAAAGCGGAGTACAGTCGAAGAGCCAGTTGCATTGGAACACTTCAGACGAGAATCACTTCATCACTGGACCAATTGTTGAATACGGTTACAAATCTTCAAACAAATCTTGATCAGGGAACGTTTGATGTTATATCAAATCCATTAGAGACATTACAAAAACAACTTCAAATAGCTCAGACTCAATTAAATGAAACTTCTGATCAACATGTTGATGAGGAAGCAATTGTTGAAGGTTTTATTTATCCAGCTGATAGACTTCTTTCATCACTAAATGTTTTGCGAGAAAATCAACAAAATGAAAAATGTGAAGTAACAAAAAATTCTTTATGTTTGTTGAAATTTTTACAGGAAGCTGTGTCACAATTTGAATCATCGTTAACGACATTGCACAAAGATCTCATTGATGATAGGGAAAGTCAACAGTTATCAAATATTGAAACTTTGGGAGCTGTATTGGTACCTTTGAAGAATATACGAGAGACAATTGGATTTATTATTAGAGAAAGTGGACAGAATATTGAACAAGAGGAAATAAAAAGTACAAAAAATGTCAAAAATGAAGATAATGATCAGAAGGCAGAAGATGTTTCGAAAGAAAAGACTGATGGAGTTCCAACTGTATTTACAACTGTTGAAACTATTATTGATGAATGTATTGAAATATCGAATTTACAAACTGAGGCTTTGTTGGAAGTTGCGAGAGCTATTCCAAAATCGGAAGTATCAGAGAATCAATTGACTGTTGTAAAGGAACAAACAGCTACACTTCATGATGAGGAAAAGGCAAAATTAGAAGAAGAAGAAGAAAAAATAATTCTACTTAACGAAGCTATGATACTGGAAACTGATATTTCAGAACCATCATCATCATCAGTGCAACAGTTAGATAGAAAAGAGAGTCTTGTTGCATTTTGGTCTCTAATGGATGGACCATTAAATGCCCTGAAGGAATCAATAGCTACCATTATTGATGAGCAGATAAATTTAGAAGAAACTGCGAATATTGATGAGGCAAATGTTGAAAATGAAAATATATTACATTTTGAGGTTGTTCAGCAATTAACGGAATTACAGTCATCAATAGCGGCAATTCAGCAATTAACTCTATCAGAAGAAGATAATTCTAAAGAAATTACATGGCAGGAAGAGAGTTTTCCAGCATTGCAAAATTTAGCAAAAGCTTTAGAGAAATTGGGTGAACATTTACCAGCTATGGAAATACAACAGGCAGTCGAAATTGAAGCTTCATCTGGTATGGAAGAAGATACTTTAACAGCAGATAAATTAAAGGTATTAGTTGAACCTCTTCAGGAATTGAGAGAATCTCTTGCTCTTTTAGTGGAAGATAATGTATTTCTTGAACAGGAATCAGATAACATATTGGATGAATTATCACCTATGAAGCAAGAAGCTGTAGAAAAAATTGTTATAGAAGATAAAAAAAAATTAATGTCTGAGGATAATATATTGCATTGTGAAGTGCAAGAGAGTATTGTAGATAGTAATAAAGATCATGAAAAAGAAGAAGAATTCGAGTCACATGACAAAGAAAAGAGGAAACAAGTAAAAGAAGAGGAGAATTTAAGGCAGCAGGCTGAACAAAAATTGATGAAAGAAAAGGAAGAAAAATCAAAGGAAGAGGTTTTCAGCAAAACAGATCAAGAAGATGAATCCATTAGAAATGACGAAGAAGTATTGAAACAAGAAGCAGAATTGATAAAGAAAGAAGACGAAGATTTCAAACAAACTGATAAGAAAGAGGAAATGAAAGATGAGATTAAATTGATAAAGAAAAATGAAGAGGAACAATTAAAGAAAGAGGAACATAGTCATAATCAAGAAAAAACAAAAGACGGTGATAAGAAAATAAAAGTTCAGGAGGAGCTGAAAAAAGTAGAAGACGAAAATATAGAAAAAGAAGATGAGAAATATTTACAAAAAGAAAAAGAACTAGAAAGTAAAGAAGAGGATCAACTAAAATGCGAGAAAGAGGAAAAAGAACGTTTACATGGAGAACAAAAAGAAGAGCATATAAAACAGAAAGAAGAAATAAAGGAGAAAGAGGAATGTTTGAAGAAAGATGAGGAAAAGAAACGACTGGAGGAAGAAGAGCAACATGAACGTGTGGTAGAAAAAAAGAAGAAAGAGGAGGAAGAATGTTTGAAGAAAGAATTAGAAGAACAAAACCAAAAAGAGGAAGAACAACGTTTAAAGCAGGAAGTAGAAGAAAATAAGCAAGAGAAAGAACGATTGAAAAAAGAAAAAGATGAACAATTAAAGAAAAATCAAGAGGAGGAAGAACGTATAAAAGAAGAATCAGAAAAGGAAAAGAAAGATGAAGAAAAACGTTTAAAGAAAGAAAAAGAAGAACAAATTAAACATGAGGCTGAGAAGAAGAAAAAAAAAGAAGAGGAGCGTTTGAAAGAAGAAGAACTAGAACAAAAAAAGGAAGAAGAACGTGTAAAACAAGAAGAAACCAAAAAGAAAGAAGAAGAGGTACGATTAAAGAAAGAAAAAGAAGAGCAGGCACGGATAAAAGAAGAAGAGGAAATAAAAAGGTATGAGGAAGAGGAGCGTTTAAAAAGAGAACAAGAAGAGGTTGAACGTAAAAAAGGAGAAGAGCGTACAAAACAGGAAGAAGAAGAACGTTTAAAGAAAGAAAAAGAGGAGCATCAACGTATAATTGAAGAAGAGAGACTAAAGCAGGAAGAAGAAGATAAGGAGAAAGAACCTCTAAAGAAAGAAAAAGAAGAACAGGAACGGAAAAAGAAAGAGGAAGAAATAAAACGCCAAGAGGAAGAACGTTTAAAGAAAGAACAGAAAGAAGAAGAAGAAATTAAACGTCGTGAGGAAGAGAAACGAATAAAGGAAGAGAAAGAAGAACAGAGGCATAAGGAAGAAGAAGATGAATTAAAACATCGTGAGGATGAAGAACGTTTGAAAAAAGAGCAAGAAGAACAGAAACGCATAGAAGAAGAAGTACAAAAACAACGCGAGGATGAGCAAAGAAAAAAAGAAGCCGAGGAACGTTTGAAGAAAGAACAAGAAGAAGAGGAACGTAAAGAAGAAGAACGTATTAAACTTGAGACCGAAAAGAAAAAAAAAGAAGAAGAGGAGCGTTTAATGAAAGAGAAAGAGGAACAAATTCAACGGGAGGCTGAGAAGAAAAAGAAAGAAGATGAGGAACGTTTGAAGAAGGAACAAGAAGAACTAGAGCGTAAGAAGAATGAAGAACGTTTAAAAGAAGAAGCAGAAATAAAAAAGAAAGAAGAAGAACGTATAAAGAAAGAAAATGAGGAACGTTTAAAGAAAGAACAAGAAGAACTAGAGCGTAAAAAGGAAGAGGAACGTTTAAAGCAAGAAGAAGAAACAAAAAAGAAAGAAGAAGAACATCTACAGAAAGAAAAAGAAGAAATGGAGGCTGAGAAGAAAAAGAAAGAAGATGAGGAACGATTAAGGATAGAACAAGCAGAAATGAAAAAGAAAGAAGAAGAGCGTTTAATGGAAGAAAAAGAAGAACAGGAACGTAGGGAAAAAGAACAAATTAAACTCGAGACAGAGAAGAAAGAGAAAGAAGAAGAGGAGCGTTTAAAGAAAGAGAAAGAGGAACAAAATCAACGCGAGGTAGAGGAAAAGAAAAAGGAAGATGAGGAACGTTTGAAGAAAGAAGAAGAACGTCTAAAGAAAGAAAAAGAAGAACTGGAGGCTGAGGAGAAAAAGAAAGAAGATGAGGAACGTTTAAGAAAAGAACAAGAAGAAATGAAAAAGAAAGAAGAAGAACGTTTAAAGGAAGAAAAAGAAGAACAAGAACGTAAGGAAAAAGAAGAAGAAATTCAACGAGAGGCTGAGAAGAGACAAAAAGAAGATGAAGAACGTTTAAAGAAAGAACAAGACGAATTGGAGCGTAAAATGGAAAAGGAACGTTTGAAAAAAGAAAGAGAAGAGCAGGAGCGTAAAATTGAAGAAGAGCGTTTACAACAAGAGAATGAAAACAAAAAGAAAGAAGAAGCGGAGCGTTTAGAGAAAGAACGAGAAGAACTAGAACGTAAAAAGGAAGAAGAACGTTTCAAACAAGAAGCAGAAATTAAAAAGAAACAGGAAGAAGAACGTTTAAGGAAAGAACAAGAAGAAATGAAAATGAAAGAGGAAGAACGTTTAAAACTAGAAGAAGAGAACAGGAAGAAAGAAGAAGAACGTCTAAAGAAAGAAAAAGAAGATGAAATTAAACGTGAGGCTGAGAAGAAAAAAAAGGAAGAAGAGGAGCGTTTGAAAAAAGAAGAAGAAGAACTAGAACGTAAAAAGGAAGAAGAACGTTTAAAGAAAGAAAAAGAGGAGCAGAGACGCAAGGAAAAAGAAGAAGAATTTAAACGTGAGGCTGAGAAGAAGGAAAAGGAAGAAGAGGAGCGTTTGAAAAAAGAAGAAGAAGAACTACAACGTAAAAAGGAAGAAGAACGGTTAAAAGAAGAAGAAAACAAAAAGAAAGAGGAAGTGGAACGTTTAAAGAAAGAAAAAGAGGAGCAGGCACGCAAGGAAAAAGAAGAAGAAATTAAACGCGAGGCTGAGAAGAAGCAAAAAGAAGAAGAGAAACGTTTGAAGAAAGAACAAAAAGAATTAGAACGTAAAAAGGAAGAAGAACGGTTAAAAGAAAAAGAAAACAAAAAGAAAGAGGAAGAGGAACGTTTAAAGAAAGAAAAAGAGGAGCAGGCACGCAAGGAAAAAGAAGAAGAAATTAAACGCGAGGCTGAGAAGAAGCAAAAAGAAGAAGAGAAACGTTTGAAGAAAGAACAAAAAGAATTAGAACGTAAAAAGGAAGAAGAACGGTTAAAAGAAAAAGAAAACAAAAAGAAAGAGGAAGAGGAACGTTTAAAGAAAGAAAAAGAAGAGCAGGCACTCAAGGAGAAAGAAGAACGTTTAAGACTAGAAGAAGAAAATAAGAAGCAAGAAGAAGACCGTCTAAAGAAAGAAAAAGAAGAAGAAATTCAACGCCAGGCTGAGAAAAAACAAAAGGAAGAGGGGGAACGTTTAAAGAAAGAACGAGAAGAACAAGAACGTTTAAAACAAGAAGCAGAAAATAAAAAAGAAGAAGAACGTCTGAGGATAGAAAAAGAAGAGCAGGAACGTACAGAAAAAGAAGAGCGAATTAAACACGACGTTAAGAAAAAGAAGAAGGAAGAAGAAAAGGAACGTTTAAAGAAAGAAAAAGAAGAGCAGGATCGTAAAAATGAAGAAGAGCGTTTGCAGCTGGAAGCAGAAAATGTGAAGCACGAGGAGGAAAGTTTAATAAAAGAAAAAGAAGAAAAACAGCTAGAAAAAGAATCAGAGAAAAAATCACAAGAGGAAGGAGAACTCTCTAAGAAAGATAAAGTAGAACGCAATGATGAAAAACAACAGGAGTGTGCTACTAAAAATAAAAAGAAAGTTCAGAAAGAAGATTTGAAAAATGGTAAAGAACAGGAATGTAAAGAAGAAGCAGCTGAAGAGAAGGATCAATCGAAAGTTGAAGAACCAAAAAAAGTCAAACGTAAAAAATCCTTGAAACAATCGAAAATTGAAACTAACAGTAAGGTTGAAGGAGAATCACTAAAAACGGAAAACAGTGAACAAAATGGATCGCAAGTGTTGATTAAATCAAAAACTGATAAGGATTCTGAAATTTCAAATGTTACGGACACTGAAAAATCTAAACAAAAATTAAGACGGCATTCAAAACAACTTGATCAGGAAAAGGAAGTGATTTCTTCGAAAAAAGTCGAGAAATCTCAAACGGAAAATGGATCAGAATCAAAAACATCCAAAATTTCAACAAAAGATATTCGTCGAAGAAGTAGCATTAAATCTTCATCATTTGTTGATGATTCTCAAGATTCCGGAAGCAGAAAACAAAAACTTGATAAATCTAAAGGAACAGATGATTATGAATCAAAACGTTTATTCGAGTACAAATCTGATGATTCTTCCTTGTTAACTTTAAGTCAAGAACATAAATCCAGTGTTAGAGATAGGATCAGAAAAGAGACTGAAAGTTATTCAAAAGCTGATATTACTGATTCTTCAGTTACAAATACAGAATATTCATCGAAAATAACTTCAAGAAAAAGTAGAGAAGATTATTTAACACCATTAGAAAGTAGTCATCAACGAAATAAATCTTACGATAGAGAACTTTCAAGATCATCAAAATATTATGAATCATCAGTCAGTTCTTCGACATCATTTTTAAGACCCACTGAACGTTCAATGTATCTTTCTCCCACTATTCATTATTCCAGAAGAAGACCAGGTAGCATAAGTCCTAGTCTAATTCCAGAAATTGATACATCAGCCTATTATTTATCAACTGAAAGAAGTTGCACACCAGAGGTAGGGCAAATTGTTTTCTATTTTTTTTGGGTTTTATTTTTGTTAAATTTCATCAAAACTTTTTTTTAACAGAGAAGCTCCATTGATCGTGCAAAATGTCCCTTTTTCTGCACAAAATTGACAAATCGTACAGTGGCGGATGGCTCACGATTGAGATTAACTTGTACTGTGATCGGTCAACCAGATCCCGATGTTCATTGGACCAAGAATGGAGAAAAACTACGTCCCGGTAGTCGGGAGCGGATTAAATTGGAAAATGGATTGGCAACATTGGAGATCAATTCAGTTCTTCCGGAAGATTCTGGATGTTATGTTTGTGTTGCGAAAAATTCTCATGGCCAATCAAGCAGTGAGGCTTGCGTTAGGGTTTACGCTGCATTTGAAGCTATACCATTGCCACCAACTTTTACAAGTTCCATAAAAGGTTATTTAGATTAAAATTGTTAATTCTTAATTAATAGACGTTTTTGGCAGATGCTCCAGGAATACTCCGGAGAATTTCACCTATTAATTCCATTGGAATCCAGTGAATCAAAAAAATGCTCTAGAGCATTCCGGAGCATCTGCCGAAAACGCCTAATATTTAGTTACCCAGACAGCACATAACATTGCGGCAATGTTGCGGCAATATTGCTGGGCAAGTTTCGCAATATTGCCGTGTAACATTACAGCAATGTTGCCACAACATTAAAATGTCCCACCTTGCTCAATATTGCACAGTAAGCTTTCCACAAGCTTATGTCAAGGTTGCACCACAAGCTTGCAGCAATGTTACACGGTAACATTGCCGCAAGATTGCTCGGCAAGTTTGCATCGTAAGCTTGCTGTAAGATTCATGTAAGGTCGAATAGTAAGCTAGCTGCAAACTTAATGCTACAGAAAATTCTCGCCGTAGGCACTTTTCTTAAATTTATTGTCAGTTTTTTGGCTATATAATATTTGAACGTCACTTCAAAAAAGAAAATATCCATAATTTAAATTTTATTTTACTTAATTGTTCAATTAAAAAAAATTAAAGATAGGATAAAAAATGGAATTAAAACATTTAAATCTGGCTATTTTTTAATGGAAGAAAAAATTATTTTTATGGCCTACGGCGAGAATTTTCTGTAGCATTAAGTTTGCAGCTAGCTTACTATTCGACCTTACATGAATCTTACAGCAAACTTACGATGCAAACTTGCCGAACAATCTTGCGGCAATGTTACCGTGTAACATTGCTGCAAGCTTGTGGTGCAACCTTGACCTAAGCTTGTGGAAAGCTTACTGTGCAATATTGAGCAAGGTGGGACATTTTAATGTTGTGGCAACATTGCTGTAATGTTACACGGCAATATTGCGAAACTTGCCCAGCAATATTGCCGCAATGTTATGTGCTGTCTGGGTAATTATTGCTAATTTTAATGATCAATGAAATATTCTATTATAGAATAATGATAATGATCAGTGATTGTAATTTTATTGAGAACAAATGATAATTGTTCACAGATACTTATAGATTCGCGGATCATGAGTTGATTCTGGAATGTAGAGTTCGAGGACAGCCAACACCGACAGTGACTTGGTTAAAGGATGATATTGTCCTGCGAGGAAGTCGTTACAGTCAAAGTTTCGTTGGTGATGGTATTTGTCGATTGAAAATTGCAAATCCAGATTCGTCAGATAGTGGTGAATATGTATGTCGTGCTGATAATGACGTGCGAACTGATCAAATTCGTCATGTTGTTCATTTTGAAGGTATTTTCTTCTTTTCTTCAGCTTTTTTCTATTTATCTTTTATATAATTTTTCTAACTATTGTCTCTTTCAATATTTTCTAATTCAAAGGTCATGAGCAGCGTTTCACGAGTGCAAGGGAACGAATTTTGTTTGATGATAGAAATCGAACGCCTTGTAGAGAGATAGCACGACGTCCACGTTTCTCTAATTATCTTTTGGATCACAGTGTTCCTGTTGGTGGTACCATAGCCTTACAGGTTGAAGTTGGAGGTACAATATTGATTGTTATATTTAATAATAATTATTAAATTTTTTATTAGTCAACATTATAAGTTCACAAACATTATTATTATTATTATTATTATTATTATTATTCATAGTTCATATACCTTTCGGCTTTTGAACGTTATTATTATTATTATTACTATCGACAAATATTAATATAATATAATATTATATTTGTCAATATAGAGGAAATACCTGAGTAATATCGGACCACTCCTTAAATTTTTTATTTAATATATTAAAAATTATTAGGAACACCAGCACCAAATGTAACGTGGTTACGTCGTGATAATGAAAGAAGAGAACGAATTTTAAGTTCAAAATTTCGTACATTTAATGAATCAGGAGTTCATACGCTGATTTTACCAGAAGCATCGGAATCTGAAGCTGGTACATATATTTGTAGAGCATCAAATGCGTTTGGTCAAACGGACACAATTGCAAATGTTGAAGTTCTCGGTCCTACGAAATTTGACGCTAATGGAAAACCAGCAATGTTTATTTCTAGACCTGCTGAGAAAACAATTTCCGCTGTTGTCGGTGAAGATGTTTCTGTTTCATTTAGAGTGGCTGGAGTTCCAAAACCACGTGGTGGGTTTTCTTTTTTTTTCAAAAATAGCTTTCTTTATTTTTATTATTTTTGAATTTTTTTTTCTTTGCATTCATATTTATTTCTCGTATAGAAAAAAATTTTTTTTAGTAAAAATTCAATTTTTTAGTAAAAATTTCTGTTATTTTGTTAATTTATATAGTTACGTGGATGAAGGGAATCCGTGACATCACCAATGGACCAAGATCATGTAAAGATAATATCGATGATTATGTTCGAATTACGCTTAGTAGAATTAATCCATCAGATGAAGGTACTTATTGTATTTTGGCGAAAAATCGTTACGGATGTGATAGAGCATTTTTTTCAATAAAGGTACGTTCTTTTTTTCATTTTTAAAAATTCAATTTGTTATTTAAAAATATATTCAAAATTCTGAAAATTATTTTCAATTAAAAAAACAAAAAAGGTGAAACAAAGAGCAAGATCATTGACGCCAACGATATTAGGTGACACTGGAAATCTTCTCCAAGAACATGAAAATGAAGAAACTCCTTTGTTTATAAAAGGTAAATTTTTTTAAACTCTCCAAATCTTTTTTTTTTATGATTTCGAACTGAAAAGTTATTTTGAAAATTGTAATAATTGCATGGCATTGAAGTGGCGCAAAAAACTATTAACTTAAGTGAAAGATGAGTATATAGAAAGAGCAATAAAAATAGTTAGCAAATAAACAAGAAAATGCATATATCCCACCTACGTTCTCAATTTAAAGGAACACACATAGTCGCGGGTTATTTTTGACGCCGTCATATATATCCCCCGGTCACTTCATCGGTGTTCCAAAATTGAAATTCAGTTCGAGTTGAAATACGCGGGGCCTATTTTCCCACGAGTAGTCAATTCATATATCTGTACATATAATATGGAAAGTGATCATAAAATTTTATTTTGCAAATTTTTTCAATTTAAATTTTAAATAATAAAATTTTATTCAATTTTGAAATTTTTTCATTAAAAATTAATGGCGTGAAAAATTAATCACAAATTAAGGGATAGAATAGAATATAATTGATGTTTCATGATGGATAATGAGATAAATGATCATGAATCTATTATTGATGAAAAACAGAATTTATTAATAAAACGACTTCGACTTTCGTGGTTCAATAGAAAATGTTCGAGTCAAGAATTGGTGGATTTTCAAGGTATATTTTCAATTTGCATGTGTTGTAAAAAGTATGATTTTTTTTTAATTTACTTTTTAGTTTGAAACAAAAAATACAAAAAAAAAAAAAAAATTATATTTAAAAAAATATATATTTGTCAGAGCAAAATATTTGTGTTTGAAATAAAAATTTTGTTTGGCACAAATAACATTGGTGCAAATAATTTTTTTTTTTTTTTTTTTTTGAAGAGATGATTTACAGTTGATTACATAATAAGATGTATGCAAGATTACGTAGCGCTTTTTTGAAAAATAAATTATATATTTTCTTTAGATTTTCCAGGACCAATCAGCAGTGAACCGATTCTTCTGGACAGTGGTAGAAATTGGTTATCATTGAGTTGGGGTAAAGCGGAACAAAAAGGTCCAGCTCCAATTGTTGGTTATAAAATTGAAGCCTGGTTACTTGGAGGAGAAGGTGGTGCAAGATGGATGACGGTAATTATTTTTTTTTAATTTGTAAGATTGAAATTTTTTTTTAAATTAAATTAATTTTTATTTATTTTCTATAAATTGTTTTTAATTTTCTATAAATTGTTTTTAATTTGTAAGATTTATTTTCAAATAATTAATTTTTCAATTTATAGTTGGGTGAAAGTCCTATAAATTCATTTGATGCTTTTAATCTTCGATCTGGTGGTGAATACAAATTTCGTATAACACCCAGAAATCGTTATGGATGGGGTGAATCTTTAGTATCCAAAGAAATCTATACTATCAGTGATAATGTTGAAATTCCGGAATTTGTCAAAATACTCCCTGGACAAATTAAAGCTCTAGAAGGTTCAACCGTAAAATTGGAATGTGAGGTAATTTTCAAAAATTATTGGAATAAATTTATGAATATTTATTAATTATATTATTTATTGATTTATTAAATTTGTTTCTAAATTTTATTGAAATTTAATCTGCCCAGGTTCGAGGGGACTCGAAAATTGATTGGTATCGAGAAAATAATGGAATTAATCCTAATGACGATCCACGATGTACAATTATTCACAGTGGTACCAAGTATTCGTTAATTATAAGCAAAATAAAAGAGACTGATTCCGGAAGATATATTTGTAAAGCTTCAAATAAGGCAGGAAAAGTTTCGACCTTTGCTCGAGTGATAATTGTCAATGATGAAAAAATTTTAAAAGCCGATGAAAAATTAAAAAGCAGGTAAATTTTTCATATAAAGATATTCAATTTTCGAAATAATAATTTTTGAATAGAAATTAATTGGAAATTATTATTATTTTTTTTTAAAGGTATTTTGATGGAGCTACTGTGGAAAGTCCTCCGCAATTTGCAATGAGATTACGAGATAGAAGAGTTCAGACAAGTTATCCATTTAGATTAACATGTCAAGTTTTAGGATATCCTGAACCGCAGGTGACTTGGTTCAAAAATGGCAAAGAAATACGTGAAGATGGTACAAAATTAATTAGTTAATTATTAATAATATTAACCCTCACAACAAAAGGATATCCTAAACTAATGTAGGATATCCTGAAAACGTCCATAGGATATCCTCTGAACATCCAAACCACCGTTACGTAGGATATTTTTGGGATATCCTGGGATATCCTGAGGATATTCTAGGGATATTCCCTGAGGAATAATATCCGGGGAAATGATTAGGATATCCCTGGGACGTCCTAGGGACATCCTTAGATATCCCTGGGATATCCCTAAGATATCCTAACCGACGCTACTTTGGATATCCTTAAAGTATCCTTAGGATATCCCTGGGGTATCCCTAGGATATCCAAGGGATGTTTTTGGAATATCCTAGGATATCTGGTGCTGTGAGGGAATTATTAATTTATATTGATGAATATAATTTTAATTAAAATTAATTTTAGGATTTCATGCATTTTGGAATGAGTCACATTTTCATACTTTGGAAATTTCTTCATCATCAGTGGAAGATTCAGGTTGTTATATGGCGACAGCAAAAAATTTATATGGATCTGTCTCGTGTCGTTGTATGATTGTCGTTGATAAAGGAATTCGCGCGTACATTGCTCCAGAATTTACGTGCGGATTGGATGCTGCTTATACACTTAAGCCAGGTGAAGAATTGCGAATGTCTGCTCAGATAGAAGCTTATCCAAGTGTTGGAGTCGTTTGGTATGTATTTTTTTTTTTTTTTTGTAATTAAAATTTGAAAATATACAAAAAAATTTGTAAATCCAGGCATAGAGATGGAGTTCGTCTTCGACCGAGTAGAAGAGCTGTAATGACGCTGAATCATGATGGAGGTGTTGAATTATGTTTGGGAAATATCACTAGTAGAGATGCAGGAATTTATAGTTGTACAGCAATCAATGAAATTGGAAGAGCAGAGACTTCAACTAGGGTCACTGTGGATGCAGATTTGTTGCATGAATCATCAGCAATGATGGAATCCAATCCGGAAGTTCCGTTAGTATTTTACAATTTTTTTTTTTTTTTTTTTTGAAAATTGCCAAAAACTTTCTGCAAAAATCAATGACAAATGTTTAATTTTTTTTACAATTAACTGATCGTTAATGATAAACTGTTTAATTGTTTATAATTAACTGATCAATTGTTGATGATAAACTGTTCAATTATTCATGATTAACTGATCAATTGTTGATGATTAACTGATTAATTTGAAACGATTAAATGAACATCAACTGTAATAAAAATTAGAAGCAAAGAAAACTGATTAAATTTTGAAATTAATTTGTTACTGATGATTAATAATGATTGATAAGTTGATAGATTTATTATTGCTCACATCAATTGTTGATGATAACTAGATAAAATGATCAATAATCAATAAATCATTGTTAGAAAAATTTTCTTTTCATATTAAAAAATTGCAAAAATAAAAATTAAATTAGAGAAATTTGTATAATGACAAAAAAGAATCATTAAATTCGATAAAAGCTAAAAGGGTTTAATTGTACACGCGACAAGCACTTAAATTCACGTAATCCTATAAATTTCTTCAATTCATCATCGTGATGAGATGAAATAAATTTTGAAAGACATTTAATATATTTTCAATCTTCAGGTATTCACAGAAGCCTCTTTTTGTTACGAAACCACTTTCAACTGATGCTGTGGAAGGAGATACGATCATCATAATGTGCGAGGTCGTTGGCGATCCTAAGCCAGAGGTCATGTGGCTTCGTGATTTTTTGAAGGTGAGTTTAATTTTTTTTTTTTTTTAATGAAAGAGAGGGTTGTGAATTGTTTTTTTTTTTTTTTTCTATATGAGACAAAAGAAAAGAAAGTTTTTGTCTCGCGGACATACGCATCGTTCATTGAACTGTGAACGCGCGCGCGTTGATTGTAATTATTGTACTCATGAGGGTTTATAAATGATGCTGTGTGGTTCAAACTAGGAAAGATTACGTAATTTTTTTGGATGACGTGTCGTTAGTAGTGTTGCTCTAATGTGGGTCAAGGGTGTCGCGCGAAAAGAAATATTATGCCCATGTACGATGGATAATCGACGCCGTTGATGTCTGCCGCCTCAGACGCGACGTGACTGTTATTATTCGTCAAGATACTTCTTATTTTATTATTATTTTCTTTTTTTTTTTTTTTTCATTCGTCGCAAATTTATCTCTTGCAAGCGCCATGTAGCGTGAATTATTTTAAAGGACTTTTTCAATTCATTTGCATCTCTTGATGTATGATCTCTCTTTTTCATTATTTTTTTTTTCTTATTTTCTTTACATGCACCTAATTTTATTTTTGTCGCAATTTTTTTTCTTTGGATTTATATTTTTGATGATTATTTTGAAGAGGTTAGGCATTTTTTATGATGATTTTTCTAAATTCGCAAATTTTTTATTTTATTTAATTTCAAAATTATTTTTTGGAAATTTATGATGATTTGTAGGTTTTTGTAATTTTTGAAATTATTACTAAAAAATAATAATAAGGTATATTATATCTAATATATAATAATAATAAAAAATATTTCTTTTTATTTCAAAATTATTTTTTTGAGATTTTTTGATGATTATAGGTTTTTGTATTTTTAGAAATTATTACTAAAACAAAATTTCTTCAATTTTTTTATAAATATTTTATTTTATAGAGAAGAATTCTACTAATTGAAGACCTCAATAAAAATATGGAGTAATAATAAATAATTAATTTTTTAATAAGAGGGAGGCTGTTATAGTGTCGCGTTGATCCCCACTCTGATAGATCTTCAAGTTAAGAGATTGGTTTTACAGTTGAAGGTGTATCGTCGCGTGCCGCGAAAGAGTCTTCGTTCGCGTTGGCGTTGACTGTCTATTGATCAGCGATTTTTTAAAAAAAATAATTGTGATAAAGCAAATAATTCTTTTTTTTTGTAAAAAAAAATTTGTTAATATTTTTTTAAACAATTACTCAAATTAAAAACAAATTATTTCTTCTAATTTTAAATAATATTATTTTGTTAATTTTTATTTTCTTAATTATATATATATATATATATATATATACAAATATGATTTTTAATTGTGATGAATTGTTTTTTCCCCGAACACGAAAATTACTCTTCAGGAATTATTGAATTGAAAATGTAAGTTGAATAAAAAATATTTATTTGATATATTATTTTATTTTTTTAGGGCAATATTTTTTAAGTACCAAAAAAATGGTTAATTTGTGACACAATTAATTACTTAAATAAATATTTATTTGATAGTTTTTTTTTCTTCAAAATTTGCAAATTAAAAATAAATGAGTTATTTCAGTGTTAATTAATTCATTAGGACTCATTTTCAAATAAGTCATTGGTGAAAATTGGCTCACTCCATATACATATTTGGGTAGATTTCATCTCTCAAAGTCGATTATAAAAAAAAAAAACCTGAATGAGGTGACGTTTTTCGCGATATATAATATAATAGGTGGGAAAAATCGTCATTATGACTGTTTTCAAAAGGGAAAAATCACTCACTTACAATGTATGAATCACTTTTATGTATTAGATATACGGAACTCTCTTGTTACTTTTGCAATTAAATAATTTACTCCCGCAATTTTTATTTTTATTTAATTGAGTATTTATAAGTAATTACTTTTAAAAGGTTCTCTCAATTCAAAAACATGTTCATCATTATAGGGGGGAAAAATTGTTAAACGACATAAAATGAACCGGCCAAAAACCAAAGCGATTAAACTTTCGCTCCCTATATGGGCGAACGCATGTTGCTGAAAGTATAAAATACAACGCTATTTGGCGAACCATAGAAAATTACTATAATTATTTTTATATAGAAAAAAATTATCCATTTTCAAAATGTTTTTGTTTTTTGAATTATAATTTGTTTTTATTTAATTTTTTTTTTTTTTAATTATAAGTGAATGAAACTTTTTTTTGGAGAATTTTGATTTATTTGATACAAATGAAGCAAATATTTTTTTATATACATTTAAACTGTTTGGGGAAAGTGATAATTGCTCGTAAATTGCAAAATATAATTTCCTCTTAATGTGAATTAAATAAGTAACATTTTTTTTTATTGATTGACTTAAATGCTCAAAAATAATTTATCAGTTCAATAATTCATCATCAACCTTCACATGACATTTTAGTTTATGATTTTAATTCTAATTGTGTCATTATTTCCATTAAAATAATTAAAAATAATAATAATTTTATTTTCTATTAAATGATTTGATTAATAATTAAATCATCAGTCGGTGTTGATAAGATGATCAATGATCTGTTGATTAGTAATCAAATTTTTATCACAAAAAACGCGATGATGTAAAAAAAAAATTTGTTGTAAAATATTTTATCTCGCACTTTGTATCATACCTTATTAAACTATCGGAGATTTTTCCTCAAACATATAAATTCTGAAATTATCAATGAAAAATTACTGGAAGTAAAGAAATTAAATTGTGAATATATAATTGATTTAATAAGTTGTAAAGTACTCTTCGAATGCCACGATCAAGGCAAAAACTGGATTCCATTAGCCTGATTTATTATGCTAACCTTGCATCATTTTCTATCCTTTGCGTATCGATATAATCTATTTAAGTGCGTAGAACGTAAATTATTTAATTTTTTTTAAAATTTTTTCTTACCTTGTTTTTTTTATTATTATTTATTATTAATATTTTTGTTTTTCAGCCCGATTATTATAGAGACGCAACACATTTTCGAAGAATTGGAGCAGGTCCTCAATATCGACTTGAAATTCCATTTGCGAAACTTGATTTCACTGGGACTTATTCTGTTATCGCGAAAAATTGTCATGGTGAAGCAAAAGCTATAATATCATTACAAATCTACGCTAAAGGTATTTTTTTTAAAATTATATTTAAATTATTATATAAAACTGAGAGAGACTGAAAAAGAAAGTAAGACTAAAAAATTATTTTGAATAATAGGACAAGGCAAAGGTGACAGAATGGATCATCAGTCATCAATTCGAGAGGGGTATGTAGTTTCGATATCTGATGACATAGATAAAAAAATAAATTAAACATTATATAAAAAAATTTTTAAAAATTATTAAATTAATTATTTATTAATTTTTGTAAAAAATTTTTTTTTTAAATTCACAATTATTGAGTGCGAATAGAGGAATTTGATTAATTACTGTTAATAAATGAACAAAATCAAATCTTTAATGAAATGAATTTTTTTTTTAGAAAAATTTTAAGTCTGCCAATTATAAGGAAGGAATTGCGTGATATTCAATGTTGTGATGGAGACGCTGTTACTTTAGAATGCAAATTTTATGCCCCTTCAGAAACACCAATTATTCGTTGGGAAAAAGATGGCAAGGTAATTCAAGTTTATCGAAAATTATATTTAAAAATTGTAATAAATTCCTAATTCTTATTTAATTATTTATTATTTATTAATTATAGAAACAATTTTCAATTTTATTAAAATAATTAAATAAATTAAAAAAAAAAATAAATATAAAGCAAAAAAATTTTTTTTTCTGGTAGACATTGTCTTTAACCGGAGATTTCTCTGCTGATTTTGATGGTGAAACTGCAAAACTCAGTATTCAACATGTGTATCAAGAAGACGAGGGAGAATACACTTGTACTGCATCCAATCAATTGGGAAAAGCTTTCACATCTGCGTGTCTCATTGTCGACGGTGAGTGAGGATAATCAGTATAAATTAACTCTTTTTTTTTTTTTGATCAACTGCCATTAAGTGATTTTAATAGCTATTTAATTTAAATTATAAAATATTGCACAATTTAGCGCTAACGACACGTGATGGAATGCCAAGAAGTCGTTAAATTAATGAATTTCATAGTTTTATTTTGCTTCGATAATTACATATATATATTTTTATTCCATAGATCAATCTTGAATAATTAGATCTTTTATTATTATTTATTATTTATTGTTATTTATATTTATTTTTATATTAGTTGATAAAAAAAGTCCATTTTGGTCCATCGTAGTTCGGATGCTGTTGATCCATTCAAAAAATGCCATATACATTTTTTTTAGATAATTCTTCTGCCATTCCCGAATGTTAATATCGAAAATTTAACATTTCAAAATTATTTTTCCACTTTGGTCCATTGTAGCTTGGATGCTGTGCGTCCTATTAAAAAGTGCTTTACACATTTCTTGAAAGCACTATCTTGTGATAACTTCTATGGTGTTCTTAAACGTTTGTCCCAAAACTGTTTAATTCATAAATTTTTTCTCCATTTTGGTCCATCGTAGTTCGGATGCTGTTGGTCCTAACGAAAATTGTCCCATAGATTTTTTGTAGAGAACTATATTTTTGAAAAATTTTGTCCACTTTGGTCCATTGAAGGTCGGATGCTGTTGGTCCATTCAAAAAATAATGTCCCATGCATTTTTTGTAAAACACTATCTTAGGATATCTTCTGAGTTTATCTCAAAAATTTAATATTTCAAAAATTTGTGTCCACTTTGGTCCATAGTAGCTCGGATGCTGTGTGTCCTATCAAAAAGTCGAAATTGAAAAATATTTGATGATCAATTGCAATTAAAATAAGAATGAAAAAATAGTTTCTTAAAATCCAGGAATAAAATTATCATCTAAAGTTGATCGTAACTGAGATCAATATTCAGGAAAAGATTTAATAAAAACTGCAAATCGCTCAGAAAAAGGATTTTCAATTTAATAAAATCGTTACGCTTGAAATGTTTTAGTACCCGAGGGTAAGGAGAATGTATTAAGTCAACCACGCCTTACAAAGCCCATGGGACTATTATCAGCAGGGTCGACTCCTAGATCAACTCCAAGATCGACGCCTGTTCGCAGTCTCTCACCGGCAGGTGCCCGTAAGAAAAAAAATTTTCTTCTCTTTTATTTTTTTTTCCTCACAAAAAAAAGAGTTTACACAGTAGAATAAATGAAAATGTATTTATATATTCTTATATCGGTACACAAAGTATTCTGAGAAGAGATACAATGAGTAAAAGGTTTTGAAAAGATTTACTTTCATGAATATTTAATAGGTGTACATTAATATATATATATATATAGATACACAAAAAGAGTTATTATTGTGCAACACTTGATTTGCACTTTGACTCAACTTAGAGCTGTCAGAACAAGTGTTGACCTCATGGTGTGGTCTATAGGAAATTTATGCGAAATGAAAGTAAATAGTTGATGTAAATCGAACGTGTAAATAACAGATGTAGGTCTAAGATAAATATCAATTTTTTTTTTTTTTTTTTTTTTTTGATACATGATTTTATAAGAACCTTTTCTTGCACTATATATGAACATATAGAAAGAAAAAAATATTAAATTGTGATTTTCGCTGAACGTGATACCACAAAAATATTCAGATCATGATTTTCATCTTTCAGCTGATTATAATTCTATGATTTTTCAAATGGTCGTTGAATTGAACTGATCAATGATGGTATGATTTTTCAGATGGTCGTGAATTGAGAGCAATAAATCTTCCTAGACGAGTGGAAGCTGGTGTCAATATGAGAAAGAAGCCAAAAGTGGCACCTCCTAAATTTTACACGGTCCCCCATAATCGAGTGGCCGAGGAAGGTGAAACAATAAGATTTCAATGTGCAATCACTGGTCATCCAATGCCTTGGGTGATTTGGGATAAAAATGGAGTTCCCATTACTCAAACGCCAAGAATAGTAATTAAGGAGAAGGATGACTTACGAGTATTGGAAATTTCCCAAGTAACATCAGAGGATGCTGGACTTTATAGAGTAACCCTTGAGAATGATGTTGGTCGCACTGAAGCATCAGCTCGTCTTGAAATAATCAGTATGTCATTTTATGTACCTTTTTTTAACAAAGTGTTGATGATCACCTAATGATCTGATAATCCGCTCTGATTCCGGATCTGTAATTATACTCTATCTTTAGATTTGGATCTTTAGATTTACTGATGATTGAATAAAATTTAATCAATCATCATCATTATGATGATCTGTTGATTTTCGAATTGATGATGAGTTATTTTTTCCAGATCGACATAGTGCAGTTCCACGTCCAATTCGAACTAGAAGTGCATCGCCTAGAACTTATCCAACATTTACCAGAAGTCTTCTTGGTTGTGCAACGAGAGTTAATGATTCATTTCAATTGCAATGCGACATCAGGAGTTCCCCAAGTCCCACTCCTTCTTGGTACAGGTTCGTTAATCACAATTAATTTAGAGCTGTGCAATGTTCGAATCGAATCGAATTTTGTTCGGTTTTTAATGACCCTGACTCGAATTTCGAACTTTCGACATTCGAACTGAACTGACTCGGATGACGGATTTTCCACATTCGAACTGGACGGACTCGAATGTAGGATTTCGACATTCGAACTGGGCTGACTCAGATGTCGAATTTTTGTAATTCGAACTGGGCTGACTCGAATGTCGAATTTTCAACATTCGAACTCGGCGGAAAAATTCCAACAGTTCGGTTCGATTTATTTTCCACAGGTCTACATTTTTTCATTTTCCAGGAAAACATTCTATCTAAAAAAATCGAAAAAAATTGATTATTCTTATTCTATTGCAATTTAGATTCAATTGGTAGGTTTTTTTGAAGGTGAAAATGTGTTGTTTTAAGGTAAAAAAATAATAAAGACATGCTGATTAATTTTATTTGACTTTGAAAGGGATTTTTTCATTTTCCAGGAAAACATTCTATCTAAATAAATCGAAAAAAATTTATTTTTCTTATTCTATTGCAATTTAGGTTCAATTGGTAGGTTTTTTTGAAGGTAAAAATGTGTTGTTTTAAGGTAAACAAGTTGTAAATTCAGATGTTCATTACATGAACATTTTGCTTCCTCTTTACGATCAGCAAAAAAATTTGCTTCCTCGTGGAGAACTCAAAAATATTTTGGAAAAATTTTCGAAAAATTAAATTCGCGACATAATCGTTCGAGAATACCGCCAAATTCTTTAGCAAAAAGTAGCGAACAAAAAATGTATGGCGCACTTTTTGATTGGTCCAGCGGATGCTGAGCTAAACTAGAAAACAAATTCGGAAAAATTTTCGAAAAATTAAATTCGCGAGATAATCGTTCGGCAATACCGCCAAATTCTTTAGCAAAAAGTAGCGAACAAAAAATGTATGGCGCACTTTTTGATTGGTCCAGCGGATGCTGAGCTACACTCAAAAATATTTTGGAAAAATTTTCGAAAAATTAAATTCGCGAGATAATCGTTCGGGAATACCACCAATAAAATAGGGAAAAAGTTTCGAACAAAAAATGTATGGCGCACTTTTTGATTGGTCCAGCGGATGCTGAGCTACACTCAAAAATATTTTGGAAAAATTTTCGAAAAATTAAATTCGCGAGATAATCGTTCGGGAATACCACCAATAAAATAGGGAAAAAGTTTCGAACGAAAAATGAATGGCGCACTTTTTGATTGGTCCAGCGGATGCTGAGCTACACTCAAAAATATTTTGGAAAAATTTTCGAAAAATTAAATTCGCGAGATAATCGTTCGGGAATACCACCAATAAAATAGGGAAAAAGTTTCGAACAAAAAATGTATGGCGCACTTTTTGATTGGTCCAGCGGATGCTGAGCTAAACTAGAAAACAAATTCGGAAAAATTTTCAAAAAATTAAATTCGCGAGATAATCGTTCGGCAATACCGCCAAATTCTTTAGCAAAAAGTAGCGAACAAAAAATGTATGGCGCACTTTTTGATTGGTCCAGCGGATGCTGAGCTACACTCAAAAATATTTTGGAAAAATTTTCGAAAAATTAAATTCGCGAGATAATCGTTCGGGAATACAACCAATAAAATAGGGAAAAAGTTTCGAACAAAAAATGTATGGCGCACTTTTTGATTGGTCCAGCGGATGCTGAGCTACACTCAAAAATATTTTGGAAAAATTTTCCAAAAATTAAATTCGCGAGATAATCGTTCGGGAATACCACCAATAAAATAGGGAAAAAGTTTCGAACAAAAAATGTATGGCGCACTTTTTGATTGGTCCAGCGGATGCTGAGCTAAACTAGAAAACAAATTCGGAAAAATTTTCGAAAAATTAAATTCGCGAGATAATCGTTCGGCAATACCGCCAAATTCTTTAGCAAAAAGTAGCGAACAAAAAATGTATGGCGCACTTTTTGATTGGTCCAGCGGATGCTGAGCTACACTCAGATAAATTTTTTAAAAAATTTCGAAAAATTAAATTTGCGAGATAATTGGTCGGGAATAACGCCAAAGTCTTAACCCGGGAGTCTCGAACAAAAAATGTATGGCGCACTTTTTGATTGGTCCAGCGGATGCTGAGCTACACGCAGATAAATTTTTTAAAAAATTTCGAAAAATTAAATTTGCGAGATAATTGGTCGGGAATACCGCCAAAGTCTTAACCCGGGAGTCTCGAACAAAAAATGTATGGCGCACTTTTTGATTGGTCCAGCGGATGCTGAGCTACACTCAAAAATATTTTGGAAAAATTTTCGAAAAATTAAATTCGCGAGATAATCGTTCGGGAATACCACCAATAAAATAGGGAAAAAGTTTCGAACAAAAAATGTATGGCGCACTTTTTGATTGGTCCAGCGGATGCTGAGCTACACTCAAAAATATTTTGGAAAAATTTTCGAAAAATTAAATTCGCGAGATAATCGTTCGGGAATACCACCAAAAAAATAGGGAAAAAGTTTCGAACAAAAAATGTATGGCGCACTTTTTGATTGGTCCAGCGGATGCTGAGCTAAACTAGAAAACAAATTCGGAAAAATTTTCAAAAAATTAAATTCGCGAGATAATCGTTCGGCAATACCGCCAAATTCTTTAGCAAAAAGTAGCGAACAAAAAATGTATGGCGCACTTTTTGATTGGTCCAGCGGATGCTGAGCTACACTCAAAAATATTTTGGAAAAATTTTCGAAAAATTAAATTCGCGAGATAATCGTTCGGGAATACCACCAATAAAATAGGGAAAAAGTTTCGAACAAAAAATGTATGGCGCACTTTTTGATTGGTCCAGCGGATGCTGAGCTACACTCAAAAATATTTTGGAAAAATTTTCGAAAAATTAAATTCGCGAGATAATCGTTCGGGAATACCACCAATAAAATAGGGAAAAAGTTTCGAACAAAAAATGTATGGCGCACTTTTTGATTGGTCCAGCGGATGCTGAGCTACACTCAAAAATATTTTGGAAAAATTTTCGAAAAATTAAATTCGCGAGATAATCGTTCGGGAATACCACCAATAAAATAGGGAAAAAGTTTCGAACAAAAAATGTATGGCGCACTTTTTGATTGGTCCAGTGGATGCTGAGCTACATTCAAAAATATTTTGGAAAAATTTTCGAAAAATTAAATTCGCGAGATAATCGTTCGGGAATATCGCCAAATTCTTTAGCAAAAAGTAGCGAACAAAAAATGTATTGCGCACTTTTTGATTGGTCCAGCGGATGCTGAGCTACACTCAAAAATATTTTGGAAAAATTTTCGAAAAATTAAATTCGCGAGATAATCGTTCGGGAATACCACCAATAAAATAGGGAAAAAGTTTTGAACAAAAAATGTATGGCGCACTTTTTGATTGGTCCAGCGGATGCTGAGCTACACTCAAAAATATTTTGGAAAAATTTTCGAAAAATTAAATTCGCGAGATAATCGTTCGGGAATACCACCAATAAAATAGGGAAAAAGTTTCGAACAAAAAATGTATGGCGCACTTTTTGATTGGTCCAGCGGATGCTGAGCTACACTCAAAAATATTTTGGAAAAATTTTCGAAAAATTAAATTCGCGAGATAATCGTTCGGGAATACCACCAATAAAATAGGGAAAAAGTTTCGAACAAAAAATGTATGGCGCACTTTTTGATTGGTCCAGTGGATGCTGAGCTACATTCAAAAATATTTTGGAAAAATTTTCGAAAAATTAAATTCGCGAGATAATCGTTCGGGAATATCGCCAAATTCTTTAGCAAAAAGTAGCGAACAAAAAATGTATTGCGCACTTTTTGATTGGTCCAGCGGATGCTGAGCTACACTCAAAAATATTTTGGAAAAATTTTCGAAAAATTAAATTCGCGAGATAATCGTTCGGGAATACCACCAATAAAATAGGGAAAAAGTTTTGAACAAAAAATGAATGGCGCACTTTTTGATTGGTCCAGCGGATGCTGAGCTACACTCAAAAATATTTTGGAAAAATTTTCGAAAAATTAAATTCGCGAGATAATCGTTCGGGAATACCACCAATAAAATAGGGAAAAAGTTTCGAACAAAAAATGTATGGCGCACTTTTTGATTGGTCCAGCGGATGCTGAGCTAAACTAGAAAACAAATTCGGAAAAATTTTCAAAAAATTAAATTCGCGAGATAATCGTTCGGCAATACCGCCAAATTCTTTAGCAAAAAGTAGCGAACAAAAAATGTATGGCGCACTTTTTGATTGGTCCAGCGGATGCTGAGCTACACTCAAAAATATTTTGGAAAAATTTTCGAAAAATTAAATTCGCGAGATAATCGTTCGGGAATACCACCAATAAAATAGGGAAAAAGTTTCGAACAAAAAATGTATGGCGCACTTTTTGATTGGTCCAGTGGATGCTGAGCTACACTCAAAAATATTTTGGAAAAATTTTCGAAAAATTAAATTCGCGAGATAATCGTTCGGGAATATCGCCAAATTCTTTAGGAAAAAGTAGCGAACAAAAAATGTATGGCGCACTTTTTGATTGGTCCAGCGGATGCTGAGCTAAACTAGAAAACAAATTCGGAAAAATTTTCGAAAAACTTAATTCGCAAGATAATCGTTCGGGAATACCGCCAAAAAAAATTTTTGGAAAAAAGACGATAAAAAGTTTTTTTTTGATGTATTTTTAAAAATCCTTTGGTCAGATTTGAGATATTAATATGATAAATGAGCCTACCAAATTTTATCTAAATCCATTAAAACCTGTTAAAGTTATCTTCTAAACAAAAAAGGTATCCACACACACACACACATGCACACACACATACATCCGGACAATTGATCAGGATCTCATATAACATGTTTCTATAAAGAAAAAAATTTGTTTTCGACACTTTGAAAAGTTTTATAAACGAAAGGACTACAAAGCTTCTTCCACGAGGAAGCAAAAAATAATAGAAACAAGCTGAATAATTTTATTTGACTTTGAAAGGGATTTTTTCATTTTCCAGGAAAACATTCTATCTAAAAAAATCGAAAAAAATTGATTATTCTTATTCTATTGCAATTTAGATTCAATTGGTAGGTTTTTTTGAAGGTAAAAATGTGTTGTTTTAAGGTAAAAAATAATAGAAACAAGCTGATTAATTTTATTTGACTTTGAAAGGGATTTTTTCATTTTCCAGGAAAACATTCTATTTAAAAAAATCAAAAAAAATTGTATATTCTTATTCTATTGCAATTTAGGTTCAATTGGTAGGTTTTTTTGAAGGTAATAATTTGTTGTTTTAAGGTAAAAAAATAATAGAAACAAGCTGATTAATTTAATTTGACTTTGAAAAGGATATTTTTAGAGCTGTGCAATGTTCGAATCGAATCGAATTTTGTTCGGTTTTTAAGGACCCTGACTCGAATTTCGAATTTTCGACATTCGAACTCGACGGAATCGAATGTCGAATTTTCGACATTCGAACTCGGCGTAAAAATTCGAACAGTTCGGTTCGATTTATTTTGCACAGGTCTTAATTAATTTTTTTTTTTTTAATTACTTGATTTTTTTCCTGTTATAATTATTTTTTTAAAAATTAATTTGTTAATTAAAAATTAATTTGTATTCGATTAATTAACGTTATACTTTTTTTTTTCACCGCATACAGAAATGGAAAACGAATAGAACGTTCGAGTAGAATTAGAAAACATTTCGATGGTCGAACTGCTAGAATAGATATTCTTGAAGTGAAAAAAAGCGATTCTGGTGAATACGTTTGTGAGGCCTATAATTTTCTAGGATCAACAAGAAGCAGTTGTCAGGTATTGTATTTTTGAAATGAATAATTTTTTAATTTTTTAAATAAAAATTAATTCAAACATATTAATTAATTATTTAAATTAATTAAATATAAATTAAAATATGAATTAGGTAATCGTATTTGATTCTGAAGATGTTTCGACTTTGGACAAAGAGGCTCCTAAATTTCTACAAACACTTTCAAAAGAATCGATAGTAATGGAAGGACATTCATATGAATTACAGACAAGAATCACAGGTATTATAAATTTCGATTTTAAAATCTAATTTATAAAGATCAAGCAAAGTCACGGTATGACTAATTGTGAAATATTTTACTTTCCCCTTTGCAAGGTACTCCTCCATTTGAAATCAAGTGGCTAAAGGACAAGAAGGAAGTATGTGACACTGATTGCTATCGTTATGTTGTCTATGAAGATGGAGGTGTGGCTCTTCGTTTGGCAAACGTCAATTCTTTCGATGCTGGAGAATACACTTGCCTCGTTCGAAATGCATTTGGATCATCGTCTTGCAATGGTTTATTTGCAGTTCAAGGTAATTTTTTTTACACTATATATAAAAATCTAATTTTATAAAAAGAAATATATAAATAAATTGTTTAAATAAAAAATTTCTAATTTCTAGACTATAATGGTGGTTCGAAAGCTGCATTTTGGTTCACAAAAACTCCAGTGCCAGTTTTAGCTTCTAAGGGAGAAATTGTTTCATTTTGTGCAAGAATTCAGAGTCGAAGATCCATTGAAATTGAATGGACAGTCAATGGAATAAGTGCTAGGGAAAATCACAGATGCAAAGTACGTATTTTCTAAAATGGAAAAAATTTAATATCTAGATTAATTGTTGATGACAACCAAAACCAAAAATTGATGATGATCAGTTGATTTTATTTTATTATTATTATTATTATTTTAGGTTGAAAAAGATGGGCCAACGACAATTTTAAGGATAAATTCTGTGACATATCGAGATTGTGGGGAAATTCGATGCACAGCATCCGTGACTGGAGGTCGAGGTCCATCGATAAGTTGTGCCACTGATCTTCGTTTCTTCAGACTCCCAAGATCAGGAGATAGATCTCCATCGCCTGTAAAAATGTTTCTATCTCCATTATTAACCAGACGTTCGACACGTGTCTCTCCAAGTTCCTATCGTCATGAAAATAAAGAGAATTTAAATAGAATAACGTCAAATTTTGAAAATAGCGAAAATTCATTAACAAAAAAATCTCCAATTAATTTGAAGGTAGAAATTAAGAATCAGAAAAAGACTGAAAAAGAAGAAAAATTATGTCGTAATAATGTCAAGAGAATGAGAAAAAAGGAGAGGAAAGTTGAAAACGAAGAAAAAAAGAGGCTAATAAATGAAGTAATTAAAGGAGATAAAAAAGAAATGAAAGTAAAAAGAAATGGTATACAAAAAGAAGAAACAAAATGGGAAGTGGTAGGAGAAGAAGAAAACGAGTTAAAAAAAGATAAACAATTAACAAAAGAAGAAATAAAAATTCAAAAATATTTACAAAAATTTGGAGATGATGGAGAAAAAGAAGTGAAGATAGAAAAAGATGAAAATAAAGAAGAAATAAGTTTAGAAAAAATTGAAAATAAGTTTGAATTAAAAAAAGAGGGGAAAATAATAGAAGATAGTAAAAAAGAACAGGAAGATAGAAAGAAAAATAAAGATGTAAATAAATGCAAAAATACAAGAATAAAAAAGGAAAATTTTTTGGAAACTATTCGGAAAAATGAGATCGTGAAACCGGCCAACGAACAAGTAATGCCGGAAATCTTAGATACGAAGAGATTCTTCCCCACCCACGAGTCAGTGAATGGTGAAGAGTTGGAATTTTTGGAAGCATACGAGCATGACGAACCGGCAATAGTGTTAAAAGATCCATTGGACGTAATAGCTCTCAGAGGTTCCACAGCAATTCTCAGTGTGTCTTATCGAGGTCAACCGGAGCCAACAGTCAGATGGCTTCAAGCTGTGAGTAGAGCAAAACGTTTTTTTTTTTTTATATCATATATATATATATATTGACTTCAAATTGACACGTCATCATATTTATGTTAATGTCTGATAAATTCATATCATAATGTTTCTTTTATTTTTCAAGAATCTTTAATAATAAAAGCCACATCTGTTCGAAATAGACTCTTCTGTTCATATCAACGCGGCTATTCGTTTTTTTAATTCCAATATAGTTTATTTAAATAACAATGATAACATCGCTAGTTTTTTAATCGTGAATAATTTTTTTGGAGAAAATTGTTTATAATTTGTTTAAATTCGTCAATTTTTTTTTGCAAAATAAAATAATTGAGTACTTAATTTAATTTCAATTAGTGAATTTCAATGTCATTGAATTGATTACTTAATTTAATTTCAATTAATGAAATTCAAATTGAATTAATTACTTAATTTAATTTTAATTAGTAAATTTCAAAAAATCATTAGTTCGTATTTGATCCACTAATGATTTAATTATTGATTAATAATCAAAATAATTTATTTTATTTTGAATATGATTTTTTGTTGAGTGAATTGATAGATTCTTTTTTTTTAATATTTTGACAGAAATGTATGTAATTACAGAATTTCTAATTATATAATTCATTAATTATTTCCAATTATCTTTTGTAATTATTTTCTTGAAGCTTTTGTAATTTCTTTTCAATGTCTTTTTAATCATAATATATTTAATATTCCAAACGAATAGTTAATAACAATTATTAAATATAATCTTCTGTCAATCATCTTTAATCATAATCTTCTAATCTTCATTCATAAAATCATTTTCTATCCTCTTGTTCATAGTGGAGAAATTAATTAATTTAAATCATTAATTTTTTTTGTATTTAAGAAAAAAAAATTTAATTCAATATATCGGTTACTTGATTATTATCAAATAAATATTTACTTGAACTTAGACATTATTATAGTATAATTATTATAGACTAATTATTATAGATTAATTATAATAATTAATTAAATAGGTAATTCTTTTTAATTTCAATTAAATTGTAATTAATTGATTAAATTCAAAAGAATACCATCATAATTTAGAAAAAGAATTTTGTTTTCGTAATTTATTTTTCAATGATATAAAACGACGATGAGAAAAAGTAGATTTTTATCAAAACTATGATAACAATTACAGTATCATTTTCATGCGACTGAGCATGTGATTTTTATAATACGTGTATGGAATTATTAAATAATAATGTGTTCTCCGGGCAATGCATACGAGTGCATAATAATAATAATAATATTTATTATATATATATAATGTTGCTGACTCTTCAGTCTACTGAGTTTTGAATTGAAATAAAGACACGGAGAGCATTCTTAATAGAATTTAAAAAATGCGGATGATTCATCGCGTGCGAGGTAGAGAAAACGCGTGACACGCACAATATTACTTTCATATAGCTTCTCACAACCGTGTTATATGAGCCACACACACATATTTATTATCGGAACGAAATTTTTGAAACCAAACGTGTCAATGTTTTTTTTTTTTTGTTTTACTTTTAATTTGTAAATATATGCGAATTTCATGCGTTATTATGCATTTTTTAAAAGTGAGTGCCGGTTTTTATAGGTGGTATACAATAGTAAGAAGGAAACATGAATTAGTCGCGGGCTTTTCAAGTGACCTTGTTCGAACCACGTGGAACTTGTTGCTTTGTTCACTTTTGTTCCAGGCTTTATGTACATACGACATTTGATCTTGCGCTCGACTCAAATTGCTCTTTTACGCGAGAGTAAAAAAGTATTTTGTTACTTACTGCCTTATATTAAGAACATAAATCTTTAAAACGCATTGTTAATTCGATAACACGGTTTTGGCTCGATAGCGGAAAAGTGAGATATTATTTTTCTTATAAATCATTACCAAGATATTTTGTTTCTTATTTGCAATTTTTTTTCTTCTTTTTTCTACTTTCTTTGAATTTTTATTTTTTTCAATTTAATTTTTATTTTCTTAAAAATTGGATTTTTAAAAATTATATTTTCTATAAAAAATTAGAATTTAAAAATTAGATTTTCTATAAAAAATTATAATTGAAAAATGATATTTTCTATAAAAAATTATAATTTAAAAATGATATTTTTTAATTTCAGGGTCGAGTTTTGGTTCCAAGCGAGAGAATTCAAATCGAAACCGGAAGTGGCAAATCGAGACTCACATTGGAAAAAATAACAGCGGATCAAGCTGGAAAATATGCGGTTTTCGTTGAAAATTCATTAGGAAGCGATTGCAGATATTCGAGTCTTGCCGTAGAAGGTGATTTAATTTTCTTATTAAATAAATTTAAATAACTCTTGGGACAAGTAAATAAATTAGAATTTAATTAAAAATAAAATTCTCATTATAAACTTATTATTAACTTTTAATAAACAATTGATGATAGTTTATTCAGAAAATAATTTGTCCACGTGTAGAATGAATGACTCTCATATGTGCGTAATAGACAAAATAAACCAAAAAAAAAATAATAAAAATTGTAAACTTGGGGAAAAATGAAACTGGAAGCTAGGAAAGGGAAGAATATCTTCTTTGGATTGTAAAGCTATAAGCTTCATATAATGAGCTTAAGTAGGCGTGTTCTCGGTCTAGTTCTCCCCAGACAAGGTAGTCTAGCTCCAATGACATCGTGGGAGTTTAAAATCTAAAGTTTACTGTTTATATCTCAAATCCTTTTGCATTGCAGACGTTTCTTGATCGTCAACGAAGCCAGCTGTTTAAATATCTAGTTTCAGTGCGTTATTTCGTTTTATATAAAAAAAATTCCATTCTTTTTTTTTTTTTTTTATTTAATATTTATTAATATAAAATTTTGTGCCGAATTAATTATTAATATTTATCTCCTTGCGTAAGTGATTTAATTTTGAATTTAATTTAAATTTTTCAAAATTTTTTTCAAATTTGTTTTTCGATTTTTAAATTCTAGAAATTTTTAAAACGTAAAATAATATTTATTAGCAATTAATTTACAAACGATTTAACAATTGAAATTTTATTATTTTATAATTAATTAATTTGAAATTAATTTTGAATAATTTTCAGTAATTTTAATCGTCAATTATTATTTTTGTGAATAATTATGAATATTGAAATTTTTTTTTTTTTTTAAAGAAAAACTGATTTTTCTTTAAATAATTAAAAATAATTTTTTGAAAATTTTTGTCCTTAGGACCACCGGAATCACCATCAGGTGTGCCAATTGTAAGTGGATGCAATGTGGGAAATGAAATTCCAGGTGTCAATGTAGCGTGGTGTTCTCCGTCATATGACGGTGGATGTGCACTCACTGGCTATGCAATTGAAATGCGACATATTGATGAAGAAAATTGGACTCTTGTTTCAGAAACATATCATTCACTTAATCATACAATTGCTGGTCTCATACCAGATGAGACATATCTATTTCGCGTTAGAGCAATAAATATTCACGGAGCAAGTGAACCGAGCTTTGAATCCGTTCCTTTTACAGTTCGACGGGAAATTGAAAACGAGAAGGAAATGAAGGATCAAATGTCGGATAAGGAAATCGAAGAAGAAAGTACGTATTAATTTTATTAATTTTTTTTTCCACATTAATTCTATCTATAATATTGTTTCTCTTGTATGTAAATTTTTTTGAAATTTCTTTTTTTTAATTTTCTTCTCTTTTGAATTTTTTTTTCCACTATTTTGTAAAGTATTCTTTTTTTCGAAGTTTCTTCATTTTTCTAATTTTTCCTCTTCTCATTCAATAAAGGCTTTTGCGAGAAGAACATGGAGAAGACGATAGTGACTACCGAGGATGGAAAAATTTTCCCTGATAGATACGAAGTGATGGAAGAATTGGGAAAAGGTCGATATGGAATTGTAAAAAGAGTTGTGGAAAAATCAACAGGACGTGAATTTGCATCGAAATTTGTCAAGACAATAAAAGCGACGGATAAAAAATTAGTGCGTGAAGAAATAAATATTATGAATCTACTTAAACATCCAAAACTTCTTCGTCTTTCCGCAGCTTTCGAGAGTCCCAGGGAAATTATAATGATCACAGAATAGTATGATCATTTATTATTTATATTTAAAAATATTTCAAAATTTTTCAATTTTATTTCTATTTTTTGAAAATAATAATTATTTTAATTATTTTATTTTTAAATAATTATTATTTATTAATGTCTTTTTTTTAAAAATTTTCTTTGTTATTGTTTTTTTTAGCATATCAGGTGGTGAGCTTTTTGAAAGAGTTGTTGCCGATGATTTTACATTAACTGAAAAAGACAGCATTCTTTTTATGAGACAAATTTGCGAGGGCGTTAAATACATGCATAAAAATAATGTCGTTCATTTGGATCTCAAAGTGAGTGAATAATTTTAACAATAATAATAAAAAAATAATAATTTTTTTAAATTATTTTATTTTAATTAATTAATTATTATTTTTTAATTCTAGCCAGAGAATATAATGTGCAGAACACGAACGTCCCATAGCATAAAGCTGATTGATTTTGGCTTGGCACAAATTTTAAAACCAAATGTTCCCATTCGAGTGCTTTTTGGAACACCTGAATTTATTCCACCTGAGATTATTAGCTATGAGCCTATTGGCACTGAATCCGACATGTGGAGTATGGGAATAATTTGTTATGTTTTGTGAGTGTTTTTTTTTAAATCTATAAATTTTGTAAAATAATTAAAATTATTAATTAAAATTAATTTATTGAATATTAATTAAACAGATTAAGTGGACTCTCTCCGTTCATGGGTAACAATGATACGGAAACATTTGCAAATATTACACGAGCTGAATATGATTTTGATGATGAAGCATTTGATGCCATTTCGCAGGATGCCAAAGATTTCATTGGCTGTTTATTGATTAAGAGAAAAGAGTGAGTTTTTTTTTATTTTCTTTTCACGTAATCGATTTTATTAATTAATTAATTAATAATTGATTTTAGATCTCGAATGTCGGCTAAAGAATGTTTGGAACATTCGTGGTTGGCGCAGCACACGGAAAATATGAGTCAAGTTGCTTTGTCGACGGAAAAATTGAAGAAATTCCTTGTCCGAAGAAAATGGCAGGTGAGAATACAACAAATAATTGATAACAAAAATTTCTAATATTGTTTGTGTTTTGAATATTTTGTTTGGTACACTCACGCAAATTTAAAAAAAATTTTATTGTCGCATGTGTTTTTTAATCATTTTTTTTTTTTTTGGTTTTGCTTGTGTTTTTGTTTTTAAATAGAAAACAGGAAATGCACTTCGAGCTCTTGGCCGGATGTCCAAATCTGCAAATAGTAGACGAAGTCCTTCGCAATCATCGGGATCATCATCACCCGTTTTGAAAGAATCATTATCCTTTGAGAGTAATTCTTCGGATAAACAAAATACGAGTACTCGTGAAAATTCGTTTGAAGATAATTTCGATATTGTTGACAATAAAGATTCTCTTCGAAAAGAAGAGATGCAAGGAGAGGAAAAAATACTAGAAACGATTGAAATTTCTTCTTTTGTTGCTAAATCAACAGAAGAGGCAATAGAAGAAGTTTCTTCCCTTCCCACTGAAGAAGAAGAAGTTTTTTCACCTCTTGCTGAATCAATAGAAAATGTTTCTTTGATTCTCGAATCTAATTATGAAAATATTTCTAATACTTCTTCAAATAATGAAGAAATTATTGAACCCAAATATAAAGAAATTTTACCCGAAGAATTTCATCAGAATATTTTAGATAATACGTCAAGAATTGATGAAGTTATTGAAGAAAATTCAGAATTTCATGAATCAAAGTCTGAAGAAGAGGAAGAAGAAAAAATTCAGGAGCTTGATTCTGAAAATAATTTGGATATTAAGGAAATTATAGAAGAAAATTATTCTAAATTATCTGAAGAAATTGTACCTGAAGAAAATGAGAAAATAGAACTTGAAGAAAATGAAGCTATTAAATCTCAATTAAAAGAAGCTAACAATGAAAAGCAGAAATATCAAGTCAGATTTTCCATTGATGTAAAATCTGATGAGACAGACTGTGTTTCGAATTTTAATTTTGATCAATTGAAGAGTACAAAGAAGACTGATGATAATCAAAATAAAATCGATAAACAGGAAATTGAGAAAAATAAATTTTACAGAAATAATGACATTAAAAATGGAGTATGTACAACTGTGTGTGATCTTAATACTTTGCACGAAGGTGTGTATTTCTTTTTTATTTAATTCTTTTTGATAGCTTAATTTTTATTTACTTCTTTTTGCCATTTAATTAAATATCAATATAAAATAGTAAAAAATGTTTTAAAAATATTTTTAAAATATTTTACTAAATAGTAAAATTTAACTAATTCAGTTATTTTTACTAATTAAAATTAAGAGTTTGGCTTTTTCTTTCCACATCCTCCATATATGTAATTGACACCTTTATTTAGACATTTTAGTTTGCGTTTTTTCTTCTTTTCATCAAGAGAAACATTTTCCAATTACAGACGATAGTGGTGAGAACACACGGGTAATTAAAACCAGTCAAGGTCGACACTATCTTCACACGGGGAATGTGAGTCGAACAGCAAAAATTTTCGAAAAGAAGGGAACAGAATCACATGCCGGAAGTTCAGTGAAGGAGAACCCTACACGGCCATTATCACGAACACATACTCAACGTGAAAGAATACAAAAAGCATTTGACTTTTGGAACAAGTAAAAATACGTGAAAAAAGAAATATCCTATATTACAACACAATAAAGTAAGGAAAATTATTTTTTTTTTTTTTGTAAAATTTACAACAAGAAAAAAAAAACAAAAATTATATCTGAATATAGGCAATAATTTTTTATACAACAACTTTTACTGTACAAATTTTATGAATTAGAATTTTTAATCTATACAATCTATATTTGACGATATAATAAAACTTTGTTTTTTATTTTGACGATATTATGAGATATTTTACAGAATTTTGAAAATTTTGATTCTCGCGAAAGAAAATCTGCAATTTTAACGAATTTTTTTTTTATTACGACTTACAATGATTAGATAATAATATTTAGTAGTTATTTAAGTGAAACTCGTACCTCGATTACAGTATATTTATTCGCCGATTAATTAAGTGCATGATCGTTATTATTCGAAATAAATTTCTCGTTCCTGTTATAAAGTCTTTTATTTATATTTTATAGTTGTGTTTTCTTAAAAAAAAACTGTATGCAATTTTATTCTTATTTGCTAAAGGTAAGCTTCCTGTTCTTCTTCTTCTTCTTTTAAAATATATATTTTAAATAATATTTATTATTTATATATAAATTGAAATTTTTTTTCCACAAAGATATTCTTCGGTTTGTTGGCAATTTCGTTTTCAAATATAGAATATCGTTAAGGAAAATATAAAAGAATATAAATTTGAATAATTTGCACCAATTTCTTGCTTTGTCTTGGAACAAGAAGAAGAAGAAGAAGAAATGTAGTCTAATTCCTAGACAGAGTAATTCTACTGTAATTTTCTTTTCTTACCTTTTACTTCTGCCTTTTCCTTAAGCATTGCCTTGTATACACGTTCTTCCATGGTCAATCACCTTGAAGTGTACCTGGAAGATACAAGTTTTTGCATTACACTTTAACATTTAAAAGGACTCTGTAAAAATTTTATACGATTTTAATTCATATGAATTATAATAAACTAAAATTAATATTAATTATTATATTTTCTTTTTTTATTTAAACTTCATTAGTAATTTTTTTTTATTTCACTTTAAATAGTGTCATAGCAATTAAAGGAATTATCTTAATTTATAATTTAAATTAAAGTGAGAAAAAATTAATCTAATGTTTATATTAAGGGTTATGAAATTTTTAATTTTGATGGTACCATTTATAATTTTTATGGTATTCATTATAATTTAATTGGTACCAGTAACAATATCGATGGTACGACATATTATTTTTATGGTAAATTAACAAATATATTTAAAATTTAAATATTACCATTTATATTTATTTTATTCTTTACAATTTGGTTGGTACCGGTAACTATTTTAATTATATCACTTACTATTTTTATGGTATTCCTATTATAAAAAAAATCATAATCGTAACGTATAATGCGTAACGCTTTTTCGTAAAAACTATAATAAAATCAATTAGTCAAATGTAATATCAATAAAAAAGGTAATATAAAAACAACATAAAACAAGGAGGAAGGATTTTTCCCTTTTCCACACGGAGAAAAAAGATTTCTTTTAAGTAACTTTTACTACTTTCAGAGTAAAACTGGACCAACTCGAAGTTTCTGCGCATCTCTGGCAATTTTTACTCCAAAAATAGTAAAATTTACTCTAGAAATAGTAAAACTTACTACGGAAACAGTAAAATTTACTACAGAAATAATAAATTTTACTATTTTTGGAGTAAAAATTGCCAGAGATGCCCAGAAACTTCGAGTTGGTCCAGTTTTACTCTGAAAGTAGTAAAAATTACTTTTTCTTTTTCTCCGTGCAGGAAAACATTCTTAAAAAAAAATTATTTTTCAACATATTTTAGAGTTAGTATGATTTAAATAAAGTAAATTTTACTTAAAAAAAAGGAGTCAATGAAATAAATGACAAAGAAATTATTTAGTTAGTTTTTAAGGGATTTTGTCCTTTTCCAGGAGAACATTCTTTTTAAAAAAATAGTTTTTAACATAAAAAAAATAGTTTTCAATATATTTCCCAGATAGTATGTTTTAAAAAAAGTATTTTTTACTTGGAAAAAATAATAGCCAATGAAATAAATGACGCAGAGAAATTATTCAGTTAGTTTTTGAGTGATTTTCTCCTTTTCCAGGAGAACATTCTTTCAAAAATAATCGAATAAAATTGATTATTCTTATTCTATTGCAATTTAGGTTCAATTGGTAGGTTTTTTTTGAAGGTAATACGTGTTGTTTTAAGGTAAAAAAATTATAGAAACATGCTGATTAATTTTATTTGACTTTGAAAGGGATTTTTTCAATTTCCAGGAAAACATTCTATCTAAAAAAATCGAAAAAAATTTATTATTCTTATTCTATTGCAATTTAGTTACAATTGGTAGGTTTTTTTGAAGGTAATAAGTGTCGTTTTTAGGTAAAAAAATAATAGAGACATGCTGTTTAATTTTATTCAACTTTGTAAGGGATTTTTTTTTATTTCCAGGAAAACATTCTATCAAAAAAAAGTGAAAAAAATTGATTATTCGTATTCTATTGCAATTTTAGTCCAATTGGTAGGTTTTTCAGAGGTAATATGTGTTATTTTAAGGTAAAAAAATAATAGAGACATGCTGTTTAATTTTATTTGACTTTGTAACGAATTTTTTCATTTTCCAGGAAAACATTCTGTCAAGAAAAATCGAATAAAATTGATTATTCTTTTTCTATTGCAATTTTGGTTCAATTGGTAGGTTTTTTTGGAGGTAATATGTCTTGTTTTAAGGTAAAAAAATAATAGGAACATGCTGTTTAATTTTAATTGATTTTGTAAGGGATTTTTTCATTTTCCAGGAAAACATTCTATCAAAAAAAAGTGAAAAAAATTGATTATTCGTATTCTATTGCAATTTTGGTTCAATTGGTAGGTTTTTTTTAAGATGATACGTTTTGTTTAAAGGTAAAAAAATAATAGACATGCTGTTTAATTTTATTCAACTTTGTAAGGGATTTTTTCATTTTCCAGGAAAACATTCTATCTAAAAAAAATGAAATAAAATTGATTATTCTTATTCTCTTGCAATTTAGGTTCAATTGGTTGATTTTGTTGAAGGTAATAAGTGTCGTTTTAAGGTAAAAAAATAATAGAGACATGCTGTTTAATTTTATTCAACTTTGTAAGGGATTTTTTCATTTTCCAGGAAAACAACCTTTCATAAAAAATGAGTTTTTTTCTTTAAATTTAAAGGTATTATTAGTTATTTTCTATAGTTTGTATGTTTTGAAAAAAGTATTTTTTACTTGGAAAAAATAGTAGCCAATAAAATAAATGACAGAGAAATTATTTAGTTAGTTTTTGAGTGATTTTCTCCTTTTCCAGGAGAACATTCTATTAAAAAAATGGTTTTTAACATAAAAAAATTAGTTTTTAATATAAATGAGGTTTTTTTAAATTTAAAGTTATTATTAGTTATTTTCTAGTTTGTATGTTTTGAAAAAAGTATTTTTTTACTTGAAAATAATAGTAGTCAATGAAATAAATGACAGAGAAATTATTTAGTTAGTTTTTGAGTGATTTTACCTTTTCCAGGAGAACATTCTATTAAAAAAATGGTTTTTAACATAAAAAAATTAGTTTTTAATATATTTCCCAGTTAGTATGCTTTGAAAAAAGTATTTTTTACTTAAAAGAAATGGTATTCAATGAAATAAATGAAAGAGAAATTATTTAGTTCGTTTTTGAAGGGAGGAGGAAGAATTTTTTCATTTTCCAGGAAAACAACCTTTCATAAAAAAAGAGTTGATTTTTAAATTTTAGCGTATTATTAGTTATTTTCTAGTTTGTATGTTTTGAAAAAAGTATTTTTTTACTTGGAAAAAATAGTAGTCAATAAAGTAAATGACAGAGAAATTTAGTTAGTTTTCGAATGATTTTACCTTTTTCAGCAGAACATTCTATTTAATTTCTATTTAATTCTATTTAATTTAAAAAAATAATTTGATGATTAAAAATCAATAATCAGCGTGCAAAAGTGCCGGATGGTCTATAGTATTTATAATAATTGTATGCTACCAGTTACAATGTCGATGGCAAATTGTATGGCACTATTTACAATTTCGATGGTACAATTCATCGTTTTTTAATGGTATTTCTAAATTATATATGGTACCATTAATATTTTCTATGGTACCATATATAAATTAGTTTATTTTGCTGAAAATTTCATGAAATCATCAACAAACTATTTTAATTGAGCCATTACACGGTTTATCTTTTTTTTTTTGCTAGAAGAATTTACTATACAGACACATGTACCGTTCAAATAATTTTTTCTGTTTTTTTCTTTAGAAAATTTTAGACAAAAGATCTTTTTTTTTTTGGAATATATATAAAATTGATTTTCCATAGATTATGAAATATCTCAATTAGAAATATCTATCACTTCCGGTTTAAATTATTCCGGACAAACTATGAGAGACTCTTTTACACTCCCTGTCTGATTCTTCTAAAGATTAAGGTGTGTCCTTCGGCGTTTGGTTTGGTGGAGGGAATAAAGGGAAAGAGTGGAGGGAAGGGAGGTCTGGAATGAAAAAGTCAGTGAGAGAAAGGGAGAGAGAGATAGGAAAAGCGAGACTTGAGAGAGTATATACCGTTGCATCTGAATGGACCAGAGGTGAGCGGTATGAGACTCAGTGGAAGACAAGCAGCCTCCACGTGAGTCTCGTGTCATATATATACCTGCGAAACATTGTGAATATTTTCCAATTATTTCTTCACTACTGTAAATGTCTATTTCAAGCCAGGTAGGCTTTAAATTCTTGTGTTTTACAAAAATCTTCATTTTCTTCTTCTTTCTCTTCTTATTTCTTCTCCTTTAATTATTTCTTCATTTTTATTTTGTTTCTTCTTTTAATTATTTCTTAATTATCTTCGTTGCAATTCTTCTTCTATAATTCTTCATTTTTTGTTTCTGTTTTTATTTTGCACTTATAATTATTTCTTCATTCTCTTCATTTTTGGAATTTTATTTCTCTACACGTATTAATCAGTGAAGTCCTACTTAGGTGATAGTTCGTCCTGGTTGTATTTGACTTATGTCCTAGTTCTCTTCGCGTGGGATTAAAAACAAAATTTATGGATGGATTTTTTATAAGTGAATGTTTATAATTAACTGAATTTATTACTTCAGTGATGTTTAAGTGAAGTTTATGGATTCGAAAATATATATATACTTTAATAATAAAGTGAAGTTCAATAATTCGTCACTAATACTTTTTTTTATAATACAGAAAATTAATAGACATTAAAATAAGCTGCAACGCTTATTATTTTAATCCAATTTTGCTTATTTTAATACCAAAATGGATTAAAATAAGCAAAATTGGATTAAAATAATAAGCGTTGCAGCTTATTTTAATTTTTTTAATTTTTAATTTCCAAAATGGATTAAAATAAGCAAAATTGGATTAAAATAATCCAATTGCAGCTTATTTTAATGCCTTTTAATTTTCTGTGAAGAGATGTTAAATGATTCGATAATAAAAATTATAAATAATTTATAAAAGATAGATTGAAGCTATTTAGTCTTCAATAGAAAAATATACGAAAAGAATTGATTTCAACTAAATAAATTTATCACTAAATAAATAAAGTTTTTTTTAAATTTCTTTTTATTTTAGTTTCATTTTTTCAAAAATTGCCTTTCAAAGCCATATTCATATTATCTTCATTAAATCTTGAAGACGCAGGTGAACGAATATATTTGTGACCTACACTGAACACCTGTACTCATTAGCGCAGCTGATTCCTGGGTCACCACAAAAATATATATATAAATATAGAAGAGAAAAAAAAATGTCTTCAGTATGTGAGAAGAAAAATTTTTTAGAAATAACAAAAAAAAAAATTTTTTTTTTTAGAATAAGGGTTGTGGTTTTTGTGGTATAAAATTGTCATTCAGAAAACACGTTGCGCATATACATATATATGAATGTATCGAGAATCAAGCTGAATCGAAGGACCGAATAATACCGTAAGTTACACCTTTCGAGAGGGGGATTTGAGGGAAAAGCGGTCACGTTGATACTTTGCTATAAAGGTTCTCCTCGCAGTCTCGTGTGCGATCGTGTTCAAAATGCAACCATCAGTGAAACTTTCTGCTTTGCTATGCGAATAAATTTTCACCTTTTTAATTCTAAATTTACACCGAAAGTGATGTGAATTTTTTTTTTTTTTTATCGTTTGACCTTGTAATTTTACATAAATTGTCTCATTCACTTTTCAATATTCTATTTGGCGCCAGTAAATAAAAATATACTATTCAAATCAGTGTTTCAGTTGAGTGATTGACCCTATTTTTTTTAAATGCCGGAAGATTGTTAATTATTCAGATAATACACTGTCCGGAAACTGAAATTTCAATGGTAATTCACATATATACAAATAATGTTGTTTGTTTCCTCTTTTTTCGATGATAGGAAAAAATAAAATTTCTTTTTGTCATTTATTTTAAATGGAAATTTTATTAACAATTCTTGCTGTTTTTTTTTAATATTTTCTTTTTTTGTATTTCGCCTTAAAATTAGAGAAAGTTTTTGGAAAAAAAAGAAAGTTCTTGAATTTAAAGAAAAAAACATTCTCTTTGATTGAATTTTTTTTGTATATAAAACATGTTTCTTCAATTCCAACTCCAGTGGGGAACACAGAAAATTAAAAGACATTAAAATAAGCTGCAACGCTTATTATTTTAATACAATTTTGGTATTAAAATAAGCAAAATTGAATTAAAATAATAAGCGTTGCAGCTTATTTTAATGTCTTTTAATTTTCTGTGAAAAATTAGTTTTTTTGAATGAATTTATCAATCCTGATATTAAAAATATTTTTTCTTCTTCACATATGAATGAATGTTTTTATTTAATTAATTTTCACGGGAAAAATATTGAAAAGAATTTTTGAATTTTAGAAATGCCTAGTCCAGAGCTCGAAGCTGTTAATATTCTTGAGACCCTTGAATCCGGTCTGGCGTTACTTCCTGGGGGAAGAGATCGCGAAGGTCGGCCATTGGTTGTTGTAAATGTCCCTCCAGGTGATCCACCTTCAAGTTCCAAGTCTAAATTGGAAACACTTTTGGAATATTATTTGTCAATTTTTAGGTGAATAAAAAAAAAATAAAAATAATTGAAGAAGATTTAATTATTTTTATTTTTCATTTCCTTCATTATATAATTATAATATAAATAAATAATTATTAATTATTAATTATTAATTATTAATTATTAATTATTAATTATTAATTATTAATTATTAATTAATAAAAATTATTACACACAATTTTTTTTTACAAATAATTTTCATTAATAGAAGTAAGAATTGATTATAAAATTTTATTAAATTATATTTCAGTGAAGAAACTAAACAAAATGGTTTGTGTCTTTTAATTGATGCACGCTATGCTGTTTGGCGTGTCGCAAGATCTTTTATTCGACATTCGACACTTCTTTTGGGCACCAATGCAACATCAACAATTGCAGTTCGTCCTGATGGATTTTGGGACAAACGAGTTGATAATTGTACAAAATCTCATAAAGAAGGAGAAGTATGTCTAAAGTCACGTGTATCAATTTTTTTTTATTCCTTCAATTATTTATTTATCTTCAAAAATTATTGAAGATATATAATAAAAAAATAATAACTTATTTTTGTTTATGTTTCAGCCAATATACATTCCAGTTACCAGATTATATACGTTTATTCGACCAAATCAATTGACCTATGATTTGGGAGGAACAAAATCTTATGATCATACTGAGTGGATTCAGAGTCGAGTGGTAAATAATAAATTTTATAATTAATGTTAAATTTGAATTCGTGAAAATATGAAAAATTACAATTTGGATGGTATTATTTACAATTTGAATGGTACCACTCATTATTTTCATTGTATTATTTATAATTTTTATGGTACCATTTACAATTACAACGGTACCATTCAGTTCTTTGGTACCATTCACTATATCGATGGTACTATTTATAATTTTGATGGTTTCATTTACAATTACTACGGTACCATTCAGTACTTTGGTACCATTCACTATATCGATGGTACCATTTATAATTTTGATGGTACCATTTACAATTACTACGGTACCATTCAGTTCTTTGGTGGTACCATTCACTATATCGATGGTACCATTTACAATTACTATGGTACCATCCAGTTTTTTGGTGGTACCATTCATTATTTCTATAGTACCACTCATTATTTTGATGCTACCATTTATAATTTTAGTGGTACCATTTATAATTTTGATGGTACCATTTACAATTACTATGGTACCATTAATTATTTCTATGGTACCACTTATTATTTTGATGGTACCATTTCTAATTTTGATAGTACCATTTACAATTACTATGGTACCATCCAGTTTTTCGGTGGTGCCATTCATTATTTCTATGGTACCACTCATTTTTTTGATGCTACCATTTATAATTTTAGTGGTACCATTCACAATTACTATGGTACCATCCAGTTTTTTGGTGGTACCATCCAATATTTCGATGGTACCATTTATAATTTTGATAGTACCATTTGCAACTACTATGGTACCATTCATTATTTTTATGGTACCTCTCATTATTTTGATGGTAACATGTATCATTTTGGTGGTAGCATTTACCATTATTATGGTACCATTCAGTTTTTTGGTGGTACCATTCATTATTTCTATGGTACCACTAATTTTTTTGATGCTACCATTTATAATTTTAATGGTACCATTCACTATTTCGTTGGTACCGTTTACAATTACTATGGTACCATTCAGTTTTTTGGTGGTACCATTCAATATTTCTATGGTACCATTTATAATTTTGATAGTACCATTTACAAATACTATGATACCATTTATTTTTTATGGTTCCATTAACAAGTTTTATAAAAATATAATGTACATGTTTTTTTTGCATGCACGTAGCACATCGAAGAACATGCTAACGATTTTTCAATGTTAATTGCCAAAATGACAGATCTTAGAAATAATTTAAGAAGTCTTGAAAAAATTCGCTCAAGAGAATCCAAAGATAATCTTGCATCTTTTTGGGAAACCGGAACTGAAGTCACGTTTGCAGCTCGACGTATTCTTAACACAGGTTTATAATATCCACTTCAGTATTTTTCTTCATCATTATTTTTATATCTTCTTTTCATTTTTCTTTTTTCTTCTTACTAAAATTATTTTATTATTCAAATATTCTGGAAAATTTTCTTAGGTCGTCTCTTAGTAAACAGTTTAATGGGTAAAGATACATCGCAGGATATTTTAGATGCTGTGCAAGGAGTTAATAAATCTTTAGACACAATTGAACGCAAGCAGGTGTGTAGTGTAACGAATTTTTAATTTTTAATGAGAAAAAAAAAAGAAAGATTACACTCTAATTATTGTATATTTAATTTAATAATTATTGTTGCAGGTGGAAGTCGAAAGCGCTTGGACGGAAATGGAACGCAATTTAGATACAGTTAGGGAAATTAAAAACTTGGAGGAAAATGTTTCAAGAGTCACCAATTGGATTTTGGGTCCAGCTGATTCTATGCTTAATTCACGCTATCAAATTGGATTTGATGTTACTTCTTCCGAGGAATTAAGAAGGGAACATGAAAAATTAGAACTTGAATGTAGAGTATGTTAACAAACAATTATTATTAATTATTACTAATTTTTAATTATTTGATACAAAGAAACAATTATTTAAATTTTATTAATTTTAATTTTGAATATTAAAATTAATTATATACAGGATACGTATGGAAGATACGCTGAACTTCTTCATAGAATTGATAATGTACCAAACGGATGTGTATCAAGTGATCTCAAATCCCAAAGAGATTTTATGGATTTTGTGTGTCGAAGTTTTGCCACTAGATTAGAAAGACGAAGAAATGTTCTTATTACTTCCCAAAGATTTTTTCGACTCGTTTCAGAGGTTCAATATATTATTTTTTCATTTTATTGAATAAAATATTATTTCATTTTATGACTAAAAAAAATTTTTAAAATACAAAAAAACAATTAAAATAATTTATCAATTCTTTTTGTTTTACAGTATTTTGATAAAACAAGTGAAGTATTTGATAAGCTAATTATGGGTAATAGATCTCATGATTATTTACAAGCAAGATTAAAATTACAGAAACTGGAGAAAAGTCAATCTATGCTTGGTAAATGTATTTTAATTTATTTATACCATTTGTTAACAAACAATTTGTTTGCTATAAATATTTCTAATTAGAAAAATATAATTATGGGGAGAAAGTAAAATAATATAAGAATTTGTGATTTTTAGAAACTCTTGAGAAAGAATTGGTGAAAGAAGGTGAAAAATTGTCAGACATTCTTTCAATGCCTGTGAAGGATGCATTGTGCCGTGATATTCACGTTGATTACTGTGAAGATATAATTAATGTTCGTGATATTTTAGACGCCACGAATGCTAGAAAAAATATCTTCAACGATAGTGTTGAATTACAAAAATTAGCACTTAATCAAATCACATTGATACACACCTACGAAAATGATGCTCAACAGGTAGAAATCTAAATTATTTAAAAAAAAATTGTTTGTACTTTCAAAATGGTCTCCAATTTTAATCAAATTTTAATAATAAGTTGTAGAATGTTGTATGGTACCATTCACTATTTCGATGGTATTAGTCATTATTTAGCTGCTAACATTTATAATTTCGGTGGTACCACTCATTATTTTGATGGGACCATTTATAATTTTGGTGGTACCACTTACAATTATTATGGTACCAGTATTTTGATGGTACCAATAATTATTTCCATGGTACCATTCATTATTTTGATGGTACCATTTATAATTTTGATGGTACCACTTACAATTATTATGGTACCAGTATTTTGATGGTACCAATCATTATTTCCATGGTACTATTTATTATTTTGATGTTTCCATTTATAATTTTGATGGTACCGCTTACAATTATTATGGTACCATTCACTATTTCGATGGTACCAGTATTTTGATGGTACCAATCATTATATCCATGGTACCATTCATTATTTTGATGGTACCATTTATAATTTTGATGGTACCACACAGTATTTTGATGTTTCCATTTATAATTTTGATGGTACCACTTACAAATATTATGGTACCATTCACTATTTCGATGGTACCAGTATTTTGATAGTACCAATAATTATTTCCATGGTACCATTCATTATTTTAATGGTACCATAGAAATAATTATTGGTACTATCAAAATACTGGTACCATCGAAATAGTGAATGGTACCATAATATTTGTAAGTGGTACCATCTAGTTTTTTAGTGGTACCATTAATTATTTCTATGGTACCACTCATTATTTTGATGGTAACATGTATAATTTTGGTGGTACCATTGACAATTACTATGGTACCATTTAGTTTTTAGTGGTACTACTCATTATTTCAATGGTACTATTTATAATTTTGATGGTACCATTTACAATTCCGGTGGTACCATTAATTTCTTTTGCAATTTATTTAATTACTCTCCCCCCATAAAAAATTGAAATTTTTTAATTTAAAAAATTAATGATTTGAAATTTACATTCAAAGGCTGTACATTGGTTAAATGATCTCTTCGATGTTCTTCTTGGAAGTCACGTTGAAATTGGCTGCAATATGAATGAAATTCAATCGCAAAAGGAAGAACATCAAGCATTCCAAGATACTGCCAAGGTAATTAAAATAATTAAATATAAAACTTGATTCATTAAATATATTAACGGTATATCAAAACAAGAAATTAAAATGTCTACAAAATTAGGGTACGTACGAGTACGGATGCCAATTAATAAATGGAGCTCGAGTACTTAGGCTTTCCTGTAAATTATCAGTAGTGGAAAATACTGATCTATCAGTTAGATTACGTTTGGCATGGAGAAAATTACATTCTGTTGGACAAGAGCAACTAACAAGATTGAGAGTTTGTGCCGTTTTTCATAGAAACGTTGACGACGTAAGAAATTCACCTTTTTAATTACTTTAATTATTATTATTATTATTTGTCTAATTATTTTTTTCACCTAGAAGAACAAAATTATATGTCAACAAATTATTGTCATTATAAAAATATTCCATTTTTTTCGTAATTAATTTCATTGAAACTAATTAGTTCAATTAATTAATAAAATAATTAATTAGTTAATTGATTAATTTTATTATTTAATTAATAATGTTATTTTTTTAGCATTGTAAACAATTAGGTGATATAATTGAAATTGTAGAGAAGTTGTTAGAAAAACAGAAATTAAAAGTCGAATCGGGATCATCACCGGATGTTGAAACTTATCCGAAGGTCGAAATAAGAGAAATTCTCACAAAAAGAGAAGTACTTTTGCCGGAAGTTGGACGAATGGTGAGACTTGGCAGACTCTTGAGAACAAGATTAAAAGATCCATTAAATTACCAACGGTAAAATCTATTTTATATTTGCTAATTGATCAAACTTTGTTATCAGTTGAACCAAAAGAAGAAAAATTCTCTATAGATAGCAAAAATATTAAAAGTTTTTAAACAGTGTCTGACTGGAAATTGACTTTACTACTGATAGCAAAAAAAAATCATTTTAGTCTGACTAAAACTGACTGCTACTACTTATATCAAATTCTAAAGCATTTTGCCTGTCTGACTGAAGTTGGTTTTTACTACTAATGAAAAAAATTCTTAAATTTATTAAGTTGCCTGACCAAATATGACTGCTACTACTTATAAAAAATTAAAATATTATTAGTCTTACTGAAACGGACTTTTACTACTAATACCAAAATTTTAACAATTTAATACGTTGTCTGACTAAAGAGGACTGCTACTACTAATACTAAATTAAAAATTATAAGTTCGATATGAAACTGCATTCTTTTAGTAACAAAATTTCTAGAATTTATAATCTTGTCTGGCTGAAAAAGACTTTCACTACTTATATAAAATGGACAATTATTTTTCAGGCTGTCTGAAACAGACTTTTACTACTCACATTACAATTATTAGAAATTGGAAAAATTCTACATGTTAACTTTTTTTAACTAAATATCAATGTTATTAAATATTAAAAACGCTGTCTGACTAAAACATACTTTTACTACTGAGAGTTAATTTTTAAAAAAATTGTTATCTATTTTATTATTTTCTTTATAATTTATTCAATTTCCAAAAAATTTTCTTCCAGTTTTACCTATTTTATAGATTTATCTAAACGAATTCTATGGAATTTGATATAAAACTTGCAATAAAATCCCTATTCTCGTTAGTCACATCAAATATAAATGTATGTTTGCGAAATTTCTCAAAATATCTTTTGGAAGCAACGAACCAATATATATACATATATATATGTTTATCCAGGAGCAAAAACAACGAAGAGTGTGAAAATAACCTTCCCTTACTTTCAATTCCCCTCCATTGAAATCTTTTGCGCGCATGTATACTGATGGCAATGACGTTCCAACTAAATTAGATCAGTGACCTACCTTTTCATTTCTTTTCGCGCTGTCAAGGCATCGCTGTCACTTTCTTACATAATATCTTTCACGCGAGTTGAATGTCTCCTTTTTTTTTGCACATTTCAAAATTTTTGAATACCTAATTAATTAACAAAAAAAATTATTTTATTCTTATTTATGTGATATTAAAAAAAAATTTTTTTTCAAATATATCCCAGAATGTCCGATTCGGAGAGAAAATCACCTGATGAAAGTGGAAATTTATCGGCAATTGAATCAATTTCAAATAAATTACTTGAAGTTACGAGGCTCGCGGAAAAATTAGATGCAAAACTTAGTGAGGCTGGAGCGAGGACCAAACAAGATGACAATAGCTCTACGCGCCTAGATTCACCGCGTCATCAAACCACTTGCGTTGATTTTCAGAAAGATGAAAAAAAAGATCATTCCGTTGAGGTTTGTTATTTATGTTTTTATTAATTTTTTTTTTTATTAATGTTTTTATATTAATTCTTTTTATTAATGTTTTATTAATTTTTTTTTTATTAATATTTTTATTAATGTTTTTATTAATGTTTTTATTAATAAGGAATTCTATAACAATTATAAAAAATTACCATTTACAATAAATATGGTACCATTTCTTTTGGTGGTACCATTCATTATTTCAATGGTACCTCTCATAATCTTGATGGTAACATGTATAATTTTAATGGTACCATTTACAATTATTATGGTACCATTCAGTGTTTTGGTGGTACCACGCACTATTTCAATGGTACCATTCATTATTTCGATGATACCATTTATAATTTTGATGATACTACTCATTATTTCGATGGTATCATTAACGATTACTCTGGTACCATCCCGTTTTTGGTGGTACCATTCATTATTTTTATGGTACCAATCATTATTTTGATGCTACCATTTATAATTTTAGTGGTACCATTCACTATTTCGTTGGTACCATTCAGATTTTTGTTGGTACCATGCACTATTTCAATGGTGCTACTCATTATTTCGATGGTACCATTAACAATTACTATAGTACCATTCATTATTTCTATGGTACCTCTCATTATTTTGATGATAACATGTATAATTTTTGTGGTTCCGTTTACAATTATTATGGTACCATTCAGTTTTTTGGTGGTACCATGCAATATTTTAATGGTACCATTCATAATCATGATGGTAACATGTATCATTTTGGTGGTACCATTTACCATTATTATGGTACCATTCAGTTTTTTGCAGTACCATGCAATATTTCAATGGTACCATTCATTATTTCTATGGTACCACTCATTATTTTAATTATAACATGTATAATTTTGGTGGTACCACTTACAATTATTATGGTACCATTAAGATTTTTGGTGGTACCATACACTTTCAATGGTACTACTCATTATTTCGATGGTACTATTAACAATTACTATGGTACCATTCATTATTTCTATGGTACCTCTCATTATTTTGATGGTAACATGTATATTTTTGGTGGTACCATTTACCATTATTATTGTACCATTAAGTTTTTTGGCAGTACCATGCAATATTTGAATGGTACCATTCATTATTTTTATGGTACCACTCATTATTTTAAATATAACATGTATAATTTTGGTGGTACCATTTACCATTATTATGGTACCATTCAGTTTTTTGGTGGTACCATGCACTATTTCAATGGTACCACTCATTATTTCGATGATACCATTGAGTTTTTTGGTGGTACCATTCACTATTTCGTTAGTACTACTGATTATTTCGATGGTACCATTAACAATTACTATGGTACCATTCATTATTTCTATGGCACCTCTCATTATTTTGATGGTAACATGTTTAATTTTCGTGGTACCATTTACAATTATTATGGTAGCATTCAGTTTTTTGCTGGTACAATTTATTATTTCTATGGTACCACTAATTATTTTGATGGTAACTGTATAATTTTGGTTTTTTTATTATTATTTCTATTAAAGTTTATATAAATAAGGAATTTAATAACAATTATAAAAATTTTTTTTATTCGAACCAAATTTAAATTATTTTTAATCGTCTTTAGTAAATTACAAATTTCGCAGATTGCAACTGATGAAAAATTACCTGATAGCACAATTGAAGATTCGAATATTGAAGAATATGTAACAGCAACGGAATGTTCAACAACGCCAATTATTCGATCCCGAAGTGAATCAGTTATAACAAGTTCTGAATATGAAGATGCATTAAGCAGGTAATAATTATTTTGATACAAATAAATAATTATTTATATAATTGTAAATAATAATTATTAAATATTTCTTTGATAATAGTTAAGTAACCAATTAGTGGAATCAAATAAATTTTTCTTCATTATCATTTTTTAATTTGTTACTTCTTTTCTTTTTTATAATAATAAAAATATTTGTTTCTGTTAAATTTTGAGATAATTTTTTCATGTACGCGTGGGAATATTAATTTACATTAAATATACATAAATTTATAGACAAAATGTTGTATTATTATTTATCAGTTAGAAAATAATTTGATCGCAGGAATGTTGATCACGCATCAACGCCTACGGAATACGTTATACCTGTTTTATCATCGAAGAAAAGCGAGCCAGCAATTATAAAACCAATAGCCATAAAATCAACAGCGACAGGATCTCAAGATGAAACGAACTGTGATCGAGCTGTTTCAATACAAAGATTCATTGAGGTAAAAATATATATATATATATATATTGAAACTTGAACTTTAAATTAGTAAATTGATACTGATACGTATTGGCAACCAGCATCAGTTTTTCGTTTCAAGGAGCATTGCTCCCGCATATATACCTGATAACCGCAAAATAAAAAATTCAAAAGAAGATGAAAGTATTTTTTTTTGCAAAAGAAAAAAAATTTAATTAAAAAAGCATTTTTTCATCATTAAAAATAATTTTTTATGATTTTTGATTTTTAAATTCTAAAGAAATTTTTTTTTTGAAATTCCAGGGAAAAAGTGGGAAGATTGTAAAGGAGGTGACAGAAACGACGACACTACGAGTGTCTCACGATACTCGATTAGGAGTATCGTCTTATAAATTAGTTGCTAATACAACTCGAGATAATCAACATCATTGTGATGTGAAAAAAATTCAAGATCTCAAACTCACTTGCGAAAGTGAAATTTCTCCATTAATGGAATTGAACAATTATTCCGAAGTTGCGAATAGTATGTGATAAACAATTATTATATTTGTTTTAAATTATTTATTTAAAAAAATTAATTATTTAAACAATTATCTATTTAAAAAATTAATTACTTAGCAAAATATTTATTTAAACAATTATCTATTTAGAAAATTATTTATTTAAAAAATTACTTATTTAATCATTATAATAATGATATAATGAAATTTTATTTTTAATTCACAGCTGGTCGTTTTTATAAAGACTACGATTCAGATTATTCAAAACAAACAGTTGGCCATTTAAATGGTTTTGAGAAAAAATTATGGTCACACGAACAGGAAGAACATTCATATTCACCGCAGCAATGTTCAATAAATGGTTCCGCGTCATTAATTAAATTCAATAAAATAAAAATGCTCGAATCATCATTGCCAATGAATAATAATAATAATTCAACAAATAATTATTATCAAAGATGCAAAGAAGAATTAACAACAAAAGATATGGAAACAATAAGGGACATTGATGGAATTGATAATGGGTTTTTAACCAAAATTCGTATGGTAAGTCAAAGAGGTTCTTCGTAAAAAAAAATGATTTTCCAAAAAAAAAATTTTATTTATTTTACTTTTGAGAATATAAAAAAGGGGGGGTTACTAACATGCCATAATTTATTGATCTTGAACAAGAGGCAGCAAAAAAAGCATGAGCTAATAACGCCTCCTGCTATTTATTTATATTAATTTTAACAATTTTTTTTTTTGATGTTGTATTGTTATGTATTTAATGCTGTATTTTTTATTTTTGTAAATAAAGTCAGTTTCCAATAGTTCGTTTTCATTTTAATTAATTAATATAAATTATTAATTTAATATTAATTAACTAATGTGAATTATTAATTTAGTTTTAATTACTTAATGTAAATTATTAATTTATTCTTGTTGATAATTTTTATAAAATTTGTTCTTTTTTTTGTTATCTTTTTTTCTCTTTAGAATCTGCATTGATATTAACTTCTTTGTTGCTTTTTTTTACAAAAAACCAATCGAAAATTTGGAAATCATCATCTTTAATCGGATAAATTTTACTGTAAGTAGAAAAAACCGTTTCAAGACAGACAGTGCAAATTTTAAACGCCCACGAAATACTACCCTCATAACAAAAGGATATCCCTAGGATATCCATATCAATGGTCGATATCCTAGAATGGTTCCCAGGATATCTTGGGATATCCATATCAATGGTCGATATCCTAGAATGGTCCCCAGGATATCTTGGGATATCCCTAGGACATCCAAACCGCCGGTCTGTGGGACATCCATAGAACATCCACAGGATATCCCTAAGACATCTACAAAATATCTATTGGATATTATATCGCAGGATATCCTCAGGATGTCCGTGGGATATTCTTAGGATATTCACGGGATATTTAATATCTCAACATATATTTTTAAAGGTTAAAATTGTTAAGCTAATATAATGAATAATAATTATAATAAAAACAAAAATCTTATGAGCTTCTAATTTATTTTAAATGAAGATTTGAAACGCATTTTTCAAAGTTTTTAAATAAACTCATGCACTTAATGTATAATTAATATTAATAGTTATTCGTTATTTGCGGGGAAGAATTTATATTGTTTAAAGCCAATTTATTTTCTAAAAATATTAAGCATATGAATAAAGGAATGAATCACGAATGAGCAAAAAAATTAGTTAATAATTTTTCAAATTAAACAACTTTTTCGAAAAACAAGTTGCATTTTATTTTATTTATATATAAAATTTAATTCACAGAATATTCTCACTCGTAGTCTACTAATGACTTTAAAAACAGTATCCTGAGAATATCTTCTTAACATCCAGAAGATATACTGAGAATATCCTGAAAATATCTGTGGGATATCCTGGTGATATCTATGGGATATCCTGATGATATCTGTGGGATATCCTGACGATATCTATGGGATATCTAGAGGACATTTATGAAAGTTTATAGAGATATCCAGAAGATATCCTGTGGATATCCTCATATATCCATGGGATATCCAAAGGATATCCAAACCGACGATTTTTTGGATATCCTTAAAAGATCCTTTTGATATCCATAGGACATCCCTAGGATATCTGCGGGATATTATCAATATATCCCAAGATATCTTGTGTTATTAGGGATTCGTATAAATATATACAAAAATAATCAATCAATTATTAATAAATCAAAATCAAATTCATCTGATGATCATTATTGATCAGATATTGGGAAATGTTCATATTAGAAAAGAAAAAAATTCATCTGATGATCATTATTGATCAGATATTGGAAAATTTTCATATAAGAAAAGACAAATTTTTCTTGAGGTAATAAAAATTCCCAAAAAAAAAAAAAATGATATTTAAATTAGAATTTGCAATTTTATCTCAAAAAAAGATTTGCTAAATATACAATTGCGCTTGGTGGATGATGGTATGGACCGATCATCATCCTCGGGAATTATCGGTGCAACTCGGGAATCTACCTTGGAAAGTGGGAAGTTCTCTTTATACCAGTTAAAGTTTTAAAAGTTTTAGTGTTTGAGCGGCCTTCGCGGCAGATTGTTATAATACACGTCGCTCGATTCTCATATAACACATGTCACGCGTGTCTTATTAATAATGTTATTGTTGTTCCGTGAGTGTGAATACTTCCGGTATCAATTTTTATTCAATTCATATGTGTGACAATTTTTTTTTATTTCGTCCTTATGATCTTCAAATATTTTATCCTTGAATTTTTCTTTTACCGCGCAAAATTTTGGTACTGAATTAAAAAAAATTACAAAAAATAATTTGAATTCGAAAATTTAAGAATCGATGAAAAAAATTTTTGTGGAAATTATAAATTTTCTCATGTAATTTGTGCAAAATTCGAATTTTCAAATTTTATTATAGATCGAAAGATTTAAAATTAACTTACGAAGATTAAAAATAATTTTCCCTAATGAAAATTTTTTAAAGTTGATAGAACACTGTGTTATCAGACACATATTCTTGAATGAATACCATATTTGAAATAATACAAAAAATTAAATTAAATTGAAAAAAATTGAAATAATTAATTTAAAAGAAAATTTTTTTATAATGTTCCCAAATTTTTGTTCACTTTCTATGCATTATTTCTGGTTGAAGGGCTACCGGTCAGGCAGGTTTTCTTTACGTCCATGTCGATGACGTCAGTATGCGCTAAGATTCATATTATAAATACAATGCGCCGGGTTTTTAAAACTTCTGGGAGGAAAATTGTAGAAAAAAAAAAGACAGGAAACATTAATTGACACTCCGAGGATCATTATTATTATTATTATTAATTAAAGTGCATTAAACTTAATTTCTATTTTTATCTCATTTTAAACAAGTCCGTTATCAACACACTTCCATTATCTTCATCTTCCGCGGAACATTATATTTTCTCCACTCTCTTGTTATTATTCAAGGCTAATGAATTTGTTCAGTCAATGTTAAGTAATTCGTTAGCAATTTATATTTTCTATTTCTTCAATTTTTGTTTTTAATTTCTTTTTTATTTAAATTTTTAATATTTCAATTTTTGTAATTATTTATATTTATCAAGAAAAAAAATATTTATTTTTATATATAGTGCGACAAATTATGTGTTATTTAACGTTACATACGACATTAAATAACAAAATATTCTTTCATGGCTTCTGCGGTTTTGCGTGTCATATACATATATATATATATATATATATATTGGTCTATGGCCAAAAATAATGTTTCTTCGAAGGCTTCTCTTAATTGACACCAAGAAGAAAGACAAGGAAGAATGTAGTGAAAAGAAATTTTTTTTTTTTTAAAAGAAATGAGAGAGAAATGTTATCTTGAAAAGAAGTAAAAAAAATAGAAAAAAAGTGGGTGAAATTGATTTATTACATTATAAAAAAATATTTGGAAAAATTTTTCATGTATTTTAAAAATGCAGAAGATATAAATTATTTTCAAAAAAGAGTGAATGAAGCAATAAAAATTGTTTTAAATAAATTCAAAGTTAAGTTTGTTTGACTTTGATGAAATGAAAATAAGCAACTGTTTTAAATGAAGATTATATATTTCAAACAATCTCGCAGGCATTCTAAACTATTATTAACTTTATGTAAAATACTTTTTTTTTCTTTTCAGTTATTATTAAATAAGAATTGTATAATTATATGGATAAACATTTTTTAAACTGTCGACTTTTTAAAAGCTTTAAGACAAAAATAAAAATGATACAATGAAGCTGACTAGTTTTCTATATTTAAAACAATATGATACAGTTCATGAAAATTTTTCATCTTTCTGTTCTTTGCATTTAGAATAAAAATATTCATGTAAATTGTTTAAAAAAAAAAAATTTTTTTAATTTAAAAAAAAATTTTTTTAATTTAAAAAAATTAGAAAATAAATTCAAAAGGAAGGAAAAGGAAATTTAATATTTTCAAAATAACATTGCCAATTAAAAATAATAAATTACGATTCAACAAATTAAAATTTATTTATTTTTGCAGATAATACAATATTGAAGTTATATTAATAAATATTTTTGGAATTATAATTTTATCAATAATTAATTAGAAAATAATATTAAATTATTGTTTATTAAAATAAATAATTAATATTCCGTTGCTAAGAAAAAAGAATCAGTAACAATTGCCATGCGGAAAGTTTTTGGAATTATGTAATTTTATCAATAATTAAAAAATAATAAAAATTTAATTAGAAAATCAAAAAAATTAATAAATAGCAGAAAGAAAGTAGTACAAAATATTGAAGAAATAGAAAACATATTTTTGACTTACAATAAAAAATATAATTTTTAAAAATAAGTGTCAGAAATTGAATACTGTAATTGTGGATTACAGTAAAGCCTTTAATAAGAATTATCCATATTTGATTAAAAAAAAAAAAAAAAAATTATCAGCCTTGAGTAATAACGATATCACTCGATTACGTAACAAAATTTTTCGGTTTTCATAAATAATCCCGTTGTCGCAACAAAATTATGACGATTAATCGTGTTTCTGCACTACTGACAAGGTCACTGTCGCGCTGTATATTTATTGTATATATAAAAAAAAAAAACTTGGAAATGCAATGCCAGCGAATATTTTTCTGAACATTAGCCAACTATATCAAATTGCGAAAAAAATATAATAATAATTATACTTCTGTCAATTTCTTCGTATATTCTAAGTTCAGTTAATTTTAAGTTCAAAAAATCATAAAAAAATATTTTAATTTTCTATTAAAATTAAATAAAATACAAAAATAAATAAACAAATTTGAAGATCAAGGATTGAAGAGGAAAAAATTTATTTATTTAATAAAATAAACCGGGTACGAATTATTTTTGTTTTGACAGTTGATTGAGAAAAAAAAGAAATGAATAATCAATTATTGTGTTAGTGGAAAAGAATTGGATGTAAAAAGAAAAAAAAAAGTTATAGAATATGGTAAATGGATGTGAATCCGTGGACATGGAGGAGAATCGCGAAGATGTTGATGTTCAACAGGGGGATTTTTTGGCAAATAGATCGGAGGAAATTTCCTCCTCTCAATCCCCTGTGACGACAACAATTGGAACAATTGCACTGCAAAGTGGCGATACTCGTCTTGTTATTGCGCTTCTTCAAGTAAGAAACAATTTTTTTTTTTTTACAATTTTTTTTACATCCATTTTTTTGGAAATAAATATTTCTATTTATTTTTTAAATTAATTTTTTTTATATTGAAAATTAATTAGCAATAAATAAATAAATAATCAATTAGTCAAATAATTATAATGAAAATTTGGAATTCTTCTATAGAAGAATAGAATCTCTAATACTTCCTCGATGAGGAAGCAATTCAAATATATTAGAAAACAAATTAACATAAAGTTATTGCTTATTAACATATAACATGGAAAAATGCATAAAAGAGTTCTAAGATTAATGTACTCTTCTATATGACACTTTTTTTTAAGAGTTCGAAAAGAAAAACAGGTTTTGAAAGTTTAGCTATTGAAGTCACATAGAGAGTTCAACGCCCGAATCTATTGGTATCTAGGAATATATATATTTTTCATTATAAAAACCGCCTTTCTGATTTAAAAATTAGAATAAATATTTTATCTTCAAACCCCATGAAAATATAATAATAATAATACAATACAAACTAAATATTTATTCTGCAAACAAAAAAAAAATCGAAAGAATTAGTTATTTTTAAAAAAGTGGGTTTAGTTTCTTTCCCACAATCGATTGCAATTACAATCCTTTTAAAGGAGATAAAATCTGAAAGTGTAAAAAAGTAGGAGAAAAATTGCAGTTTGCAATTTTTTATTATCAATTTTAGATCAAGAAAATGTTTTTTTTTTTTTGTAAAATCGGTAAAGAAACAGATTTTGTTTAACTGTGAACAGCTTCTAATCTTGTTCAACTTTTTGTCTGCTATTAATTGTTATTAGTATTAATTGCAATAATTGTTCGTTAATATTCAAAAACAAATACAAAAGCAACAATGAAGCTAATCAGATACGAATTAAGTATCCTAATTGTGATATGTAATGAAATTTTCGCATTATCTTCAAATAGTGATTATGGATTAGTAAAGTATCTAAAGAAAGAGTCGAAAATGCATCAGGTGATGTTTATTCTCGACGATCAGGTCAATAGCACAAGGCATTTTGTAAAGAAAATCGGTAGGGATTTTCCATTCTTGTGTATCAGCAACAGTGAAGTGAGAAATAAATTGAAAAAAATTTATTTACCATCACTTGAAAATCCTAGAAAAACAACTCTATTTGTATTGGAGAAAAATAGTCTAAATCATAAAACTATTTCTTCACTTCTTAAAGTAATGTTTCTACTTAAAATACTATCAAAATATTCATCACAGCCAAAATGTTTAATTGTAGTACATTCTCGTCAATCAAATGACATAAATCAAAATCAAATTTTACAACAACTTTGGAAAAATGACTTTTTAGACATTATGATTTTGATGTACAATCAAAAGAAGAATAAGATACCAATTTTGCATCAGATGAATCCTTTTACTAAAAAATTTTCTACTCGAAAATTGACATCTAAAAGTAAATGGTTTCCAAATAAACTACAGGATTTAGATGGTTATCAACTGAATCTTCTACTCCATATCAAAACAAAGAATACAGAATTTAGGGAACAACAAAAATTTGCTGAAATTTTAGGACAAGGAATGAATTTTAAACCCAATATTCGTCTAACGATGAGAAATTATTCATCATTAATAATGTTCAATAAAGACATAGTTCAAAATAGAGCTGAAATGTCTATAAGCTTAGTCTTTCATCATGGTTTGATAAATCATTATATGCTCAAATTGGGTTTCTACAGTGAACATGATGTTAATGTTGTTATTCCAAAAACTGTAAAATTGTCAAAAATCATTGTTATTTCACAAGAGTTTCTCTACATGATCATGTCAACCATTGGTACCATTTGTATACTAAAATTAGTTGCTATTTTAATGAGATTCAATCAAAGTACATGGGAAACATTAAACATCAGTCAAATTATAATTGGAATGTCTGTTGTGGAACCAGTGAAAACAAAAGAAAGAATTGTTTTCGGATCGATATTACTAGCTTGCATGGTCTATACTGGTTATGTTTTTTCAGTTATTTTGGATCTCACATTGAAATCGTCACCGGAAATAACAACTCTTGAAGAATTGTCTACATCCTCATTGACACCAATCATTAATTCAGTTATTTTGAAGGAAGAAATGAAATTAAGTTCTATTCCTCATATACGTAAATTGGCAGAAATTTCCCTAAAAACTTCTGGTATAGAAGCCGATTCTAATTGTCTATTGTATTTGAAAAAATATCAAAATGTTTCTTGTATTTCATACATTACACAACATATTGTTAACAATTATAGAAAATACTTTGGTGATATTAATGTAAAAATTTTAACTGAACCTTTATTAAAGTTTAGTCAATTTTTTCTAACAAGAAATTATAATCCGTATAATGAACGTTTTCATGAAATTATCTTAAGAGCCAAAGAATGTGGTTTGTTAACAAAAATTTTCTTCTCTGATTCAATGGAGAAAAACATTGGAGAGCGATTAGAGGAAATCGAAAAAGAAAAGTTATTGCTCATTTCTTTTTATGTCCTTTCCATTGGATTTACTTTTGCCGCTGTAGCATTTCTTTTGGAAATTCTCTCAAGTGTTTTTGGTAAATTTTTGTTCTTCTGAGAAGATTGATTGCAATTACTGAATTAATAAAAAAAAATTAATTTCTATTAGGAAATATTTGCAGGAAATATCTTTGATAATTTTTTGTTTCCATAGAGATGACAAAATCAATAGTACTACTTTGAAATATGTATATATATAAAGTTCAAGGCTTTTCACAATTTTCCTTGTCAAATGTAATATGGAAAATTTCCCAGTTGAAAGAATTAACGTTACTAACGTTACTAATGTTACTAACATTACTAATGTTACTAAAGTTAGTACCTATAAAAAAATTAAGAGTTTCTAAAATATATTTTCACAGAAACTTTAACACTACTTTTCCATTACCACTTTCACTTCCACTTAAACTTTTTATAATTTTCATTTCCATTTCCACTTATACTTTTCCTAATTCTCATTCGCACTTCCATTCTCACTTCTACTCTTTCTAATTCTCATTCCCATTTCCACTTATACTTTTTCTAATTCTCATTCGCACTTCCATTCTCACTTCTACTCTTTCTAATTCTCATTCCCACTTCACCTCCACTTTTTCTAATTTTCATTCCCATTCCTATTTCCACTTCCAGTTTTTTATATTCATTGTCACTACCACTTTTTCTAATTCTCATTCGCACTTCTATTCTCACTTCTACTCTTTCTAATTCTCATTCCCACTTCACTTCCACTTTTTCTAATTTTCATTCCCATTCCTATTTCCACTTCCAGTTTTTTATATTCATTGCCACTACCACTTTTTCTAATTCTCATTCCCACTTTCACATTTCACATTCACATTTCACTTTCACTTTCCCACAATGGAAGTGCGAATGAGAATTAGAAAATTAGAATTCTAATTCTCTTTCCCACTTTCACATTTCACATTCACATTTCACTTTCACTTTCCCACAATGGAAGTGCGAATGAGAATTAGAAAATTAGAATTATAATTCTCATTCCTACTTTCACATTTCACATTTCACTTTCACTTTCCCACAATGGAAGTGCGAATGAGAATTAGAAGAAGTGGAAGTGGTAATGTAAATAAAAAAGTGAAAGTGAAAATGGGCATGAAAATTATAAAAAGTGGAAGTGAAAATGGGAATGAGAATTAGAAAAAGTGGAAGTGGAAACGGTAATGAAAATAAAAAAGTAAAAGTGATAATAGGAATAAAAATGATAAAAAGTGCGGGTAAGAACATTAAATACTTCCTGGTGCTCGATTTTCGACAAGTTTCTGCAAAAATACAATTTAGAAACATTTTCTTAACTTTTTTTATAGGTACTAACGTTAGTAACATTAGTAACGTTAGTAATGTTAATTTTTCTACCTGGGATTATAAAGAATAAAAATATATTTTGTATCATTTTTGTCCTTTTATTCATTTTTAGAAAATTACAATATCATTGTAGATAAAATGAAAATCAGTAATAAATGTAATATAGTTTGTATAAATGACTTTCTTTCCAACATGTCATGAGAATAAATTGACTACCACGCGTGCATAAGATAGATTTATTTTCTGCAGAATTTCGTAGAACCATAGTGCTACTGCTTGTAACTGAAGAGTATATTCAGAAATAACTTTAGACTCATAGAGGCAACGCCCCAAAAACCATTTGACTTTCATGTTGTCGTTCATGTCAATCACGTAGTCTTTTTATGACTCTAAATTTATAAAATGTTTTCACACACATTTATATATATATATATTCACCCACACGTATATACACCTGAGAAACGTGAGCACCATGACTGGGTCAGTTATCACCAACCAGTTATTCAATCTCTTCTTAAAGGTTCCCGAAATTTATCCCGCATCTTATATATTATTCTTTCCTCGGATATTGTATATTCTATTCCATATCATATTATTCTCATCGTCATATCAGATTTTCATTTGATATACCTTTTTCAAAATAACATGTGTCCTTTTTTTCTTCATTTACATTTTTATAAAATTAAGCCATAATTTATTTTTTTATTTCTTTTCCGGATATAGAAAAAAGAATTATAAATTTATTATTTTATTCATTAAATTAAATAAAAATTAATTGAATAAAATTAATTGAATTTTAATTTAACAGATTTTTCATTCAAGAGAATTTTATCTGATACGAATTTTTAAATGACAGAAATTCAAATTCACCGAATTTTATAATTTATCCGAATTTTTTAATTGATAGAATTTTTAAGACGTTAAATTTGTCCGAAATTATAAATATTGCCGAACAAACAATCGACAGAAAGATTTCGGCGCAATTTTTAAAAATTGTCCAATTAGAAATTATCAAGAAATTCGTGATTGGTCAATTTTAAAAATTGCGCCAAATTCTTTCTGTCTACTGTTTTTTCGGACATTTATAATTTCGGACAAATGAAAATTCGGCGTCTTTAAAAATTCTATCAAATAAAAATTCGGACAAATAAAAATGCAGACAAATTAAAATTCGATGAATTGGAATTTCTGTCATTTAAAAATTCGAATGTAATTGAAAATTGAGTGTAAAATAAAAATTCTTCTAAAAATTCAGTAGAGAATTTTATCTGATACGAATTTTTAAATGAGAGAAATTCCAATTCACCGAATTATATAATTTGTCCGAATTTTTTATTTGATAGAATTTTTAAGACGCCAAATTTGTCCGAAATTATAAATATTGCCGAACAAACAATCGACAGAAAGATTTCGGCGCAATTTTTAAAATTGTCCAATTAGAAATTATCAAGAAATTCGTGATTGTTGTTGTTTTTTCGGACATTTATAATTTCGGACAAATGAAAATTTGGCGTCTTTAAAAATTCTATCAATTAAAAATTCGGACAAATTAAAATTCGATGAATTGGAATTTCTGTCATTTAAAAATTCGAATGTAATGAAAATTGAGTGTAAGATAAAAATTCTTTTAAAAATTCGAATGTAATGAAAATTGAGTGTAAAATAAAAATTCTTTTAAAAATTCGCTAGCTAAAAATTTTGTTATGTATACAAATTTGGTTTAAAAAAAAATTATTTTCAAATTTTATTTTGAAAATTTATTTATTCTATTTGTATAATCGCAAAAGTATCTTTTGTACATAATTATGTGCCATTGATGACTCTTAAATGTGCCGCAAATCTCTGGTATTAAAAACGCCTAGGCAAATGTCTTTTTTTCTTTTTTTTTGAGTGCGTCTACTTTCGGATTCATCTCTCTCACACCGGCCGGCCTCGTTACAAATATGGGAATGCTTATGGATATAGCAGTCGCGGGCGACTATTTCTTCGTTTCTCGTCGAAGGTTATATACCTTCCTTGCAATAAGTTTTGCGAACAAGTATATATGTACCTACGCTTGTAATTGGATTCACTTTCACTCCGTTTCGGAAAGACGCTACGAGAAACTTTTTTTCTTTTTTTTTTTCCCCCCTACCCATTATGTTATGTCACATGAACGTCTTAAAAAAGGAAACTTACTATGAAACTTTCAAGAAAAATTACTTCTAAATTGAAAGAAAAACTCAACTTCCTACTTTTTTCATTTTCTTCTTCCTGTAATATTTATTTATTTTTGATTATTTGGAATTCCCAAAAATTTGGATTTTCTATTAGAATATCCAAAGTTTGGATTTTTAAAAGTTCGAATATCCAAAAGTTTGGAATTTAAAATATGTACAAATATCCAAAAGTTTGAATGTCCGAAATTTAGAATACCAAAAAGTTTGAATTTTCAAAGGATCTAATATCTAAAAGTTTGAGATTTAAAAAATTTGAATATCCAAATGTTTGGATTTTTAAAAGTACGAATATCCGAAAGTTCGAATATCCAAATGTTTGAATATCTAAAAATTTTGACGTCCAAAGTTTAGAATATCCAAAATTTGAATTTCCTAAAGTTTGGTTCTATTCAAAGGATTCGAATATTTAAAGTTTGGATTTTTGAAAGTACGAATATCCGAAAGTTCGAATATCCAAATGTTTGAATATTTAAAAGTTTGAACGTCCAAAATTTAGAACATCCAAAAGTTTGGACATCCAAAATTTAGAATATCAAAAATTTGAATTTCCTAAAGTTTGGTTTTATTCAAAGGGTTCGAATATTTAAAGTTTGGATTTTTAAAAGCACGAATATCCGAAAGTTCGAATATCCAAATGTTTGAATATCTAAAAGTTTGGACGTCCAAAGTTTAGAATATCCAAAAGTTTGGACAACCAAAATTTAGAATATCCAAAATTTGAATTTCCTAAAGTTTGGTTCTATTCAAAGAGTTCGAATATTTAAAGTTTGGATTTTTAAAAGTACGAATATTTAAAAATTTGAATATTCAAATAGAAAATTTTAAGAAATAAAAAGTTTGAATGTCGATAAAATACTGAATAATTGTTGGATTAAAAACCATCGTAAATTTGCATAAATATTGTATATATATTTTTTTTTCAAAAACAAGGGTGAGCGCACGCTCTTTAAAGTGATCCAAACTCACAAGTGAGACAAATTTGGCTAAAAGCCAATGATGGAAATGGAAGCATATCTTATATTCTCTCAGCCAGTTTAGCGACTTTCGAGTTCAACGAACTTGAAATTTATTTCACCCTTGCTAATAGAAACCCTTTATTGTACAGATACAGAAAATATATAGTTGACTTTTTTCTGTTGCAATTAAAATAAACATATACGTGTGTGTGTGTATTTTATTTCTTAGATTGATTAAACGAAACATTCCACGTTTTCATTAAATTCGTTTATTGTTGATCTAAACTCTAGAAAGGATTTAAAATATACAAACACTAGAAATAAGTCAAGATTGTTGATGTTGTAATTTTTTTTTCTTTTGAATGAAGCAATTATTTTCCATTTACATATTGAGAAAAAGAGATTTTGAAAATTGAGAAATTAAAAAAAAAAATGTGGAATTATATATTTTTCAAAGATGAAAAAATAAATAATATTTTACTCGTCTCTCAGTGAGGTATTGATGATTTCTTGTTACATTTCCCTTTTGATTCTGATGTTTCATGCTCTTTATAATTAGACTTTTAGCAAGTGTCTAGTATATGAAGTTAAACGATTTCCGGAAAGTTTCAAATTAGAAACTTTAATACGTATCAATAGTTGTAATTTTAAATATGTTTCAATAAGTAGTTTTTATTTATAAAATTAATTAAAAATATTTATTTATATTATTTTTTTTTTATTTAATTGTAGTTACTAATTTATTAGAATTAAAATTATAAATGCTATTTTATAAAGTTTTAAGAATAATAAATGTCACTTTGTAAAAAAAAAAGGGTTGAAGAATTTTGACACTCCAAATGTGTATAACACATGTTCAAGCACTTTAAATAAGTATTGTCAGTTCCAGCATATAAAAGCAAATATATGTGGAGAATGAATTTTCTCAGTCTAGTTCCTTATGTTTTGTATTTTTGTAATGTAGGTCAACATTATTATGAGTTCAGAAATTATATATTACAATGTTTTTTTTTTTTTTAAATAAATAAATTAAAAGGGTGTTTAATTTATTTAGAAATTTTACTACCTATAAATTAAATTTAAAGTTAATTTGCACTATAAATTATTTCTAATAGCAAATTTTAGCAGGAAATTATTAATTTTGTTTTACTATAAATTATGTTAATTTCTACTACAAATTATCACTGCAGTAAAATTTTTTTCAAATTGCCACTGAAAATAAATTTCCACTATAAATTGCAACTATAAATTACCACTAATAGTAAATTTCTACTATAAATTAAAGTTGAAATTAATTTTCACTACAATTTGTTACCAAAAATTAATTTTTACTGTAAATTTTTAGTATAAAATGTAAATATATTAATTGGTAATAGTCGATAGTAAAATTTTCATTATTTATTACTAATTTATTTTTTTTTTTAATTTTCAGAGTGGTGAATGGTTACGATTAAAAGTTCTGGAAATTCAGCCGGAACTAACGAAATTAGGTTCTTCGCCTGAAGAGGCTACGGAACTTTCGAACGCACATGGTGAAGTTCTTTTACGTTTACAGGTAAAAACATTGATCATTTGTCTATTTTGATTTATTATTCTAATTATCCCCTCATAACAAAAGGATATCCCTTAGGATATCCATAGGATATCCATATCAATGGTCGATATCCTGGAATGGTCCCCAGGATATCTTGGGATATCCATAGGATATACCTAGGATATCCAAATCGCCGGTCTGTGGGACATCAACAGGACATCCATAGGATATCCGCAGGATATCCCTAAGACATCCACAAAATATCTATTGGATATTATATCGCAGGAAATCCATGGGATATCCACAGGATATCCCTAAGACATCCACAAAATATCTATTGGATATTATATCGCAGGATATCCATGGGATATCCTCAGGATGTCCGTGGGATATTCTTAGGATATTCACGGGATATTTAATATCTCAACATATATTTTTAAAGGTTAAAATTGTTAAGCTAATATAATGAATAATAATATATAATAAAAACAAAAATCTTATGAGCTTCTAATTTATTTCAAATGATGATTTGAAACGCATTTTTCAAAGTTTTTAAATAAACTCATGCACTTAATGTATAATTAATATTAATAGTTATTCGTTATTTGCGGGGAAGAATTTATATTGTTTAAAGTCAATTTATTTTCTGACAATATTAAGCATATGAATAAAGGAATGAATCACGAATGAGCAAAAAAATTAGTTAATAATTTTTCAAATTAAACAACTTTCTCGAAAAACAAGTTGCATTTTATTTTATTTATATATAAAATTTAATTCACAGAATATTCTCACTCGTAGTCTCATAATGACTTTAAAAACAGTATCCTGAGAATATTTTCTTAACATCCAGAAGATATACTGAGAATATCCTGAAAATATCTGTGGGATATCCTGATGATATCTGTGGGATATCCTGACGATATCTATGGGATATCTGGAGGACATTTATGAAAGTCTATAGAGATATCCAGAAGATATCCTCAGATATCAGTGGGATATCCAAAGGATATCCAAACCGCCGATTTTTTGGATATCCTTTTGATATCCCTAGGATATCTGCGGGATATTATCAATATATCCCAAGATATCTTGTGTTATTAGGGTCTATCTATTTGTTATCTATTTTTCGTTTATAATTTTTTATTTACTTTACATTATTTTTTATTTATTGTTTTTATTTTTTTTTTTTTAATTTTCTTTTAATTTTCTTTTTTTTTCATTGAAAATTGTTTTTAGACTAAACAAAGTCCCGTGGAAGAATTACTACGACAAGCTGATCGACTTATTTCAACGCAAAAACCAAAGGCGGAAGTTTATAAAGCAATGGCTGATACACTTGCAAATGCATGGAGGGACGTTAATTCTCTATTGGAACGACGAAAAATTATTCTCGAACGAAATGTACTATTTCAATGGTAAATATTAGAATTGTTTATAAAATTTGTTTAAAAAAAAACAAAAAAATTAATAGGAAAAAAATTTTTATTTTTAAAGTCGAGCTGAAGAGTGTAAGGAAAGTATGAAAGCATTAGAAATGGCTTGTAACGATACACTTTTGCCAATTGAAATTGAAGCTGTGAAAAATTTTCTCGGTAAAATTCACGATTTACGAAAAGTAATGCTGGAAACATTAATGGCCGCATTGCAGGAGGGAAAAATATTGCTTGATCGATTAAAAGAAATTTCAAATGAGGGTACCCTCGATTCACGACCGGATAGAATTAAACATGATGCTGATCATGGTAACTAATGTGTCCTTGAAATTTTTTTTTTAAATTAATTAATTAGTAATTAGTAATTAATAAATTAATAAAATTTGTAATATATTTTTTTTTCTAATAAAACATTTTTATTTTTCCATTAGCCATTCAGCAAGTTGAGACATGGCTCGAGGAACTTCACGATAGAAGAAGATTAATTGAAATTTCATTTAAAAGTCGAAAAACACAATTGGAACAGTGTCTTGCATTGGCATTACTTGCCACTGATCTCAGGAATCTTGAGGATATTCTCAATGTGAGAATATCGGCTCTATCTAGTACCAGTGATCATTTAGGTGATTCTTCAGCGAGCGCTGAATTATTACTCTTCGAATGTAAAAAATTACAAATTGAAGCTAAGGTTTGTTAATTTTTATTTAAAATATCCATGGGGAAAATATTAATAATTTACATTTTTTTTCCCCCCCCTTATTTTCAATATCAGGATTTTCAAGATAGAGCAATAAAAATAACAAAATCAACAGAACGACTTGTCTCATCGGGACATTTTGCTGGTGAACAAGCAACTGAACAATCATACGCGATTCTTGGCGCTGCAGCTGATTATATCAATGATCTTGAACAATATAAATTATTATTGAATCGAGCTGTTTTATTTTTTGAAGCTGCACGTTCAGTGAGTAAAATTTTTAATGTACGATCAGAAAACAATGATTGTAGAATTAACGATAATAAAATTAATGATTAGTAGAATTAATGATGAATTGAATTTAAGGATCGAAAAAATGAATAACAAAAAGAAAAAAAAAATTTTTTTTTTCTCCTCATTTTAGGCACTTACAAAAATCGATCAATTGGAAATTCAATTAGTCACCACTGAACATTCACCACATACGCCAGGATTTGTCAGATTGCATGCACAGGTTGTTGAAACTTTGGAAGACATTACGAGGGACCTTTTGGAGGAAGGTCACGCCCTTCTTGAAATTACGGGAAGGGGTGCGCCAGGTGCAGAGGTAAATCATTTATTTCTGATCACCTACATAGTCAAAAATTAATTTAAACAGTTATGAATTAATTTAATTAATATTAAATTAGTTAAAGATATACAAGAATTAAACACAAAGTAATTTAAAAATGTCAGGAATTAATTTAAACAATCAGAAATTAATCTAGATAGTCAAAAATTAATTTAAACAAACTAGAACTAATTTTGATAGTCAAGAATTAATTTAATTAATCTTAAATTAATTAAAAATATTCAGGAATTCAATTAAATACACACTAAATAATTTAAATTTTTCAGGAATTAATTTAAACAATCGGGAAATAATTTAGATAGTCAAGAACTAATTTAAATAGTCAAGAATTAAATTAAATAGTTATGAATTAATTTAATTAATCTTAAATTAATTAAAGATATCGAGAAATTAAATTAAATACACACGAAGTAATTTAAAATTGTCAGGTATTAATTTAAACAAACAGGAACTAATTTAGATAGTCAAGAATTAATTTAATTATTTTTAAGTTAATTTTAAATATTCAGAAATTAATTTAAACAATCAGGAGATATTCCATATAGTCAAAAATTAATTTAAACAAACAGGAACTAATTTAGATAGTCAAGAATTAATTTAAATAGTTAGAAATTAATTTAAACAATCAGAAATTAATCTAGATAGTCAAAAATTAATTTAAACAAACTAGAACTAATTTGGATAGTCAAAAATTAATTTAATTAATCTTAAATTAATTAAAGATATCTAGAAATTAAATTAAATACACACGAAGTAATTTAAAATTGTCAGGAATTAATTTAAACAAACAGGAACTAATTTAGATAGTCAAGAATTAATTTAAATAGTTAGGAATTAATTTAATTAATCATAAATTAATTTAAAGTTGTCAGGAATTAATTTAAACAATCAGGAAATAATTTAGATATTCAAGAACTAATTTAATTATTTTTAAATTAATTTCAAATATTCAGAAATTAATTTAAACAATCAGGAAATAATCTAGATAGTCAATAATTAATTTAAACAAACAGGAACTTATTTAGATAGTCAAGAATTAATTTAATTATTTTTAAATTAGTTTTAAATATTCAGAAATTAATTTAAACAATCAGGATATATTCCATATAGTCAAAAATTAATTTAAACAAACAGGAACTAATTTAGATAGTCAAGAATTAATTTAAATAGTTAGGAATTAATTTAATTAATCATAAATTAATTTAAAGTTGTCAGGAATTAATTTAAACAATCACAAATTAATCTAGATAGTCAAAAATTAATTTAAACAAAATAGAACTAATTTTGATAGTCAAGAATTAATTTAATTAATCTTAAATTAATTAAAGATATCTAGAAATTAAATTAAATACACACGAAGTAATTTAAAATTGTCAGGAATTAATTTAAATAAACAGGAACTAATTTAGATAGTCAAGAATTAATTTAATTATTTTTAAATTAATTTTAAATATTCAGAAATTAATTTAAACAATCAGGAAATAATCTAGATAGTCAATAATTAATTTAAACAAACAGGAACTTATTTAGATAGTCAAGAATTAATTTAAATAGTTAAGAATAAATTTAATTAATCATAAATTAATTTAAAGAGTCAGGAATTAATTGCAATAGTCATGAATAAATTTAAATAATTAGAAATTAATTAAAAATAGTAGTCAGGAATCAATTTAAATTGACATAAATTAATTTCGAACACTCATGAACTAATTGAAATAGTAAAAAAAAACTAATTTAAACAATCAGGAAGTAATTAACAAATAAAAAAATAACTTCAATTTCAGGGTGTGAAGCGAATGGTGGAAGAGATAGAGGATCGAAAAATTCGTCTACTCGAACAATGTACAGCTCACAAGGAAGAAAACATAAGAATTACTCAATGTCTTCAGGAATTTCTTGAGAAATATTCAAATTTGCGATCATGGTTGAGTAGTATTGTTGAATCATTTCTACGTGGACATCAAGATATGGGAAGTGATTTACGTATGGCCAAAGACTTTTATCAATTACATTGTCAATTGTTAAATGATTTGGAGAGAAAAAGTTTTGAAGTACAAATGATTGATTGCAATGTAATGCAAATGGATATTTTTCCAAATCTTGATGCAATTGTCCAAAGGGATATTGACGATAAAATGGAAGCATTGAGAAATTCTTGGATCCTATCAAAAAAAGCACTTGAAGCACGTGTTAGATTAGGTTCATTGTACGTTGATTTTCATCAAGCAGCCACAACATTGGATGATGAACTTAATTTATTTGAAATTGATCTCAAGAATAATGCAGAGAATTTAAATCAAATGAAATGTGATCAACTTGAAGAAAAATGGAGAAATTTGCAACCATATTATTTACGATTGACTGCCGCTGGGAAATCATTTTTAGATGAAGGGGAAAAGGTGAGAGAAAATAATAATTAATTAAATTTTAAATCAATTTGGTTAATTGATTTTTTGTTGTAGATTATGGATTCGTATCTTGATGTGCCGAGAGCTTGTTTGTGTGTTGAAACAACATTGGAACGATTTTCTAATAGACAATTTACAATTACGAAAACCTGGGAAAATTGGCAAACGGCAATTTCGATTTTGAAAGAAAGACGCGTGGAGAAGGAGAAGAGATTGGAAGAAAGTACAAAGGTAATTGATTTTGTTCTCAAAAAAAGTTGAAGGAAGAAAATTTATTTTGCTTTTAATTTAATTTTTTTTAGACGTTAGAATGGGTCTCGAAATTCAGGGAGCAATTGTATCCAGTAATAACGTCCGAATCAACAGAATCTGCAATTATTCTTCACGATTTATCGAGTTCACGATCACGTCTTCTTCCTGAGTTGAATAAAGCTGTCTCGGAATTGGACGGAAGGATCAAGGGAATTGATGTTTTTGAACGTGGTATTTATTTGTTTCTTTCAATTTTTTCTATTCTTCAAATTTAATTTCTTAATTAATTTCCCCCGAATCAGGAGACGACTTCACTGATCAACAGATTAGAAATCAATTGTCACAAGTGTCGGAGCAATTGCGATCAACGGCTGTGGATTATCAGACCCTTCTAGAATCTCTTATTTCAGTTTTTGAAAATCTCTCCGAGGTGATTAAATTTTGTTTTAATTATTATTTTTTTTTTTTTCTTATTCTTATCTTCAATTTTTATGCAGATTGAACGTAAGACTGATCAGCAAATTCGAGCTCAAGATATATCACACCTGACATATCTGCCAAAGGAAGCTGTTCGCGAAGTGAAGAATAAAATCGAACGTCATGAAATCGAATCGAAATCAATTACCGAAGCACTGACGAGAGTTGAATCAGAAATTGAAAATGTAATCCTACGAATTGAGAGACAAGAGCCAGCTGATGCGGCAAGACAAGATATTCAAAAATTAAAACAAGTCGCTCATAATGTAAACAATGCATGTAAATCATCTTGGTCCACAGTAAAATCTTCCCTAGCAAAAGATCTTCAAGTATCATCACTTAGAGAAGATCTCGAAAAAATTGATCGTGAACTTCAGGATCTTTGCGATCAATTAAAAATCATTAATACCAACTTAGGAGAGAATTTACCATCAGCGAAAAAGGCTTCCGATAATTTTATTCAATTTGAAAAAACTCTCATGGTAAATTACATTTTTCATTTGTTTAAAGAAAAAATAAATGATTTAAATCTAATTTTATTTTCAGAGCATGGAAAGTAAAGTGAAAAGTTTCATTGAATCAATAGAAGAGAATATGCCAAAGTATTCATCGATTATACAACATGAATTATCATCGTTGCGTGAAAAAATGCAAAATTTAAAAACACAAACGGAAGATACGAGAAATCGAAAGAATTCAAATATAGAATATTTTGAATTACTCGATGAGACAAAAGATTGGTTTAAAGAAGGTAGTAAATTGTTATTAATTATCGCAAGAAAATCATCATCCGTAAAATTACCACAGGAAGCTATTGATTTATTGAACGATATTGATAAATTTCTAAAGCCAGGTGAAGATAATCAGGAGAGGAGAATCGAACGAATTCGAGAATTATCGACACAAATTTTTGGTATTTATTATTAATTAAATAAATTTTTAAAAAAAAATTAATAATGATATTTTTCAGGAACTGATAGACTACCACAATTTAATGAATTGGTTGTTGAAAATCGTGAGATGCTGGATTCATTTGCAGTGGTGGGATCGGAATTAAGAACATTGGTGGAAAATTTGAAAAATGCCGAATATCTTCGTGCAAAAATGAAAAAGGAACAGGATGAGGTTGATGCAAAATTGGAGGAAGCTAAAAAAGAAGTAACAGTCGCTCAAGCTGCCGCTGCTGAAGCTGAAGAAACGCGAAAAATTACCGAACGTCTAACTGTCGAAACACTTGAGAAAGCCGCCGAAGAAGCTAAACGTTTAGCAAAAATTAACGCTGAAAAAGAGCATGAAAAATGTCGACAAATTGCTGCGTCCGCTCAAACCGAAACGACCAATTTCCTTATTGATGAACGATTAATTAAGGAAACAATTCTAAAGGAAACTTCAGCAATTACAACAAAAGAAATTCTTATTCTTCAAAAGGTGTGTTTTTTTTCTTATTCATTGTTTCTACTTTTAGTTTTATTATTATTATTTTTATTTATTATAATTTTTAGACTGAATTTGAGGATCCAATGCCAATAATTGAAAAACAACAAATGGAGTCAACATTGGTAAATGAAGAAATAGTAAAAAAAGAAGATGATAAATTTTTATTAATTTCAGAAGCACCTCGATTTACGGTAAAATTAGATAATGCAATAATACAGGAGGGAGAACAATTTACATTCAAGTGTCACGTGATTGGCTATCCTGAACCGGAAGTAGTTTGGCTAAAGGATGGAATGTCAATAATTAATAATCCTGATTATTTAACGGATTACAATCAAGGTATTTGTACACTTACAATTGAAGAAACATTCACTGAGGATTCGGCTAAATTCACTTGTAAAGCTTCCAATGATGCTGGATCAACTGAAACTGATGCTGTACTCACTGTTAAAGGTGTGGCTTTAAAATTCGAAAATTCTTTCCTTCAAAATATCTCGAGAAACGTAAAATTGAAATTGAAATTTCAGAAACTGCTGCTGAAGAATTGCCAAGAACTCCAAATTTCATAAAAGAATTGCAATCATCAATTGCAATTGAAGGATCAACTTATGAATTGAATTGTAAAGTTGATGGAAATCCATTGCCAACAGTTTTGTGGTTCAAGAATGAAATTAATATTGATAATTCACCGGATTATATAATTACATACAATAATGGCGAGGGAATATTGAAATTCGAGCAAATATTTATGGTTGATCAGGCTAATTACAGTTGTAAGGCAACAAATCGTTTGGGTGATGCTTCAACATCTTGTTTCTTGACCATTCAACGTAAGATCATTTATTTCAGAATTACAATTTTTTGGGGGGAGAAATTTTTAAAAAAATTTGTTTGTTTTAGCACTAGTTGGAAAAATTGAAGAAACAGAAAAACCACAAATTATACTCGCTCCTGAAAATATAAAAACAATTATTGGAGAAAAAGTGGAATTAATTTGCGAGGCTGTGGGAAAACCAATGCCAACCTTCTTATGGAGCCATGAGGGAATACCAATTGAGGAGACGAGTAATCTCAAGGTTTATGATCTTCATTTTTATTTTTACTTCACTTTTTTTTACTTTTGTATTTACTTTCATTTCTTTATTTTTTTTACTTCTTGTTCATCAAAATTCACAAATTTAAAATACGTTTATTGATCGCGCAACCGTTAATTCATTTGAGTTTGAAGATCGATCGAGATTGTATTTTTAGCATCATTCACGATGGTATGCGTCTAATGCAAAAAAAAAAAAAGAAACTAAAGTGATGGTAAATTCAATTGTAGACAAAAAAGTGAAAATAAATTCTTCTCAAGGTCCACTCAATACCCTTTGCGCAGATCGAAACCAATGGAGGGAGATCCAGTCTCGTCATTGCCGAAGTGTTTTTAAAAGACGCCGGAAGTTATTTGGTGATTGTGAAAAATTCAATTGGCGAAACAACGGCAACTTGTAATATTTCAGTGAAAAATCAACACAAATTGAATGATACAAATAATTCAGAATCATTGTTCACTGATATGAAGCCGATGGTGCCTAGTATTCAATTACCACTCAAAGATGTTCAGATCAAGGAAGGAGAAAGCGCACGATTAGATTGCATTATTATTGGACATCCTGAACCTGAGGTACAGTTTAAGAAAAAAAAAATTATCATCATTTTAATGTTGATGAAGATAATGATGATGATTATGATGATCGTGTTGATGATGATTATGATCTTGTTTTTGAATCAGGTGATTTGGTACCATGATGATCGGCCTGTGAAGGAATCAGCTGATTTTCAGCTGTTGTTCCAAGGCGACAGGTGTTCATTGCTGATTCACGAGGCTTTTCTGGATGATTCTGGACTCTATAAAGTTGTTGCCATCAATTCTAGCGGCGAGGCTTCCAGTGAGTGCTCGTTATCAATTTCACGTGAGTTTATTTTTATTTCTTCAGCTCCAAAATTTTTTTCCATTATTCAGTTAAAGGAGGGGGGCCCTATATTTTGCCCCCTTGGGATTTTAATTTAAATGGTTGAAAACTTTTTCTTATAGTAGAAAAAGTAATTTTTCATTGATTTTAGATGAAACGGGGGTGTTTTGGTCAAATTAACCCTGAGATTTTAGGGTTTTTTTTTCAAAAAGAGTGTCAAAAAAACATGCAAAAAACATTTTCCAAATGTTGAGCAATTGGCTTGAAAATCGTTGCTCGGAGATTTTTGGGGTCGCTGTTTACGAATCCGACGTTAGTTTTTCAAAATTCAAAATGGCGGATCCAATATGGCGGACGACTTTTGAAAAAACTTAATATATTTGTCTGAAAATAATTACTCGGGGGTTTTCGGGGTCGCTGATTACGAATCAGAGGTCAGTTTTTCAAAGTTCAAAATGGCGGATCCAATATGGCGGATGAATTTTTGAAAATCTAATATTATTGGCCTGAAAATTGTAACTCGGGGGTTTTCGGGGTCGCTGATTACGAATCCGACGTTAGTTTTTCAAAATTCAAAATGGCGGATCCAAAATGACGGCGACTTTTTGAAAATCTAATATTATTGGCCTGAAAATTGTAACTCGGGGGTTTTCGGGGTCGCTGATTACGAATCCGACGTTAGTTTTTCAAAATTCAAAATGGCGGATCCAAAATGACGGCGACTTTTTGAAAATCTAATATTATTGGCCTGAAAATTGTAACTCGGGGGTTTTCGGGGTCGCTGATTACGAATCCGACGTTAGTTTTTCAAAATTCAAAATGGCGGATCCAATATGGCGGTCGACTTTTGAAAAAACTTAATATATTTGTCTGAAAATAATTACTCGGGGGTTTTGAGGGTCGCTGATTACGAATCAGAGGTCAGTTTTTCAAAATTCAAAATGGCGGATCCAATATGGCGGACAACTTTTGAAAAAACTTAATATATTCGTCTGAAGTAAGTAGTTTTCAGTGATTTTAAATATTTATCCGACATGTTGCATCCCCCATTTTGAATTTTGAAAAACTGACTCCGGATTCATTTTCAGCGACCCCAAAACCCCCCGAGTAGAGAGTTTCAAGCAAATCCGAACGATTTTTTTAAAAGTTGTCCGCCATATTGGATCCGCCATTTTGAATTTTGAAAAACTGACCTCTGATTCGTAAACAGCGACCCAAAAAAAAAAAATTTTTTTAAAATGATTTTTTATTGATCCCTGATCGTTCAGATTGTCTGTAATCAATTTCATTGTCATTCGTTTTCACTTTTAATAATTCAGCTAGAGAATCAACAAAAAAACCAGAATCCCCGCCTGTATTCGTGAAATTGTTGACGGATTTACTGGTTGCTGAAGGTGAGGAATCAATCTTTGAATGCTTGATAACCGGTGAACCAAAATCAGAGATCAAATGGTATCTGAATGGAGATGAAATTATTGAAAACAACAGAATCAAGGTATGAATATAAAGGGAGTAAGGAAAAAGGGAAAAATTTTTTTGGAATAATAATTTTGGTATAAAAATGGATTACAGATCACTCAAGAGGAGAATGGTACACATATTCTGCGGATATCATCTACACTTCCGGATGATAAAGGAAATTATATTGCCAAAGCTACAAATCGTCTTGGTGAAGCAAAGGCATTTGCTAAACTTGTTGTACGAGTTCTGGGTGATTTTCAAAAAAAGGACGAACTTGTACGAATGGAGGAAAAATTACTCGAACCATCATTCAAGGAGCGATTTGATAATAAAAGTGTCCTTGAAGGAGTGCCTGTTAAATTTGAATGCATAGTGTCTGGAAAGCCTGTTCCTAAGGTAAATTTTTGTCTAATTTTTTTTTTAAATTTCACTTTCTTTCGAAACTTGAAATAATTCAAAGTTAATTCAATTGAAAAATAAAGAAAATTGATGATTTTATAACTAACAGAATCATAATGACTATTACGATTACAATGATCATGATGTTTATTAGAATCACAATGATCATAATGATTACATATGATCATAACGATCACTATGATGATAATGATATCGTGGTGAATAGTTAAAGGAAATGAAGGATCATCATCCAAATGATCTTTAATTCATATAACAATAATTTTACTTTTTTTTTTTTTTGTTTTAAAAAAACCAACTATTGATGATTTTGGATTAAAAAATTTGAAACTAGCAATTAGAAAATGAAAAAATCGCGGAATGAAGATTTCTGATGGCCAAGAAATGGACAGAGACATATTGCACTTTATTCTACATTCGTAGCATGCCAAAAAAGAGCCTCTGACTGTTCTCTTATCCCATATATTCTATCTAGATCAATTCTTGTTCATCTAAGGCCAGTCGACTAAAAGTTCGTGCGAATCATGCTTCTATTGGCATTTTTTCTAACACTAGTTTTTGTAAGTAGTCTCTCGCGAATCTCAATTGAATCCCGACGATCTCATTTTTTTTTTTGTAGGGGGGAAGTGTCACGTGTCTAAAACTATTATTTTATAAAATTGTTTTCGTATTTCTTTACTATTATTTATTATTCACTTGTTACATAAAATTAAAATTTTATAAAAATTAAAATTTTTTTAAAATTAATACAAATTTATTCAAATGATCAAAGTTGTACATTTTTTTAGCGTTAACGTGATGTAGAATTATTTCGATAATTAATGTCAGTTGTGAGTGATTTTCAGTCGTAAATTATGTTTCAGCCCACGCACGGAAGATAAAAGAAAAATATTACATAATGATTTTTAGAATAATAAATATGTGCCACAATTTTGAGGAGAAATTTTTGGCAAAGTGAAATTGAAGAAATAAATTTAATTTGCAGATTCAGTGGCTTTTCAATAATCGACCTGTGCATGGAAAAGATTTTTTGGTATCAGTCAGTGGTGAACGTCAGGTGTTAAGCATTCCACAAGCAGCAGAAAGTCATAGAGGAATTGTATCCTGCGTTGCTGAGAACGCGGCAGGAAAAGCTATTTGTAGCGCACAACTAGATGTTGGTAAGTGAATAGAAAAAAAAAATTATGTATTTTTAAGTTCCCTCCCTTCTTTTTTTTTGGAAAGTGAAGTTTAAAGTTCGAATTTCGAGGAAAAAACATAAACTCTCCTAGGTCTGACTAATCTCCATTTCTAGTTTTGAGATATTATAATGTGTTCAAAAAATAATTTGGAATTGCTATCAATCATTGATTTAGTTTTTGGAGAAATTATTATTTATTAATTATTTTTATTATCATCAAAAACTGATTTTGATGATCGTGATCAACTGATCGTCAATAGTTGATGAACTGATCCTTGACAATTAATCAACTGATTATCAACAAATGATCAATTGATATTAATTGATGAATTGATCCTCGACAATTAATCAACTGATCAATTTATTATTCTCTGCATTGCTGATCAACATCAATGATCCAGTTAGCATCATTAGTTTTGCCAGTTTCCAAATTATCAGCTAAATCTATTGATCATCAGTGCATGATCAATTGTTTATTTACATTACTAATTAAAATCAACAATCTAGTTTTCATCATCAGTTAAGTTATTTACTTATTTTTTGATACAATTGATCATAATTTATCAGTTGATCTTCAAAAATTGATCAATTTATTATTACATTCCTTATTCTGATCAACATAAACAATATAGTTGTTGTCATCATCCGTTGTACTGGTCGTTTGATCAATTTGTTATTACTTACATTGCTGATCCACATAAGTAGTCTAGTTATCATTATAGAATAGGAACAGGAATTGGTACAGGAACAGGAACAGGAACAGGAACAGGAACAGGAACAGGAACAGGAACAGGAACAGGAACAGGAATAGGAATAGGAACAGGAATATGAACAGAAACAGGAATAGGAACAGAAACAGGAATAGAAACAGGAATATGAACGGGACTAGGGACAGGAATAGGAACAGGAATAGGAGTAGGAGTAGGAATAGGAGTAGGAGTAGGAATAGGAGTAGGAATAGGAGTAGGAATAGGAGTAGGAGTAGGAACAGGAATAGGGACATGAATAGGAACATGATTAGGAATAGGAATAGGAATATGAATGGGAACAGGAATATGAATATGAATAGGAATAGGAACAGGAATAGGAACAGGAACAGGAATAGGAACAGGAGCAGGGGCAGGAATCGGAATAGGAACAGGAATTGAAATAGGAATATGAACGGGACTAGGAACATGAATATGAACGGGAATAGGAGTAGGAATAGGAACAGGAATAGGAGTAGGAATAGGTGTAGGAATAGGAACAGGAATAGGAACAGAAATAGGGACATGAATAGGAATAGGAACATGAATAGGAGCAGGAATTGAAACAGGAACATAAATGGGACTAGGAACATGAATTGAAACAGGAAGAGGAATAGGAATAGAAACAGGAATAGGAATAGAATATTAGCGTCGAATTAAAATTCTTTAATTTGTAAAAATCTGAAAGGAATTGAATGTTTTTTGACAAAAGTTTAAAAATCCACAATTCAAAGAGAGATTAATTTTGTGTCAGTGAAATTTTTTTTTACGTTACTGAAAGGAAATTTATAATTTTGTGGAAAAAAGAGAATTTTATGATTTTTCCAATAAATGCCATTCTAAAATGATTTGGGAAGACACGAGCAGCTCTCTTTTATTACTTTTTACCATCGTTAAAACGGGGTTGCGCTCACCGTTCGGTAGCCAAAATAACGTTGAAGCTCGGAGAGTTATTAATACTCGCGGTACCTTCATTCACCATTGGCGTGTCGAATTTACTAGAGAATCGAAACTTGGATTTGAGGACGATGAGAAAGTAGGATAACGAAACATGATATCAACCACATAGACAAAATAAAGATTTAACGCCACCACAAAAAATTAAAATCATAAACGGAAATTTTGTTGCTATTGTAATTTTTTTTTTTTACAATCAAAACTAACGGAAAATTATTTTGTAATTTTTTATTATTTCTGTTTTGGAATATTTTTTTTAGTATTTTTTATGAGCTGACTTTTATTTGGAATATTTCTGTCAAAAATGTATTTTTTAAAGAAGATAACAAAAAATTTTTTTTTCCCTGAAATTAATGAAATCTCTACTTGCCAAATGGTTGTCTTGGTTTTTATTGATACAATAATTTTTGCAACCAGCGAGTATATAAAATTCTGGAACTTGTTGATCGCAGAATAATTTTCATCACAATGCGTAACTCGCCAGGAATGCAGTATATTTTTGATTTGAATCATGTTTTCAAAACATTTTTTTTGTAAATAATCTTGTTTTATTTTTTATAGATATTTAAATGATATTAAAATTTAAAATTTTCGTGAAGGAAATTTAGAAATTAATCAAAAAAAAGAAAGAATTAAAAGAGAAACCTCAATGAGCGTTTTTTTCCCCCATCAAAATATAGTGTTTAAAAAATAATAAATATTCTCCATCAAAACAGTTAAGTCGTTAAATCCCATGATTTTTAGATGATTAATCAACGAATAAAAAATGATTTATAACATATCTGTTGCTGAATTTAGTTGACTAAAAATAGTTTATAAAATTTTCTTTTTCTGGAAAAAAAAGAGATCAGCTGATGAATCTCCTAGCTCTCTAATTGCATTCTACATATAATTATATACATATATGAGAAGAGAAGCTTTGTCCGGATATCAATCTTGATATTCGCGTATATTTATCTGTCATCAGTTTTCGTTAATATATATATATATATATATCTCTCTTTTTCTTGTTCGTCCAAAAAGTGATGAGGATGCTTATACGAAAGGTGGAATAGAGAGAAAGAGAGAGAGAGAGAGAAAGACGTGTTATTTTTGTCAGCACACCGAATACTCGCGGCTCTCGCGAGACGAACTCGGGTGGCAGCGAGAATTTGAGCCCGTCAGAGTTTGTTCGTCGACCGGACGACCGGTCGCTTTTCAACGTTTTTTTTTTTTTTTTATTGTTGTTGTTCCGCTAAACTACCTGCTGCTCAGTTTCCGTCGTCAAAGAAGATTAAAGAAAAAAAAAAAAAAAAATTTTCCGCGAAATCGAAGAGAAAAAAAAGAAGTGAGATTCTTTATATACATTTTTTTTGTTAAGTTTTGCGCGATGATTGAACTCGTGGGTGGTCCTCAGAAAATTGGTCCGCAAAAGGTGGTTGTAATCACAGGAGGGAACGATCACTTTACATTCCATCCACGGTTACATTTGCCAAATCGATTATATAGTGTGACGATAGATGTTCTATACTGTCTTGATACTAATTTTAATCGGGATGTCCGTGCATTTGAACTTTTGACGACAAAGCCGAAATAGCTCTCTATCTCTTTCTCTTTCTATATGTTCGCGTGTGGCGCTTGTTCATTTTTTTTTTCATTTATCCCTCAATTATCATTTATATACATTTTCATCAACTGAAAATGTTTTCAATGATGATTTTTTTTTATCATTCTCCATTCTTTTTTATTTATAGCCAGATTTTTATTTTGGTATTTTTATTTTTAGATCAATGTTGAACTATATTCTAACTGTGGAATTTTTTTTTGAGGGTTTAGAAAACATTTCCTTAGATTTTTAATGTAAATTTTTTCCCCTATGGTGTTCAAAATTTTAACAAACGAATTTTAAAAATTTTCACTAGGAATTAGGGGAAAAAAAATTTATTTGGATTCAAATAATCGATTACTTGACTGTTATTAAATAATTGATAAATTATTTGGATCAAATAAATTTTTATTTAAAAAATAGTCAAATAACCGATTATTTGATTCAATTAAATTTTTCCAGTGTAGTTATAATTAGTTAAGAGCTGCTAATTTAAAAGCCACTAATTATATTAATTAATAACTGCTAATATTGTTTAAAAATTTATTCGACTCGAATAATTTTTTCCATTAGTTACACATTCGATTCGTTTTCTGTGTAAAATTAAATCTCTATATGGAATTATAACTATTTATAGAAAATTAAATCCATGTATGGAATCATATGTCCAAATATAGAAATATATATCTAAAAACTAAAAGCAGTTTTCTGTTATAAAAGTTTTCTCAATTCGATAAAAAATGATTTAATCAAATTCAATTTTTTAAATTCAGCTAATAGTTAAAATTTTCAAACATCTTCAAAATATGAAAAAATTGAATAAAGAATTAGTTAAAATTAATTTGAAGTAGGTCAACTGAAAAGCTTTTTTTTTAAATCATCCAAATAGAATTTGAAGTTTATCTAAATTTGGTGACCTTCTATTAAAAAAAAATTTGCTTATTTTCAAATCGATTAGAATTTATCTCTAATCGTGAATTCAGGACACACGAATTGAATTTCTCGGTCCAGATCCACTTGAATTCCAAATCTCAATTTATCTGGATTTATTTGCAAGATATTTTGGATACAAGCCAATGTAAGTGGTGTATTTTGAAGAAAGTGTATATGTTGCTGAACATTCATCAGATGAACAAATTTGCATCTATGTTCAGTTTAAGTAGTACATGCAATCAAGGTAGGGATATTATCCTGGAACATGATATTATAACTATTAATTTTCTTCTTGCAAAATAATTAACACAACATTAATGTAATTAATTGATTAACTAATTGATTAATTAATTAATTAATTAATTAATTAATTAACAATATAAAATATTCTCGGAATTACAATCACACTTGACAATTTGACTGTTCCGCATTCTGAATGATCATTGATCATCAGTGAAACAAGAATGAATCTCTTATCTAGATGATCATTTCTATGAACATCTGCATTACACAATGATTTAATTCTCTCGAACTTATGTATTGAGTGTGATTGTTAACTGTTCATCGAATCAGGCCATCTAATAATACTCCTGTGATTCAAGGGAATTGTCAATGTGTAGATCTTTTGCACACTGAACTGACGATTGGGTTGTCAACGAGCCTTGATACAACAGGCTAGACAATGCATTTAATTATATCTTTTAACCTTCGTCAACATGCATACGTACCTTGACAAGTTGTCAAACCTAAAAATTGATTCATTACTTATTAATAAACAATACGGAAAACTTTTTCAGTAATTACAAATCTTCCTTTCAAGGACAAATTAGATTCCTCAATTAACAAAATTCCAAAATTCACAAAATCAAAATTTTTCAAAAATATCAAAAAATTTTAGATAAAATCCTTCAGAAATTAAAAAATATATCTTTTTTTTTATCGAAAACATCAGATATTTTCTTGGAAAATAAAGATTTAGAGGGGCAAGGGCAATTTAACGATTGCCAAAAGGTTATTGCCAATCTATTGATAAACTGATTAATCATCATGATTGACAGGTGTAGGGGTGCAAGAGGAGGGATTTGAAATTGTTCAAGTACCTAACAACGAGATGCATGCCTCAAGCAGTAGCGAGAAGCACTTTACGACAGAGAGAACCACAGGTGAGGGTGGCTCTGAAAGTCAAATATTAACGAAAATGTCATCCTCCCTCACGGAATCATCATCAAGTCATAGTTCCATGAAAAAGGAATACGTTACATCAACTTGTTCATCAACATTGGGTACAACTGGTCATCAACCCTCCAATTATTGTGTAAAACAAACAACTCAGAGTTCCGAACACTCTTCATCACAAAATGGTGCTCCTCCAGTTGTCCAGGTACAACAAGTGTTTTTTGTTACAAAGTGATTATTAAAAAAAAAAAAAAAAGAAGTTCATATTGTGTAAATAATTAATCAACTTTCTTGCCTCTTTAGTGTCAAAAGATTCAAGAATACGAGAAAATATTCCAAGACAGACCTGGTGAAGTTAAACAGGACAGGACTATCATTATCACAGAGGATACGGAAATAACGAAACATGTGTGTAAACCATGCAGAAAGCAGACGGCTCCACGTTTTGTATCACCTGTCACGGGAATGATTGTTGATCAAGCTACTGATGTTGTTCTTGAAGGAATTGTGGATGGTGAGTTTTTTCTAAAACATTTTTCTTTTCAACACTTCATAAATTGTGGTTTTAGGATTTCCACAACCAACCGTCACTTGGGCAAAGAATAATCAGGAGCTGAGAACCAAGGACGGGGTGAAAATGTCTTATCAACAAAATCATGCACGTCTGGAATTAAAGAACGTGAATGTTAAAGATGCTGGACGCTACACGTGTACTGCTGTTAATAGTGTGGGAAATGCTAGCAGCACAGCTGATCTAGTTGTTAAAAGTAAGATTTTGATTTTGATGACTGACAATTATCTTTAGCTAGATTAATCAGCAAACTTTCTTTCTTTTAGAAACTATCTTTCCACCTGTCTTCGGACGACGTCTTCAGGCGCAGGTAGTGAAACACGGCGATCGAGTGATGATGGAAGTGGAAATTACAGGAACTCCTGAACCAACAGTAAGGTGGTACAAAGATGACGTTCCTTTAAGAGAACGACCGCCGGAAATCAGAATGAAACAGCAAGGGAATTGTTATTTGTTACTTATCGATAAAGGTAATTTGCTTTTTAATTCAACTTTATATTTATATCACTTATCTTTTATTTATATATTCTAGCGGACAAATCTCATGCTGGAAAGTATATGGTTCATGCAACAAACGCTGGAGGAGAAGCTCAAAGTATCGCGGACTTTGCTGTCTTCGAACCAACTCCAGACACAATGGTCGAAGTTCATAAAACTCTTGTCTACGAAAACGTACAAGATAAAGATGTTGTCGAGGTAAGTTACTAATCATCTAATTTAAGAATTTATTCATATTCATTATGTAGAAATTTACTAGAGTGGGAACGGGAAATATTGAAAAATTTCAATGTCGCAACATTGGTAAATTTAGTAACAATTTTAATGATTGTATATAGCCGGATGAGATGAAGGCAAAAATACCATCAGCAAATATGACAACTCAGCATATAACTACAACGATGATTCAACCGAGCGCTGCCTTGAAAACTCCTATTCCTCCTACATCATCCTGCTCAACTATACGAACAATTCAATCAGAATCTGATACTAAAGCATCACGTTCAGAAACTATATCATCCACCATTGAATCTCATCGCAGTGAAACTAAATCCGAACAAAAATTCCACATGAAACTTGAACACAAAGCGGCACCTTTATTCGAAGGTACATCCGGTGATTTAGAATACGCAAAACCATCCAAAGATAAGAAAACAACAATTGAAACGAAAAAAGAAGAAATGACCGCTGATGGAAAATTAATAGAAAGAGAGATCAAAACTTACGATGAAGAGGCAACTTTAAATGAAAATGTTGAAACATCAACCGTAGCTAAAAAAGATGCACTCAACTTCTTTGAAGCCATGTCCAAAGGTAGTGACAATATTCCTAAGGGTCCTAAAGATATGATCAAATTGACGGAGAATGAAGTTGGCAAAGGTCCAGGTTCCGATGTTCAAGTTGGAAAGTTGACCAAAAATTACGAACGCACAACAAGATTTGAGGAGGTTAAAGAACCAAAACCTGATTTTAAAACATCCAAAAAGGCAGTACAGGATATTTTCTCTAAATTCGAGCAAAGTTCCACCTCAAGGGGTATTGAAAACAATCTCATTGAATTCCCATACGAAGGCTATAAATTACCACCACTTGAAATTAAAAGAACCATTTTGGAAGATGTAACCGCTTCTGGTTCTCCAATTCACGGTACACTAACAATTTCCAAACTTGAAGCACAATCCGAAAGTGCCGAAGCAATGCTCAAGGGTTTCAATCTCGTTCCTGAACCTCCTCCTGAAATTGGTTACGCACCTGCTGAAGGGACGAAAAAAAAACTTCCTGATGTCTCCATCAAGGCCAAACAGCTCCAAGAGTCCTTTGACAAAAGTTTATCCCCCGTGGATGCTCCAATTGGCGGTGTTAAAATGTTTCCCTCATCAAAACCAGAAACAAAAAGTTTTACACGTCCAGCGACAACACCCGAAAAATCATTATCAATACCACCTCCATTTGAACTAAACAATCAACAAGTGATCGAAGAAACCTGCATCAAGAAAGACATTCACGAACATAAAACATCATCCGATTCGTCCGAATATAGATGTCAATCCACGACTTCCATGCAACGATCAATATCACCCAAACCTAAACCACCTCGCGAAATAACTCGAACCCTCACAGATCATCAAGAATGGAAAGAGCCCGGCGATGATTTCAAACTAACGACAAAGGAAACGACAAAAGAGGTTGAAGTCACGCCAGCAGGTCGTTGTGCAACCACCAGTATCGAGTCAACCACCTCCCTTGAAAAACAATCCTGGTCATCGCAGGAGAATCGTTTCGTCGAAAAAACCGTCGAACAACCCCCAAAACCCAAACCCATAATCTATAAAGCCGAGACAACAAAAGTTGATCACACCATCAGTACAATTCAAGAAAAATCTCTAATTGAAAAATACTCCTCAGAATGTGATGTCCACAAGTCCCAAACCACCGAAAAAATGATCGAATCCATTGAGCAAAGATGCACCAAACCTTGTCCAGCGTCATCCGATCTCAAGGCACCATCACTTGTCAAAAACATCGAATCCAAAAAACAACCCACTGTACAAATGTACCATCAATCTCAATCAATATTGCAACCTGGTCCACCACCTGAAATTGGCTTCAGTCCCGGTCCAGCACTACGCGAAAAGAAAATCGAAAAAATTGAAAAAACCCTCGAAATGTCCCTTGGGCATCAACCAGCGAAAATTCCACCCGGAGCCGTGAGAATTGCACCTCCCGTTCCACCAAAAGATCTTCGAAAAACTCCTCCTCTTTCATCGCAACCTAAATTACCTCCCACCTGCTGTACACCAACAAAATTCACCAAAACCTCCTTCTACAGCGAGAGCGAGTATGAATCCGATTTAGATGGTACCCTTCGATCAAAATGGCGACCCTACGAAAGTGACAGTGAAGAACCCCGTTATCGACGAGTGACAGCGCCAATTCCCAAACAACCCAGACCTAAATCAACCGAACCCGAACCACTTCCACCATCACGATTCGAAATTCCATCAGCTGATTTGACTGCTCCCTCAAGGCCACTCATCTCTGACTATCAGGAGAAGTCGACAAAAAAAACCATGACACGCCAGGAGAGAGATTACAAACAACAACAGCAACAGAGGTTCAGTCAAACACCACCAGTTCTACCAAAACCTGGATCACCGCCCATTTATGTTCATCCAACAAATGCTGCACCACGTCCAGCAATGAAACTAACAAAACCCGAATCACCAAAATTCAAAACGAAAATGTTCCAACCAGAAAGTGGTTACATGGCTGATACTGATGAGCCATTCCAATATTTGCAGCAGCAGCAGCAACAAAAAATGAGCACCACCACTGGTGGTTCCGGACAAAAAGGTTTCACAAAACATGAGGAATCATCAATGAGCTCTAAAATGATGTCAGAATCACGTTCATGCTTCTCTGAATCACATTCAAGTTTTACTGAGAGTAAAAATTATACAAATTCACAAAAATCCGAATCATCCAAGAGTTGTCCTTTCTCACAATCCCTTCCCACAAATCAAGTTCAGCGCACGTCTTATATTGAAAAGTCATCGTCCTCAATACCTACAAAGGTTCGAGATAGTAATGAATCATTAGCTTGCGTTTTTGTCTTTTTTTACAGGAACTAATTGTTTTTTTTTTGGAGTACTTCGTTTTTTATTAATAATTTATGTTAGTCAGCATGATATGTTTTCTGATCTGGAATTGTTGATCAAACTTTGTGGCATGATTGTGTCAATTTTGCTGAATGATCAGTTGGTTGTTACTGATAATAATTGATTTAGATGATTGCTACTGATTCAGTAAATCGTTGCTGATCATTGATTCAACTGATCACTGCAGTTTTTTTAATAAAACTTTTGTGTGCTAAAACAAATATTGATCTTCCAATTATCAAATATTCTTTATTTCAGGACACATTTCATTCCGTCAGTCATAGTGAGCAGTGGAAGTCTCAGCCATCTCCAAGTCCCTCCAAATTCGTCAGAAGCGAATTTCGCGAAAGTGACTACGAGAGTGATTTCGATAGTAGAAGATCAACACTCTGGAAATCACAAGGTTCTGCCACAATTGATCGCACTCACAAATCAGTAAAGTCAAATTTGACTAGCACAGGTGTGTTTCCCTAGAAATCACGAATTATTCACCGCACGCCAAATCATCATCATCATCATCGATTTTTTTTACTTTCGCAATTTCTTTTCCAGCTTAATTAATTCTTCTGACAAAAGGTTTCCACGTTGATTTCCTTGATTTTTCGTTCACCTTTTTATCTCTCTCGCTTTTTCTGCTTCATTCTATCGCTTCTTTTATTTCAGCCAAATCTTCTACTTCTTTTTCTTTTCTACTTTCTCACAAACTTTTGGTTTTTAATAAAAAATTTTCTTGTGCGATCGCGATCATTGGAAAAAGATATTTTCTACCTAGGCAAACCACGTCCAGCTTCATGGGCAGAACCGTCATTGCCGACTCCACCTGTATTAATTGAATCAACAAAAGAGAGCATCAAGAAGGATATCTCCCATCAAGGAGACAAATCCAAATCAAAATCAGTTCTTCTTCCTGGTTCACCACCAGAGATTGCTTATGCTCCACCAGTGACGGAATCAAGACAAACATATTACGAGGGTCGTACTGGTACTCCATTCCATAATGCCGTTGGAACGGAATTAAAGAAAACTGTCCGAATGGATGAATCCACTGAAAACACAAGAAGAATTCTAACAGTCGAGCAAACAAGCCGTGTCATTAAATTTGGTGACAAATCAAATAAATCCTATGAGACATCCACAAATGAACATTGCAAAAATTCCTACAATGTACCAATGCCGAAAAAATTCGTTCAAGGACAATTTCGTGAATCAGACTACGAGAGTGATATCGATGCAGGTAAAATCAGACCCAAATGGACACCGGCCGATAGCGACACTGAGGAACCACGATATCGAAAGGTCCAAGCGCCACGTATCAGCCGACCAAGATCAATTGGTCCAATTCAATCCACAACTCCAATTGTGACGTTGCCAAGCGAATCGGAGAACGAGCGATCAGAGACTGATATGAGATCATCATCGATGACAACCCAAAGGCTGATAAACGACCAATCGCTGAAACCAGGATCACCACCAGAATTTGGCTATTCATCAGGACAGGAGCTGAGGCAAACTGCAAATCGTAAGAGCGCTGTCGACATAATAATTTCTTTAATATTTTCTTCTGTTAATGACGCGTCAAGATCCAAAATAATACAGCAAATCCTCTATCCATTTTATTCAAAATCCAAAAAATTCTATATTATTATCTTCGTTGTCTTTTTTCTCCTTATTTTAATCCTCCTTTCAAATTATCTCGCTGTATAGTCAAGAAATTATCTCTTTCGTACCACTTGAATATATCCACTTCGCAGACGTTGCTACCAAACACATGAGCGACATGACCAGCAGCTTCAAATCAAAAACGGAGAAGTTCGTACACGATATCCAATCCGATCTTTTGAAGAAACGAAGTAAACCAATTTTGAAGCATCATTCAGTTGATGGAGCAGTCACGGATGGCGATGATGATCCACGGACTTATCGTGAGGAGAAGAGACTCTCGCAATATGGTAACCAGACTAAATAGTTCTAGATATCTTTTTTTTTTTAATCCCAGGTTATAATTTGTCATGATCTTGTAAAGATCGTTGAGGATCTTAAATAAGATATCAGAAATTGATCTGTACCTGATTTCTTATGCTGATCAACATTTATGATTAGCAAGTTCTTTTTCTTAAAAGTTCGATGACTTTATGCTTTTGGCAAATGATCAGGAAACATTTATCAAAGAATCAGCAACAATTTATCAGAGTTCATCGGCGATATCAAGGAATGAATTTTATTTTCAGTTCTAAGTAATTAGTAAAATTAGTCAATTTATGATTAATTATTTTTTTCATCACAGAATCTAAAATCAATTGGTTTTCAATCAGTAAGTTTTTTCATATAAAATCAGTAAACTTTTTTTTTTAAGCAATTAATCTCACTGATAAAGTCATCGATTAGTAATCTCATTAATCAGCTATCATGTTTATCACCTTTTCTATCAAAACAATAATTTTTACCATTCTTTCCAATTAGCCAATCATAATTACTGTCAATCTTTTCTCTATCAAATCATAAAAGAAGTAATCGCGTTAAAGAATCCCAGCAGCATTTTCAAATATGTTGAGTTTTTTTTTTTAAAAAAATTTTCCTGCAAAATTTTCCATTGAATCCTCCGGTTCAGGAACAAAACATATCGACCCGGACACTGGATTGATTTACTTCAAATACGATTTTGGATACGAGTTTGGCATTGTGATACCTGGCGAGGGTAAGAAAACTGTCTCAAGCAACAGCAAAAGTGTTCAAGGTCAACGTAGAGCCAGCGATATTGATGTACCAATTGTTCATGAATTTACAACAAGAAAGGAAAATGGTTTTTCAAAATCAACTCCATCCAATTGGAACAATAATCATCATGGACGTCAAGCTAGTTTTAAACAAGAGAGATTTGCACCTACAAAAACAGTTAAATGGGAACCAACTTCTGAGAGTGAATTTTCCGAGGCTGAAGATATGAGATGTAGCAAAAAACGTGGTGGTGGTAATCTTGCACCACCTAGTATCTTTATTCCAGCGTCACCATCGCCAAGATGGGATCCAACAACACCGAGTCCCATTTCTTTGAGTCCAAGTCTTCCGAGCCTAAGTCCACGACATAGTAGCGCATGTACAGGACCTCCAAGTAACGTCGATTCTGCAGGTATACTTGTATTCTCAAAAATTAAGTGGATTCTGTGCCTGATTCTGAGCTGCTATGTCAAAAAAAAAAAAAAAATTATTGCCTTGAGCTATCACCTACTTGAGCTTTTTGCAATCCTTTACCGTTGCCCTTTGCTCGTATGGATGCTCTCCTGATAAGTTGGTACTCCTGGCACGCTCGTATCCCTTTTTTTTCAGTAATCATCAACCAGTGATCTGAATCAACGATGGAATTCTTTATTGCACGATGCTTGATACCTTGCTTTTCATGATTATTATAAGGATTTTCAGATTTAAGGAACTCTTCAGAATAACTACGAATTCTTCCAGGAATTTATCTTTTTTTTTTTGAAACATTCAACACAATCAAAATTTTTTTTTTTTTTGAATGATGAGTATTAGGAGGAATAAAATTGGTGGAATCTTTGCGGCTCTTTTTCAAAGCATTTGTGGATTATTAATGATTTTTTAAAAATGCTTCCGCCTATTGATCACAGATCTGAGCTGATAATGCATTGCAGAATATTTATCTTTATGGATATTTATGAATCTTTGTAAATAGTTATGGATTTTTGTAAATCTTTATGAATCCTTATAGATCTTTGTTAATTCTTATAGATCTTTATTTTATGGATCTTTGAAGACCTTTATGAATCCTTAAAGAACTTTATGGATTATTGTAGATCATCATAGATTTTTCAAGATCTTTATAGATCCTTATAAATTTTTTTAAAACCTTTATTCATCCTTGTAAGTATTTATGGATTCTTATAAATCTTTATGGATCTTTATGAATCTTTGTAAATATTTATGAATTCTTGTAGATCTTTATGGATTTTTATAGATCTCTATAGATCTTTATAGATCATTATATATCTTATGAAATCTTTATGAATCCTTGTAGGTTTTTATGGATCCTTATAAATCTTTATGGATCTTTATAAATATTTATGAATTCTTGTAGATCTTTATGGATCTTAATAGATCTTTATAGATCTATATAGATCTTTATAGATCTTTAAAAATCCTTATAGGTTTTTATGGATCCTTATAATTCTTTATTAATCTATATAAATATTTATGAATTCTTGTAGATCTTTATGGATCTTAATAGATCTTTATAGATCTATATAGATCTTTATAGATCTTTAAAAATCCTTATAGGTTTTTATGGATCCTTATAATTCTTTATTAATCTATATAAATATTTATGAATTCTTGTTGAACTTTATGGATCTTTATAGATCTTTATATATCTTTATATATCTTTATATATCTTTATGGATCTTTATAGATCTTTATATATCTTTATATATCTTTATAGATCTTTATAGATCTTTATAGATCTTTATAGATCTTTATAGATCTTTATAAATCATTATAGATCTTTATAGATTTATAGATTCTTTTAGTGCTATATGGATCCTTGTAGTTCTTTTTGGATCCTTATAGATCTCTGTAGATTCTTATAAATTTTAATAAATCGTTATAGATCGTTATACATCTCTGTAGATTTTTATAAATTTTAATTATCGTTATAGATCTTTATAGATCTTTATAGATCTTTATAGATCTTTATATATCTTTTTAGATCTTTATAGATCTTTATAGATCCTTATAGATCTTCATAGATCTTTATAGATCTTTATAGAATAAAATTTTATTTCTTACTATAAATTGCAAGAAATAACATTATTTTTTGCACCTTGTAATTAAATCATGTCTTTTTACAGTGATTAAATTGCAGTTGAATATCCAACCGTGTATTTTGACTGATAACAAACAATTTTTGTTCAATTCTATCAATTTCTTCATCATTCATTTTTCAATAATTTTTATCAATCTTATCATTTTGTAAATGTTTGCCAACAAATAAAATTGAATAATTTACAGGATCTCCTTGGCCTTGCACGAATGGAATTTCAGGAAACAAAGAGGTGATACAACCATACCTAGAACCTCAACCAAAGAAAGCTCCTCTTTTTATTACGGTAATTAATTTTTTCTGATTAATTTTAGAAAACAAAAAATATAAAAATTTTCAATAAAAAAACAATTTAAAGTAACAAGGCCCTTTTGTACAATGTACTGGGAAATAAAAAAAAAATTTCAAAATTTTTTTTTTGTTGCAGCCTTTGAGAGATATTGCTGTTGTGAGTGGACAATCGGCACGATTTGAATGCATTGTACAGGCAGAGCCTCAACCAAATATTTTATGGTCGAAAAATGGAAGAATTGTTGAAAATTCAGCGAAATATGAAATTTACTATAGAAATGGAGTTTGTCGACTTACCCTAGCTCGCGCGTTACCAGGTCAGTAGAAATTAAAAAAAAAAAAAATTGATACTCGATAGTTATGTGAAAATTTTTTTTTTCTAAATTTGTAAAATTTCTTTCAGATGATGCTGGTACATTCACGTGCACGGCAACAAATAATCTCGGCTCGGCAGGAACTTCATCAACATTGCAGGTGCCAGGTAATAGACGTTCGGTGTATGGCATTATTTAATAAGCAACAATAAAAAAAAAAAAAGGTGGAGGTGCATCGTAAACAAAAAGCGCTCTAGCACGATAAGGTGGCGGTTGTAGATCTGTGATCTCGCTCAAAGGAGTTTATTTCTAAATCCATTTATTGTTAATTTATTTTTCTTTTTTAAACATAACTATACTACTTGGAGCGAAATTTGCAGATATAATTATTGCTATAAATGTAGCTATATAGACTATTTCAGCTCGCAGTGTCGGAAAAGCCCTTATAAAACTTTTTTTTTTGCATTTTTTTTTCTTTTTTTTTTTTGATGATTTTTCATCAAGGGCGAAACTTGTTTATTTAGTTAATATCGTGTCTCTTCTCTCAATTTTCATTTTTTTTTCCTGTGTAGGAAGCTTTTTAAATTGCATTTTCTTAAAAGGGATCGTGCTTCTGCTATATCGTTTCTACTTTCCTCTTGCACTCCTCGTTTCACTTTCAACCTCCTCCAAAAAAAAAAAATTTCACTTGCTTTCTTCGTGAAAAAAAATCATATTCATTTCACATTCATTATTTTAAATATCGAGCAAAGCCTTTTTAAAAAAAGGCACTTTTTCTACATACACAGACACATAAAAAAATACACAAGACTTTTTGTATATTAATTTTAATCAAGCCAATGATGATGATGATGATGATAGATTAAAAAATAATTCAATAGATAGATAAAAATATAAAAATAATCGAGAAATTAAATTCTTGATTTTTTAATTCAATGAATTTATAATAATATTTGTTGAAACTAGTCATTATTGTATAAAAATCCAGGGAAAAATTTCTTTTTAATTAATAATTTAGTTTTTCTTTTATATAAATGAAAAACAAAAATTTTTATCAAGATATAGTAATATTGTAATTAGTTGTAAAGCGATCCGAGGAGTAGGAGTTTCTATACATATATATATATATATATATATTTTAAAAAATCCAAAGAATCCCTTTTTTTGACTTTTGGAGCTTGAAGATGAGAGACTTTTGATTGATGCCAAAAAAAAATAATTATAAAAAAAATGTCTATTTACTCTTTATAGTTAAACTTGTATGAACGAGAAATGTTATTAATTTAAGCCAGATTGTTATTATCGACTTTTATTGTTATTATCACTGATTACTGTTATAATTATTATGAACAACGTTATCAGTAATGCTGTGTAAATAAATGTGTGCTTCCTCTATGACACATGGATTTATGATTTATATATATCAATTTCTTTCTTTTGTTTCACCTTCTTTGGAGTAGAGTGGACAACAGTGGATCACAGTTTTTTTTTTTTTTTTTGGAAACTTTTACTACCATGGTAACGGTTGCTATGGTAACGATTTTTTAAAAATTCATTTTCAAGAAAAATTAAATTATTGCCATTAATTCACTGTTGCCATTCTTTTCTATATCTCATCATATTTCTATCTACACAATTTCTTATATATGCGCATTTATTTGTAAGTATATATTTGTATATAAAAATGCAGTATTTTCAATAATCAGCTTGTAAAACAGTAAAAAAATGATTTTTTAAATTGAAAATACAGATTAATTTTTTTAAAAAACCAAATAAAAAAACGTTCCATTGGGATACGTGCTATACTAATTATAATGCTACAGTAAAAAACTAATTTTTAACATTAATTACACCGTCCGACAAAATTCAACTTTTTTTTTGACCCACAAAAAAATCCAACATTTTTGGAAACTAGGACCCAAAAAAAATACCCGTGTCTGCCCCTAAATAAAAAGTGACAAGATATCTTTTAAAAATTATTAATATTTTATAAAACTTGGTATCTGGGAGTTTTCGGGGTCGCTGATTATTAATCTGATGTCAGATTTTTAAAATTCAAAATGGCGGATTCAATATGGCGGTCAAAATTTTAAAAAGTTATTAAATTTTTTTTAAACCTTGATATCTAGGGGTTTTATGGGTCGTTGATGACGAATCTGATGTTAAATTGTCAAAATTCAAAATGGCGGATATAAAATAAAAAATTAATAACTTTTTAAAAATTTGATCGCCATATTGGATCCGCCATTTTGAATTTTGAAAATCTGACATCAGATTAATAATCAGTGACCCCAAAAACCCACAGATAACAAGTTTTATAAAATATTAATAATTTTTAAAAGATATCTTGTCACTTTTCATTTAGGGGTTGTTTTCACCCTTAAAAACCACAAACGACTTGATCTAGCAAAACGGTCAGATACGGGTATTTTTTTTTGGGTCCTAGTTTCCGAAAATGTTAAATTTTTTTGTGGGTCAAAAATTGTCGTACGGTGTTATATTTATCCGGTGATTGCATGAGGTTTAATCATTTTTTCAAACATTTAAATTCCTAATTCAATTTTTTTCCTTATTTTTTTTTATTCAATTTTTCATACATCAACTTGGCAGTGGGATTTTTTTGTTTTCATTTTATTTCGTTAAATCAACTTGTTTTTAATTAATCTGATTAATTTTTTACTTGATCAATTTAAATATTTTTTTGAAATTATTTTTAAAATAATAAATAATCGTTATTTTAATTTATAATACTAAAAATGTCGGCTGAAGTGATGTTTACAACAGAAACTAAGAAAATAGAATAATTGTTAATGAGAAACTGTTGACTTGGCAGTCTAAAGATAAATAAAATAATCAGAAGTTGACTTTGCAATTGCCGATGATATTTGGCAATGATTTTTCGCTTTCAATTCGCGTTTTATAAAATGAGCCACAAAATTTTTTTTTTTTTTGGATAATTTATATATACACTCGCAAAAATATATTCAATTGTTGAAAAAAAAAAAACTTTTTTGAAATATTTTAAAATTAAATGCCAAGAAAATCTTATAATGAGACCAACTGTTTAACCTTGGCAGAATCAACAATTTAGTTCAAGTTGTATGTTGACACTTGCTTGGTGTAACTATTATGTATATATTATGTTACGTTACAATTTCTTGGCTCGAAAAAAAAATAAACTTGAATGAAAAATTAAATTCTTTAACTCCTATTATGTCCAAGGTGAAAACGAACAATATTGTCTAATTATTTTGGCAAAAGTTGAAAATTTCAAACGTATTTTTGTATAAATGATTCACAAATGTTTTTAGATGAATTGAATATTATTTTTGTGGAGATTTATTTAGAAATATTAATCACTCTGTATTGAGTGGGTTTTAAAATTATTTTTCTCCATTTCAAGTATTGCAGCAATTATTATTTTCTGTTTTTAAAAATTTAATTTTTAAATAATTTAATTTTTTTAAAAATTGATTATTCGTAAATAATAATTTGATAATAAAAAAAAGTATGAATTAAAAAAAAAATTTGAGTCAGCGAATTGTTAACAATAATTGCTGCGTTAAGAAATTTAATTCTGCAAATCGTTTAAAGTGAATTTCTTTATATAATAATAAAATAAATATAATAGCAAACAAATTGAGAAGACAAATTTTCTTGAAAATCGCATTTAAGTCAATTAGTCTCACAGATGACCCAATTTTTCCCGCAATTGCTTAAGAATAAAATCGTTAAGATTTATCCAGAAAATTATTTTGGCAAAATGTCAATTTTAAGTTAAATTAAAATTAAAAATCATAACTAATTAATAAGTGTAAATAAAAAAATTAAAAATTAAATAAAAATAGTAACTAAAGTAAAATGAGTAATTAAAAAAAATTGGTAAAGTAAATTATTAATTAAAGTAATAAAAAAAATAAAATTAATAAACAAATTACAGGAATATATTTGCCTCCACTGCAAAATAATGAGCATTCCTCATCAAGATACGTTACATTAAAGGATCTCTTTTTATCGCCTAAACAAATACGTTTAGCATCATCATCATTATTTGATCAAGACGAAATTCCGGAATTGAAAGATCTCAGTCTTTGGAATCGTAGAATAAGGTATGGGGGTCTTTTTTTATCTCTTTCTCTTCTATTTTATATGCAAAAAAAAAAAAAAAAAAAAAAAAAAAAAGTTCAATGCTCTGGATATACACAATGCTTTCTAGTTGCGGCAATTCGTTCCACGATGATGGCTCTCAAGATGAATTTTATTTGATGACACGCGAAAACAAAGTAGTAGCAAAAAAATTGAATTATTCAGACATGGATACAAGTAATTCCATTGCTAATGTTTCTAAAGTGAATTACATTCATTTGCGAATCAATGATTTCGAGAAACCTTCTCACAATGACGACGAAAGTAAGTTAATATATATTTTTTTTTTAAATATAAAAAATGATTTTAATTTTAAAAGAAGAAAAAAAAATTTATTTTTTTTGCAAAATGAAAATTTTTGTTATAACAAAAATAGAATCTCACAGACTCCCAGGTGGGAGGTGAAAATTTTTGCTCACATATTTCTTATATATATATATATATCTAAGTGTTTGTAATCGCAGGGATGTTGAATCATAGACGTTGAACTCGTAAGCTCAAGTTTTTGAAGAAAGATCCCTCGAACCCAAAATAGAAGGCGTCGCTATGCGCCCACCTTGGCAAAGGGTATGATTCACTCGACCTACCTTTTCGCAATGATATGAAAGAGAATCATTTTTGGCTAAGAAAATTAATTTCCTTTGGATTAAGAGAAAATTTTTTTTTGGAAAATGGCGTAATTTATCTTATAATTGGAGAATAGTAAACGATTTTGCGGCTCGATTATGACATTAATTTTCTGTCTCTATTTCTCTCTCTTGGTATATAAACTTTGAGAATCTTGTTTGTAACGCGAAACCAAGTATTGTATACCGGCTCTTGTTGAATATTACACGCACGCATTGCTGGATTTGTCCTACTGCCACCTCCTGCATTGCGTCTTGCTCCGTTTCGTCTTAATTCTCACATATCCCCCCCTTTCAATTCTCCAATTGTATATTAAAATACAAAAAAAAAAGTAATTATAACGTTAATTGACTTCTGAAAATTACGCGTTTATTATGTAATTATATTTAAATTATTTAGATCGCTTTCTCATATGCTTTCTAATAATTTTTTCCAAATTATTTTTTTTTTATATTTCTGTGTAAAAAATGGCCCTACCAGGGCCCTAGTAGGGAACGAAACGCCACACCTGTACGTGTAGAAATTTTTCCAGGGTCCAGATCGGAGCGCCTGATTAGAAAATTCCACATTTTCTAGTCGCCCTGATTTGGTCCTGATCTGTTGTGGCGTTTCATTCCCTACCAGGGCCCTAATAGGGAACGAAACACCACACCTGTACGTGTAGAAATTTTTGCCAGGGTCCAGATCGGAGCGCCTGATTAGAAAATCCACATTTTCTAGTCGCCCTGATTTGGCCCTGATCTGGTGTGGCGTTTCATTCCCTACTAGCGCCCTGATAGGACATTTTCTACACGGGTGATAAGGGTCAAATCAGGGCGACTAGAAAATTTGGATTTCCTAATTAGGGCCACATTAGGCGCGGCGTTTCATTCCCTAATAGGGCAGTCTAATCCGTCCCCGATCTGGGCCCTAACAAAATTTCTGTTTCCCTATTTTCTAAAATTTTGATATTTCTTTTTATTACAACAAGTTTTTTTTTTGAAAACTTATGTATATATATTTGTGTCAACTTTTGAAAGCAGACGATATACCCACGTGAAGAGTCTGGCTATAAATGTGATAAAAAGAAGAGAGATATGGAGTATAAAGAAAAAGACAGTGAGAATGAGAGAGAGAGAGAGAGAGAGAGAGAGAGAGAGAGAGAGAGAGAGAAGAAAAGAGAAGGGGAAGAAGTACCTTAAAGAAGCGTGGGCGGCCCGGCCGGTACTCTCTACTCTGTCAGTGAACACGAGAAGATTGAGAAGAGAGTCTCTCAAAAAAAAAGAGAGCGATAATGTATATCCTACTGCAGCTTCACTTGACCATTTCTTGAAACATGACAACCGGCTTTTAACGGTCCTCCGACTTCACCTTCCAAATAGTTAGCGAGTGCAACTCTCGTGCGTCCACATTCTCGTTCTTCTTACTCGGTCACTGGGAGAGAAGGTCTCTCTTAAATATATATATATCTATATGTGTATGACTTTACACATTCCACTTTACAACTCTTTTTTTTTTCTTTCAATAAATTTTTCAACATTAAAAATTGGAAAAAAAAATTCTACATTATTAAAATAAATAACTAATTGGTATTTAGTTAAGTTTTAATATTTCTTTTTCCTTTTAAAGAAGATGTGAAGAAAATTATTTTTCAGAAAATAGATTTTTTGTTGAAGAAAAGAAATGAAGAAGAAAATTTGTATAATATTTATATTTATTTGTAACATAACGGGACAAATAGAGAAGGGAAGATAAAAGAAGGTAAAATTATTTTTAAAAAAATTATACGCAGCTAAATGAAGTTTAAGTTCTGTTAAAGGAAGCTATCAAACTAAAAGAATCTAAAAGAAACTTAAAATAATTTAAAGAAGCGATGGTAAGCTGGAATAATACAACATATGCTGGAGAAGCTATAATAAGTTGAAGAAGATAAACTTAACGAAGCTAAATGAAGTTTAAATCATGTTAAAGGAAGCTATATTAAAGTAAACGAATCTGAAAGAAGGTTAAAATATTTTAAAGAAGGGATTATAGGCTGAAAAATATAAAAAAGTACAAAATATGCTACTTAAGCTAAAATAAGTTGAAGAAGTAAAAAGAAGCTAAATTAAACTAAAAGTATCTAAAATAAGCTAAAAGAAGTTTAAAAATTTCTAAAGAAGCGATTATAAGCTGAAATAATATAAAGTAAGCTAAAAATAAACAAAAGAAGCTAAAATAAGCTAAACGAAATTGAAAAAAGTTTAACTTATGTTTAAAAGAAGCTAAATGAAGATAAAATAATGTAAAAGAACCTGAAAAGTAGCTTCAAATATTCTATAAAAAAGCGATAATAAATCGGAAAAATATAAAACAAGCTGAAAATAAGGTAAACGAAGTTAAATCAAAATTATAAAATCTAAAAATAGCTAAAAGAAGCTAAAATTATGTTAAAGAAAATATTATAAGCTCAAAGAAGCTGAGAAAAAGTTTAAATTATGCTAAAAGAAGCTAAAGGCCGCTAATTTGAGCTTAATGAAGTTCTACAGAAGCTAGAATAAGCTAAAGAAAGTTTAATCTATGTTGAAGAAAGATAGAACAAGCTAGAAAAGTCTAAAATAATCTAAAAAAGCAATGATATGGTGAAATAGTTTTACAAAAGTTTAAATTATGTTAAAGAAAATATTATAAGCTCGAAGAAGCTGAGAAAAAGTTTAAACTATGCTAAAAGAAGCTAAAGGCCACTAAATTGAGCTAAATGAAGCTTAACATTTTTTTCAGAAACTAAAATAAGCTGAAGAATGTTTAAAATATGCTGAAAAAAGCTAAAACAAGCCAGAAAAAATCTAAAATAAACGAAAGAAGCGACGATAAGCTGAAATAATTTTAAAGAAATTTAAATAATTAAAAAAAAATATTATAAGCTCAAAGAAGCTAAATAAGGTTTAAATTATGCTAAAAGAAGCTAAAGGCCGCTAAATTCAGCTAAATGAAGCTTAACATTTTTTTCAGAAACTAAAATAAGCTGAAGAATGTTTAAAATATGCTGAAAAAAGCTAAAACAAGACAAAAATATCTAAAATAAACGAAAAAAGCGACGATAAGCTGAAATAATTTTTAAAAAAATTTAAATTATGTTAAAAAAAATATTATAAGCTCAAAGAAGCTAAATAAGGTTTAAATTATGCTAAAAGAAGCTAAAGGCCGCTAAATTCAGTTAAATGAAGATTAATATATTTTAAAGAAAAACTATTATAAGCTCGAAGAAGCTGAGAAAAAGTTTAAATTATGCTAAAAGAAGCTAAAGGCCACTAAATTGAGCTAAATAAAGCTTAACATTTTTTTCAGAAGCTAAAATAAGTTGAAGAAAGTTTCAAATATGCTGAAAAAAGCTAGAAAAAACCAGAATAATCTAAAATAAACGAAAGAAACGACGATAAGCTGAAATAATTTTAAAAAATTTTAAATTATTTTAAAAAAATATTATAAGCTCAAATAAGGTTTAAATTATGCTAAAAAAAGCTAAAGGCCGCTAAATTCAGTTAAATGAAGATTAAAATATTTTAAAGAAAAACTATTATAAGCTCGAAGATGCTAAAAAAATGTTTAAAATATGCTTAAAGAAGCTAAAGGCCGCTAAATGAAGCTAAATGAAGCTTAAAATTTTCTACAGAAGCTAAAATAAGCTACAGGAAATTTAAAATAAGCTGAAGAAAGCTAAAACAAGCTGGAAAAATCTAAAATAAACTAAAGAAGCAAAGAAGAAGCAACTGAAGTTACTTTAAAAAATCTTAAAATATATCGAAAAAAATATTACAACCTCGAAGAAGCTGAAAAAAAGTGTAAATTATGTTAAATAAAACTAAAAAAAATCTAAAAAGAAGTTTAACATATCTTAAAAGGAAGTTAAGATAAGCTGAAAGAAGCTAAAAGATAAAAATTTCCTAGCCTATGTTTTTTTGAGGTGTGAAATCTGTATATGAGTGAGAAGAAATCAACACTAACGAGAAAAGAGAAGAAGGAGGGCGGAGGATATTTTTGTCACGATGAATACACAACTGTAGCATTTTCTATATACACACACACACACACATATAAATATATATATATACTCTTAAAACCACGTCTCTCTTGTCGTGAAACTTTTCCTCGTGTATAGAGAGCGTCGCGACGCTTTAGCACCCTCACCCCACTCTAAAAAGGAACCCCACCCGGCAAAATTTCGGCTCCGCGGGATCTCACCAAGCAACCAAGAGTCCCGCTACCGGCTCACTCGTAATTCGCATTCGAACGACGTCTTGGTTAACAGAGTCTCGGGGTAACAACAAAAAAAAAAAACAAAAGCAAATAATAATAATAATAATAATTGGTTTATAATGACTTGACTTCTGCCTAATGAAGCCGTGGAAAGGGCAATCCGATGCGAATTAAACGCAAACGAAAACGCGATTATCAATTGCAAATATTAGTTTAAAAAAATATATACGACTCGATAGAGCATTACCCGCGATTAATACGAAAATCGCGAACAAGAGAGGATCGTGTTGCAAAAAGTGATTTTTTTTGTCAAAGTGCTATATATATAGTGTGTGTGTGTGTGCACAATCAACAATTTTAATTTTTTCGTTTTGGTGAAATATATTTTTGGATTTTGTGATTTTTCAACATGAAACGACAACAGTCACAACAATCGCAACAACAGTTGCAACAACAACAACAACAGCAGCAGCAACAATCGACGATGCAACAACAATACACGCAACAGAGGACTGAAAGACAGGTCACCCGGCAACATATTACTAGTCAACAGAGAGGTCGGTTGGAATTATAGCTTCAATAAAAATTTTATTTTTCCCTTCGTTTTACAAAATTGTAGTTTCTTCGGTTTTTTTTCGGTTTTTCGAGTTAAAAAACTTCTTTTTATTTGTTCTTCACTTTTTGTTTCTTCTATTCTTTATTTATTTCTTCAATTAGTTTTTAGTGCTGAAGTCAAGTCTAACGATTTTTTTTCTATATTAATTATTTCTTCTTTTCTACTTTTTATTTCTTCTTTCTATACTTTCGGAAAAAGTAGAAAAAAATCTATTCTCCAAAATTTGTGGTACTCGAAAATTCTCGACAAAAGTAAATAGAAAAACAGAGAAGAGCAGAAGGTGAACGACGAGTGAAAAACGGGCATAACATATATACGAGTAGAGGTATAATCTTCAATGAAATTCAACGATTGCGGAAGTACGGTTAGATCGTGTTAAATGCGTTCAAGCGTTCGGGACAGACAAGTTTTATCAGCCCAAGGCTCATTTACACGCGATAATTGTGAAAAATGATCAATTTCTTCAACATCAAATGACGATCTTTTTCTCTTCTTTGGAATTTCTTCTTCTTCTTTTTCTTCTTCTTTATTTTTTTGCTATTATTTTTCTTTCCCCTTCGATTAAATGGCCTGTTCACTCGAATTCTCCGCTTCTATTTTCGAATGAGCCCTCCTCGACAAAGATCAAAAATAGATTCCCGCACGTTCCAAAATTCCTGCCTGCTTCTTTAACATGTACGAGAATCAGTTAACGGCTTCCGGTGCATGGCGCACTACAAGTTCCTGATAGCAGCTGAACATGCTAAATGCATATGTCCTCTCATCTGTCAAAATGGATGCACTATCTCTTATTTCTTCTAAACTACACCCCAAAAAAAAAGATTTCTTTGATTCAAAAAAATCAATAATTTCTTTGATAAATTTTTCTTTGATTCAAAGAAAATTTATTTGTTACTAACAAATTATCTATGATTACAAAAAAAATTATCTTCGTTTCAAAGAAATTTTGTTATTTAATTCAAATAAATTTTCTTTGACTATGAAAAGTAAATTAAAAAGTATATTAAATAATTTAATTCATGAAGAAAAATAAATATTACTATTCATTAATAAATTATTTAAAAATAACAATAAATATGATATTTTATAGTAAATTGAAAAAAAAACAACACTAACCGATTTAATTGTTAATTTTTTAAAAATAGTTACACAATTTCGAAATTTCCTGCAAAAAAATAATAATTTAACTTCTTCAAATGAAAGAAAATGTATTTTTAAAATCATTTTCTTATGATAGATTTAAAAGTGTTTCTCAAAAAAACATTTCATAATACAATGTAAAAATGTGTAATCTTTGTGTATTTTTAGAAATAACTTTCCAGTTCGTAATCTCTCTCTCTCTTTCTCTCACAGTTACCGAGAGGGAAACTGAATCAGAAAATATTTTTATCCCTATGTGAATGTCACTGATGAAAAGTTAGAAAATGGATTTTTTAGCTGAAGTTGTTAATCTCTTTTTTCTTCCAATTTTAAATTTAATTATATCTAAGAAAAAAAAATCATCAGATGTACTTTTCGTCTTAGAGTTTCTATAGTTAAAGAAAAAAAAAAATTATTCTCGAAAATTCTTTTCGCGACACCATTTTAATCTTGGAAATAATCCAAAAATGATTCAAACACATGAAACTGTCATTTGTTACCATGTCATGTTTATTGTGACCTAACTATGTATATATAAATTTTTTTTCTGGATGAAAACAACAAGATTGATGCCAAATTACTTTTGCATCATGGAGAAATATTTGATAATATTTTTCTATCTCTTTTTGTTTTACATTCGATAAAAGACACTTTAATTTTGATTTTTTAAATCAGAAATTGATAAATTTTGTACCATATTGATGAAACTGTATCAAATTAATGTAATTGAACCAAATTGATGATTTTCTTGTAAGAAATTTGTAATAAATCATCAACTAATTAATTTAATACTTAATTGATGATTTATGCACCAGACTAATGAATTTTCCGCTCAACTTTATGCCAAATTAATCAAATTCTACGAAATTCAGTCTTCTATTCTAAATTAATTATTTGTAAATGAAATTAATTCATTATGTACGAAATTGATGATTTTTGTTCAAAACTGATGAATTTTGGTACCAAATTACTAGTCTAGTAACAAATTAATAAATTTTTGAACAAAAGTAATTTATTTTCTACCAAATTGGGGATTTTATGAACACAATTGATGAAATGTGTATCAAACTGATGAATTTTTTATACCAAATTGAGGAAACTGTACCAAATTGATGATTGATATTGTGTGAAATTGTGCAGTTACTTTTTGGACAAAACTAATTAATTTTATACCAAATTGATGAATTTGGTAACGAAATGACTTTTGTACTAAATTGATGAACATATTGTACCAAACTGACGAAACTGTACCAAACTGATGAAACTATACCAAACTGATGAAACTATACCAAAATGATGAAACTATATCTAATTGATAATTGCTTTTGTGACAAATTAAGTAGTTACTTATAGATGAAACTAATTAATTTTGTACTAAATTGATTAATTTGATATCAAACTAAATTACTTTTGAACTAAATTGATGATCGTATTGTACCAAATTGATGAAATTATAACAAATTAATAATTATTTTTGTGACAAATTATGTAGTTATTTTTGGATGAAACTAATTAATTTTGTACTAAATTAATGAATTTGTTACTAAACTAAGTTACTTTTGCACAAAATTGATGATTGTTTTCAACCAAATTGACGATACTGTACCAAATTGATGATTGTTTTATCTCACAAGTTAAGTAGTTACTTTCGGACAAAACTAATTAATTTTGTATTAAGTCGATGAATTTATTACCAAACTAAAATGACTTTTGTACTAAATTGATGATCGTAACTGTAACAAATTGATGATTTTTGCACCAAATTGATGAAGTTTTTCAAAAAAATTTTCGAAATTTGCATCTAAATTTGCTAAATTCAAATTCCAATAAACAACCAAACTTAATATGTAAAATTTCTACAACCAAAAATATTTCTAAAACTTTTGCCAAGTCAAAAAGTTTAATATTCTCTTTGCTCCAAAAAACAAAAATTCGTTGTCAAAATTTGAAATGTTAACAACCATTGTTACATCATTGTCTAAGCAAAATTTAACAATAATTTTTCACCTTGTCTCAATAAAAATTCGATTTTATTACAATCTATCATTATTGTTAGTCTCTTCCACGTTATAATTTACTCTCTCTCTTGTATTTTTAACATTTCTTCGTAATTGCAAAATTATTATTATTATTCTTATTATTAATATTTTTATTGTTATTATTAATATTATTATTATTGTAATTCAATTGTTGGATATTTGAACTGTCATTGTTTCTCATTTATCACGTTGAATTATTTTCTTTTATTGCGATTTTCAATCGATACACACGTGTATATATGCAAAGATACTGATTTCCCAACAGCTGACTTTGCAACCTGTCGACACTGTAAACAATAACGAGTGCTATTGGACAGTCTTCTCTTGCAAAGGGGGAAATGAAATATCAAAGAATAGGCCAGCAAACAAGTCAGTCACTGTTCGCCTTTCTACGCTCTGTAGCTGTTATTTTGGTCAGTGACTGAATTTGCGTAACAAGCAAAGTCAACGGTAGCAAAATTCGTGGACCTCGAGCGAGTGAAAAAGAGATAGAGAGGGAGAGAACAAGAAAGAAAAAGCAAGAGAGAGAGAGAGAGAGAGATAAAGCTTATCGATAGGAACAGCAAGAGAGTAACAGAGAGAGAAAATTGTAGCGAGTCGCCGTCTCGACGCTCAACGTCGAGTAAAGATAGTTGCTCCTAAAATGGGTCCCGGTAACGCGATCTCATCTCGCACAAAAATAGGTTCTCTCTTACGGCCACCACACCCCACCAACTCACGTTGTATATATCCTCTATCGAGGATCATCGAAGAAATATGTTACGTTTACTCTCTCGCGCCCACGAAATTCTGGATCATTTACTCGACCTTCACTATGCGACGATAAAATGAGGGAGGCCAATTATTATTCGACGTGAGAAAGAGAGACAAAAACTGAGAAAATTGCTTTCAAGCCTTTTAAAACCGATTATATATTATATATGACCCTCTGCGCAGAAATTAGGACAAGTGTGTATGTATATGTGTGTATGTGTATTTGATGGAATTCATTAACAATAACATGAGAGCCAATTGAGAACACAAGTACCAAATACATACACAAATATAACATTTCACAATTATTTTAACTGCAATTTTCATGGTCCTTGTTTTATCAAAATAAATAAATTTTTCTGTTTGAAAAATTTATGAATCATTAAAAGTATTTATATTGATAAATTTATTTCTAATTCATTTTGATGATAATCAATTTTCCTCAGTAAATACTGTAAATTTCTATTATTTTTGATGATCATCAATTTCTTCATTTGATGATCATCAAATTTTTTTTGCAAATTAGTTGATAAACATTTTATTCATTTCGTAAAAATCAGATACAATTGTATTTTGATGATAAATATTTTTCTTCAGTAAATACTGTAAATAATTTCTATAATTTTTGATGATCATCAATTTCTTTATTTGATAATCATCAATTTCTTCATTTTGATGATAAACAGTTTTCTTCTTCTTTCTTCTTCTTCTTCAGTTTTTTCTGTAAATAATTTCTATTATTTTTTATGATTATCAATTCCTTTATTTGATTATCATCAATTTCTTTATTTGATAATCATCAATTTCTTCATTTGATGATCATCAATTTCTTCATTTTGATGATAAACAGTTTTCTTCAGTAAATACTGTAAATAATTTCTATAATTTTTGATGATCATCAATTTCTTTATTTGATAATCATCAATTTTTTCATTTTGATGATAAACAGTTTTCTTCAGTAAATACTGTAAATAATTTCTATAATTTTTAATGATCATCAATTTCTTTATTTAATAATCATCAATTTCTTCATTTGATGATCATAAATTTCTTCATTTTGATGATAAACAGTTTTCTTCAGTAAATACTGTAAATAATTTCTATAATTTTTAATGATCATCAATTTCTTTATTTGATAATCATCAATTTCTTCATTTGATGATCATCAAATTTTTTTTTTTTTTTTTGCTTAGTTGATAAACATTTTTTTCCATTTCACAAAAATCAGTTTCAATTTATTGATCAGCAGTTTTTTAAAATTAGATTAAATAAATGGATACACTGGCTAATAAAAATAATCAATTTCTTGTGTTGATGATAATGAATTTCTTCATTTTGATGATAATCTGTTTTCTTCAGTAAATACTGTAAATAATTTCTATTATTTTTGATGATCAACAATTTCTTTATTTGATAATCATCAATTTCTTCATTTGATGATCATCAAAAATTTTTTTTTTTTTTGCTTAGTTGATAAACATTTTTTTCCATTTCACAAAAATCAGTTTCAATTTATTGATCAGCAGTTTTTTAAAATTAGATTAAATAAATGGATACACTGGCTAATAAAAATAATCAATTTCTTGTGTTGATGATCATGAATTTCTTCATTTTAATGATAATCAGTTTTCTTCAATAAATATTGTAAATAATTTATATTATTTTTAATGATCATCAATTTCTTTATCTGATGATCATCAATCTCTTCATTTTGTAGATAATCTGTTTTTTTTTTGAATAAATATTGTAAATAATTTCTATTATTTTCGATGATCATCAATCACAAAAATCGGTAGTTTTTTTTTAAATATTAGTATTCGCTATAAAATCGTCTTTCATATCTTTATGCAACACCCACACGTGGCATTTCATCTTGTCTCTCGATCCAAATTCGTAGCCATGTTTCTTCCAGAACAACTATTTTTTGTGATTGTTTTTTTTTTATAATTCCTGTTTTTATAGATGTTTTCCAATTTAAAAATTGTTTAGACAAAAAGAAAAACAATAAATTTTATAATTGATAAATGAATTTTGTCTTCAAAAGGTAGATTTAAATTTTTAATAATTATTATTTATTTAAATATTATGAATTTAATTGTAAATAAAATAATTTATTTCTATTTAATAATAAATTAATTATTGTAATTCTAATTATAATTCAACTGAAATTCTATTCATTTTGTCATTTAAATAAATAATTAAAGAAATAGAATAAATAATTAATTTGTTTAGAATAATGAAATTAATTTTTGCAGTAGAAAATATATAAATTTATTTTACAGTACAAGGGGAGGTAGTGATGCAAACTTCGCCCACGATACCAGCGTAAGTTTCAAACCTAATTATAATAAATTTATGAACAAAAATTTCACAAATTTCTAATAAATAGTTTTTAAAAATTATAAAATTAATTGAATTAATTACAGATTTTCGGGCAGACCAGGTGATCCATCACCACCAGTTTTTCAACAGATCTTTAAGAATGCCAGGTTCGCGCAAGGTGGTAATGCCGTATTCGAAGGACGAGTTAGTGGTAATCCGAAACCCTCTGTCTCCTGGACCCATAAGGGATCACCTCTTTTGGAATCACAAAAAATTCGGATGACCTACGACAGTAAAACTGGAATTGTAAAACTTCAGATCAATCAAATTGGACCAGGAGACGAAGGAGAATACACGTGTAATGCAAAAAATCAATATGGTAAGTTTTCTTATATATATAAATAATTAATTTTATTTCATTACAATTTTTTAATAATGATGATCTATTCCAAAATTTAGGTGAAGCCATTTGTTCCGTGCATATACAACCCGAAGGTTTTGGACCTCCACCCCAACAACAATTGGGTGGATATAAAAAGGAATACTCACATTCCTTTCAATCGACTGAACAAAAATCTGGAGGCCAAAGCTTTCAGCAACGCAGCTATCAGCATTATGTTGATAATCAGAATTATACCAATGGAACAAATAACATCTCTATTGAAGACTTCAAGGTCAGTGATACTGCCGGAATTTTTAAATCCAATATTAGAGGTTTAATCCTACTTTTAGATTGATTTGATAATTCATTTTTAAAATTACAGGTTGACACCTTCGAATATAGAGTGATGAGAGAAAAGGAATTTAGAGAATCAATTACCCGACGTTATGTGGGAGAATCCGATGTTCAAATGTCACAGATTGTTGAACGAAGTTTGGGTCCCGAATCGAATCCGCAATTTACCCAAAAGCCAAGAAATTCAAAACTTGCTGAAGGATCTGATGCCGTATTCATCGCTAAAATATCCGGAAATCCAAAACCAAGGGTAAGTAATTCAATAAATATTTAACAATTTCGTTAACTAATCAATGAATTATTTTCTAGTTAACCTGGTTTAAAAATGGACAAAGGATCCGCGATTCTCAGCGAATTGAGACAAATTATTCCAATCAACAAGCGACATTGAAGATTCGTTCAGCTTGCACTGATGACACTGGACATTATTCTCTTCTAGCTGAAAATCCCAATGGTTGTGTTATGAGTTCAGCATATCTTGCCATTGAATCAAGTGATCAAGTCGATCAGGCATACCTTCCAAGTCAACAGTCAAGAGAAGTTGTTCGACAGACATCACAAGTTGAAACATTCACAACAACTCAAGATTCAAATGAATCAGGAAAAGTTCTTGCACCAAATTTCATTCGTACTTGCGCTGATCGTGATGTGACTGAAGGTAAAATGACACGATTCGAATCACGAGTTACTGGTCGTCCATATCCCGAAGTCACATGGTACATCAATGGTTATCCAGTTAATAATGATGCAACACACAAAATATTGGTCAATGAATCGGGCAATAATTCTCTAATGATAACAAATGTCAGCAGATCTGATTCTGGTATTGTAACTTGCGTTGCAAAAAATAAAGCTGGTGAAACATCATTCCAGTGTAATCTTAATGTCATTGAAAAGGAACAAGTGGTTGCGCCTAAATTTGTTGAACGCTTCACGACCACAAACGTCAAGGAAGGAGAACCCGTTGTCTTCACAGCTAGAGCAGTTGGTACCCCAACACCACGAATCTCATGGCAGAAGGTGAGATTTAATTTTTTTGGTTCAAATCAACATAAAAAAAAAAAATTAATGTATCATTTTAGGATGGCGTACCGATAGCGCCCGGCCCCGACGTGCGCATATCGACGGACGGCAGTGGAGCCTCGACTCTAGATATCCCTCGAGCAAAATTCTCTGATGCAGCATGGTATCAGTGCACAGCTCAGAATGTGGCTGGCTCCACCGCCACCCGAGCCAGACTTTTCGTCGAAACACCTAAAGGATCGATCCCTGAACCAAGACGCCTGAATTTACCTCGACCGACGAAAGTCATCGAACCTGAGTAAATAAATGTTCTCCAATTGATTTTATCATTAACAATATTGAATGAATAAATAATTTTTGTCATCTTTCAGACCCGCACCTGGCCCCGAAGTGATTTACTTAAAACATGTGGAACGCGCCAAACCATATTTACCCCCATCGGAAGAAGATAGAATTTATCCGCCTCCCCGATTTATTATACCATTGCGTGATGTTCATCAAATTGAAGGGGGACGAATTCACTTCGAGGCCAGAATCGAACCGGTGGGCGATCCAACCATGAGGGTGGAGTGGTACGTCAATGGCAGAGCTTTAGTCGCAAGTAAGTTGATTGATCAGCAGTTTTTTGGTATCTGATCAGCGAAGCTGAATACTGATACTGTTTTTTTCGATACCGAAAGGAACCTTTTTAAAGATAGTATTTTTACAGGCTCACGAGCGACTTTCATTTTCCAATTTGGATTCATTGCCATGGACCTAATCTCCATTGGACAACAAGACAGCGGCGAATACCTTTGTCGTGTTGTCAGCTCCACTGGAGTCGCTGAATCTCGTGCCACCCTCAACGTAACACGTTAGTATTTTATGGAATTATTTAGCCTTACTTTGCCTAAAGTAGCCTCTGAAGAATCTTCACGGTGTGCCAGAAGAAGGAAAGTAATATAATGACAGGTTCATTACCTCCTGCCGCCGTCAGATGGCAGAAGCATGCAGGGAGCACAAACTCGCAATTAGATTACTTTTCTGCTTTTCGTTTTGCAATCGTGTTTTTAATAATAATTTTTCTCATCATTAGCACGCGCCACTATTGAACAAACGAGTCAACATCCCGACAGTCTTCGTTATATTCAACAACTCGAAGATTACAGCAAGTACCAAAGACAGGAGAGCATTGAAGAGTCCTCTTCACAGCGACCAGTTTTCATCCGACCACTCCAGGATCTCGGTGAACTTCAGGAGGGACGCAATGCTCATTTTGAAGCACAGCTAACTCCTGTAAGTGATCCAACGATGAAAGTGGAGTGGTACAAGGATGGAAGAGCCATCACAGCCAGTAAGTTTTGCTTTGAATTCTCAAACAGTACAGAAGAAATAATTTTCAATTTCTCTAGGTTCTAGAATCACAACCATCTTCAATTTCGGTTACGTCTCGCTAAATATATTGCACCTACGAGCTGAAGATGCTGGTTCTTATACAGTTCGAGCTGTGAATCGCATGGGAGAGGCCATTAGCTCTGCGACTCTTCGTGTCTTTGGTAAGAATTTTTGTTGGAATTAAATTTTATAATTTTCTAATCATAAATTATTCTAATTTTTTAGCACGTACGAATGTGACAGCTGATTTAGGAATACCTGAGCAGCAAAAATATATCGAAGCTGCCGAGGAGTTGGAGGCTTATCAACATGCCATGCAACAAAAATATGTTCAACAACAACCTGAACCAACAAGCCCACCGGAATTTAAGACTCCTATTAAGGATCAAAACAATATTCGAGAAGGAGGTTTTGCTCATTTCGAAGCAAGACTCGAGCCAGTTGGAGACTCGGACCTACGAGTTGAATGGCTCAAAGATGGACGTCCCGTTGAAGCTAGTATGTTCATCAATTATTTTCTCAATTATTTTTTCAAGGTTCTAAAATCATCAATATTTTTAGGTTCACGGATAACAACTTTCTTCAATTTTGGATATGTTGCGCTTACTATAAAATCGGTGACGATTTACGATGTGGGAGTTTATACGTGTCGTGCCTATAACAGAGTTGGCGAAGCACATACCACAGCACAATTGAGTGTCATCAGCAAAAATGACATTATCTATGATAGTCAACATCCAATGGGATTACAAAAAATTCAAAGCCTAGAAGATTCTAGTCGTTATACACGTCGAGTACAGGAAGAAACTCAAATATCACAAGCACCACGTTTCCTGGGACCACTCAAGGGAACGAATAAAATTGTAGAGGGTCAAAGAGCCCATTTTGAAGCTCGTGTTGAGCCACAAAGTGATCTTACTATGAAAATCGAATGGTATCACAATGGAAAACCAATCACCGCCGCCAATAGAATCCAAACTTATCATGATTTTGGTTATGTTGCAATTGACATTCTTCAGGTGCGTTCTGAAGATGCAGGAACTTATACAGTTGTTGCGAGAAATGCATTAGGAGAAGCTCAATTATCAGCCACAATGGTTGTTGAAAGTAAGTATAAATATTAATTTAATTGCTAGAATTAAGAATTACCAATTTTAATTTTTTTCTACAGCCCGTTCGAATATCGATACAAGCAGTATGCATCATGGAGCATATGAGAAGACACAGAAATTTGAGGATTCTAAATTTGTTGAACCACACTATCACATTGAAGAGATATCAAAATCGAAACCAATTTTCGTGCAACCTTTGAATGATCCAAAGCCAGTTAGTGAGGGAAAGAATATTCATTTGGAATGTCGTTTGGAACCAATGGGTGATCCAACAATGAGAGTTGAATGGTTCCAAAATGGAAGACCCGTCACAGTTGGTTCAAGATTCAGAACTTATTATGATTTTGGCTTTGTTGCACTTGATATTATTCATGTGAGTGTTTTGGATTCTGGTGAATATACGGTTCGTGCGACAAATCATCTTGGCACTGCTCATACATCGGCTTGCGTTCGTGTCATTGGAAAATCGGACATTCTCACTGATTCACAAAATGAACATTCACTCGAGCAAATACAAATGCTTGAAGATTCATCGAAATATAGAAGAACACAGCACGAAGATGTGACTGTAATGCAACCACCACAATTCACAAGAGCATTACACAATATTGAAACTGTTGAGCTGACCAATGTTCATCTAGAGTGTCGTTTACAACCTGTTGGTGATGCAACCATGAGAGTCGATTGGTTCGTTAATGGACGACCAGTTACAACTGGTCATCGTTTTAGACCATCCTATGAGTTTGATTATGTTGCCCTCGACATCCTTGGTGTTTATCCAGAAGATTCTGGTGTCTACACTTGCCAGGCAAGTAATCAACTTGGTGAAACAGTAACTTCCTGTTCAGTTCGTGTTCATGCCAAAAAAGATCTTCTCCTCGAGTCTCAACATCCAGAAGGACTCGAGAGAATTCAATATTTAGAAGATGCTTCCAGATACAAGAGAAACGAACTTGTCGACGAGGTCGTCAATGTTAAACCCAAATTTATCACCAAGCCAAAGAATCAAGAAAATCTTAGGGAAGGACAACATGCTCATTTTGAATGTAAACTGGAACCTGTCACCGATTCCAATCTAAAAGTAGAGTGGTTCAAAAATGGTCGTCCAGTCACTATAGGTAATTATTTAATTTATAGAAATTGAAGAACAAAGAAATTATATTCTTCCTTTTTTTTTAGGACACCGTTTCCGTCCCATTCATGACTTTGGCTATGTCGCTTTGGATGTGATTGATCTGATTGCCGAGGATAGTGGAACCTACACCTGCCGTGCTGTCAATCTTATTGGAAGTGATGAAGTTAATTGCGTTCTCAGTTGTAGATCAACAGCACAAATTTTGACTGACACCCAAAATGAAATGGGTTTGGAGCAAATTCATTATTTGGAGGATAGATCAAAATATCATCGCAGAGAAGATGTTGAGGAAACAACAACTCAAGCTCCAATCTTTACAACTTCTTTGAATGACGTTGAAATCAAAGAAGGCCAACGAGCTCACTTTGAATGTCGATTGATTCCTGTTTCTGATGCTACCATGAAAGTGGAATGGTTACATAATAATACTCCAGTTAAGGCTGGTTCCCGATTTATTGAGACAAATAGTTTTGGATTTGTTGCTCTTGACATTATGTATGCCTATCCGGAAGATGCTGGAACATATACATGTCGTGCTAGGAACGCAATTGGTGAAGCTATGACATCGGCAACTGCAAATGTACACTGTAAGTTCAACTAATTCTTTTGATCAAAGATCAAAATTTGAGAAAATCTTTGAACCCCTTAGATTCTATAAAACTAATTCCGATTATCTTTGTAGCTAAAAAATCAATTTACATGGAATCCCAAAACGAGAACGCTCTCCAACGATTGCGCCATTTGGAAGATACTTCCCGGTACCAACGAAAGGCAGTGCAGGAAGAAATTATTTCTCAGGCTCCAATATTTACGATGCCTATAAAGGATTTAAGAGTTGCTGAAAATCAAGCTGCTCATTTCGAAGCTCGTGTCATTCCGGTTGGTGATTCTAAACTCAAAGTGGAATGGTTACGTAATGGAGTTCCAATATTAGCTTGTAAGTTACAAATCAGAAAGTTTTCACCAATTTATGATTGACTTTTTATTGATCATCTGCTTGATCCTTTTTTTTTAGCCAATCGAATAACAACAATGCACGACTTTGGATACGTTGCTCTAAACATGAAGTATGTAACTCCGGAAGATGCTGGTACTTACACTTGTCGTGCTATCAATGATCTTGGAGAAGCTGTAACATCAGCAACAATGTTTGTTCAATGTAAGTATTTTTTTTTATCAAAGTATGATTCCATTGATCTTGAAACAAAAATTTTATCAACAGCTAAAGCAGCTCTACAATTTGAATCCCAACATGAAGGAAGTTTATCGAAACTTCAAGCCTTGGAAGATAATAGCAAATATCAGCGTCGTGAAGAAGAGGAGGTTGTCGTTAAGGAAAAACCAACATTTACTGTACAATTGAATGGACCTAAGAATCTTGTTGAGGGTCAAAGTGCGCATTACGAGTGTCGAATTGAACCTTATCCTGATTCAAACATGAAGGTCGAATGGTTCCATAATGGAAAACCTCTTTCCACTGGACACAGATATCGAACAGCTTGTGATTTTGGTTTTGCTGCTTTAGATGTTCTCACTGTCTATGCTGAAGATTCTGGTACATACACTTGTAAAGCAACAAACAAATTGGGCACGGCTTCCAGTTCCATTAATCTTGATGTCAAGTGTAAGTAAAAATGATCATTTTTTAAAAGAACGATTTTTTAATTCATTTTTGTATTATTTGTTGAAATAATTAGCTAAAGCTTCCATCATCCGAGAAACTCAACACGAAGGAGCACTCAAGAAAATCCAGTATTTGGAGGATGATTCCCGATATAAAAAAGTTGATCAAGAAGATGTGGTGGTTGCGGAGAAACCCAAATTTGGAAGACCTTTGAAGAATATTGAACATCTTTCAGAAGGCAAGAGCGCCCATTTGGAAGCAACTTTGACACCAGTCAATGATCCAACAATGATTGTTGAATGGTTCAGAGATGGTAGACCAATTCCTCAGGGTCATAAATTCAAAACTACATACGATTTTGGTTTTGTTGCTCTTGATATTCTTTATGCTTATCCAGAAGATTCTGGTACCTATATGTGTAAAGCAAGAAATGCTGCAGGCGAAGCTGTTACAACATGTGTTATTTCTGTTGATTGTAAGTATTGTATTGATGTCGCATTATTTATCAAGAGAATTAAATGTAAACTTTTTCAACAGCAAAACAAGGTTTGTGCCTTGACACTTTGGATGCTCAGAGACTCGAAAAGATCCGTGAATTGGAAACTGTTGAAGTGAAACAGGAAGTTGAGAAGGAAATTGTTCATCAGAAGCCAGTGTTCTTAACTCCTTTGAATAATCTTGATCTTAGGGAAAGTGAACATGCTCATCTGGAATGCCGAGTTGAACCAATCAACGATGCAAATTTGAAGATTGAATGGTAGCTATCATAAAATCTTTTGATCTTGTCAGATTGTATAATCGGATCAGATATCAGTTATCCAATTGAATCAAATCATCTAATCACATCTGAATTTAATTTCCAGGTTTGTCAATGGTGTGGCAGTAAAAACAGGACATCGATATCGTACAACTCACGACTTTGGTTACGTGGCTCTGGATATTCTTTATGCATACGCTGAAGATTCTGGAACATACATGTGCAAGGCTACGAATCTTGCCGGCGAAGCTGTTAATACTTGCACTATTAAAGTAGGATGTAAGTTGATTTTGTTTAAATTTTTAATTTTTTCATCATCTTTAAGCAAAATTTTCATCGAACCCTATCCATTTGAGTTTTGGTTTTCCAATTGATTTATAAAAGATTGAAAATCCAAAAAAACTTATGATGACAGACTGGTGCAATTGTCAGCGTGCCCCAAATGCCGAAAGAGAATTTCCCTATATTGCGAAACGTGAGGATCGTTTCGCGGAAATTATTGTTAAATACCACGCAAGGGAAACAATAATGATCTTACATACTGAAATGCATTGTCAATCAGCATAATTTTAAAAGTGGATGTGGCTCAATTCATGTAGTATTCACGTATTGACAAATAAAGAAGATTTTCAATTCCCAGTCTTTTTTATCAATCACTGCGCGCCATCACCTTTTGATTATATTTTCTTGGATCAAAATATTTATCTACTTCAAAAAAATGGTACCAAACATCCAAATCTATACTTGACTGTGTCCCTTGTTAATTACCATCATCATTAGGAATGGAAAAAAAATTGCAAATGTTGATGAAATAATTTTTATTTCTCTAGCTCGTCATGGAATTCTCATGGATACACAACATCCTGATGGTCTTGAGAAGATTCGGGAATTAGAGGCTCAAGGTCATCCAGCTCGATTGGAAGTGGATGAACCGCCTGTGACTCCTCCACGATTCGTCACTCAACTCAGGGTATTAATACTGTTTGAATTTTTATTTTTTTTGATCCTCTGATGATTCTCATATATTTTTGATTCTACATCTGATTTTCAGGGTACAACTGAAATTTACGAAGGACAAACGGCTCACTTTGAATGTCAAGTGGAACCGCTTCACGATGCAAACTTGAGAATTGAATTCTTCCACAATGGAAAACCTCTTCCATCAGCATCACGATTCCATGTTACATTTGATTTTGGTTACGTGGCTCTTGATATTGGTCACGCTGTTCCTGAAGACGCAGGACAATATTCTGTGCGAGCTATCAATAATCTTGGACAATGCGTTTCGTCAATTGAACTCAAGGTGATTCCACGAGAAAATATTATTCTTGATTCACAACGACCTGAAGGATTGGACAAAATTCGCGAATTGGAATCTCAACAGCCTTGGAAGAGACCTGATGTTTCGGAACCGCAAACAAGACAACGTCCAGTATTTACGCAACCGTTGCAAAATATTGACGCAATTCCAGAAGGTCAAACTGCCCACTTTGAATGTCGTCTGATCCCAGTTGGTGATCCAACACTCAAGGTCGAATGGTTTAGAAATGAAACTCCTCTTGAGACCAGCTCTAGGATTTCCAAGGTTCATGATTTTGGATTTGTATCTTTGGATATTTCTCATGTTCGTGAGAATGATGAGGGAGTGTACATGTGTCGCGCTTCAAATGCTCTAGGAGAAGCTGTGACAACTGCCTCTATGAGAATTCAAACTAAATCCAATATACAAATGGAGAGTCATCATCCAGAGGCTCAGCAGAAGATTGCACAATTGGAAGCTGACAAAGGACCAAGTCGTCCAGAAGAACAAGAAAAGAAGTTTGACAAACCAATATTTACTCAATTGTTGACTGGACCAACGGAATTGTGGGAAGGTCAAATTGCTCATTATGAATGCCGAGTTGTTCCTGTAGGTGATGCTAGTCTACGATTTGAATGGTACGTCAATGGTGTTGAACTCAAAATGGGATCACGTTTCCATGTGAGTCACGATTTTGGATTCATTACTTTGAACATCATGAAGGTCATTCCCGAAGATTCAGGTGTTTATTCCTGCAAAGCAATCAATAAAGCAGGTGAGGCAGTTTCTTCCATTTCACTAAAAGTCAAGGCTCGTTCTGCTATTTCTGGTGAATCCATACAACCAGACGCATGGCAAAAGATCCAATTAAAGGAAGCTGAAATGAATAAAGTTCCTGAAATGTTTGTTGACACTACTCCTCAGCAAGCACCTGTTTTCACCACTCATCTCAAAAGTTACGATAAATTACAAGAAGGTCAACATGTTTATTTGGAGGCTCAAGTTGAGCCAAGAGCAGATCCTAATTTAAGAACCGAATGGTTCAAGAATGGAGTTGCACTTCAAACTGGAACGAGATTAAGAAGCACGTTTGATTTTGGTCTTGTTACACTATCAATCAACAGTCTTAGACCCGATGATTCAGCAATTTATACCTGCAAAGCTGTTAATTTACTTGGTGAAGCTGTTTCCACTTGTAGCTTAAAGATTGGTGACAAACACTGGCTGATGGGAGATACTTTACATCCTGATGCTCTTCCAAAGATTGATGCATTAGAACAACCGCAGGTGACAACCAAAGCAGAAATTGAGCCAACTTATGAAGAACCAGTATTCATCTCTCATCTTAACAATGTTGAATGCATTGAAGGTGAAAATGTTCACTTTGAATGTAACGTAGAACCTTCCAAGGATCCCACCATGAAAATCGAATGGTTCTTAAATGGTAAACCTTTACCAACTGGTGCTAGATACAAATCAACCTACGACTTTGGATATGTAGCTTTGGATCTTAATCATGCTTATGAAGAGGATTCTGGATTGATAACAGTAAAAGCTACCAATTCTAAAGGATCAGCACAAACAACTGGAACTCTCAAATGCACAAGCAAACAGAGTATTTACTTACAAACTCAACATCCACAAGGTGAAGCTGGCTTGGAAAAAGTTAAAGAAGTCGATGAGGCATATCTATCTAAGCAACAAAGACCAGAAGATGGTCCAGAACACGAATATCCAAAACCTGTTTGGATTGTACCACTTCAGCCGGAATTCAAACTTGGTGAATCAGAACCTCTTCATCTTGAAGGACAAGTTGAACCGAAAGATGATCCTAATCTTAAGATCGAATGGTATTTGAATGGTAAAGTATTGGAACACGGATCACGATTCAAAATGACAAGTGATTTTGGATTCGTGACCTTGGATCTGACCGATGCTTATGATCGAGATTCTGGAATTTACACATGTAAAGCATTCAATAAAGCTGGTGAAGCATTCACTTCAACGACAATTTATTGTTCAACAAAGGAAAATATAATTGAGAGATCACAACATCCAAAGGGTAAAGAAGGATTGGAAGCAATTCAAGATCTGGAAGAATCATTAAAACGAGAGGCAGCTGCTGCTCAAGAGAGTGACGAAGGTCATCCACCAGTTTTTACTTCACAATTTGAGAATTTGAGCAATCTTTCAGAAGGAGAAATAGCACACTTTGAAGCGTCTCTCACTCCAACTGGTGATCAAACAATGGTTGTTGAATGGTTTTACAATGGCAAAGCTTTGGAAGCCAGTCATAGAACGAGGACAGTTTATGCTTTTGGAATGGTTGTTCTTGAAGTTCTAGGAACAAAGATTGAAGACTCTGGAACTTATTCTTGCAAAGCTACTAATAAATGGGGTCAGGCAGAAATCAGCGTGAATCTTGAATGCGTTGACAAGTCAAAGGGACAGAAACCTAAGTTTACGACTCATATTCAATCTTTGGAGGGTCTTAAAGATGGACAATCAGCTCACTTTGAATGCACTCTAATACCTGTTGGTGATCCGAACATGAAGGTTGAATGGTTCCATAATGGTCAACCACTGCGTCATTCATCTCGTTTCAAAATGGTATCAGACTTTGGCTTTGTGGTCATGGACATTGCTGGCGTTATGTCACATGATTCCGGAGAATATGTTTGCAAAGCAAGTAACAAATTCGGTGAAGACTTTACTAAAGCAACTATTAAATGCTTTGGTAAAGGTGGTGTTTATTCGGATTCCCTTCAACCGGATTCATTAGCTCGAATTCGTGAACTCGAGAGCTATACTGGTGATCAACAAACAACTCAAACACCAGCTGTTGCTGAACCACCGAAATTCATTACCCAAATTTCTGACATCACAAAATTAGTTGAAGGCCAGTCTGCACACTTTGAGGCAAGATTGACTCCAATCACTGATCCGGATCTAAAGGTTGAGTGGTATTATAATGGAAAGAAATTACCTCATGGTCATCGTTATAGAACATTCCATGATTTTGGAATTGTTATTCTTGATATTTTGTATTGTTATGAGGAAAATTCTGGAGTTTATGAATGTAGAGCTGTAAATAAATATGGAGAGGATACAACGAAAGCAACATTGAGATGTTTGTCGAAGGCAAATCTCATTTTGGAATCGCAACTACCAAAAGGAATGGAAGGTGGTTTAGAGAAGATTCAAACATTGGAGGATTCAATGGTTCGTACGAAAGATGAAAGATCAGTTGAATCAACTGGAAAAGCTCCAATGTTCACAGTTCCATTGAGCAATCTTGATGGTCTCCGTGAGGGTGAGAGTGCTCACTTTGAAGCTCGTCTTACTCCAACTGATGATCCGAAATTGAAAGTTGAATGGTTCTGGAATGGTAAACCTCTTCGCACTGGATCTCGTTTCCGCACTTTCTGTGACTTTGGTTTCGTTATTTTGGAAATATCACCAATCTATCCGGAAGATTCTGGAGAATACAGTTGTCGAGCATCAAACGATTATGGTGAAGCTGTTACAACATGCTCAATGAAATGCACTGGTAAGAGAAACATCATCCTGGAATCACAGCTTCCAAAAGGAATGGAAGGAACAATTGATAAGATTGCCGAATTGGAAGGCCTTGGCAATGAACCAGGTCAACCAAGTCCTGATGATGACACTGGTAAACCACCGGAATTCATCACTACACCATCTGATTTGACATTATCAGAAAATTCCCTCGCTCACTTTGAATGTCGACTACAACCTGTTAACGATTCCAGTATGCGTGTTGAATGGTTCCACAATGGAAAAGCATTGTTAGCTGGTTCCAGAGTGAAGACAATTCACGACTTTGGATTTGTCATTCTAGAAGTGGCCAATTGTTATCAAAGAGATTCTGGCCTCTACACCTGTAAGGCTACCAATAAACATGGTGAAGCGACAGTTTCCTGTAAATTGCAAGTTCGTGGTCGTCAAGGAATCATTCTTGAACCACAGCTTCCAAATAATTTTAAAACTGGAACGGAGAGTATTCAGAAACTGGAGGAAACTTTACATAAAAAAGATGAAATTCTGTCTGAGGAAGAAACTCCAAATCCACCAAGATTCACGGTGGAATTAAAGGACATTGAAGTGGAAGAAGCTGGACCAAGTCACTTTGACTGTCGAGTTGAACCTTCAAATGATTCCACAATGCGCATTGATTGGTTCCATAATGGTCGTCCATTTGCCACCGGTTCACGTGTTCATCAAATCAACGATTTTGGTTTCATTTCACTGGATTTGTCTTATACTTACGCTAGAGATAGTGGAGAGTATGTTTGCAGAGCTACCAATAAATGGGGATCAGCAACCACAAAAGCGACAGTCACTTGTAAATGTAAGGATTAACTTTCTTTTTTCATTTAATGATCAGAATCTACATTTTGATGAATCCATTAATCATAAATTGTTTTTTCTTTAATCAGCCAAGAAAGCTATTGATTTCGAGTCTCAACTACCAACTGGCATGAGTGGAGAGAAACTGAAGGAATTGGAACGTGGACCAGTTACAGAAGCTCCACCACCGGAACCACCGCGACAACCACCTCGATTCATCACTCAAATTCAATCAGCAACAGTCGAGGAATCTGAATCAGTTAGATTTGAATGTCGTGTTGAACCAAAAGACGATCCCAATCTTCGTATTGAGTGGTACAGGAATGGAAAAGTCATTCCAGCTGGTCACAGATACAGAACAGCTTACGATATGGGTTTCGTTTCAATGGATGTTTTGTATGTCTATGCCGAAGATTCTGGTGAATATGTATGCAAAGCAATCAATGATCTTGGAGAAGATACAACTAGAGCTTCTGTTTCTTGCAAACGTAAGATAATTTTTCTAGAATAATCTCTTTGATCTTAATGATCTGTTTTTAATTCTCTTTTTTATTATTTCTTTTAGAACTACCAAATATCATTCTTCAGAATCAAGTACCAAAGGGAATGAAGAAATCGGAAGCCTTGATGCAAATGGAAGCAACCATCAAGAAATATACTTCTGAAGTTCATCTAACGGAGGATGATCTTTATGATGCTGATAAAAAACAACCGCCACGATTTGTCACACAAATTCAAGATCAAAAGGATCTTGTTGAGATGAATAACACTAAATTCGAATGTCAATTGGCTCCAGTTGGTGATCCAAACATGAAAGTGGAATGGTTCTTCAATGGCAAACCATTGCCACATAAAAATAGATTCACTCCAATTTATGATTTTGGTTATGTTGCGATGAATTTCGGTTGGGTTTATCCAGAAGACAGTGGCGAATATCTTTGTCGAGCAACAAATCTTTATGGAATGGATGAAACGAGAGCAGTCATAAAAACTGCTGGCAAACCTGGTATCATCTACGAATCACAATTGCCAAAGGGAATGAAGAGTATCGAAAAAATTAGAGAAATGGAAGCTGCCTGGCAAGTGTAAGTGTATTCAATTATTATTTACAATTTTTTGAACTTTTCAAATCAATTAATTATTTTAGTGTACCGGAAGAGGAGGGCGAGGAAGAAAAAGTAAAAGCTCCACCAGCATTTGTCAGCAAACCTGAACCATATGTTGTTGAAGAAGGCGATTGGTCCAGATTCTGTTGTCGTGTCACTGGTCATCCTAAACCTCGTGTCATGTGGTTGATCAACGGTCACACTGTTGTTAACGTAAGTTTTTGATTAAAATGAAAATCTTTTGTTTCGAGATGTAAAAAAAACAAATTTATTTATCCTAATCAGGGATCGCGCTATAAATTAACTTACGATGGAATGTATCATCTGGATATACCAAAAACCAGGCAGTATGATAATGGAAAGATTGAAGTAATAGCTAGAAGTTCGGTTGGTGAAGCACGAACAGAAACAACTCTTACAGTGAAGCCTCGCAGTGATGATTATCGTGGAGTTCTTAAAAACTCTCCAAGACGTAAGTTTCAGAAGGCTGTAAAAGATTTTGTAAAATCATTATCAGGATGTATATTTTATTCTGATTGGTAATCACAAAAAGGAGAAAAAAATTCATTCAATCCTAATGATTCTGATGATTAGCATAAGGATTCTTCTGATCCTAATGGAATCTGATGATCCAATAGGAAATAAAATCACCGAAATGTACATCCTGGTATTTATAAATTTTTAATCAAATCGAAAAAAAAACATTGGCACAGCACACAAGCTACCGAATTGTAAATTATTCGAATCAGTTTCTCAACATACAAAAAACGATGCGACACGTACATTCTATTCGAGCACAAAATATACTCAAAATCACTTCCACGCAACTGAATCCTAAAATGAAAAATCTAAAATAAAATCCAAAATCCTTGTTCCTTGATTTTCTCTTGAATCCCAAATCGCTAGCTTCATCCGACGCTCAATGCACTGCAGCAATTGGAATTGATGAATATCGAGAAATTGACAAAACGCTAACCTCGAGGATAAGTCGGCTTCAGGTATAGTTAAAGAAAATCATCACAGCATTATATCATTGTACACCATGTTTATTAATTGGTAATTATTCTACATTCAATATTCAGCCCCGTTTAATTAAAAAAAAAATCCTCTTTTTTTTATTCTTTATCTACTGTCTAAATAATCTCAATAATATTTTTTTTCTATCATCACTTGCTCAAATTGATTTTAGGATTAAAAATTTATTATCCTAATTTCAACTCGAATAAGTGATTCAAGCCCCATTTATTACATTGCTGGGCTGGACCATTTCAAGACAATGGAATTCAAAATATTTCTTTTTAAAAAAATATCCATTTTAAAAAATATATGGTAAGAATTCTTCGGTATCCTCTTTCCCGAAATCCTGCTTTTCCCCTCAAAAATGTATTTCTATAAAGTGATTGAAGAGCCGAATTATGTGTTTACTGTTGCATCACGAATGTTGTGTCGTAATAATCCTTGTAAGAAAAAAAAAAAAAAAATTTTACATGTAATAGAAATTTCAATACTGTCATTGAGCATGAAAAGGTTTGTTTAAATATTCCAATAAATTTGTTATCATATTTATTTTTATAACGCTAATTTATTTCCTCTAGCTTGGTACGATTATGAACTCACTCAATATCAAGCGGATCGTCAGGATACAGAACTCGAACGAGTTTTTGATGAACGTCAACAAAGTGTATCACAAGGTGTTGGAATTGCTACTGAACATTTAGCACCGAAGGTATTCAAAAAACCTGAAACTGATTGGCAAAAGTCAGTCAAAACCAAAAAGAATGAGGATTATTACACTAAGCTGATGACCCTGGAGGAGGATCAAGTTTTGAAGGAGCAAAGACTTCGTGAACAATCACATCAATTCGCTGTGCCAGGAGAGAAAATTGTCAGCAATTCAATGGCTTTAGGAATGGCGCAAAAGTATCAAGAAAATTTGTAAGTATACATTTTGTTATTAGAAAAAAAAAGAAAAAAAGATTTATTTTGATGATTTTGCTGCAGGGAAGTACAACCACAAGAGCCAATTCAAGCACCACCTTCCAAGATTGTCAAAAAACCATTTGTCACCCAAGTGGATATTGACACTGAACGTGTCAAAGGATCAGGTAAATATCCACCAGATCCATCGGAATCAACAGTTCATGGACGTGAAGTTCATGTGGCGAAACAAAAACAAACACAAAAGGAAACAAAGGGAGATCTTGAGATTACTAGAAAAATTACAGCCACCGAAACAACGGAAATGGAACACAAGGCTAAAACTCAGGAACGTGTTGTTCAAGGTCAAGTGAAACCAGCCACACCACCGGTATTTACAAAAAAAATACAACCATGCCGAGCATTTGAACAGGAACAGGCGAAATTTGAAGTTGAATTTGATGGTGATCCATTGCCAACAATAAAATGGTATCGTGAAGATTTTCCCATTACAAATTCATCTGATCTTCAAATATACACATTTAGTACAAAATCCGTGTTAATTGTTCGTCAAGTTTTTATGGAAGATTCCGGTGTATTTTCCGTTATTGCTGAAAATCGTGGTGGAAAAGCTAAATGTAGCGCTAATCTTGTTGTGGAAGAGAGAAGACGACAACCTGGTAGAGGTGGTGTTATTCCACCAAGTTTTCTCTCGACTATTCAAAGTACCAATGTCAATGGTGGTCAGTTGGCGAGATTTGATGCCAAAGTCACTGGTACTAAACCACTCGATGTCTATTGGCTAAAGGTTAGTAAATATTTTTAATTCAAAAAATTGTTGCTCTTGTTAATTTTGTATCACTTATTCCTTTTTGTTACAGAATGGAAAGAAAATTGTTGCTGATATTCGATACAAGACACTGGAAGAAGATAATACTTATACTCTATTGATTCTTGAAAGTGTACCAGAAGATACTGGAAAATATGAATGCGTAGCTCTGAATAGTGCAGGTGAAGCTCGTTGTGATGCTGAATGTACAGTTCGTGGACCACAATCACCTGCAAAAACAACAAAACCATCAACACCAGGTGCAGAGAAAGCACCAAGTGTCATGGAACCACTTAAAGATCAAACCATCAAGGAAGGAACGTCTGTTGCGTTCGCCTGTCGAATTTCTGGAAAACCAACACCTACTATTCAATGGAAGAAAGGAGACAAAGTGAGTGATCATAATATTTGCCATGTCATTGAAAAATTGAATATTATTTGCTAATTGAATTTTTTTCATTTTCTACAAAGGTTATCAAACCATCGAAATACTTCCAAATGCAGAAAGAAGTTGATCTTTGTACATTAAGAATTTCCGAGGCATTCCCTGAGGATGAGGGTGTTTATAAATGTATCGCCAAAAATCCCGCGGGAGAAGTGACGACTTCCGCTAATCTCAGGGTGCTTGGTACGTATCATTTTAATTATCACATTCCTCATTATAGAATAATTGATCAATTTTTTCTGAAAAAAATTACAAATTAAATAATTAATTTTTTGGATTTCATATAAAATAATTGTGCAAATGTTTCTGATCAATTGTTCCTGAATAAATATGAAATGATTAATCAACTGTTCTCCAGATAGCACGGAAACTTGCAGCAAGCTTGCGGCAAGTTAACCGTGCAAGCTTGTCTGAGCTAGCGAAATGTCCCACCCAGGGCAAGCTTGCCGTGAAAGCTTGCTGTAAGCTTTCCAGGAAAGGTTGCTGCAATCTTGCCATGAAAGATTGTTACAAGATTGCTGCAAGCATACTAAGAATGATTGCGGCAAGCTTGCCGTGAAAGATTGCTGTAAGCTTGCTACGTAAGGTTGCAGGAGAATTTCAACAAGCTTCTGGAAAGGTTGCTGCAAGCTTGCTGCAATTTTTGAAAAATAAATTTAAATTTAAAAAAAATATATTTGTTTTTTTTTTAATTTGAAAATCCTTGTGACGTTTATTATTATTAATTATGTCCTGTTTGACAAGCTTGCACGATGAACTTGCCGCAAGCTTGCTGCAAGTTTCCGTGCTATCTGGGTCCTAAAGAATTGCAAAATAATTGATCTGATCAATTGTTCCTGAAGAATTGTGAAATGATAAAAAATTATTAAAAATACTGATTATCTATAATTGTTGCAATAATTCATAAACTGTTGATCATTTCTTCAAACTGGTTAAATTTCCTGAAAATTTGAATCAATAATTACTGGAAAATAATTAATAAAAAAAAAATAATGTTCAATACAGCTCCTGATACTGCTGATGTTTTGCCAAAATTATCACCGCTCAAGGATCAAATTGTCCTTGAAGGTCAACCAGCTCAATTTAAAACTCAAGTGACTCCACCAAAAGTCAAGCCCACAATTCAATGGTATCGTGAAGGTGCTCTCATACCTCAATCGCCGGATTTCCAGGTGAGAATATTCACTAATTACCTCTTTCATTATCTCAACAATTTTATTATAATTAAAGAAAAAGAAAATGCTAATGAAAAAATTAAAAGCAAAAGAAATGATTAAAAGTATAATTATATAATTACATTCGCAGGAAATAATTTTTAAAAAAAAGATTGAAAATCATGATTATGATGAATCAATAATTAATCAGTATTGCTGTTATTATAATTATAATTCAAAAAGGCAAAAATTTAAAAAAAAAAATTATTTTTTGATGATTAAAACAAAATGGAATTTTTTTGATTTCAGATGATTCATGAGGGAAACAATGCAGTATTGCTGATAGCGACGACCTATGAAGAAGACACTGGTACCTTCACGTGTCGTGCAACAACTTCCGCTGGCACTGTTGAAACATCAGCCAAGCTCATCGTTAAAAGTAAGAACTGAATTTCCAATTAATTCGCTAATTCAGTCTTGAAACGTGAACAAAGAAAAAATTATTCTCCCAATATGCCGGTTCACTATTTTTTGTCAAACCGGTATAATGAACCCAGGACTCATCAAAGAGTTCTATAGACCATTTCGCTGTGGTATAAAATAATTTTTTTTTATTTTAACAAAAAAAAAAAATCGCTCGTTTTCATATTTTTAATCAGTGAAACGCGAACCGGGCAGTTTTTACTAACATATATTCATATTTAAATTTTTAATTTATCAAACAATGGCAAAAAAGTAGTTTAGTATTTTAAAAAATATCCCCGAACGTCATATTTTTATTCAACGAAGGTGGTGCTAAATGATCTCTCTCTCTTTTTTTTTCTTGCTACAATACGAAAAATGATGACATTACATTTAATTTTAGAAACCTCGTGAAATTCCAGTGAATTTTGCTTAAAGTCCCAAAAGTTGCAATGATCAGCAATAAAAGAAAAAAAGTGTGTGTTATTAATTGGGACATTTCTCGCAATAAATATTTGTCAAATAATGATGATGAAATTGAATGAAACAATGAAGGCTAAACGAGTTTCATAATAATATCGAATTAATGAAAATTGTTATATTTGTTGCGATCTTGAAGATATATTTATACTGAAGAATATAATGATTTTTCAGATATATAATAATATTATAATATATAATTATATTTTAAAGTTCATTTTTTTTTAATTTTGCAAAAAATTGCATTTGTTTAATCGCTTCTGTTTTTTTTTTCTTCTCATATACTTCATGATACTGTATAGTCACAAAATGACATTATTAAATCGTCTAACGTTTTACTAATTATTTATTATTGTACAATGGAAAGTCTAATAAAAAGTATTGCAAATATACAAGTTTAGTTTGTTATATAACGTTATTCGAATTTTTGAAAAATAGGTAATTAGAGAAACAATTATCAAAAATTTATTCCTACTTTAAAGTTTTTTTTGAAATTATTTCCAAAAAAATAGGATTCATTTTTGTAAAAAAAAGGTTGGAATTATTTTTAAATTTCTAAATAATTTTTAATAAATCTTTTTTTTTTTGCGAATTTTATTTATGGGAATAATTCTTTTAAATCAAGAAAATGTCTTATTCGAGTTAATTTATTGACACAGCAAATTTATCGCAATAAAATTGGCACAAAATTTTAAATTATTTTGCCAATTTCTGGCAAAAAAAAAAAATTTTCTGGTGAAAATAAAAAAAATTTGAATTTTCTCAAATATTTTCAGTAATCATAACTAAATTTGATAATCAATGTAGAAATAAAATTTATACAAAAATTTTAGTGCGATCAAAAAAGAGAACAGGATGCTTGACGCTGTTGTGCCGTGTGCACCACCTCAGCTAGACATCTTATGCTATTTCTGCGTACGTGACGTGTATTACATTACGGGTCTATATTTGGCGCGGTAGGGATTTCACCCAGACCATCTTTTCCTGGGATCCCTTCTTTAATGACTCTTAAATATTTTTTTCTAATTTTTCTATAGATGCATTTTCTGATTTTTCTTTTTTGTTTTGAAATAATTTTTTGACATTTTCTTGATCTAATTAAAATTTCTTATTTTTTAGAATTTTTTTTTTATTAAAAATAGCTTTTTTTTAAAAATGAAAATTTCTATTTTAAAAGTAAAGAAAAAAAAAAATTGAAGTGTGTTGGAAATGAATAATAGCGAGTGGGATAAATTTAGCGAATCCTAGAATGATTGATCTAGAGCAGGGGACAAGTGCAAGAGAGACAATTTTCACGGTCATGTCACTGAATCAACAAACCAGTCAACCACCTGACACATGAGAGAGGAATTGAATGTGTCGAAGAAAGAGTGTGCCAAGGTATCGTCACCGCCGTCTTCAGTATGAAATAAAAACAGTCTGAATCATCGTTGAAGACCTCTTTTTCTCACCTTTAACATCATCACAACGTTCTTTTGTCAACCATTGGTGAATTACGACTATCGCTATTTCAGCCAGCTAGCAAGCTACTGCATGATGATTCAGCGTGCCTGAAATATCATTTCTCTCTTCGTGTCAGCGTACTCTGGAAACTCTCTTGGGGTATTTCTGGTCATTGGGAAGCAGCTTGCCACATACAATTCGTCAGCGTTCTCTTCAAGGATTTATATCACAAAAAAATTGAAGAAAAAAAAGAAAATTATTTTTACTACAAAAAAATATCGAATAAAAATTAAACTCTTTTTTTTTGAGAATTCACAAAAGAAAATAGAATTTTTTTTAAAAAAAAAGGAATAATGGATAGAAAATAAAACACACATCAATAAATGAAATTCGATGAATTTATTTATTTTTTCAATATGGAAATTTACAAATTTTCATTAAGAAACAAATATTTACAAGAGAATTACATTTTTTTTTTGTAAAAAAAAAATTTCGAAGATTGCTTTCAGGATGTGCAGAAATTAAATACATATATGTAGAACTCGCGTGCAAGAACAAGTTTTGAAACTCGTTACGCTTGCCCTCGTAGTCAAAAACAAAGAGCGTGTAGCGTTGCAGAATGTGTGCAACTAGAAACTGGTTTGTGATAAAAAGATCTCTCTCTCTGTTTCTCACTCTCTGGAAGCCCTCAATATCTTCTCTTAGCCTTGTTTCGAGAAAATTCCATTGCGGATTAAAATTCACGAGCACTTTAAAAAAAAAAAGCTGATCAAATATTTAACACCACCTTCGTACCGGTTACTTTGAAAATAAGATCACATTTATCCTGTACAAAATCGGCCGCTTTTGAATCAGGCACAAGAATTTGGGGAGAATTACAAAAAAGACAAAAAGAAAATTAAAAAAATAGGGAGAAATTCCAGAAATAGGGAATAATATCGAAAAAGGAACAATTCTTTTGAAAAGAGAAAATAATTTCAAAAAAAAATTCGAAAGTAGTAAAAAAAAGTAATTTGAATTATTTCCGAGCTTATTAAAATAGAATCGAATAACAAATTTTATAAAAATAGAAAAATTTCAAAATCTCGAAAAATGAAATTTTTATCATTTTTTTTCAAATTGATAAAAATTACAATATAAAAAAATATAAAAAGGTGTCTGATCAAAAGCGGCCGATTGAACTGTCAAAAAAAAAAAAAAAACTTCCCGGCAAAACTATTGTTACTATAAAAATTCCTTGAAAGGCACTTTTTTTTGGTTTTTTTTTTTATAAAGAACAAAATCACCAAAAAAAAAAAAAAACACTTTGCAAAGTTCACAATGTCGCGCACAAAACAATTTGCAAACAAAAGAACAACACCCCCTTTGGAACGCAAATACACTCTTCAACCTCCAGTGGATAACTATGCTCGTGGATAGACGAAGCAAGAGGTGGAGATGAACCAAGTGATGTCACGCAAGCATAAGATCCCCACCACTTACAGTTCCCATTCTTAGGCAAGCTTCTGCATTTCGACTCATTCCTTCCAAACCATAATTTTCTTTTTGAAAATTATTATTTTTTACTTTTCAAAATTCTTTTAAATTGTGAAAAAAAATTTTCTTTTATTAATCAAAATTTTGATTCTAAAATTGATGATGAAAAATTATTATCTATTTTACTGATCTGATCATGATCAGATCATGATTTTGTAAAATAGACGATAAATCAAAATTTTGTTCTAAAATTGATGATGAAAAATTATGATCTTTTTTCCTTGAATCATGATCTGATCATGATCAGATCATGATTTTGTAAAATAGACGAGGAATCAAAATTTTGTTCTAAAATTGATGATGGAAAATTATGATCTATTTTCGTTGAATTATAATCAAATCATGATTTGATAAAAGTAAAATAGATGATGAAAATCAGTAGCAAAGTAAATGACAAATTTCCTTTTATTATAATGAAAATTTTGTTTTAAAATTGATGATGAAAAATTATGATCTATTTCCATAGAAGCATGATCATGATCTGGTAAAACAGATGATAATCAGTCATTGTATCATTTTCAACAAATTATGATCAATGATCAATGATTCAAAAAATCATGAAGAAAAGAAAAATTTGATTTTTCTGTTAAAATAAAAATTCCAATGATTTATAAATTGTTTAGATGGATTTTGATTTGATTTATGTTTTGTTGAATAGAAACAAATGTTGACATGATTTACAACACTTAGGTAAATAACTTAATCAAACGAAAGCCGCTTAACTAATGTCACTCGTCTGATGTTGATGGACAGGCATGTTGCTCTTCATGGCACAGCTATTTTTGTAATTATTTAACCCTGTGGCCTATCCCCTTTAAAAATAGCTCGACATGAAACTCAGGTCGTTGAGCGAAATTCTTATAAATTTTTTTTTTTTACTTTATGGAAATCATAACAATTAATTAATAATTAAATAATAAATATTATTTATTATTTTTATTATTATTTGTTAAATAAAATTATTATTCGCAATATATTGGCGAAGCTTCTTCCGGAAGCTTCGAAATAATTGCCAAATTATCTTGAGTAACTTCTCACTTTTAGATAATGTATAATTTGCTAAAAAAGAATATCTTATAAGCAATCGTGTCTAGTGAATTTTGTCTAGTATGAAGATAAATATTGCAGATCGTTTCTCAAAATTGGCTCAAAACCAAACTCCTTGTACTCGTTGGGAACGGGCATAAATTTTCCAAACGCAATAATTCTCTCAGCAATGTTGTACGAAAATTTATAAGTCTCTCGAACCCATTTCACATGTCTACCAAAAAGAGCGTATTAATTTATATTATTACCAGTCCCATGACGACTGGCCAAGTACCAAAAATGGTGTTTAAAGTCAAACAATTTAAAAATAATTGCGTCGTCTCATTCTTTCGATCAAGTGGGAAGAATGATTTTTTTTTTTTTTATTTTCAAAGTGACTCATGTTACAAAAAAAGAAAAAAAAATATTTATGTTGATCTAAACTTGTTGAAAATACTGTTTTTTTTATGATTCCATGTGAAAATCCTTGTCACCTAAAAATATATGATTTTTTATCTAACTTGGACGCGTGATCGAGGTTAATATTTCTAAGCAAAGATATTGTGAAATAACGAATTACGTCACTATGAAAGTCCCTTATAGTGTTGATATTTTTCTCAAGGTGATGATTTCATTAAATCTTCAGAAAATCCCTCTTATTTATTTTATGCCAAGCGCGAAATCCCAATAATGAGATCGTTTCAAGACTGATATAATTTTGTGTTGTATTCAAAAATTTTCATTTTTCAATAAGAATATTTTCATTACATTATAATTATTTAATAAATTAATTTGGATTTTAGCCAAAAAAATTCTTTCAGCCTGATTTTTATTTTTCGAAAACAAAAATTTTTTTTTTGAATAAACGTCAAAATATTGTTGACGTCTTTACAGAAAGAAGAGGCGTTTATTATGAATCACCAGTCCCAGCCGATTCTTTGGGACCTGGTGCTAAAACTGGCAAGATGCCAACAATAGGTACATCTGTGGGAGGATTATTGATAGAGCGAAGAGCTTCAAAGGATGTTCCTAAGGATGCAATTGAATATGATGAAGAAGGTCTTCCTTTAGGAATACCACTTCCTCCAGGTGATGAGACATTACCTTGGAGAAAAAGTCGTGTTCTTCATCGATCACGGCCAACTAATATTACACCATGGCGAAAAATTAAACCAAGATCACGTGATGTTTCTTTAGATAGAAAAATGAAAGCCGACGTTGACACAGTGAAACCGTGGACCGAAGAGGAAATAATATTAAAGAAAGCAACTCAAGTGATTAAAGAGATTCCAAGGGAAACATTGGAAGAAGTTGAATTACGTCCGACAAAAACTGAGAAAATAGAAATAAGAAGAGAAAGTCTTCAGTATGTGGAATTGAAACCAGTACCAAAAGATTCAACATTAAATGAAGAAATTTTACAAAGATTATTAACAGAAGAAATCACTTCCAAAGAGGATTATACTGAAGAGGAGGATACTTCACTTTTGGGTGTTACATCAAAAACTGAAATTACACTAAAAACAAGAAAAGAAATTCCTGAAATTAAAGAATCGATGGAAACAATCGACAAAGTGAAACCATGGACCGAAGAGAAGATATCGTTGAAGAAAATGAAACCAGAACGAAAGGAAATTCCCAAAGAAGTGTTGGAAGAGGTAGACTTGAAGCCGACCAAACCTCAGAAAACCGAAATTCAGAAAACTAATCTAGAACAAGTGGAATTAAAATCAATTACAAAGGAAGAAAAAACAAAGAAGACAATAATAACTACAGAAGATTACGTCGAGGAAGAAGATTCAACAATGTTGGATGTTACAAAACAAGTTGATGTAACGAGGAAAACAATTGAGAAACCAAAACCATGGACCGAAGAACAAATAACACTAAAGAAAGCTAAACCCCAAAAGCAATTGATACCAACAGAAACAGTAGAAACAGTCGAATTGAAACCTTCCAAACCTGAAAGAAGAGATATACCAAAACCCACCCTCGAAGAAGTCAATCTAAAACCCCTGATTAAAGAAACAAAAGTAGAAATAATTATCAAAGAAAAGGAACAAGTACAAAAAGATGATTACGTTGAAGAAGAAGACACCACACTGCTAGATGTTTCTAAAACAATTGACATAACTAAACGAACTGTGAAAAAAGTGCCTGAAGATAAACCCAGACCATGGACAGAAGAGCAAATCACTTTGAAGAAAGCAAAACAAGAAAGACGAGAAATTGTCAAAGAAACAATTGAAGACGTAGAATTGAAACCAACTAAATTTGAAAGGAGCGAAACTAACATAGAAGAAGTTACGTCACTAAAACCCATCACCAAGGATGATCAAAAGACAATCGTTAAAAAGACAACAGTCGGTGATTTTGTCGAAACTGAAGATACAACACTGCTGGAAGTGTCTAAGGAAACTGATGTTTCTCGTAAATCACTGAAGAAAGATGAAAAAACCGATCAACCGATTCCTTGGACCCAGGAAAAAATCACATTAAAGAGAGCCATGCCAGAGAAGAAGGAAATTCCACAAGAAAAAGTTGAAGAGGTTCAACTCAAACCTTTCAGATCAGAAAAGGCTCCATACAGTGAAGAAACGGATATTTCTTTATTGAAGATTAAATCCGATCAAGAGGTAACGACAGTTAAGAAGGATAAAATCAAAGAAGAAAAGGTAGAAGAAGAAGCAGTATCTTGGCGAAGAGGTGTGAAAAAGCAAAAAGAAGTTCAGCCAGAAGTACCTGAAGAAGAAAAACCTCAGGAAGTAAGTGAAGTTCCATGGATTCGTGGCAAAAAGCCAAAGAAGATTGAAACAACAGCAGTTGAAGAAACGGAATCAATTCATCCACAATTATCTGAAAGTAAAACAGAAGAGAAAAAGCCACGAAAAGAAGATAAATCTGATCAACCGATTCCTTGGAACCAGGAAAAAATCACACTAAAGAGAGCCAAGCCTGAGAAAAAAGAATTGCCACAAGAAAAAATTGAGGAGGTTCAACTTAAACCTTTCAAACCAGAGAAGATTGAAGCAATAATCGAAAAAGCTCCATATGCTGAAGAAACAGACATTTCTTTATTAAAGCTAAAATCCGACCAAGAGGTAACGATTGTTAAGAAGGATAAGTTCACCAAAGAAGAAAAAATAGAAGAAGAAGCAGTCTCTTGGAGAAGAGGTGTCAAAAAGAAAAAAGAAGAGGCACCTGAGGCACCAGTTGAAGAGAAACCTCAAGAGATCACTCAAGTTCCATGGCTACGAGGCAAGAAATCAAAAAAGATTGAGGAAATAAAACCCGAAGAAATTACCCAAGTACCTGATGAAGAGAAACCGCAAGAAGTAACAGAGCTACCTTGGAAGAGAGGCAAAAAACCCAAACAGATAGAGAAATCAACTACCGAAATAACAATCGAAGAAACGAAGGTTGATCTTCAAACTGAAGAGACGAAGAAAAAAGAACTACCAGAACAAGTTCCTTGGACACAGGAGAAGATTACTCTGAAAAGAGCAAAACCCACGAAAAAAGATATTCCAGAAGAAAAAATTGAAGAAGTTCACCTCAAACCGTATAAACCGGAAAAAATTGAAACAACCGCTCCATATGCTGAAGAAACGGATATTTCTTTACTGAAGCTAAAATCCGACCAAGAGGTAACTGTTAAAAAAGAGAAGATAATAAAAGAAGAAAAGAAAGACGAAGAAAAAGTAGAGGAAGAAGCAGTCTCTTGGAGAAGAGGTGCCAAGAAGCAAAAAGAAATTAAGCCACAAGAGGTACCTGAAGTAATCGAGGAAGAGAAATCTCAAGTCCCATGGATCCGTGGCAAACAGCCAAAGAAGATTGAACAAACACCAATCGAAGAAATTCAATCAAAACTACCTGAAGAACAAAAATCTAAAAAAGAAATAGAACAGGTTCCTTGGACACAGGAGAAGATTACTCTAAAAAGAGCAAAACCCACAAAGAAGGACATACCAGAAGAAAAAGTTGAACAAGTTCAACTCAAATCTCATAAACCCGAAAAAGTGGAAACAACAACTGAAAAATTACCTTATTCCGAACAAAGTGATATTTCTCTCCTCAAAGTAAAATCCGACCTTGAAGTAACGATTGTCGATGAGAAAAAAATAATTGAAGAAGAGAAAGTTGAAGAAAATGCCGTTTCCTGGCGTAGAGATCGAAAGAAACCCAAGGATCAAGTCACAGAAGAAATTCAACAGTTGCCTGAAGAGAAACCTAAAGAAGAAATAGCAGAATTACCCTGGAAACGTGGTAAGAAACCTAAAAAGGTGGAAAAAACAACAGCAGAGATTACAACCGAACAGATTGAAGAGACATCAATTCAACCTGAGAAGGTAACTGAAGAAGAAAAACCAGAGGAGATAACTGAATTACCATGGAAACGTGGCAGGAAGCCAAAAACAGTGGAAAAAACAACTGTTGAAATCACAACTGAAGAAAAACCAGAAGTGAAGGAAGAAGAGATTGAAGATTTAGCAAAAGTAACACTGAAGAAAACGAGGCGTGTCATTAAACCGGAACAGCCGGAAGAAAAAGAAGAAATCACCTTGAAACCTGTGAAACGGTTACCGAAGGAGGAAGCTGAAAAAGAAGAAGTCACCTTGAAACCTGTGAAACGTTTACCAAAGGAGGAGGTAGAAAAAGAAGAAGTCACCTTGAAACCTGTGAAACGGTTACCGAAAGAAGAAACCGAAAAAGAAGAAATCACCTTGAAACCTGTGAAACGTTTACCGAAAGAAGAAACCGAAAAAGAAGAAATCACCTTGAAACCTGTGAAACGATTACCAAAGGAAGAAACAGAAAAAGAAGAAATCACTCTGAAACCTGTGAAACGTTTACCGAAAGAAGAAACAGAAAAAGAAGAAATCACCTTAAAACCCATCAAACGGTTACCAAAGGAAGAAGAAACGAAAGAAGAAGTACAGTTGAAGCCTGTAAAGAAAGAAAAAGTCGAGGAAGAAAAAGAAGAAACTATTCTTAAACCCAAAAAGATTGAAAAGCCAGTTGAAGAAATGCCTGAAGAAACAACACAGTTACCATGGGTACGAGGTAAAAAGACTAAGAAGATTGAGAAAACTACAGAACAAGTTGAAAAAACCGAAGTTCAACCTGAAAAGGTACCTGAAGCGCCTGAAGAAGAAATGCCAGAAGAAAAAACAGAATTACCATGGAAACGAGGCAAGAAACCTAAAAAGATTGAAAACTCATCTGTTGAGATTACAACTGAACAGATTGAGGAAACAAGCATTCAAGTGCAACCAAAAGAAGTGCCTAAAGTACCAGAAGAGAAACCACAGGAACAGAAGAAACCAAAGAAAGAAGATAAACCAGAACAAGATGTTCCATGGACACAAGAGAAGATTACTTTAAAGAGAGCAAAGCCAGAAAGAAAAGAATTGCCTCAAGAAAAGATCGAAGAGGTTCAACTCAAACCATTTAAACTTAAGAAAGCCGAAGTCACAACTGAAGAAGTAACTGAATCAACTGAGAAATCTCAAGTGGAAGTAAAATCAATTGAGGATAAACAAATTCAAGAAGAGGAAGTAATTCAAGAAGAAACGGTTACATGGCGAAGGGGTAAAAAGAAACCACAAGAAAAAGTCACAGAAGACATTAAACCAGAGCAGGTACCAGAGGTACCAGAAGAAAAAACTGAATTACCCTGGAAGCGTGGTAAGAAGCCTAAAGTGGTCGAAAAAACAACTGCAGAAATCACAACTGAGCAAGTTGAAGAAACATCAATTGAGGTTCAAAGTAAAAAGGTACCTGAAATATCTGAGGAAAAGCCTGAAGAGAAAACTGAATTACCATGGAAACGTGGAAAGAAACCTAAAACGGTTGAAAAATCAACGGCTGAAATTGTAACTGAACAGGTTGAAGAGACATCAATTGTAGTCAAATCTGAAGAAGTACCTGAGGAAGAAAAGCCGGAAGAGAAAACAGAATTACCATGGAAACGTGGCAAGAAGTCAAAGAAGGTTGAAAAATCAACGACAGAGATTACAACTGAACAGACTGAAGAAACAAGCATTCAAGTTGAATCCAAAAAGGTACCTGAAGAGAAACCTAAAGAAGAAATAGTAGAATTACCCTGGAAACGTGGTAAGAAACCTAAAAAGGTGGAAAAATCGACAGCTGAGATTACAACTGAAGAGGTTGAAGAGACATCAATTGTAGTTCAATCTAAAGAAGTACCTGAGGAAGAAAAGCCAGAAGAAACAACGGAACTGCCATGGAAACGAGGAAGAAAACCTAAAAAGGTGGAAAAATCGACAGCTGAGATTACAACTGAAGAGGTTGAAGAGACATCAATTGAAGTCCAACCTAAAGAAGTACCTGAGGAAGAAAAACCTGAAGAAAAAACAGAATTACCATGGAAACGAGGCAAGAAACCTAAAAAGGTGGAAAAATCAACTGTAGAAATTACAACTGAACAGGTTGAAGAGACATCAATTCAACCTGATAAGGTACCTGAAGAAGAAAAACCAGAAGAAAAAACTGAACTGCCATGGAAACGAGGCAAGAAACCTAAAAAGGTGGAGAAATCAACTGTAGAAATTACAACTGAACAGGTTGAAGAGGCATCAATTCAACCTGAAAAGGTACCTGAAGAAAAAATACCAGAAGATAAAACTGAACTCCCATGGAAACGAGGCAAGAAACCTAAAAAGGTGGAAAAATCAACTGTAGAAATTACAACCGAACAGGTTGAAGAGACATCAATTCAACCTGAAAAGGTACCTGAAGAAGAAATACCAGAAGATAAAACTGAACTGCCATGGAAACGAGGAAGAAAACCTAAGAAGGTGGAAAAATCAACATCAGAGATTACAACCGAACAGGTTGAAGAGACATCAATTCAACCTGAAAAGGTACCTGAAGAAGAAATACCAGAAGATAAAACTGAATTGCCATGGAAACGGGGAAGAAAACCTAAGAAGGTTGAAAAATCAACAGCTGAGATTACAACTGAACAGGTTGAAGAAACAAGCATTGATGTTCAACCGGAAATGGTACCTGAAGATGAGAAACCAGAAGAAAAAATGGAAATGCCTTGGAGACGAGGCAGAAAACCGAAAAAAGTTGAAAAAACAGTAACTGAAATAACAACAGAAGTTGTCGAGGAATCAAAGATTGATCTTCAACCAGAAGAAAAAGAAGAAGTAGAAGATTTTTCAAAATTGACACTAAAGAAAACAAAACGTGTTATCAAACCGGAAAAACCGGAAGAAAAAGAAGAAATCACCTTGAAACCTGTAAAACGTTTACCAAAGGAAGAGACCGACAAGGAAGAAATTAATCTGAAACCTGTAAAGAGAGAAGAAGTTGAAGAAGAAACGAAAGAAGAAATAGTGAAGAAAACAAAACGTATCATCAAACCGGAGCAACCGGAAGAAAGAGAAGAAATCACCTTAAAACCCGTTAAACGTTTACCAAAGGAAGAAACAGATAAAGAAGAAATTCACCTAAAACCAGTAAAGAAAGAAAAAATTGAAGAAGAAACAAAGGAAGAAGTAGTAAAGAAAACGAAACGTATCATTAAACCGGAGCAACCGGAAGAAAGAGAGGAAATCACATTAAAACCCGTTAAACGTTTACCAAAGGAAGAGACAGATAAAGAAGAAATTCACCTGAAACCAGTGAAGAAAGACAAAGTTGATGAAGAAACAAAGGAAGAAATTCCTCTTAAACCTCTTAAAATTGAGGAAGAAAAACCAGACGAAGAAATACCTTCAGAAACATCAATTGCTCCTTGGCGAAGATCCAAGAAACCATCAAAGAAAGTTGTTGAATTTAATGAAGACGTTACTGTCTTTCCAATTGAGCAAGAAGAAGAAGATGAAGAAATTATTACTCAAGAGGAGGTGGAAACAATTGTCATTGAAGAAATTGTTGAAGAAAAACCAAAGAAAAAAGAAGTTACACCACGAACTAAAAAGGTAAAAGAAATAAAACCAAAAGTTGAGGAAACAGTTACCAAAGAAGTGGTGATAACAGAAGAAATAGTCACTGAAAAAATTGAACCAACTAAAATTGAAGACGTAGAACAAACAACTCTTGAAATCACAATTGACGAACAAAAGAAAGAAAAGCCAACAAGAAAAACACGAACACAAGTTGATATTACAATGATCGATAAAGAAAAAAAGATTGCACCTAGATTCATTCAAAAATTACAACCTGTAATTGTTGAAGTTGACAAGCCGGCGAAGTTCATTTGCACTGTCATTGGAACACCCTTCCCACAGATTGCCTGGTATCGAAATGAACAAGAGCTTCATGCCAGTGAAAAGTACGAGATGAACGTTGTGGAAACCACTGCAACATTGGAAGTGAAGAACGTCAAAGAAGAAGACGTTGGCATGTATACATGCAGGGCTTCAAATCCTGCTGGAGTTGCTACGTCAACTGTCAATCTTGTTATATTTGGTACAATTGTTGTTTTTCTTTTTCAGTTTCGTGTGTGCTCCTGTTTTGATACTACATTCCCAATGCATGTCAATTTCCTAATAAATATTTCCTAGATTTAATTTAATTCTTCCTAAAACTCAGTTTGAATTTTATTATTCAACTAATATTTTAACAATTTTCAGTATTTGATTTTGATTTTCAATTCTTGAAATTAAAGCCAAATAAATCAACAAATTTTTTTTTTCCTTTAGAAAAAGAAGAAGAAGGCATTGCTCCACATTTTGTATCACCAATAAAACCGTTGATGGTGGAGGAGCATAGGCCAGCAGTTCTTGAATGTGTCGTCACAGGCAAACCAACACCTGAAGTAAAATGGTATCGCGGTGAAAAGGAAGTGAAACCAAAGAGAGGAAAACAGGAAATCACTTTTATACCAGAAACGGGAGAAAGTAAATTAACGATCCTTGAGCCTACATCTGATGACGAGACAATTTATCGAGTGAGAGCAATCAATAAATTTGGCAAAGCTGAATGTAGAGCTAATCTTCTTGTAAGTAATGCACCTATTGTCACCAAACCTCAAATACTTCGTGCTCCAAAAATTACACGACCATTGCCAGCATTGGTTGCACAAATTGGAAAACCATTGACACTTGTTGCTGAATTTGAGAGTACACCAAAGCCGGAAGTTAAATGGTTCAAGAATGGTGTTGAAATTGTACCATCAAATGAGACAAATGTCAATATTTATGAAAATACGGCTGAATTGATCATCACCGATACGAGAAAGAAAGATACCGGAAAATATGAGATAAGAGTTCAAAATCCTGCTGGTGAAGCACGAAGTTCAGGATCAGTTACTGTTAGGGAGAAGGAAGATGATACAGAAGCAGCGAAAGCACCACGATTTATTCAACCAATACAACCACAAATTGTTGCCGAAGGAGAAGTGGTGATTATGGAAACTGTCGTTGAATCATATCCCGTTGCTTCATTCCAATGGTTCCATGACAATCGTCCTCTTCAGGTTGGTAAATTTAGAAATAATTATAAAATTATTATCAAATAAAATGAATTTCTTTTTTTTTGTTTAGACTACACACGAGATGAGAATAGTCACAAAAGAGAATCGATCAGTTTTGTTGATCAAGGAAATTGTACCAGAATTTGCAGGCACCTACACCTGTCGAGCGGAGAATGTCGTTGGTTCCGTTACATGTACAGCAACAATAAATCTTTTAGACATTCCATGGGAGGAGACAGTTGAACAATCATCGCCAACATTTGTTAGAAGATTATCGCCAATTCGTGTTATGGATGGTGAAAATGTTAATTTAACATGTGTAATTCAAGGAAAGCCAATTCCAAAAGTCGAATGGTATCACGATCAAAAACCAATTCAGGAAGGAAAGCAAATTACAATTTTACAAGATACCGAAGGTGTATGTAGCTTGGCAATCACTGAAGTATTCCCCGAAGATGCTGGTGAATACACATGTCGTGCTGTGAATCCTGTTGGTGAAGCTATTTGTTCAACGTCGTTAATTGTCGAAGGTGAGGGAGAGAAATAATTTTTGTCAATCTAAAACTTACTAAATTTGAAAAAAAATTTTCCAGCTTACGAATATGTACCAGATTCGGAAATTGCATCTTCAATTGTAGCGACATCACTTATTACAGGACAAAGTGGATCAGAGGAAGATCTTTTGTCACCAAAGGTACGAATGGCAAAAATATAAATTAAAAAAGAGATGATAATTTTTTGTTATTTTTAGGAGGGACCTCTTTTTGATACTGACACGGAGGAATCTGCGCCAGAGATAATCAAGAAGCTTCCTCAGATAATTCCCACTAAAGATGGAGAATTAACCAGGTGAAACTTCCTTTTTATTTTTTATTCTCTTTCCTTTCATCGAAAATTTGCTTACAGTGATTTTGACTGTAGTTAAATTTCGAAAAAAATGAAAATTGTTCACAGATTGGAAGTGAAGGTAAAAGGAAAGCCAAAACCAGAGGGAAAATGGTATAAGCAAGGTATAGAAATAATTCCTTCGCAAGAATTTCAAATCGAGGAATTAGAAGATGGAACGTCAGTTTTAACGATTGCTGAAACATATCCAGATGATACTGGTGAAATTGTTTTTGAAGCACACAACCCGCTGGGTGTATCGACGACAACCACTTATTTATCAGTAGAAGGTAGACATAAGCTTCAGCCAAGAATAATATTATTCAAGCCTCACTTTTTAGAACTTCTTCTTTCTAGACTTCTTATGTCTATATTTATTTGTTCTAATCACAAACTGAAGTTATTTTCAGCTCAACGTCTACGAATCAACAACAAACCTAATTTTCCCCCTTTTCTTTCATCAACACCGTCTCTTTCAAAACTACATAAAACATTAACATCAAAAGCATTTCTTACGTTATTACAGATTTAACACAAATTTATTAATGAAAAAAAATATTGAAAAATTTAAATTATTAATTTATATTCATCACAGGTATCGTTGGGACAAAGCAATATCGAAAACCATCATGGGTGACACATATGGAAGAAATGCAAGAGGCTCTTCGAGGTAAGAACGAATTTTCCAATTCGTGTGTACTTAGTGTGTCTGCATGTACATTTTCCAACGATAGTCTCGATGAACATGGATCATCATCACAACGTGATAGCTCAACAATTGTCAGCGAATTTTCATCAACAAAAACATTGATGAATATTGATGATTCCTTAGCTGGTGGTAGCGTTCGTGAATTTTTTCTAAATAATCACGATCAGCAAGATAAAAACGAATTATCACAACCAACTAATAAAATATTCCACGTTGATTATTGTCTCGATATTAAGGATTCATGGTTACAATCAACAACCATACCACGTGCTGAATCAACATCATCGAAAAAAAAACAATTTTCAAAAAGTGCCTCCCATTTACATAGCACAAAATCACAATTCAATCAAGAAACAATAAATTCCGAGTCAAAAGTAAAAAACGCCGAAAGAAAAAAAATTGATGCAAATCAAAGAAAAACTGAGAGTCAACGTGTTCCATTAAAGGATCGTGATTGGAGTAAGAAATCAAGTAAAAATAATTCTCCAGAGAGAAGAAATATAAAAAGAAAATCATCACCAAAACCAAAGAGTCCGCGAAGAAATTTCGATGATAGATCAAAATCATCATCACCATCACCAACTAGAATTAAAAGACCAAGAATTGCTGATATTGCAATCGATAAGGCAAAACAATCAATAAGAAAATCATCACATATTGAATCATGTTCTCAGGATCAAATGAAAAATTTATTAGAAATTAAAAAAGACACAAAAGAAAATCAAAAGCAAAAGAAAAAAATTGTACTCGATTTTGGTGAATTTCCACCACCAAAATCTGAGCGACGTGTTCAATCTTCATCTTCAAATGCATCGTCCAGTGATGAGGATTTCAATGACTATCAACATCATCATCATTCTCATTTGTTGCAACATCAATCGAATAATAATTTCTATTTATCGCCAATTGAAGAGAATAGTGAGACATCAACAAGTGGTAGTGGTAGTCAAGATAAATTTTCCCACAAACAATTGAAATCAAAAAAAGTTGCATTTGCCGATTCATCATCGAATAATTTAAAAGAATTTTCATTTCATTTAGATTTCGATGCTAGTCGAAAATATCATACTTATCCAAAATCACGAATTCCAATTCCACGACGTTCAATGAATAATCGTGAATTTCGAAATTTAATTGATCCAAAATTATATCCCTTGGAACCACGTGAAATTGATTTAGAAGCTTTTCAACAATTACACACAGCTGATAGTCAAGAGGAATTACAAGAATTTCTATTACTCGAAAGTCAATGTAGTGGAAATTTAGGATTAGCTACGAATTTTTCAAATTCAGAAATTTCTGATCATCACAGCGATGACGAAAGAGGCACCATGTCAGGTATTTTTTTTCTATTCTTATTAACTAATTAATCATTTTTTTCAAAATTAATTTTTATTTCTTTTATTTGAAAAGTTTTTTCAAATTAATGAACGATCCTGAATATTAAAAAAAAATATGATAAAAAAAAATATTTTTTCTACTAATGTGTTTGCATGTATTGTGTGTTTTTGTGGATAGATTACTGACAATGGCCAAAGTTTTTTGATACCAAAAGAGAAAAAAAGGTAAATAAATTATTTAGATGTAATAAAAATATTAATTAAATATACAAGAGAATTTTAAAAGAAATTCTTTTTTTGTATTAATTAAAAATTCGAATTATACGATAATTTTAATTTTTCCAGCCACGCAATCTGTACCAAGTTTTATTCAAGAGATAACGGATGTTTACGCACAAGAGGGTGAAAAAGTCACTTTAGAATGTACATACGCGGGAAATCCAACACCAGGTATTTAATTAAATATTTTAATTTAATATATTATTTAATATATTTATTATAATATTAATCAATTCGTTTAAAATTTTTAACTAATCAACGAATAAGTTTAATTTATTGAAATTAATATTAATTAAATAATTTTAGATGTCGTCTGGTACAAGGACGATAAATTAGTTATAAATACGGATAATGTGAAAATTCAATTAAGAGATGAAGAAAAGAAAACGGCATTAATAATAAAGAGGTCCACGGAAGAAGATGAAGCAACATATGTCTGCAAAGCAACCAGTGAAATTGGTCTAGCAACAACAAAAGCAAAATTACGAGTTAAAAGTAAATAACAATTTTATTGAAAATATTTATTTAATCAAATTAGTCCCATTTTTTTTAAAAAAATACGATTTTTAAATTTATAAATAAATAATATTATAAAAAATATTTAAATGCAAAAAATTATCATCAATTAATTTTTACAGCGGGTGGACCAATAGCATGGCAACCGGATGAAGATGAAGAAGAAGAAGTGGTAGAAACAGTTGTACAGAAAATCCACAAGAAAAAGAAGCCAGAAGTGAAGAAAGCCAAAGAAACAAAAGAGAAAATAAAATCAGAACGAGTGAAAATTGATAAGAAATCCATTCAAAAAGAAAAGATAATACCACAAGATGAAACAGATGAGAGGTGAGATAAAAATTTTATCATCGTTGAAAAATTTTGTTAATTTCATAATAATAATTCCCATTTTTATTTCTTTTTTTCATAGAATGATTGTCGATATTGAAGAAACTCAGGTTCTTGAGACCACCACAACTTTCGATGACAATTTCGAACAGGTATGTGTTTCTTAAAAGAGGAAATAATTTAATAAAAAAATTAAAAACTATTGAAACTAAAAAAAATTTGAAATCATTTCAGCCGAAACAAGCGAAGAAAATAGTACCAATTCAAGATTCAGTTATCACTGAAGCAACAGCATCACTGAAAATGGTTGATGAAAAAACAAAAAAGATTCCTTCAATGGTTGAAGAACGCGCAAAAATAACAACGGAAATAACTGAAACAATATCCGTAACTGAAGTTCAACCAGAAATTCGTGAATTAAAGAAGAAAAAGAAGAAACCAGAAAAAGTAAAAACAGAAGTAACAGTTGAGCAAATAATTAAGGAACATGAGGAAAATATTGCACGTGAAGTTGAAGAATTAATGGATGTTATGAATGCAACTGAATTTGGACCAGGTGAATCGCCACTTCGTGAATTAGCGACAATTGGCTTTTTGGTGCGCCAAGGTGTTTCTGTTAATGAAATTAATGAAAGTCTTTATCGAACTGACAAATTTCCGGCACTACGTACGCCTGATGCTCAAAATGCATTGGTCCAATTGGTCGAGAGACAAGGACATGGACCATTAATAACTGAAGTTCTCACTGAAGAAACAACAACTGATGAGAGTATTGTTGCTGCGACTGTTGGTTTTCGGGCATTCATGAAAATGGTTGATCTACAACATGCGACTGTCGAAGAAGTGATCACACACTTTGCTCCTGATGATTTTCGACCACGGGCTTGGGAAGTCACTGAAGCCATTGAGGTAAAAAAAAAATCATTTTTTTTCCCCTTAAGGTAAAGGAAGAATTTGTTTTTGATTTTATTTAATTTTGTTTGAACTAATTTATTTTCATATAAAATAAAAACATTTTCGTAACAGAAGTAGTATAAATCAGTTTTAGTCAGACAAAAATTTAAATTTAAAATTACCCAGATAGCACGGAAACTTGCAGCAAGCTTGCGGCAAGTTAACCGTGCAAGCTTGTCTGAGCTAGCGAAATGTCCCACCCAGGGCAAGCTTGCCGTAAAAGCTTGCTGTAAGCTTTCCAGAAAAGGTTGCTGCAATCTTGCCATGAAAGATTGCTACAAGATTGTTGCAAGCATACTAAGAATGATTGCGGCAAGGTTGCCGTGAAAGATTGCTGTAAGCTTGCTACGTAAAGTTGCAGGAGAATTTTAACAAGCTTCTGGAAAGGTTGCTGCAAGCTTGCTGCAATTTTTAAAAAATACATTTTAAATTAAAAAAAAAATTATTTGTTTTTTTTAAATTTGAAAATCCTTGTGACGTTTATTATTATTAATTATGTCCTGTTTATTTTCATTTGGAAACTTAACGAGAAAATTTTCGAAACAAATTTGAGGGGAGTTTCCAAATGAAAATAAACAGGACATAATTAATAATAATAAACGTTACAAGAATTTTCAAATTAAAAAAAAAAAACAAATATATTTTTTTTAAATTTAAAATGTATTTTTCAAAAATTGCAGCAAGCTTGCAGCAACCTTTCCAGAAGCTTGTTGAAATTCTCCTGCAACCTTACGTAGCAAGCTTACAGCAATCTTTCACGGCAAGCTTGTCGCAATCATTCTTAGTATGCTTGCTGCAATCTTGTAGCAATCTTTCATGGCAAGATTGCAGCAACCTTTCCTGGAAAGCTTACAGCAAACTTTTACGGGAAGCTTGCCCTGGGTGGGACATTTCGCTAGCTCAGACAAGCTTGCAGCAAGCTTGTGCGGCAAGCTTGACAAGCTTGCACGGTTAACTTGCCGCAAGCTTGCTGCAAGTTTCCGTGCTATCTGGGTAGTAGTAAAAGGCAGTTTTAATCAGACAAAACGACGCCTCCCGTTGATAAGATGCCCGTTCATTTGTCAGAATAATAAAATGCCAACTCGAGCTCAGTTCAATATGAAGCTAGTTCAATTGTCAAAATAATAAAAGGCTAATTCAGTTTCCGTATAATATAATTCTATCTCGCATTAAATTCGAATTCAAGTTTTCGTAAATTAAAAAAGAAGTTTAAGTCGATCAAAATATTAATTCATACTTTTTAATGATTAATTAGTGATTAATAATTATTAATAAAATAAGAAATAGAATAAAAAACAAATAATAAAATAAATGAAAATAAAAAATATTATTAAAAAAGAAAAAAATTACTTAAGCCTTGAATTATTTATTATTATTATTATTATATTATTCTGACAAATGAACGGGCATCTTATCAGCGGGAGGCGTCGAAAGGGATTAAATTTTTTGAAAAATTTTCAATCGATTTAAATACTTATGAAATTTAAATTAGTAGATAAAAACAATTTGTAGCTAAATTGTTGTATAACAAAAAAAAATTTAAATTTCTAAATAGGTGGAAATCGAACAACATGCAACAGAGAGAATTGAAGTGATCGAGGAAACAGAGATACGCGTTATGGGTAAGTCGAGATTTTGTGTCAGTGTGTTGGAGGATCATTCGATCAAGATCTCTAAACAAGGAGACTTTTGCCCTCTGCTGATCGTGGACATCAGTCATATTATAAAAATATAATTTGAAAATAATTGCTTTTTTGCGTGGCTTATGTTAACAAGCATCTCTTGTATATGTAAATAGAAAATGTTTTGTGTGAGTTTTAATTTTTTAAAAAAGCATGATTTTTGTACATAGATATATATATACATACATACATAACAACAACTCAGTGTGATCCAGTCTTATTTTAAGTTTAATATTATTTTTGTACATGTACGTTGACATTGAATAAAGTATTTTAGTTTTTATTTTGTGTTTTTGCATTGAAAAAATCATTTTTTTTTTTTTGGTTTCTTTTGATTTGAGAAACAATAATATTTGATTACAGAGAGAAGGGAGGACAGAAGAACGCTTCAGAAGCAAGATGTTCGAGAAATAAAAGGTTTGAAACGACGTCTTATGATGCATGGTTTTGATTGGTTATTAATTTTTTAATTTGAAAATTTATTTTTATAAAGTATTCCGCTTTCTAAAAATCATAACTATATAGTTAATTTAAATTATATTTTTAAATATAAATAACTTATTTAACAGAAGAATCTTTTTTTATATTTTATTACTTTTTATATTTGCAAGATATAAAAATTTATATATTTTATATTGTATGATAAATATTCTAATTTAAATATATGTTTTGGCATTTAACTAAATAAAACTAATAATGAATTTTTTTTTTAATTTCTCAACGTGAGCAGTTATAATTTTCAATTATTCAATCAAGGTTTTTAAAATGAAAATTAACAATAAAAAATTCAACGTAATATATTTTCGTATTCTTTCAGATGCATGATGCTTTCTTGATCGAATTAATAGCTGTGCATTTCTGCTTAAGCCGCTATGCTTTCAACGCACAGTTCCTACATTCAATTTATTATAATATTATTATATCTTCTCTAAATCCTTTCTCATCCAGCTTCGCAAGCAATGCGCCATATTTTTTTTCTCTCGCTAGCTGCATTTTTTTCAATGTAAGTATCAATTAAATTCTTTTATGTCATTTAATCATTATAATATATATATATATTTATATAGTAATTTACAAAGAAAAACTATTTTTCTCATTTCAACTAACTGAAAATTACTATTTACAACAAATAAAAAAAAAAAATACTGTCATTTTCAAGAATACATGAAACAATAAATAAATTGAATACATAAATGAATTCAAACACTCGGAAATTTTTATACATGTATAAAACAACAATAAAATATGAAAATTGCACAGCGTGTCTTATATACTTCATTCCCTGACAGATTAATTAAAGCACAAAGAAAGTTTTTCTTTATTTTTAAAAATTTTTTATTCTTTTATTAATTATCGATTAATATATTGAATTTATTTATTAAATATTAAATTTCATTTATAAATTATTATTATAATAATTTATTATAGTTAATATATATTTTATGTTTTCAACTTATGTTTGTAAAATTGTGTGTAAAAATTTTAGGGATTTTAGAAAAAAAAATTAGCGTTAGAAATTGAAGCTTGAATTTAGATAAGAATATTTAGAAGAATGATGTGGGCATTTATGTGATTATTCTTGAGCACTGATTTGATTTGTCGCTATATATTCTTCATTGTCTTTCAAAACAAGCACAAAATTACAAAATTTTTAGCATGTCATTACACGCAGCTACATATGCAAAAAAACACTAACAAACAGCACTTCCAATTTAAAAAAAAAGAAAAAGAAACATCCACCTGCACTGTACGTACGCGCTGATAGTCTGCTGTCCGCTATTTTTGTTGATTGTTTGCCTTCTATTTTCTCAATTTGTTTTGTATTTTTTTATTTTTTACACAAGTTTTCATTATTGTTAAATTATACTATATTTTATTATTCATTTTTTTTTGTAATTTCTAAAAGAAAATCCTCAAAAAAATCCAAACAATGAAAACTTAAGTTTATTTATTTCTATTTTTACGAACATGTACGCTTCACTCTGCAATGAAAAATAGAATTATCAAAATATAATCAGTGACACAAATACACTCTTAGATAAATTCTCAATAAAAAAAAAATAAAAATTTTTAAATAAAGTTTAAAAAAATTTGTTTTATAAGAAAAGTTGACGCGGGCTAAGCGGAGTAATGCGTACTTGCAGACAAATCACATAATAATCTTACACGAAAATTCTCACATACTTTCCGCAGAATACGAGGACACTGAGCAAGTACACAAGACACAGCGCAAACGAAAAGACATGAAATCATTGGAACAACCTCGTGATAGGGATGAGGGGGTTGAAATAGTCCAAATTGAAGATGAGCGCGAAACGGAAATCATCGAAGAAGATATAAAGAAGGAGCAAGAGGAAACAATGGAGGAAATAATAATAGTCGAGAGGGACAAGAAAGGAAAATTGAAACAGAAAAGAAAAAAATCTATCGAGGCTGAAATTGAACAAGAGGAAGAGGAAATTATTCAGAAAACAAAAAAAGTATTAAAACCAAAACGATCTAATATAGGAGAGGATGAAATTGAATTAGAAGAAATTGAAGAATTTCAAGTAATTAGCGACAATTCTGTATCTTCAGTTGCTCTCAACATTCCATGTCAATTAAATGAAGTTGTACCACTCAATCGAATTACCGAGCAAGCACCAGGTAAACCTAATGATGAAAAAGCAAAAATCACCCTAGACACTGTGAATGCATTAACTGAAGAATATTTACCAACTCACGAAAGTGAAATTGATCGTGTTCAAACACAACAACCGGATAAACGAAAAGCATCAATTTCTATTTTACCAATGGAGCCGTATTCAATAACAGAAACAACGATTCAAGGTGGAATTAACGAATTTCTTGATACATTTAAACCAACAACTTTTGCTGCAACATCTGCAGTTGTTCCATCAGAAAGTTTACTTGTAAGTGAAACTCTTCCAAGTGAAGCTAAACCATCAGATTTGAAAACTTCCACCTTCGAGGCAAGTGGACGTGCTGAAATCACCATGACCTTACAGGAAGCTACAACAATCAGTGAAACCACAGTCAATGATAAAGAAGTTCCCAGTGATGATTTCATATCACCAAATACTGTCAGGGCTGAGGATACATTTTTGCCACAGATTGGACTCACCGTTTATGAGGTTCATGAAGGTCAAGTTGAAGATAAATTGGAACCTATGAAAACTGTCACTAACAAACCTCGAGTCAACATTACTCCAATGGAGCCAGTTGTCATTGAGGAAGTTCATGCTCAAGATAAACCTGGAAAATACTATCCTGAATTGATTGTTCCAACTGAAGTGGCATCAACGACAATAATATCTCAAAAACAACGAGTTACAGAAGAAATGCATGCTCCTGAAAAGGAAGGAACTTACGTTCCAGGACGATTACCCGCTGGACAGACAGCCCTAATAGAAGTATCATACGGTGGAGAAACTGCCATAACTCACGTGCAACCAGTTCAAGAACGTGAGGGAATCTTCTCACCAGACAGAAAAGCTGATACTTTTGAAGCCCAACCGAATGTTAATCTATTGGAGAGTATAACAGTGTTGACTGTTGATTCACAACATCAAGAATCTGCACTTACTGTCGAGGAAAGCAAGAAGGTAATCGCTGATTTGAACGTAGTTGAAGTATCATCAATCGTGACCACTGAGACTGTAGCCACTGAAAAAGAACATCACTATCAGCCTGATGATCAACCACTCTCTAAATCAGCAGACACTGTGATTCTACCACTTGAAATTGGATCAGTTTCCAGTACAATGGTTCAAGAATCAGAAGGTGAATATGTCGAAGGAGTGAAACCAACTGCAGCTCTAGCTGAAGCAACCTACAGACCTGAAGAGTCTCTGAAGGTGTTGGAGGTCCAAACAGCTGACTATCCATCAGACTTCAGTGACGATCTAAAATTCGTCACCGAAAGTGGAACAGTCAATGTTCACACCACTGAAGCTAAGGAAATTCGCGAAATACTCGTTCACGATCAGGAGAATCAAATGGAAGATGTACAAAGACCAGAGGAACGAATTGTTGATACAATTTATGATGCTATCAAAGGTATCGAAGTATTTCAAACCACATCAGTTGAAAAGGAGGGTGATCTTCGAATTTACGAGATGCCGGAAAGTCATCGTGGCAAAACGGTACCAACACATCCAGTGGTATCACTTCAAGTGGAGGAAGTCACTTCTCAGGACAATGTGGCTCAAATTCCAAAAGACGTTCCACTGACAGTCACGGCAAAAATTGAACGTGATGATTTACGTGAGACTATTGTTGGAGAGATAATTACAGCTGAGGGTCTAGCACCAGTGAAACAAGATGTTGTACCAGAAATGAAGATTGCTGATGTCGACATTGACGAGATGTCAAGTATTCATACGTCAGAGGTGATTGTCTCTGAAAAGGAAACTGAATACACAAGAATCGTTGAAGATAAACAAGTATTTGCCAATACGGAATTTACAACTCAAGTTGCTGCTATGCATCAAGAAGTGAGAACAGAATCACCAACTGGAGAGTATGTTTCAATTGATGTTACAAACAAGGTAATTGCTCAGCCATCGCACACTCTTTTGGAAAGTATATCAGTGGGTGTTCATGAGCTGGCGGAAAAGGAAAACATCTATAAAGAAGAAATTAAACCAAGTGCAAAGATTGCTAACGTTGAACTCACCGAGACTCGACCTGGAGCTGTCACTATGGAAATTATTGTCAGCGATCGAGAAAATGTTTATTCTCCAGAGACTCGAGATCTGACAGATGTCACTGCTCAACCATTTGTTGATGCTCACACGATAGCTATTAAATCGGAAACTATCGCTGAACAGAATGCTCAGGATATTATTGCTGAAGTTCCACAAACAAATAAAGCATTCTCGCGCCAAGAAGCTATGGATGAATTGATTGTCACCGAAACTCATATTGCTGAAACTGAAAAACGATGGGATGAACAGATCAAACCTTCTGAACACAGTGCTGAAGTGGAAGTCGAGTTTTCTGAGAATCTTACCATCAATCAACTCATCACAGTTCTGAATAAGGTATGTTTTCTTTTAATATTCTTCTTTGATCAATATTATTTTAACCTTGCAATCAATTTTCTTGATTCTTTCAATATGTATTCAAGAAAATTGAAGTCAAGGTAATTCTAAGAACATCAAAAATTCAATTGAATACTGAAATAAATTTATTTTTTTCCTTTTTGCACAGGAGGAAGATTTTCAATCGGCTGACACACCAGTTGAGCAGACTGTGAAATTGAATCTCACCTCAGGTCATGAAGTTGCACAAACCCAAGAAACTGTACTTGCAAATAGTACTGAAAGTTATGAAGAGCAAATACCTAAGGAAGAAGTGGCAAAACCGAAACAAAGTGGACTCGAAATAGTTCAACAAACGGAAATTACAGTTTCCGAGATGGAAGCTCCATTGCCATTGGATGTTGCACCAGATGACAAAAAGGTAGACGTTACCTTTGCGGAAGGTGAAGCTGTGCAAACTATTCTTACCCAGGCTGAAGATAAAGAAGGCATTTATAAAAAAGAAGCGAAACCCAAGTCTGTTGAAGCAACAATTGACTTTGAAGTACAAGGTGTTGCTTCCAAATTTGAAATTCATAGTGATTTAGGAGTTTCAGATATCGAAACAGAACTTCCACAGAGTGTAAAATCTAAAAGTGAGATCTTACCTTATCAGACAGCTTTAGCAGAGGAGGTATACACCCGTGAAAGTGAAGGACGTTTAATTGATGATCATCCTGCAGGTAGAACTGCAAATCTTGATTTCGAAATCGGCGAAGGTGTTCAAGTCTCCGATGTGGTTGCTCAAGATAAAGAAGGCGTTCTACCTGAAACAGAAAAACCATCAGTTAAATCTGCTACTTTTGACATTCCAGCTCATACTGTTGCTGAATCAAGTGAAATTATTGCAGAAAATAATGTTGGTGAATTTTCAAAAGTTACAGTCGAATCAGCTACAGCAACTGCAGATCATATTACGTTCCACAGTCTCATTACATCAGAAACAGCGACAGGAGATCTGGAGCAGTCGTTAGAGAACTTTGTGAAGCCTGATGAAAAGAGGGTGGATATTGCTTTCGAAGAAGATACAAGTCTAACGGTGACTGAAACAATCACCTCTGACAAGGAGAAGGAGTACACTGGAAAATTGGAAATGATTGAAGAACAAGCAACTGGTTCCTATGATGCACACAGAGTTGCTGAACGAACTGAGATTAATGCAGAAGCATATCCTGGTGATTTCTCTGAAGAAACTCCAAAATCATTCACTGCTAAAGAAGAACGTCTTCCATTTGAGAGTATTGTACAAACAGAGGCAGTGATTTCAGAAAAAGAGACAGAATTCCAAGAGAAACCTTTAGTTAGTGGTAACACTGCCAGTATAGGAATTGGAGATAACATCGGTGTACCAATTGTTACGGAAGTGATCACTGATGATAAAGAAACTTCTTTGGCTGCTCTTGAAAAACCAAGTGAACGATCAGCTACAGTAGAACTGGCAAGTCATGTTATTGCTGAAAAAATGGAAATCAACACTGATTCAAGCATAAGCAATCTGGAAGAATCAAAACCATCAGTAGCTTCAGCAATGCCATCGCAAATTCCCTTAGAAACTGTTGTACGGTCAGAGATTGAAGTCACCGAATCTGAAGGAATCTATAAAGGTGATAAAAAAGCTTTGGAAGCTACAGCTGACGTTGGAATCATTGAGGAGAAAAGTGTTCAGGTACTGACAGTGACGTTGGAAGACAAAGAAGGTGAATACAAACCTACAGAATTACCTTCTGCAAAAACAGCCGATAAAAATTTGGTAGAAGGTCACGTTGTAGCTGAAGTTTCAGAAAATATTGTAGACATCAGCACCAGTGAATTGGAAAAACAAAAACTCGCTCCAAAACAGGAAGCACTGAGTACTATTGTTACTGAACATAGTTCAGTTGAAACTACTCAAATAGAATCTCAAGTCAATATTCCGGAGAAGAAGCAAAAAGAAATTCCATTCAGTCTTCAGACAGCATCACCAGAACAAGACACTTTCGAAAGTATAACCATAACAGAGAACGTTGTTGAAGAATCCGAGAAACCATTCGAAGGAGTCTTTAAAGCTCCTTCACAAACTGTTGATGTTAACATACAAGAAGTCAAGTCTCTAGAAATAAGTGAAACCTTGACTCAAGATAAGGAAGATACATTCTTTACTTCCAAACTTGATGAACAAATTGGCAAACCTGAATTTGATTCTCTATCGTCTGTGATTGTATCACAAACCGTATGCAATGAATTGGAGAATATTCTCCCAAGTCCTGAAGTACCAACTCAGAGAACAGCACAAGCTGATCTATTTGGTAGAGAAGCAGCAGAAACTATTCAAGTGCTACCTGTGAACAATGCAGAAGAACTTCTGAAACCAATTGCTCCAAAAGAAGAGAAAGGTAAACCAAGAGTTGATGAATTATCATCTCTCGTTATTTCAGAAATTATGTCCAATGAATTAGAAGAAATACTTCCCAGCATGGAAATTCCAACTCAAAAAACAGCCGAGACTCAATTACTAGGAAGAGACATTGCTGAAACTTCTCAAGTCCTTTCAATAGCAAATGTTGGTGAATTCATCAAACCAAAATTACCAGACGAACAGAAGGGAATACCTGGCCTTGAAGAACATTCATCACTCACGGTGTCGCAGATTATGTCCAATGAATCAGAAGAATTCCTTCCCAGTCCAGAAGTACCAAGTACAAAGACAGCACAACCTAATTTGACTGGACGAGAAATAGCAGAAACCACTGAAGTCCTAACAGTAGCAGATGTCGAGGAATTGATGAAATCAAAAATTCCTGACGAACAAAAAGGAAAACCACAGTTGGATACGTTACCATCAGCAATAGTCACTGAAGTTCTATCAAGCGAAGCTACAGATGTTTTGCCTAGTGCCGAAGTTCCATCAGAGAAGGTTGCAAAACCAGACATCTTAGGTCGTGAAATAGCCGAAACAACTGAAGTACAAACAGTGGCTAACGTTGAAGAAATGAAAAAACCTGAAGCTCCTGATGCTCAAACGAGTAAACCGGAATACGAAGCATTGACAACTTCAGTAGTTTCTCAAACAGAGTACCATGAATCTGAAGACACTCTTCCTGAGGCTCAGAAACCTAGCGGTAAAGTTGCTCAACCAGTGTTATCGGGTCAAGATATCGCAGAGACCTTGGAAGTTCTAACAATGTCCAACGTGGAAGAACTGCTAGAAACCATAAAACCAGACGAACAAAAAGGAATCCCTGAATTAGAAGAATTTAAGTCCATCACAGTTTCACAAGTCATTTCCAACGAAGTTGAAGATGTTTTACCACATGCTGAAGTTCCTTCAATGAAGAATGCATTGTTTGATTTACTCGGGAGGGAAGTAGCTGAAACATCTGAAGTCCTAACAGTAGCAGATGTTGAGGAATTGATAAAATCAAAAATTCCTGATGAACAAAAAGGAAAAACACAGTTGGATACATTACCATCAGCAATAGTCACTGAAGTTCTATCAAGCGAAGCTACAGATGTTTTGCCTAGTGCCGAAGTTCCATCAGAGAAAGTTGCAAAACCAGACATCTTAGGTCGTGAAATAGCCGAAACAACTGAAGTACAAACAGTAGCTATCGTTGAAGAAATGAAAAAACCCGAAATTCCTGAAGAACAAAAAGGAAAAACAGAATTTGAAGCTTTAACAACATCTGTAATTTCCCAAGCAGAATTACACGAAGCTGAAGATAATCTTCCTGAAGCTGAAAAACCAACAACCAAGTTAGCTCAACCCATTTTAACTGGTCACGACATTGCAGAAACACTTGAAGTCCTTACAATGTCGAATGTGAAAGAATTTTCCGAAGAAATAAAACCAGATGAACAGAAAGGAATTCCAGAGTTAGAAGAGTTTAAATCCATAACAGTTTCTCAAGTAATCTCCAATGAAGTTGAAGAAGTTTTACAGAAAACCGAAATACCTTCTATGAAGACTGCTCTATTAGATTTATTTGGAAGGGAAGTTGCAGAAACATCTGAAGTTCTAACAGTAGCAGATGTGGAAGAATTCATAAAATTAAAAGTTCCTGAAGAGCAGACAGGCAAAACACAATTGGATACATTACCATCAGCAACAATTACTGAAGTTCTATCAAGTGAAGCTATAGAAGTTTTGCCTAGTGCTGAAGTTCCAACGGAAAAGGTTGCTAAACCTGACATCTTAGGTCGTGAAATAGCCGAAACAACTGAAGTACAAACAGTAGCTAACGTTGAAGAAATGAAAAAACCCGAAATTCCTGAAGAACAAAAAGGAAAAACAGAATTTGAAGCTTTAACAACATCTGTAATTTCCCAAGCACAATTACACGAGGCTGAAGATACTCTTCCTGAAGCTGAAAAACCTACAACTAAATTAGCTCAACCCAGTTTAACTGGTCATGACATTGCAGAAACACTTGAAGTTCTTACCATATCTAATGTGGAAGAACTTTCCGAGGATGTAAAACCTGAGGAACAAAAGTTGAAGACCAGACAACCGGAAATGATTGGAAGAGAAATAGCAGAAGTATCTGAAGTCATGACAATATCGAATGCTGAGGATCTTGCGAAACTCAAAATTCCTGTTGAACAAAAAGGTGAAATTCACATTGATACGATGCTATCTTTAACAGTATCTCAAGTTGTTTCTGATGAAGCTAAAGATGTATTACCAAGTCCCGAGATTCCTACCACATCCAATGCTCAACCCAATTTGTTTGGCAGAGAAGCAGCTCAAGTTTCAGAAGTTCTCACAGTCAGCAGTGCCAGTGAACTGGAAAAATCAATAAAACCAGAAGAACAGAAAGGTAAGACACAATTGAATGAACTATCATCAGTGACAGTATCTCAAATCATTTCCAACGAAATGGAAGATACTTTACCAGAAGTGAGTATTCCAACAAGCAAAGTTGCTGAATCCAGTTTTCTTGGACGAGAAATAGCAGAAACAACACAAATTGTTGCACTTAATGAAACTGAAGAATTTTTGAGACCAAAGATACCTGATGAACAAATTGGTGTATCTAAACTAGATGTTCTGTCACCATTGATTATTTCTGAGTCCATTTCCAATGAACTTGGTGAACAATTATCAACATCTGAACTTCCAACTATGAAGAATGCAGAACCAATAATGACTGGACGAGAAATTGCAGAAACTTCTGAAATATCAACAGTTACAAGTGTCGGAGAGTTCGTTAAGCCTATAGCGCCTGAAGAACAACAAGGAATTCCTCAATTGGAAGAATTATCATCAATCATTGTTTCGCAATCGGTATCTCACGAGACGGAAGAAATTCTGCTTAAAGATGAGAAACCATCCGAAAAAACAGCAATTACAAATTTGTTTGGTCGAGACATTGCAGAAACTCTAGAGGTACAGACAGTTTCAACAGTCGAAGAATTTATGAAATCTACTGGTCCTGATGAACAAAAAAGCAAACCAGAACTAGAAGAATTATCATCATTGATGGTATCTCAAGTGATATCACACGAAGCTGAAGAGGTTTTACCAAGTCCAGAAGTTCCTAGTACAAAACAAGCTCAACCTAATTTATTCGGTAGAGAAATAGCACAAACTTCAGAAGTAATAACAGCATCAACTGTTGAAGATCTTGAGAAATCAAAGTTGCCAGAAGAACAGGTCGGCAGGACAACCTTGGATGTTCTCTCATCGTTGATTATTTCACAAACCGTTTCAAATGAACGCGAAGATTTGCTTCCCGGATCCGAGAAACCATCTGAAAAGATTGCTCAACCTACTTTAGCAGGTCGAGAAATTGCGGAAACAAGTGAAACAACAACAATGTTAAGTGCTGAAGATTTGAGTAGGGTTAAATTTCCAAACGAAGAAAAAGGTTCTGCTGAATGGGACGTTTTGTCTTCAGTTGCAATTTCAGAGATTGTACCACAAGAAGCTGAACAAGATCTACCTCATGCAACAAAACCAAATGAATTTACAGCTCTTCCTAATTTATTCGGTAGAGAAGCACCAGAAGTCATGGAACATTTAACAGTCACTTCTGCTGAAGATTTTACCAAAATTGAATTACCTGAAGAACAGAGGAGTAAGATGACACTGGATGCTCTATCATCATTGACAGTTTCGCAAGTTGTAATCACTGAGACTGAAGAAACATTAATCGAAGCTAAAATCCCTAATAAAATGACAGCTCAACAGAAACTTAGCAGTAAAGAGGCAACTGAAGTTTTTCAAGTTCTTGCAGTAACACGTGCAGATGAATTTGCTGATACTTTCTCACCAGAAACTCAAAGAGGAACTGGTGAAGTTGAAGAAATGTCATCTCTAAACGTATCTCAAGTAATTATCAGTGAATTGGAAGAAGACTTGAAAGCTCCTGAAGCTCCCAATGAGAAAACAGCTTTCACAAATATTTCAGGAAGAGAAGTAGCTGAAACTTCAGAAATACAAACTGTAATCGAGGCTGAAGAATTTGTCAAACCTATAGCTCCTGTAGAACAACAAGGAATTCAGAATATCAACGAACTAACATCATTGATAATTTCTCAAAACGTACCAACTGAAGCAGAAGATATTTTCTCAACTCCTTCTGCTCCCAGTGGGAAAAATGCTCAACCGAATCTTATTGGAATTGATGTTGCTGAAACAATACAAATACAAACTTTAATTAGCACTTCAGATCTATCAGAGGATCAGCTTCCCGAAACACAAGCAGGCAAACCACAAATAGAAGAGATGTCTTCAATTATCATTTCACAAACCTTGTCCAATGAGAATGAAGAAAAATTGTTATCTTCAGAGAAGCCTGATGAAAAAATGGCGCAAATTAATATTACCGGTCTCGAAGCAGCGTCAAAATTGGAAATCGAGACCATGACAACGACTAATGAATTTATTAAACAGCATAAGCCGGAAACTCAATCTGGTACAACAGAATTTGAAAAGATGAATTTCATCTCCGTATCCGAAACAATTCTTAATGAATCGGAAACAATTTTAACAACTGCTGAAATTCCCAAAAGTCAGTCGGCAATGCCAAATGTGCCAAGTATCGAAGCAGCACAAACAACGGAAATTTTATCACTTGCAAGTTTCGACAAATTGAAAACCTCCGAACTTCCAGAAGTACAGAAAGGAAAAGTAAATCTAGAAGAAATGTCCTCATTAACAATATCTGAGGTAAACTATAATGAAAATGAAAAAACGCTTGCTCGAGATGAAATACCATCATCACAAACAGCACAAATGATTCTCCCTAGTCAAACAACAATAGAAACAACGGAAACAATTGCAGCAACAAGTACCAAGGATCTGCCAGAATCAGCGAAACCTGACTTTAAGCAAATATTGCCTGAACATATACCATTTGAAAATGTCCAACAAATGCAAAACATTGTTCAAGAAAGTGAATCAACACTTACGATCGAAAGAAAATCCTCCATTGCTAAAGCGGAAGTCAGTTTTCGAGTTTCCGAAAGTTTAGAAGTAACGCAAGTAACAGCTACAGAAAAAGAGTCAAAAGAAGTTATCAAGGGAGTCGCTAAAGAAGGCAGTGCTCAACCCGATGTTGTTGATCGTACAGTTGCAATAAAAACAGAAGTTTTACCTGGAGACATTGCTTCAGAATTTCAACCAGAAAAACCAACCTCCAAAACAGCCAGCGAAACAAAAGATATCAAGCATAGTATAATTGTCACAGATTTAGGTTCTACTGATGAACGTGAGTTAGATCTTTTGCAAACTTTGAAGTCATCTTCTAAAACAGCCTATATTACTATAGAAGATGAACACATGGAACATATAGAAGGTAAGTTAATAGTTATCAAAATTGCAGACAGTAGAAGATCATATGTATTAATTTCAAAATTCTTCTCAATATGTTTTTTATTAAACTTTACAAAATTGGAAAATGTTTTTAATAAGCTGAAATTCCCAGGTACATTTTGTCAGAAAAAAGAATATGGTTAAATACAGAAAATAAATTCAATAGAGATTAATGATTTCTTTTCAAACAGTTAATGAACATACTGTAGAGAAAATAAAAAAAAATCACTATCAATAATAGGAAAACATTTCATTAGTTATCAAATTTTAAAATAATCGAGATAATACAATTGTTAACAAATTCGATAAAGCCGGTAAATTACATACGAAATATTTGGTCAACAAAAAAGATTCCTCTCCGAAATCATAATCCATTACAAACATTTAACACAACCTAAATACCCACACCAATATTTAAAAAAGCATACCCCAATATTCTAAACAAATAAAACATTTGGAAATAAGGTACTAAAAAACAACTAAATATGTAAATCAAAACATAAATTCATAAACAAACCGCTAAACGTTTTACAACACAAAATATACAAATGAGAAACACTTATTCTCTCACATTTCAGAAACCACAGAAGCACGAGTTGAACAACAAACTTTATTAACACAACACACTAAAAAACACGTACACCCAGAAACATTTAAACAAGAAAGCACCGATTCTGATACAGAGGTAACTCAAGAATATACTACAACATTCAGGCGAGGAAGTAAAGAAGGACAAAATGACGCAATAAAAACGAGAAAAACAATAATCAGAAAAAAGAGACCAGAAACAGGAAGCGAAGACAAAGCAGTAGTCATAGAAGAAGAAATTGAAAACATAAAATCCCAATTACCAACAATACCAAAGAAACAATTTATGCCCATTGAAGAAGTTACAGACACAACTAATATTGAAGAAATTAAACCGACTATAGTTGAAGAAGTTGAAGAAGTTGCAGAGAAAGCACAAAACGGACAAACCACAAATGAACAATATATAGATGATATTCAAGAAGATAAAAGAAAAAAACCAAAAAAGAAAGCCATAACAAAACAAAAACATAAACCTATTCCAACAGAAAAAGAAACAATTAGAGAACAAGTAACTGTTACTGAGGAAGTTACCAAACAAGGCAAACCTCGCAAAGTAACAAAGAGGAAAGTCATCAGACGCAAGGGTAAGAAGCAACAAGTAACAGAAACAGTCACTGTTGAAGAGGAAGGCAAGGCACCTGTAACAAAAGTCATTGAGAAACCGGAAGAGGAAGTTCTAACTGAAGAGATCATTGAAGATATGCCTGTCGAAGAGTTTGTTACTCCATCAGAAGTGGAATCAGTGAGAGAACAGTATACTGTTACTGAGGAAGTTACCAAACAAGGCAAACCTCGCAAAGTAACAAAGAAGAAAGTCATCAGACGAAAGGGTAAAAAGCAACAAGTAACAGAAACAGTCACTATTGAAGAGGAAGGCAAGGCACCTGTAACAAAAGTCATTGAGAAACCGGAAGAGGAAGTTCTAACTGAAGAGATCATTGAAGATATGCCTATCGAAGAGTTTGTTACTCCATCAGAAGTGGAATCAGTAAGAGAACAGGTTACTGTTACTGAGGAAGTTACCAAACAAGGCAAACCTCGCAAAGTAACAAAGAGGAAAGTCATCAGACGCAAGGGTAAGAAGCAACAAGTAACAGAAACAGTCACTGTTGAAGAGGAAGGCAAGGCACCTGTAACTAAAGTCATTGAGAAACCGGAAGAGGAAGTTCTAACTGATGAAATCATTGAAGATATGCCTGTCGAAGAGTTTGTTACTCCATCAGAAGTGGAATCAGTAAGAGAACAGGTTACTGTTACTGAGGAAGTTACTAAACAAGGCAAACCTCGCAAAGTAACAAAAAAGAAAATTATTAGACGCAAGGGTAAGAAGCAACAAGTAACAGAAACAGTCACTGTTGAAGAGGAAGGCAAGGCACCTGTAACAAAAGTCATTGAGAAACCGGAAGAGGAAGTTCTAACTGAAGAGATCATTGAAGATATGCCTGTCGAAGAGTTTGTTACTCCATCAGAAGTGGAATCAGTAAGAGAACAGGTTACTGTTACTGAGGAAGTTACTAAACAAGGCAAACCTCGCAAAGTAACAAAAAAGAAAATTATTAGACGCAAGGGTAAGAAGCAACAAGTAACAGAAACAGTCACTGTTGAAGAGGAAGGCAAGGCTCCAGTTACTGAGATTATTGAGAAACCAGAAGAGGAAGTTCTAACTGATGAGATCATTGAAGACATGCCTGTAGACAACTATGTTACTCCATCAGAAGTGGAATCAGTAAGAGAACAGGTTACTGTTACTGAGGAAGTTACTAAACAAGGCAAACCTCGCAAAGTAACAAAAAAGAAAATCATCAGACGCAAGGGTAAGAAGCAACAAGTAACAGAAACAGTCACTGTTGAAGAGGAAGGCAAGGCACCTGTAACAAAAGTCATTGAGAAACCGGAAGAGGAAGTTCTAACTGAAGAGATCATTGAAGATATGCCTATCGAAGAGTTTGTTACTCCATCAGAAGTGGAATCAGTAAGAGAACAGGTTACTGTTACTGAGGAAGTTACCAAACAAGGCAAACCTCGCAAAGTAACAAAGAGGAAAGTCATCAGACGCAAGGGTAAGAAGCAACAAGTAACAGAAACAGTCACTGTTGAAGAGGAAGGCAAGGCACCTGTAACTAAAGTCATTGAGAAACCGGAAGAGGAAGTTCTAACTGATGAAATCATTGAAGATATGCCTGTCGAAGAGTTTGTTACTCCAACAGAAGTGGAATCAGTAAGAGAACAGGTTACTGTTACTGAGGAAGTTACTAAACAAGGCAAACCTCGCAAAGTAACAAAAAAGAAAATTATTAGACGCAAGGGTAAGAAGCAACAAGTAACAGAAACAGTCACTGTTGAAGAGGAAGGCAAGGCACCTGTAACAAAAGTCATTGAGAAACCGGAAGAGGAAGTTCTAACTGAAGAGATCATTGAAGATATGCCTGTCGAAGAGTTTGTTACTCCATCAGAAGTGGAATCAGTGAGAGAACAGGTTACTGTTACTGAGCAACTTACTAAACAAGGCAAACCTCGCAAAGTAACAAAGAGGAAAGTCATCAGACGCAAGGGTAAGAAGCAACAAGTAACAGAAACAGTCACTGTTGAAGAGGAAGGCAAGGCTCCAGTTACTGAGATTATTGAGAAACCAGAAGTGGAAGTTCTAACTGATGAGATCATTGAAGACATGCCTGTAGACAACTATGTTACTCCATCAGAAGTGGAATCAGTAAGAGAACAGGTTACTGTTACTGAGGAAGTTACTAAACAAGGCAAACCTCGCAAAGTAACAAAGAAGAAAGTCATCAGACGAAAGGGTAAAAAGCAACAAGTAACAGAAACAGTCACTGTTGAAGAGGAAGGCAAGGCACCTGTAACTAAAGTCATTGAGAAACCGGAAGAGGAAGTTCTAACTGATGAGATCATTGAGGAAATGCCTGTAGACAAGTATGTTACTCCATCAGAAGTGGAATCAGTAAGAGAACAGGTTACTGTTACTGAGGAAGTTACCAAACAAGGCAAACCTCGCAAAGTAACAAAGAGGAAAGTCATCAGACGCAAGGGTAAGAAGCAACAAGTAACAGAAACAGTCACTGTTGAAGAGGAAGGAAAGGCTCCAGTTACTAAGATTATTGAGAAACCAGAAGAGGAAGTTCTAACTGATGAGATCATTGAAGACATGCCTGTAGACAAGTATGTTACTCCATCAGAAGTGGAATCAGTAAGAGAACAGGTTACTGTTACTGAGGAAGTTACTAAACAAGGCAAACCTCGCAAAGTAACAAAGAAGAAAGTCATCAGACGAAAGTGTAAAAAGCAACAAGTAACAGAAACAGTCACTATTGAAGAGGAAGGCAAGGCACCTGTAACTAAAGTCATTGAGAAACCGGAAGAGGAAGTTCTAACCGATGAAATCATTGAAGATATGCCTGTCGAAGAGTTTGTTACTCCATCAGAAGCGGAATCAGTAAGACAACAGGTTACTGTTACTGAGGAAGTTACAAAACAAGGCAAACCTCGCAAAGTAACAAAGAAGAAAGTCATCAGACGAAAGGGTAAAAAGCAACAAGTAACAGAAACAGTCACTATTGAAGAGGAAGGCAAGGCACCTGTAACTAAAGTCATTGAGAAACCGGAAGAGGAAGTTCTAACCGATGAAATCATTGAAGATATGCCTGTCGAAGAGTTTGTTACTCCATCAGAAGCGGAATCAGTAAGAGAACAGGTTACTGTTACTGAGGAAGTTACAAAACAAGGCAAACCTCGCAAAGTAACAAAGAAGAAAGTCATCAGACGAAAGGGTAAAAAGCAACAAGTAACAGAAACAGTCACTATTGAAGAGGAAGGCAAGGCACCTGTAACTAAAGTCATTGAGAAACCGGAAGAGGAAGTTCTAACCGATGAAATCATTGAAGATATGCCTGTCGAAGAGTTTGTTACTCCATCAGAAGCGGAATCAGTAAGAGAACAGGTTACTGTTACTGAGGAAGTTACAAAACAAGGCAAACCTCGCAAAGTAACAAAAAAGAAAATCATCAGACGCAAGGGTAAGAAGCAACAAGTAACAGAAACAGTCACTGTTGAAGAGGAAGGCAAGGCACCTGTAACAAAAGTCATTGAGAAACCGGAAGAGGAAGTTCTAACTGAAGAGATCATTGAAGATATGCCTGTCGAAGAGTTTGTTACTCCATCAGAAGTGGAATCAGTGAGAGAACAGGTTACTGTTACTGAGGAAGTAACCAAACAAGGCAAACCTCGCAAAGTAACAAAGAGGAAAGTCATCAGACGCAAGGGTAAGAAGCAACAAGTAACAGAAACAGTCACTGTTGAAGAGGAAGGCAAGGCACCTGTAACTAAAGTCATTGAGAAACCGGAAGAGGAAGTTCTAACTGATGAAATCATTGAAGATATGCCTGTCGAAGAGTTTGTTACTCCATCAGAAGTGGAATCAGTAAGAGAACAGGTTACTGTTACTGAGGAAGTTACTAAACAAGGCAAACCTCGCAAAGTAACAAAGAAGAAGGTTATCAGACGTAAGGGTAAAAAGCAACAAGTAACAGAAACAGTAACTATTGAAGAGGAAGGCAAGGCACCTGTAACAAAAGTCATAGAGAAACCGGAAGAGGAAGTTCTAACTGATGAGATCATTGAAGGTATGCCAGTCGAAGAGTTTGTTACTCCATCAGAAGTGGAATCAGTAAGAGAACAGGTTACTGTTACTGAGGAAGTTACAAAACAAGGCAAACCTCGCAAAGTAACAAAGAAGAAGGTTATCAGACGTAAGGGTAAAAAGCAACAAGTAACAGAAACAGTCACTGTTGAAGAGGAAGGCAAGGCACCTGTAACTAAAGTCATTGAGAAACCGGAAGAGGAAGTTCTAATTCATGAGATCATTGAAGAAATGCCTGTAGACGAGTATGTTACTCCATCAGAAGTGGAATCAGTAAGAGAACAGGTTACTGTTACTGAGGAAGTTACTAAACAAGGCAAACCTCGCAAAGTAACAAAGAAGAAGGTTATCAGACGTAAGGGTAAAAACCAAAAAGTAACAGAAACAGTCACTATTGAAGAGGAAGGCAAGGCACCTGTAACAAAAGTCATAGAGAAACCAGAAGAGGAAGTTCTAACTGATGAGATCATTGAAGACATGCCTGTAGACAAGTATGTTACTCCATCAGAAGTGGAATCAGTAAGAGAACAGGTTACTGTTACTGAGGAAGTTACTAAACAAGGCAAACCTCGCAAAGTAACAAAGAAGAAAGTCATCAGACGAAAGGGTAAAAACCAAAAAGTAACAGAAACAGTCACTATTGAAGAGGAAGGCAAGGCACCTGTAACAAAAGTCATAGAGAAACCGGAAGAGGAAGTTCTAACTGATGAGATCATTGAAGAAATGCCTGTAGACGAGTATGTTACTCCATCAGAAGTGGAATCAGTGAGAGAACAAGTTACTGTTACTGAGTATGTTACTAAACAAGGCAAACCTCGCAAAGTAACAAAGAAGAAAGTCATCAGACGTAAGGGTAAAAAGCAACAAGTAACAGAAACAGTCACTGTTGAAGAGGAAGGCAAGGCTCCAGTTACTGAGGTTATTGAGAAACCGGAAGAGGAAGTTCTAACTCATGAGATCATTGAAGATATGCCAGTCGAAGAGTTTGTTACTCCATCAGAAGTGGAATCAGTAAGAGAACAGGTTACTGTTACTGAGGAAGTTACAAAACAAGGCAAACCTCGCAAAGTAACAAAGAAGAAGGTTATCAGACGTAAGGGTAAAAAGCAACAAGTAACAGAAACAGTCACTGTTGAAGAGGAAGGCAAGGCACCTGTAACTAAAGTCATTGAGAAACCGGAAGAGGAAGTTCTAATTGATGAGATCATTGAAGAAATGCCTGTAGACGAGTATGTTACTCCATCAGAAGTGGAATCAGTGAGAGAACAAGTTACTGTTACTGAGGAAGTTACTAAACAAGGCAAACCTCGCAAAGTAACAAAGAAGAAAGTCATCAGACGAAAGGGTAAAAAGCAACAAGTAACAGAAACAGTCACTGTTGAAGAAGATGGCAAGGCACCTGTAACAAAAGTCATAGAGAAACCAGAAGAGGAAGTTCTAACTGATGAGATCATTGAAGACATGCCTGTAGACAAGTATGTTACTCCATCAGAAGTGGAATCAGTAAGAGAACAGGTTACTGTTACTGAGGAAGTTACTAAACAAGGCAAACCTCGCAAAGTAACAAAGAAGAAAGTCATCAGACGCAAGGGTAAGAAGCAACAAGTAACAGAAACAGTCACTGTTGAAGAGGAAGGCAAGGCACCTGTAACAAAAGTCATAGAGAAACCGGAAGAGGAAGTTCTAACTGATGAGATCATTGAAGAAATGCCTGTAGACGAGTATGTTACTCCATCAGAAGTGGAATCAGTGAGAGAACAAGTTACTGTTACTGAGTATGTTACTAAACAAGGCAAACCTCGCAAAGTAACAAAGAAGAAAGTCATCAGACGTAAGGGTAAAAAGCAACAAGTAACAGAAACAGTCACTGTTGAAGAGGAAGGCAAGGCTCCAGTTACTGAGGTTATTGAGAAACAAGAAGAGGATGTTCTACCTGTTGAGATCATTGAAGATATGCCTGTAGACGAGTATGTTACTCCATCAGAAGTGGAATCAGTGAGAGAACAAGTTACTGTTACTGAGGATGTTACTAAACAAGGCAAACCTCGCAAAGTAACAAAGAAGAAAGTCATCAGACGTAAGGGTAAAAAGCAACAAGTAACAGAAACAGTCACTGTTGAAGAGGAAGGCAAGGCACCTGTAACTAAAGTCATTGAGAAACCGGAAGAGGAAGTTCTAACTGATGAGATCATTGAGGAAATGCCTGTAGACGAGTATGTTACTCCATCAGAAGTGGAATCGGTGAGAGAACAGGTTACTGTTACTGAGGAAGTTACAAAACAAGGCAAACCTCGCAAAGTAACAAAGAAGAAGGTTATCAGACGTAAGGGTAAAAAGCAACAAGTAACAGAAACAGTCACTGTTGAAGAGGAAGGCAAGGCACCTGTAACTAAAGTCATTGAGAAACCGGAAGAGGAAGTTCTAACTGATGAGATCATTGAAGAAATGCCTGTAGACGAGTATGTTATTCCATCAGAAGTGGAATCAGTGAGAGAACAAGTTACTGTTACTGAGGATGTTACTAAACAAGGCAAACCTCGCAAAGTAACAAAGAAGAAAGTCATCAGACGTAAGGGTAAAAAGCAACAAGTAACAGAAACAGTCACTGTTGAAGAGGAAGGCAAGGCTCCAGTTACTGAGGTTATTGAGAAACCGGAAGAGGAAGTTCTAACTGATGAGATCATTGAAGATATGCCAGTCGAAGAATTTGTTACTCCATCAGAAGTGGAATCAGTAAGAGAACAGGTTACTGTTACTGAGGAAGTTACTAAACAAGGCAAACCTCGCAAAGTAACAAAAAAGAAAATCATCAGACGCAAGGGTAAGAAGCAACAAGTAACAGAAACAGTCACTGTTGAAGAGGAAGGCAAGGCACCTGTAACTAAAGTCATTGAGAAACCGGAACAGGAAGTTCTAACTGATGAGATCATTGAGGAAATGCCTGTAGACGAGTATGTTACTCCATCAGAAGTGGAATCGGTGAGAGAACAGGTTACTGTTACTGAGGAAGTTACAAAACAAGGCAAACCTCGCAAAGTAACAAAGAAGAAGGTTATCAGACGTAAGGGTAAAAAGCAACAAGTAACAGAAACAGTCACTGTTGAAGAGGAAGGCAAGGCACCTGTAACTAAAGTCATTGAGAATCCGGAAGAGGAAGTTCTAATTGATGAGATCATTGAAGATATGCCTGTCGATGAGTTTGTTACTCCATCAGAAGTGGAATCAGTGAGAGAACACGTTACTGTTACTGAGGATGTTACTAAACAAGGCAAACCTCGCAAAGTAACAAAGAAAAAAGTCATCAGACGTAAGGGTAAAAAGCAACAAGTAACAGAAACAGTCACTGTTGAAGAGGAAGGCAAGGCTCCAGTTACTGAGGTTATTGAGAAACCAGAAGAGGATGTTCTACCTGATGAGATCATTGAAGATATGCCTGTAGACGAGTATGTTACTCCATCAGAAGTGGAATCAGTGAGAGAACAGGTTACTGTTACTGAGGAAGTTACTAAACAAGGCAAACCTCGCAAAGTAACAAAGAAGAAAGTCATCAGACGTAAGGGTAAAAAGCAACAAGTAACGGAAACAGTCACTGTTGAAGAGGAAGGCAAGGCTCCAGTTACTGAGGTCATTGAGAAACCAGAAGAGGAAATTCCTACTGCGTTTGTGCGTGATATGCCTTTAGTGCCATTAAAAATTGTTCGAAATGAAATTAAACCTACCAGATTATCTTATTTACAACCAATTGAGGTACACTTTGCTGACGTTAAATTGAAGAAAACATTAGTTTCAAAGATAAAGCTGCCGAAAAAAACCAAAATGCCAAAGTTTAGGCTGAAAAGTCGAATTACTTTCATAAATGATTTTCCATCAGAATTGCAATTTTTAAAAATTACTTATTTGGATAAAAATCCTATTCAAACTGGAGAGCTTTCAAGAAATGCAGAGGAAGCTTTGGAAGTTTTAAGGAAGAAATACAAAAAATTAAAATTACCGAAGAAACATCTTACAGATTTAGAAAAATTAGATCAGGAATTTGAGGAATTAAAGAAAGTTCCCCTGGAGCAGATTGATGATAAATCAATTTATGAACGTCAACCTAAGAAACCCAAGGAGGAGGAGAAACCAAAAGAGAAAATAAAAATAGGCAAAGGTAAAGTTCCAGAGAAGGAGGAAGAACAACCAGAAGATGTAAAATTAAAGAAGATTCCCGAGAAGGTACCTGAAGAAGAAGAGATTACACCAAAGAAACCAAAACCAACAGAAACAACAGAAGACGTTCCTAAAAAGAAGAAATCAGAAAAGAAACCTAAACTTAAGCCGGAAGACTTCCAACCTACAGATTTTGAGAGACCAGAACTTGAAAAGTACGTTCCACCAGAAGAAGAAGTTCCAGAGAAACCGGAAGAGGAGAAACCTACCAAACCGTACAAACGACCAAAGAAAGAAAAACCAGAACAAGAAATAGACCAAGTTCCTATTGAAAAGGGAATACCAAAGCCACAAGAACCGGAAGAACAACCGGATGTTAAATTCAGAATTCCAGAAGGCAAAAAACCGGAAGAGATTCCAGAAGAAATTGCTCTGAAACCTTGGAAAAAAGATAAACCAGAGGAAGAAAAATCAACGGAAGATTCGCCTCTTCTTAAATTAAAACCATCTGATAAACAGTCTGAGGTTGATGAAGAAGAGATGAAAAAACTTAAACCAAAGAAAAGAATTAAAGAAAATAAATCTGTAGAGAAAGAAATTCCTAATAAAGATCTTGTAGAAGTTATTGATACTGTGACAACTGAAGATATACTTCCTGAGAAGAAGAAACGACGCTTTACCCGGAAAAAGATTGTAAGAACTCTAAATGGCGAAGTACCTGCTGTTTTTGAAGAAGTTACTGTAAGAGAAGAAGATATTGTTTCAAATGAAATTCATCTTATTGAAAAATTCGCTCCTGTTGTGGTTGAAGAGATACATGAAGAAGTTTTTATTTCCGATATAAATGTTCAAGATCAGAGTCCTAAAAAGATTCGAAAAAAGCGTGTTACTAAACATCGTGAAGGTAAAGCACATATTACGGAAACTGTAACTTTTGAAGAGGAAGGTAAAGAACCTGTAACTACTCTAACTGACGATTTTGAAGACACTACTCTATTACACAAAAAACCGAAACACATCACTTCAACACCACAAATCCATGGTGACAATGATATTCCAGAAGGTAAGCTCACACAGTCTAATAATTCTCTAATTTTCTACACTTTATACTTATCCAGTATCACATGTTATATACTAGTCATCAATAATTTTATTCAATTACTAAACAATCTATATACCTACAGATTTACATTATATAATTTCCTCTATCTTTACAATTCATTTGTTGAAATATTTGTTAATTTTCATGCCAGCAAAAGTAATAAATATAAAAAGTTTTTCTTTTTTTCATAAAATTTTATTTTTCAGATGTAACTGAGGAGAGGCGCGAAACAGTAAGTGTTCATTATAAACATTTATTAAGGTAATGTTAATGTTATAATTTAGATAATAATTATAAACTTAAATTTAACAGGAAATTGTCGAAGAAATTGTGACGAAGAAGATTAAGAAAAAATCACCTCGTAAAGGCCAAGAAGAAGTAACAGAAGAAATTGTAGAGGAACTAATAACTGAAACTCCCAAGAAATTTAAAGCAAAGCCATTGACTGAAGAACTTGATACTGTTGAAATAACCGAGATCGATGTCAGGAAAGTACCTGACCTTATTAAAGAAGAAGATGATACAGAAGGGGAAGAAATTATTCAAATAACTGAAACACCACAAAAAAGGATTGTTAAAAAGAAGAAAAGGCCGACAAAGAAAGGCGAGAAACCCAAAATTATTGAAGAAATAACAGAAACTCCAATAGAAGACACCGTCGTTATGGAGGAACAGGAAATCATTGAAATCATTGAAACACCGACAAAAAAAATAATTCGCAAGAAGAAAGCACAAATATCAGAAGATAATATTCCCGAGGAAACAATAGAAGAGATCGTTGTCGAGAAACCAACAAAAAAGAAAGCCAAGCAAGAAATTGATGAATTAGCAACAATCCAGATCACTGAAATCAACATTCAAAAATTACCAGATTTAATAGAAAAAGAAATTGTTAAAGAAGAAGAAGAAATCATAGAAATAATTGAAACTCCAGAAAAAAAGATTGTAAAGAAAAAGAAGAAACCGACAAAGAAAGGCGAAGAAACAAAAGTGATTGAAGAAATCACAGAAACACCAATTGAAGATGTCATCGTCATGGAGGAACAGGAAATAATTGAAATAATTGAAACACCTAGAAAGAAAATAATTAGAAAGAAAACAGCACAAATTTCAGAAGACAAGATCCCAGAAGAAATGATTCATGAGATAGTTATTGAAAAGCCAATAAAGAAGAAAGCAAAACCAAAAGTAGAGAAACTTGATGTAGCAAAAATAACAGAAATAGATGTCAAAAAACTACCTGACTTGATCGAGAAAGAAATTGTAACAGAAGAAGAAGAAATAATTGAAGTCATTGAAACTCCAGAAAAGAAAATTGTAAAGAAAAAGAAGAAACCAACAAAGAAGGGTGAAAAACCAGTGGTGACTGAAGAAATCACAGAAACACCAGTTGAAGATATCATTGTCATGGAGGAACAGGAAATTGTTGAAATTATTGAAACACCCACCAAGAAAATAATTCGAAAGAAGAAAGCACAAATAACAGATGACAAAATTCCCGAAGAGACAATTCAGGAAATTGTCATCGAGAAGCCAATAAAAAAGAAAGCTAAACCAAAAGTAGAGAAACTCGATGTAGCAAAAATAACAGAAATTGATGTCAAAAAACTACCTGACTTGATTAAGAAAGAAATTGTAACTGAAGAAGAAGAAGTAATCGAAATTATTCAAACTCCAGAAAAGAAGATAGTGAAGAAAAAGAAGAAGCCAACAAAGAAAGGTGAAAAAACAGAGGTAACTGAAGAGATCACAGAAACGCCAATTGAAGATGTCATCATCATGGAGGAACAGGAAATAGTCGAAATTGTTGAAACACCAACAAAGAAAATCGTTCGAAAGAAGAAGGCACAATTCTCAGAAGATAATATTCCAGAAGAATCGATTGAAGAAATTATCATTGATAAGCCATTGGAAAGGAAGGCGAAACCAAAAGTTGAAGAATTAGTTACTGTCGAAATTACAGAAGTTGATGTTAAAAAGTTGCCTGATCTAATTAAGAAAGAAATTGTAACGGAAGAAGAAGAAATCATAGAAGTAATTGAAACACCAGAAAAGAAGATTGTTAAAAAGAAGAAGAAACCAACAAAGAAGGGCGAAGAAACCAAGGTAATTGAAGAAGTAACAGAAACACCTATTGAAGATATCATTGTGATGGAGGAACAAGAAATTGTGGAAATAGTTGAAACACCGACAAAGAAGATCATTCGAAAGAAAAAAGCACGAATTACAGACGATAAAATTCCCGAAGAGACAATTCAGGAAATTGTCATCGAGAAGCCAATAAAGAAGAAAGCTAAACCAAAAGTAGAGAAACTTGATGTAGCAAAAATAACAGAAATAGATGTCAAAAAGCTACCTGACTTGATCGAGAAAGAAATTGTGACTGAAGAAGAAGAAGTAATTGAAGTGATTCAAACTCCAGAAAAGAAGATTGTAAAGAAAAAGAAGAAGCCATCAAAGAAAGGCGAAAAACCAGAGGTGACTGAAGAGATTACAGAAACACCAATTGAAGATGTCATAATTATGGAGGAACAGGAAATAGTCGAAATTGTTGAAACACCAACAAAGAAAATCATCCGAAAAAAGAAGGCTCAAATGACAGATGACAAAGTTCCTGAAGAAACAATCCAAGAGATTGTTATCGAGAAACCAAAGAAGAAGAAAGCCACACCTAAATTGGAGGAATTAGATACGGCTCAAATTATGGAAGTTAATATCAAGGAAGTTCCAGATTTAATCAAAAAAGAAGATGTAACAGAAGATGAGGAGATCATTCAAGTGATCGAGACACCTGAGAAACGAATAGTAAAGAAGAAAAAGAAACCAACTAAAAAAGGAGAAGATGAGAAGGTCATTGAAGAAATCATGGATACTCCAATTGAAGATACGATTAAAATGGTGGAACAGGAAATTGTCGAAATTATCGAAACGCCCACAAAGAAAGTTGTTAAGAAAAAGAAGAAGGTTCTGCCAACTGAAGATACTATTTCCGATGAAGTTATTGAAGTAATTGTAGTGGACAAACCATCTGAAAAAATTGCTCGTGCATTTGTCGATGAAAATGAAGCCGTCGAAATGTTTATTCCAAAAGACAGTGTAATAACTACGGAAATAATTCCAGAGCAAACAACTGAAGACATGCTTCAGGAAGATACGCAAATTCAGGTGCCATTAGAAACAACAACTGATCAACCTGAGAAAGTAAAAATAACAGGTATTCTTGTTCAAGATTCGAAAAAGCGAAAGGTGAAGAAGAAGGTTACCATCGAGGAACGTCCACAAGAGAAGGAAATCAGTCCAGAGAGACCAGAACAAATACTATCAGATGAGAAACCAGATGAATCCAAAAAGGTTCCTGAAGAACAACCTTCAGAAATGGTACCAGAAAAGAAGATAACAAAAAAGAAAAAGAAGAAACCATCTCCGAAAAAAAATGAAATTGAAGAATGGATTGAACCAGAATATGAAAGGCCCGTTCTCGAACCAATACCAGAGAAAGTACCATTTGTGCCAAGTAAAAAGAGGAAAGAAAAATTAGAAGCACCTCAAAAAGCAGAGCAAATGGTTCCAATGGAAATTGAAAGAAAAGAAATCAAGCCCACAAAGTTGATTTATTCGAAGCCAACTGAAGTTGTACATTTTGCAGAAATTAAATTAAAAAAGGTTTCAATTCCAAAACGACGAGAATCCAAGAGCAAGATACCCCAGATACGACTGAAGAGTCGTATTACCTTCATAGATGATTATCCTCCAAAAATTCAATTACCGCAAATAACAGTCTTGGAGGAAAATCCAATCCAAGCAGGAGAGCTTTCAAGAAATGCAGAGGAAGCTTTAGAAGTTCTGAAAAAGAAATACAAAAAACCAAAATTACCAAAGAAACAGCTTACGGATTTGGAAAAATTAGATCAGGAATTTGAAGAATTAAAGAAAGTTCCTTTGGAGCAGATTGAAGATAAATCAATTTATGAACGTCAACCTAAGAAACCCAAGGAGGAGGAGAAACCAAAAGAGAAAATAAAAATAGGCAAAGGTAAAGTTCCAGAGAAGGAAGAAGAACAACCAGAAGATGTAAAACTAAAGAAGATTCCCGAGAAGGTACCTGAAGAAGAAGAGATTACACCAAAGAAACCAAAACCAACAGAAACAACAGAAGACGTTCCTAAAAAGAAGAAATCAGAAAAGAAGCCTAAACTTAAGCCGGAAGACTTCCAACCTACAGATTTTGAGAGACCAGAACTTGAACAGTACGTTCCACCAGAAGAAGAAGTTCCACAGAAACCGGAAGAGGAGAAACCTACCAAACCCTACAAACGAACAAAGAAAGAAAAACCAGAACAAGAAATAGATCAAGTTCCGATTGAAAAGGGAATACCAAAGCCACAAGAACCGGAAGAACAACCCGATGTTAAATTCAGAATTCCAGAAGCCAAAAAACCGGAAGAGATTCCTGAAGAAATTACTCTGAAACCTTGGAAAAAAGATAAACCAGAGGAAGAAAAATCGGCGGAAGCAACACCGGAGCTTAAGTTTATTCCAGAGGACAAACAACCTGAAGAAGAAGTCGATGAAGAAACGAAGAAACCTAAAACTAAAAAGAAGATACCAAAAGAAAAGAAAGTCAAACCAAAAGGTGCTGAAGAAGAAATACCCACTGAGAAAGATGCCATTGCTGAAGAGTTACAGGAAGTTGAAGAAGTGACTGAAGATGTGATTCTCACTAAACCAGTTAAATCCAAAGGCAAAAAGAAGATAATTCCGAAGGAAAATCTTGAGACAACTGAAGTTGTTCCAGATGAAACTATAGATCAATTACCAGAAGAGGAAGTACCGTCTGAGGAGCAAGCAAAACCGATTGAAGAAGAAAAAGAAGATAAATTAGTTATAACGGAAACACCAACAGAAAAGGCTCCGAAGAAAAAGAAGAAGAAAGTTCCAACAGAAGTACCAGAAGATATTGAGAAACCAACAGAAGTTACTTCTGAAGAAACTCCTGAAGAGAAAGTTACAGAGATTGATGATTCAACAAAAGAAGAACAGGAAGTAACTGATATCCTAATAGAAAAGGTTCCAAAGAAGAAAAAGAAGAAAATTACTACTGATAAAGTACCAACAACTGAAGATGTTGAGATACCTTCAGAAGTTGCTCCTGAAGAATCAACAGAGGAGAAAGTTCCTGATGTCTTACCTATGGATGAACAAGAAAATACTGAAAAAGTTCCTGAAGACAAGCCGTCTGATGAAGTTCCAGAAAAGAAAGTACCTAAAAAGAAGAAGAAAAAGACCGTTACAAAGAAAGATGATATTTACGATTGGGTTGAACCAGAATATGAGAGACCAGTCTTAGAAGCAATGCCCGAGAAAATTGATTTTGTGCCTAGCAAAAAGAAGAAAGAAAGCAAACTTGTTCCTCAAACAGCAGAAAAGTTAACACCAACGAAAATCGAGAGAAAGGAAATTAAACCCACTAAACTAATTTACTCACAACCTTCAGAAGTAGTTCAATTTGCTGAAATTAAACTAAAGAAAGCTCCAGCTCCAAAACGACGGGAGTCCAAGAGTGTGAAAGTTCCACAAATAAGACTAAAAAGTCGCATCACTCATATAGACGATTATCCATCAAAACTTCAGTACCCAACAATTACAATTCTAGAAGAAAATCCAATCCAAGCAGGAGAGCTTTCAAGAAATGCAGAAGAAGCTTTAGAAGTTCTGAAGAAGAAATACAAAAAGCCAAAATTACCAAAGAAACAGCTTACAGATTTGGAAAAATTAGATCAGGAATTTGAGGAATTAAAGAAAGTTCCCCTGGAGCAGATTGAAGATAAATCAATTTATGAACGTCAACCTAAGAAACCCAAGGAGGAGGAGAAACCTAAAGAGAAAATAAAAATAGGCAAAGGTAAAGTTCCAGAAAAGGAGGAAGAACAACCGGAAGATATACAACTAAAGAAGATTCCCGAGAAGGTACCTGAAGAAGAAGAGATAACACCAAAGAAACCGAAACCAACAGAAACAACAGAAGACGTTCCTAAAAAGAAGAAATCAGAAAAGAAACCTAAACTTAAGCCGGAAGACTTCCAACCTACAGATTTTGAGAGACCAGAACTTGAAAAGTACGTTCCACCAGAAGAAGAAGTTCCAGACAAACCGGAAGAAGAGAAACCTACTAAACCCTATAAGCGACCAAAGAAGGAAAAACCAGAACAAGAAATAGACCAAGTTCCAATTGAAAAGGGAATACCAAAGCCTCAAGAACCTGAAGAACAACCGGATGTTAAATTCAGAATTCCAGAAGGCAAAAAACCAGAAGAGATTCCTGAAGAAATTACTCTGAAACCTTGGAAAAAAGATAAGCCAGAGGAAGAAAAATCGGCGGAAGCAACACCGGAGCTCAAGTTTATTCCAGAGGACAAACAACCTGAAGAAGAAGTCGATGAAGAAACGAAGAAACCTAAAACTAAAAAGAAGATACCAAAAGAAAAGAAAGTCAAACCAAAAGGTGCTGAAGAAGAAATACCCACTGAGAAAGATGCCATTACTGAAGAGATACAAGAAGTTGAAGAAGTGACTGAAGACGTCGTTCTAACTAAACCAGAAAAATCCAAAGGCAAAAAGATGATAATTCCAAAGGAAAATCTTGAGACAACTGAAGTTGTTCCAGGTGAAACTATAGATCAACTACCAGAGGAGGAAGTACCGTCTGAGGAGCAAGCAAAACCGATTGAAGAAGAAAAAGAAGATAAATTGGTTATAACGGAAACACCAACAGAAAAGGCTCCAAAGAAAAAGAAGAAGAAAGTACCAACAGAAGTACCTGAAAATGTAAAACAAGAGGATTTAAATGAAGAACAAATTACTCCCTCAGAAATTGTTCCTAAAGAAATACCAGATGAAAAAATTCCCGAAGAAGTAGTTGAACAAGAAATTGTGCAAATTCCGGAAGAACAACCTGTAGAGGAAGTGCCAGAGAAGAAGGAACCAAAGAAGAAGAAAAAGAAACCAGTTTCAAAGAAAGATGATATTTACGATTGGGTTGAACCAGAATATGAGAGGCCAGTCTTAGAAGCAATGCCCGAGAAAATTGATTTTGTGCCCAGCAAAAAGAGGAAAGAAAGCAAACTTGTTCCTCAAACAGCAGAAAAGTTAATACCAACGAAAATCGAAAGAAAGGAAATAAAACCTACAAAATTAATTTTCTCTCAACCTTCAGAAGTTGTTCAATTCGCAGAAATAAAATTAAAGAAAGCTCCTGCACCGAAACGTCGTGAATCCAAGAGTTCAAAAGTACCAAAAATACTCCTAAAGAGTCGCATTACATTTATCGATGATTACCCTTCGAAACTTCAGTTACCTAAAATTACAATTCTAGAAGAAAATCCCATTCAAGGTGGAGAGCTTTCAAGAAATGCAGAGGAAGCTTTAGAAGTTCTAAAGAAGAAATACAAAAAACCAAAATTACCAAAGAAACAGCTTACGGATTTGGAAAAATTAGATCAAGAATTTGAGGAATTAAAGAAAGTTCCCCTGGAGCAGATTGAAGATAAATCAATTTATGAACGTCAACCTAAGAAACCCAAGGAGGAGGAGAAACCAAAAGAGAAAATAAAAATAGGCAAAGGTAAAGTTCCAGAGAAGGAGGAAGAACAACCAGAAGATATAAAACTAAAGAAGATTCCCGAGAAGGTACCTGAAGAAGAAGAAACTACTCCAAAGAAACCAAAACCTTCAGTTCCTGAAGAAGATATTCCGAAAAAGAAGAAATCCGAAAAGAAGCCAAAGATTAAGCCAGAGGATTTCCAGCCAACAGATTTTGAGAGACCAGAACTTGAGAAGTATGTTCCTCCAGAAGAAGAAATCCCTGAGAAGCCAGAAGAAGAAAAAGTTCCACAACCTTATGAGAAGCCTATGAAACAAAAGCCTGAACAAGAATTAGATCAGGTTCCTATTGTTAAGGGTAAACCTAAACCTCAGGAACCAGAAGAGTTACCCGATGTTAAATTTCGAATTCCTGTTGGTAACAAACCAGAAGAAACTCCTGATGAAATTACTCTAAAGCCCTGGAAAAAAGAGCAGCCAGAAGATGACAAATCAACAGACGAATCACCAGAACTCAAATTCAAACCTGAGGATAAACAGCTTGATGAAGTTGTTGAAGAAGATATCAGCAAGCCGAAGTCAAAGAAGAAAGTTCCTAAAGAAAAGAAAGTTAAACCAAAAGAAAAAATCGAAGAGGTTCTTCCTGTTGAAAAAGAAGATGTACCGGTATCTAAAGAACAACCTAAAGAAGTTCCAAGTACTGATGAAGTTTCAAAGGTTGATGATGTTCCAAAACTAGATGAAGTTCCAAAATCAGAAGAAATTCCAAAGCCTGAAGAAGTTCCAAAGATTGAAGATGTTCCTAAACCATTAGATGTGGAAGAAACTAAAACAACTGAAGAAATAACAGAAACAAAAGTAATTAAAAAGAAGAAAAAGAAGCCAGCACCTAAGAAAGATGATATTTTAGACTGGGTTGAACCCGAATATGAAAGACCAGTCTTGGAGGCTATGCCCGAGAAAATTGCTTTTGTGCCTAGTAAAAAGAAAAAGAAAGAAGATAAACCTGTTCCTCAAATATCAGAAAAGTTAATACCAACGAAAATCGAAAGAAAGGAAATAAAACCTACAAAATTAATTTTCTCTCAACCTTCAGATGTTGTTCAATTTGCAGAAATAAAATTAAAGAAAGCTCCTGCACCAAAACGCCGTGAATCCAAGAGTTCAAAAGTACCGAAAATACTCCTAAAGAGTCGCATTACATTTATTGATGATTACCCTTCAAAACTACAGTTACCTAAAATTACAATTCTGGAAGAAAATCCTGTTCAAGCTGGTGAACTATCAAGAAATGCAGAGGAAGCTTTAGAAGTTTTAAGGAAAAAATACAAGAAACCCAAATTACCCAAGAAAGAGTTGACCGATTTAGAGAAATTGGATCAAGAATTTGAAGAATTGAAAAAGGTTCCCTTGGAGCAAATTGAAGATAAATCTATTTACGAACGTCAGCCTAAGAAACCCAAAGAAGAAGAGAAACCAAAGGAGAAAATAAAAGTAGGCAAAGGAAAAGTTCCTGAAAAAGAAGAAGAACAACCGCAAGATGTAAAACTGAAGAAGATTCCAGAAAAGATGCCAGAAGAAGAAGAAACAACTCCAAAGAAACCAAAGCCCTCTGTTCCTGAGGAAGATGTTCCTAAAAAGAAGAAATCGGAAAAGAAGCCGAAACTTCAACCAGAAGACTTCCAACCTACCGATTTTGAGAGTCCAGAACTTGAAAAATATGTCCCACCAGAAGAAGAAATACCAGAGAAACCAGAAGAAGAGAAACCTTCTAAACCTTATAAGCGGCCGAAGAAAGAAAAACCTGAGCAGGAAATTGAGAAAGTTCCCATTGAAAAAGGAAAACCAAAGCCTGATGAACCAGAAGAGCAACCGGACGTCAAATTCCGAATTCCCACCTCGGAGAAACCGGAAGAACAACCGGACACTATTACTCTTAAGGGATGGAAGAAAGATAAACCAGAAGAAGAAGGAACAGATTTCTTCCCTAAAAAATCGGAAGACATAGTTGAAAAAGAAGTTGAGGAAACAGAGGAAGTGACAGTTACACGCAAACTTAAGAAAAAGAAACCTAAAGATAAACCCAAAACTGATGAAGTTACAGAAGAAGTAATAATTAAGAAACCCCAAGAAGATGAGGAAGTAATTGAAGAAATAATAGAAGAAGAAGTAACAGTAAAGAGGAAACCAAAGAAAGTCAAACCTGAAGAACAGACTGAAGAAGTGTTGGTTAAAAAACCACTTCCTGACGAAGAAAAACCAGAAGAAGTAACTGAAGATGTAAAATTGGAACTAAAACCCAAACCAAAACCAGCAGTAGATGAAGCTCCGGATGAAATTACGATTAAGAAACCAATTGTTGAAGAAAAAGAAATAATAGAAGAAGAAATTATTGAAGAAGTCAAAATAAAGAAGAAGCCAAAGAAAAAGAAGCCTGAGGAAGTTCCAGAGGAAGTCACTGATGAAATAACAATCAAGAAACCTTTGCCAGAAAAGGAGGAAGAAAAGCCAGAAGAGGTCACGGAAGATGTTAAATTGGAAATGAAACCCAAACCAAAACCAGTAATAGATGAAGCTCCTGATGAAATTACGATTAAGAAACCAGTTGTAGAAGAGAAAGAAGTTATAGAGGAGGAAGTTATTGAGGAAGTTAAAATAAAGAAAAAGCCAAAGAAAAAGAAGCCTGAGGAAGTTCCAGAGGAAATCACTGATGAAATAACAATAAAGAAACCTTCACCAGAAAAAGTGGAAGACAAACCAGAAGAAGTAACTGAAGATGTAAAATTAGAAATGAAACCGAAACCCAAGCCTGTAGTTGATGAAGCTGCAGAAGAAATAACTATCAAACAACCAGTTGTCGAGGAGAAAGAAGTTATAGAGGAAGAAATTGTTGAAGAAGTCAAAATTAAAAAGAAACCAAAGAAGAAACCAGAAGAAGTTACCGAAGAAATATCTGAGGAGATCACAGTCAAGAAACCTTTGCCAGAAAAAGTGGAAGAAAAGCCAGAAGAGGTTACTGAAGATGTTAAATTAGAAATGAAACCCAAACCAAAACCAGTAATAGATGAAGCTCCTGATGAAATTACAATTAAGAAACCAATTGTCGAAGAAAAGGAAGTTATAGAGGAGGAAGTTATTGAGGAAGTTAAAATAAAGAAAAAGAAAAAGAAGCCTGAGGAAGTTCCAGATGAAGTCACTGATGAAATAACAATAAAGAAACCTTCACCAGAAAAAGTGGAAGACAAACCAGAAGAAGTAACTGAAGATGTTAAATTAGAATTGAAACCCAAAACTAAACCTGTTATTGATGAAGCGGCTGAAGAGATTACAATCAAAAAACCAATTGTTGAAGAAAAGGAAGTAGTCGAAGAAGAAATTGTTGAGGAAGTTAAAATAAAGAAGAAACCGAAGAAGAAGCCTGAGGAAAAAACAGAAGATGTTACTGAAGAAATAATTATCAAGAAACCCTCTCCAGAAAAAGTGGAAGAAAAACCCGAAGAGGTTTCAGAAGATGTTAAATTAGAGTTGAAACCGAAACCCAAGCCTGTAATTGATGAAGCTGCAGATGAAATAACAGTTAAAAAGCCTGTAGTCGAAGAGAAAGAAGTTATCGAAGAAACAGTGGTTGAAGAAGTTACAATAAAAAAGAAGCCAAAGAAAACTAAACCCAAGGAAGTTACTGAAGATATAACTGAGGAAATCACCTTCAAGAAACCTTCTCCTGACAAGGTAGATGAAGACAAGCCAGAGGAAGTTTCTGAAGAAGTCAAGCTTAAGAAAAAACCGAAAAAGAAACCAGTAACTGAAGAAGCAGCTGAGGAGTTGACAATTAAGAAACCCGTGATTGAAGAGACAACTGAAGTAGTTGAAACAGTTGAAGAGGAAGTGAAGATAAAGAAGAAACCAAAGAAACAGCCTGAAGATATAACCGAAGAAGTGACAATTAAGAAACCAGTTCCAGAGAAAGAGGAAGAGAAGCAAGAGGAGGTTTCTGAAGAAATTCAACTTAAGAAGAAACCAAAACCGAAACCTATTGTTGATGAAGCAGCTGAAGAATTAACAATCAAGAAACCTGTCGTTGAAGAAAAAACAGAAGAGGAAGTGGTAGAGGAAGTAACATTAAAGAAAAAACCAAAGAAACCTAAACCTGAAGAGAAAACTGAAGAAGTCACTGAAGAAATTACTTTCAAGAAGCCTAAGCCCGAAGAACAAAAAGAAGAGAAGCCAGAAGAAGTTTCTGAAGAAGTTAAACTCAAGAAGAAACCAAAACCAAAGCCGGTGATTGATGAAGCTGCTGAAGAGTTAACAATCAAAAAACCTGTCGTTGAAGAAAAAACAGAAGAGGAAGTGGTAGAGGAAGTCACACTAAAGAAAAAGTCAAAGAAACCGAAACCAGAAGTGAAAACTGAAGATGTCACTGAAGAAATTACCTTCAAGAAGCCTAAGCCCGAAGAACAAAAAGAAGAGAAGCCAGAAGAAGTTTCTGAAGAAGTTAAGCTTAAGAAAAAACCGAAACCAAAAGTGGTGATTGATGAAGCAGCTGAAGAATTAACAATCAAGAAACCGGTTGTGGAAGAAAAAACAGAAGAGGAAGTGGTAGAGGAAGTAACATTAAAGAAAAAGCCTAAGAAACCAAAACCAGAAGTGAAAACTGAAGAAGTCACTGAAGAAATTACCTTCAAGAAGCCTAAGCCCGAAGAACAAAAAGAAGAGAAGCCAGAAGAAGTTACTGAAGAAGTTAAACTCAAGAAGAAACCAAAACCAAAGTCTACTGTTGATGAAGCAGCTGAAGAATTAACAATCAAGAAACCTGTTGTTGAAGAAAAAACAGAAGATGAAGTGGTAGAGGAAGTAACATTAAAGAAAAAGCCTAAGAAACCGAAACCAGAAGTGAAAACTGAAGATGTCACCGAAGAAATTACCTTCAAGAAGCCTAAGCCCGAAGAACAAAAAGAAGAGAAGCCAGAAGAAGTTTCCGAAGAAGTTAAACTCAAGAAGAAACCAAAACCGAAGCCTACTGTTGATGAAGCAGCTGAAGAATTAACGATTAAGAAAATAGTTGATGTCACTGAAGAACAAGAAACCGTTGGAGAGTTTACCTTTAAACGAAAACCACCACCTAAAACAGCTCCCAAACCAATTGAAGAAATTTATGAAGACGTTACAATTCGCAAACTTAGACCAAAGAAAAAACCACGTACCGACATTAAAGAAGTTACCGAAACTGAAACTGTGACCTTTAGGCCACGAACAACAAAAACAAAAGAAGATGTCGAACAGGAATTCAAGATCTCTTTAAATACTTATGAAGAAGAAGATATTTCCATGTCTGGCAAAGTGCGACTTAAGCCAAAGAGACGTCCTCAAACTTATTCAGAAGAAGCTGGCGAAGAGACAATACGTATTATGCAAGAATTGGAAGATGATTCAGGTCCAATAATTGAAGAAATCATCGATGAATCTGATAAAGATGAATACAGTATTGATGAATTGGAAACCGACGAGATGAATCTACCATTGAGACGAAAGAAGAAAACTGAACCGAAACCCTATTCAATTGAAGAAATAGAAGAAGATGATGTGAAAATGACATTGAAACGTGAGAGAAAATATTCAATTGAAGAAGCTGATGAATCCTTAGCTTTGAAATTGAAGTCCAAACGACGTCCTTCAACCTACGATGAAGGTTCGATATTTCTACATTTTTTTTATTGCCTATTAATTATCAGCTTTTAACATTGCTTTCAGATTTATCTATGAGGAATCCTAATAATTTCTGCTGTTAAATTTAATTATTTTTTAGTTTCAACAAAAACAAGTGAGTACATTGCTTCCTAACAAATTCCTCTATTTTAGACGTTAAAAAGAATTAATTATTTTTGCCTTAGCTGCGAAATGAAAAGCATATCGGTGTAAGCAATAAATAGAAGCTAACAATTGTTTTATAATTTTAATATTTTGATGTTATCTGTTCGCAGAAGAAGCTACACTCAGCATTACCCGAGAGGAAGATATCGTGGAAGAAGGTAGAGTTTTATTTTTTTAATGACTTTTGTCTTAATTGGAACCAATTTTTATATTTCACGGGTATTAATTGCTGGTTCTTTTTTTTATGATTTGTTTTGTACTTTAATTACAGAAGTCGAATACGTAATTCAAGATGGTGACACGTTATTTTCAATTTGTTCATACGTGGCAGAAACAGATGAAGCTATTAATTTAGTTGAAGGAGAACGTGTTTATTTAATTGGTATTTTGATTAATTAATAAGATAAATGAGAAAATATTTAAAGGATTTTAAATAATTTTAATTTACTTTTAGAACATACAAACGCCGATTGGTGGTTCGTCAAGAAGCACTTAACACAAGAAAAGGGTTGGGTACCAGCTCAATATTTGCTTGATGAAGCTAATTACACACTATATGTTCAAAGGAAATTAAATGAGAAGATTGATAAACTTCCAGTTTTTGAAAGTGCGTTAATAATAATTTTTTTTAAATCAATTTTTAATATTGAAAATGCTAAAGAAGAGAGATGAATATTTCTTTAATTTGCAGAACCAGCTCCAGGGGAAAAAGCTTCTGCTCCACGCTTCATTGAGAAATTACAACCAATTCATACACCCGATGGCTATACTGTTCAATTTGAATGTCAGGTAGAGGGTTCACCAAGACCTCAAATTACCTGGTTCCGACAAACAGCAATTATCAAACCATCTCAGGATTTCCAAATGTTCTACGATGAAGATAACGTTGCAACACTTATAATTAGAGAAGTTTTTCCTGAAGATGCAGGAATGTTTACATGTGTTGCTAAAAATACAGCTGGATTTGCCTCAAGTACAACGGAATTAATTGTTGAAGCACCATTATCAGATCATGGTTCCGATGGCACTGGACTTTCTAGAAAGAGTTTGTCAAGGTATTTTTTTAATCTCTTTTAATTTTAATTATATTCTTTAATTTTAAATACTAATTTAATATTTTACAGAGAATCTTCACTTGCTGATATTCTAGAGGGAATTCCACCTACATTCTCAAGAAAACCCAAGGCCAAATGCGTTGACGAAGGTCAAAATGTGATTCTTGATTGTCGTTTGGTTGCAGTACCAGAACCGGAAATAACATGGTTTTATGAAGATAAACGAATCACAAGCAAGGAGAATACAGTGATTGTTACTGAGAGTGACATGCACATGTATTGCAGTGTTATGAAGATCACCAAAGTTCAAAAGAATCAAGAAGGTCGCTATAAAATTGTCGCCAAAAATAGAGAAGGTGAAGCAACCATTGAAATTCCATTGAAGGTCATGACCGGTGAACAAGAACCGCCGGAAATTTTGGAACCATTGAAGCCATTTGCAATTAGAGAAGGTGAAACTGTTGTTCTTACAACACAAATTGTTGGTAAACCAACTCCAAAGATCAAATGGTTGAAAAATGGAAAACCATTGAAGGGTATCACACCAAAACAAGATGGTGATGTGAATACATTAACTTTAATTCAACCCACTTTATCTGATTCTGGTGAATATTCAGTGGTTGCAACCAATGATCTTGGAACTGCTGAAACACGCGCTAATCTCACAGTTGAAGGTGAGTTAAAACTAACTGTTATTCGGATAATTATGCAAAATTCTTTAATGATAAAACTTTCGCTATAATTATTGTAGCTGCTGTTGTTCTTGAAGCTGCACTTGCTTTAGCTGTAGAATTAGCAAAAGGTTACGCTCTGCCTGCACAACAAAAGGGTAGGGACATGCTTTTAATGCTTCTGCTTTTGCTTCTTTGTTTATAATGATTAATTAATCTTTTAATATTTTTAATTTATTTTCCAAAAATTTTAACAGAAATGCCGAGTGGTGCACCGGAACCACCATTATTCACTGAACGTTTCCAGGAGGTTACAGTTCCAGAAAAAGGAACCTTCAAATTGGTGGCTAAAGTTACTGGAAATCCAGTTCCTATGGTGTCGTGGTTAAGGTGGGTTTAAAATTTTTTTATCAAATTAATTTACAAATAAATTTTGATATTACCAATTTAAATTCAAAGTAAAATAATGAAATATTTTTTTCTTTAGAAACAATAAACCATTGGAGAAATCGCCAAATATTACTGAAAGCTACGATGGAGAGAATATTGCATTGGAAATAAAAAATGCCGATTCGGAAATTGATTCCGGTGATTATAAATGTGTAGCTGTTAATCCAGTTGGAAAAGCATCACATGGAGCAAAGGTGACTGTGGACGTGGATAAAGTGACATTCACAAAGAAATTAGAAAAGAAGATCACTGTTGTTGAATATAAACCACTGGAATTGACATGCGAAACATCACATACAGTTTCAACAACTTGGTGGCATAATGACAAAGAAATCAGTGGTATGGATCATCGTGAAATAATTCAAGAAGGACGTACACATAGATTAGTCATCAAAAAATCAAGTCCACCTGATGAAGGAACATACAAATGCACTGTCAAGAATCAAAAAACAACTTGTGATGTCACTGTTAAAGGTAGTTGATTTTTTTAATATCAAAAATTTTTCGAAAGTATTATTAATTACTAATTAATTACTTTTAATTTTCAATTAGCTACAAAACCCGAATTTGTGAAAAAATTACAAGATTCAGAAGTCAAGGAACGTGAAGTTGCAATATTGGAAGTGGAAATCACATCACAAACTGCAGATGTATCCTGGCGTAAGGATGGAGTTCCTCTAAAACCAACGGAAGAGAAAATTGAATTTTGCAAGGAAGGTACAGTTCGAAAATTACTTATCAGAAGTACATCAGTCCATGACGAGGGTGAATACACTTGTGCTCTTGTTGATGATGAATGTTCAGCAGAAGTCACTGTTGTTGGTGGGTTATTTATTCAACTAATTTTTACATTTTTTTTCATCATTTCTTATAACTTTAATTCTTCTTTTTAGAATTACCACCGGAGATTATAAACAAAATGCAAGATGTTAGAATAGCAAAGGGTGAGAAAGCAACATTTGAAATTGAACTTACAAAAGGTGATGCTCTTGTTAAATGGTTCAAGAATGGTGAAGAACTCAAATTCTCCGAACATGTTCAACTCTCCATTGATGGCAAGAGGCAGAAACTTAAAATATACAATTCCGAATTAGAAGATGCTGGTGTTTATTCTTGTGAAGTTGGCAAACAAACCTCGTCAGCAAAATTAATTGTTGAAGAGCCACAAGTTGATTTCATCACAAGATTGCCGGATGTAACTTTGGTACCATTGAACACTGATGCTATATTCACGGTCAAACTTTCAAGACCAGATGTTCCTGTACAGTGGTTCAAGTGAGTAGAAATTATACTGATCAAGATGATAAAAATTAGATAATTTTAACTTAACTCATTAAATCTTTTTGCAGGAAAGGAAAAGAAATTAAAGAATCTCCAAAGTACATTATTGTTGATGAAGGTCCAATTAAGAAACTTATTGTTAAGAAATGTACAATTGAAGATGCATACGAGTACAGCGTCGTTGCAATGAATGTGAAATCATCTTCAAAATTAAAAGTCGAAAGTAAGTATCATTTAATCATTTTATTTCCAATTCCTAAATTAATCTGATCTTTCGAATTTTCTTATTTTAAAATTATTTTTTTTTTCCCCACAGTAATTGAAACGCCACCGAAAATAAATATGGACTGTCCAAAAATTTATAAAGTGAAGAAAGGTGAAGATGTGGATATTCATGTAAAATTCTCAGCATCACCAATGCCAACAGACGAGTGGACCGTTAACGAAAGAATTGTATCGAAAACAAAACGAATCATTCCCAATATACAAGAAGAATCGGCAACATTGACAATCAAGAAAATTGAAGAAAAAGATATTGGTGATTACACATTGAAACTTGTCAATTCTCATGGTGAAGCTCAAGTCAATATTAAAGTCGTCATTGTCCGTATGTATTTTAATTTAATTAAATAAATTATAAAATTGTAGAAAAAGAAAGAAGTATAATGGATATTTTTATTTAAATAGAAGTACCAAGTCCACCTGGAAAACCAGAACCTTCTGAAGTTACTGATGATTCAGTGACACTTCATTGGAAAGAACCGGAATCAGATGGAAATTCACCGATTATAGAATATATTTTGGAATATCATGATAGAGAAGAGATTTCGTATGTATTCGATAATAATTTTCAAATAAAAATGAAAAATTTTTATTAAATTTTTATTCTTTTACAGTTGGACGAATATTACGGAAAAGATCACCGAAACATCGCAGAAAGTAACGCAATTAACGACTAATAAAGAATATATATTCCGAGTAAAAGCAGTGAATGAAGTGGGTCCAAGTGAAGCTTCACCAAATTCAGAATATATCAAAGTGACAAAACCAACGGCTTCTGAATCGCCAACAATATTGGAACCACTGAAGAGTATTGTCACTGGATTAAAGAAAACAGTTTCCCTTTCCTGTGTCATTGGTGGAACTCCAATTCCACAAGTCTCATGGTTTGTATTATACTTAATTTTTTTCCAAATTCCAATTCTCATAATATATTGATGATAATAATTTTGATGCAGGTTCAAAGATAGTAGTCCATTTAAAAACAAAAATATCACGTATGAAAATCGCGTTGCCAAGTATACCATTGAAGAAACCACGGAGACATCATCAGCAACGTTTACTGTGAAGGCGGAAAATGAAGCTGGAACAGCGGAAACAACTTGTGAATTGAAGATTCAAGAACCGCCGACAATAACAGTTGATGAGGCTCTTGTAACACAGAAGATCAACGCCCAGGGTCAATGGAAAATTGAAGCTATCTCAACAGGATTCCCAAAACCAGATATCAAATGGACGAGAAATAAGAAAACAATTGAAGATAAACGAATTTCAATTTACACTGATGAGACATCGTCAACAATTGCAATTTATTCATTAATAAGAGAAGATTCTGGAACTTATACAGTTAAAGCTGAAAATAAAGCTGGAAGTGCTTGGGTTGAGATCAATTTAAAAGTTATTGGTGAGCTAAATTATTATTTAGAATATTATTAATTAAGAATTTAATATTTGATTTTCATTTATTTTATTTAAAATTAATTTTATTATAAATTTAGAAATTTAATTTTTCTTTGAATGTTGAATAGATAAACCAGGAAAGCCTCAAGGACCAATTGTCGTGAAACAAATTCAACCGGATCGAGTCATGCTTGATTGGAAACCACCGACAGACACAGGGGGACTTGATCTTAATAATTACACGATAGAAAAATGTGATCCAAATAAAAAAGTTTGGATGAAGGTTGCTGATGTTGATCCGGACACAACGAGTTTTTGCGTTGAGAAATTGCAACCAGAAACGGATTATCTCTTTAGAATTATTGCGAGAAATGATGTTGGATCATCAGAACCTTTGGAATCTGAACCTATAAAATTAACATCTTCATTAGGTAAGACATCATTTTTTCCAGTACCTTCATTTTCTTTACGATCATCATCAGTTGTGAAATAATTTTTTTCATTTTTGAACTCGAATTGAACTTTATTAATTTTAGATAAACCTGGAGCACCAAGGGGACCGCTAGAAATTTCTGGAATGACAAAAACATCATTTACGATATCATGGCAACCACCGGAATACGATGGAGGAACACCAATTATTGAATATATTGTTGATATGAAAGAAACTTCAAAAACAACTTGGAAGAAGGTATTTAATTCATTGATAATAATTACAAATAATTAATAACAATGATCAATTAGCAATTATAGTTCATTAAAAATTAATAAATTTTATACAAATAATTTATTTTTCATTCGTAGATTGGCAATTCGCGAGAAGGAATCACACATTTCAGTTTATCTGATTTAAAGACTGATGTGAGTTACGATTTTCGAATATCGGCTAAAAATAAAATTGGTACAGGACCACCGTATATATCTGAAGAACCAATTGTTGCTGGAAAACGTCTCAGTAAGTAAATTTTTACAAAATTAACAATCATTTTTTTTTTCTTTCATAATTTTTCTTTCTTGAAAAATATTTGCTTATTTGATGTTGCTTTTACGCTTCTTCTTAGAAATAACCATGGTTAATGAAAGAACAATTTATGCATTGCTTGGCACTTTTCCCGCTGGTACTGCCGTAGTTTCTAAAAGTGAGTTTGCTGCCAATTTTATGCGATTAATCATTTTCAATTTCTTCATTAAAAAAAAAAAAAAATGAAAACATTTCTTAAAGAATACTTAGTAATATTTATTTATTTTTGAATAGCACCTCCATCGTGTCCGCTTAATGTAAGCGTGACAAACGTTACCAGTAGAAGTATCACATTAAATTGGTCTCCACCGGCAAGCACAGGAGGTGTTGATCTTACAGGTAATTTTTTATTTTGAAAACTTCTGTTTTATTCTCTAAAATAAAAACTAAGAAATAAATAAATATATTTTTTAAAAATCTTTTTTAGGCTACGTAATAGAAAAACGACCATTAACTGGAAAAGGTGCCAAATGGACCAAAGTAGCAACATTGGATGCTGCAAATAATTCCTATTGTGTGGAAAATCTCAAAGAAAGTGAATTTCTATTTAGAATATTTGCTGAGAACAGTATTGGTCTAAGTCCACCAGCTACATCTGAACCAGTCACATTACAAACTCATGCATGTAAGTATCATTTACAGTTAAATATTTTAAACAAATTTTGAATTGAAAGACATTTTTAAAAAAAAAAAAAGTTCAATTCAAAGGTCTATTAAAATTATATTTCTCTAATATTAATAGTAAATACTAAAGAAAATAATTTATATACACTGAAACTTCAGTTATTGAGCGAGACAATAGTGTCTCAGTAACATGAGTTTCAGTGTATTTATTATTCAAATTATTTTTATATTTCTAAATTGTCATTTCGAAAAGTTCTTTTTTGATTAAAAAAAAAAAAAAACAATCATCGTCGATTCATTCACAGAGAGAAATAAAACATCGCTTCCCTCGCAGAAAGAGTATCATCGCTTCCGCTTCATTCTCAGAAGTACAACACTTCTCTGCTTAGATCATTTTTATGATAAATTTTACCTTATCCCCTTAATTTTTTGATTTAATCATTTTTTTTTAATTTTATAATAACTCTCACTTCATTTATTAAATAATAATATTAATAATTAATAATTTTAGTGATTAGTATAGGAGAATAATAAAGTACTTTAACAATGTAACATTACAGTAATATAATAATATAGTAATTCTATAATACAATTAATAAAATAATAAATTTTAATAATTTTAATTCAATTTGAAATTTTGAATAAATTTAAATAATAAAATTAATATACAATAATTTATGGAATAATATCTAAATATTAAAAAATAACTATTGAAAATTGCATGTAATTAATTGGTGATAAAAAATTACAACTGTAACAAAATTTATTGAAGTTTTTGGAAATTATAATATTTATTGTTTATTTTAGCTGTTCCATCACCACCAACGGCACCTTTGGAGATAAGGCAAATCGCTGGAAATACAATTGCTATTGAATGGGGTCGACCTGAATCTGATGGTGGAGCACCATTGGAAGCCTATAAAATTGCAATTAGAGATGTTAAGAAGACAATGTGGATGGAAGTTGGCCGCGTTAAGGCTGACATTCAAAAACTTACAATCAGAGATCTTCAAGAAAAACATGAATATCTCTTTAGAATTTTTGCAAAGAACGAAGTCGGTTTCAGTGAGCCACTGGAATCCGATGAACCAATCAAAATTGTTCCTGCTACTGGTAAGGCTTTTACTCAAATTTTTCATTTTTATTTCTTTTATCTTTATCTTTTACATTATAAATTATTATTTAAAAAAATCACATACATTGCGGTTAAAAAAATTTCTTTATTTCATAATTCTTGATGCATACAATGAAAAAAATAAAATGTATGAAAAATTCTCTAGACATTTCAAGATAGAAATTAATTTTATTATCAAGTTATAACTAAAATGTGATATATATAAAATCAAATGATAAAATTATAAATTAAAAGTTTTTTTTTTAATTAGAAATTAATTATTTTATTCGGAAAATTTACAGACGAACACTAATAAGCAAAAATAATAATTTAGAAAATTTAATCCCAGGTAGAAAAATTAACATTACTAACGTTACTAATATTACTAACGTTACTAATGTTACTAACGTTAGTACCTATAAAAAAATTAAGAAAATGTTTCTAAATTGTATTTTTGCAGAAACTTTGCCTTTCTAATTCTCATTCCCATTTTCACTTCCACTTTTTATAATTTTCATGCCCATTTTCACTTTCACTTTTTTATTTACATTACCACTTTCACTTCCACTTTTTCTAATTCTCATTCGCACTTCCATTCCCACTTTCACTCTTTCTAATCCTCATTTCCACTTTCACTTCCACTTTCACTTTTTCTAATTCTCATTCCCATTTTCACTTCCACTTTTTATAATTTTCATGCCCATTTTCACTTTCACTTTTTTATTTACATTACCACTTTCACTTCCACTTTTTCTAATTCTCATTCGCACTTCCATTCCCACTTTCACTCTTTCTAATCCTCATTTCCACTTTTACTTCCACTTTCACTTTTTCTAATTTTCATTCTCATTTTCACTTTTTTATTTTCATTACCACTTCCACTTCCACTTTTTCTAATTTTTATTCCCACTTCCTTTTTTCTAATTTTCATTCCCACTTCTACTCCCATGTTTTCCACTTCTAATTTTCATTAGCTGTTGCCATTTCGACTAAAACTCTTTCTAATTTCTATTTACCTAACCATTTCCACTTTTTTTAATTACCATGGATGGAAATTAGAAAAAGTGAAAGTGATAATGGAAATTTAAAAAATTAGGAATTGAAGTGGGAGTGAAAATATAAAAAAGTTGTAATGAAAATAAAAAAGTGAAAGATAAAATGGGAATGAAAATTGAAACAAGTGAAAATAGGAATGAGAATGAAAATTAGAAAAAGTGGCAGTGGCAATGTATATAAAAAACTGGAAGTGGAAATAGGAATGGGAATGAAAATTAGAAAAAGTGGAAGTAGCAATGAATATAAAAAAGTGGAAGTGGAAATGGGAATAAAAATTAGATAAAGTTGAAGTGAAGTGGGAATGAGAATTAGAAAGAGTAGAAGTGAGAATGGAAATGCGATTGAGAATTAGAAAAAATTTAAGTGAAAGTGAAAGTGGTAATGGGAAAGTAGTGGCAAAGTTTATGTGAAAATATATTTTAGAAACTCTTAATTTTTTTATAGGTACTAACGTTAGTAACATTAATTTTTTCACCTGGGAACTGATTAATCAGTAGAATTTAACAGATTTATCATCTTGTGTACGCTTATGAGAATCAGAGGTATTTTTATCACTGATTCAGAATCAGAAAATCAAATCAAATTCCACCTCATGGAGCAAAAAATCTTTTACCAAAAATGCTTACAAAAATTTCAACCAGAAATGCCATAATGGAAAGGGTGAATCCAATAGAAAGTACGTAAAACGAGATAAGCAATAGTTTTTCTTTTTCGATTACTTCTGGTGGTTCAACACTTTTAAATTCTCTTGATTCATAATCAAAGAATGCCCTTAGGAAACCACCTTCTTTGATTCTTAAGATAATTTCATTAAAGCGATCAATGTACGGACAATAACCTCTCGAAAAGAGAACTCTGCTAACTTGTAACACAGATTCTGTCAAAACTTTTGCATTCAATTTTCCATTGTATTTTTCATAATTATTTAACGTATTTTCAGCAATATAAGAAAAACAAGATACATTTCGATAATCATTCATATACTTTAGGCATCCATAATAGCTGAAATTATTTGGAGTTTCAGTAACTTTAAATCCCAATTGACGAATATGAGGATTTAAGCTATATTTCATGCGCTGGTTTAATAAATACGAATTCATCATTGGTATCAATGACGATGTAGCTAATTCTTCGAGAGTTGTTATTTCAGGCGACGGTAGTAATGCGAGTTCCAGGATAACTGTAAAAACATAGCCTGTATAGACCATGCAAGCTAATAATACCGATCCGAAAATAATTCTCTCCTTCGTTTTTACTGGTTCTTCAACAATAGACATTCCCATTATAATTTGACTGATGTTCAACGTTTGCCATGTACTTTGATTGAATTTCATCATAATAGCAACTAATTTTAGTAAGCCAATTGTACAAATTGTTATTATGATCATGAAGAGAAACTCTTGTGAAATAACAATGACTTTCAAGTTTCTTGAAGATTTGGGAACTATAACTTTAACATCATATTGACCAATATAGCCAAAATTTGAAAATTGCTCATCTAAATAATCATAATAAAACGTTGGATTTATCCACATTTCAGCTCTCTTTTGAAATAAGGTTTTACGAAGCGATGAAGCTGATCTTTCATTTTTAATGATTATAGAAATATTGGGTCTAAAATTCATTCCGTGTGCTAAAAGTGCAGCAAATTTCCATTCTTTAATGTAATTGTAATTTGGAATTTTTTGATCCATAATAAAGAGATTTAGACGATAACCATGCATATTCTGCAGTTTTTTCGGAAACCATTGACTTTTTGATGAAATTTGATAAGCAGAATATTTCTTTGTAAACGGATTCATCTGATGCAAAACTGGTAGCATTTCTCTTTGCTTCTTCAGAAAGATACGATTTTGTTGATCATATACCAAAATCGTAATGTCCAAAAACTCATCTTTCCATAGTTTTTGCAAAATTTCTTTTTGTTTCAAGTCATCTGATTTTCCTGAATGTAGAATTAAACATTTTGGTTGTGGTGAATTATGCGCTGTCCATTTAATTTTTAACATAACATTTTGTAGCTCTTTAATTGTTCTGTTGTTTATAGTGTCTTTTTCTATCACAAAAAGCGTTGTCTTTCTTAAACGTCTATTTCTCCGTACATGAAGAAGATTTAACCTTTTTTTATCACTTATGATGATACTTAAGCATGGAAAATCTTTTTTGACTGTCTTCACAAGTGATTCTAATGATTTCTCTTTGTTTTTGTGTTGATCATCAAAAATGAACATTACCTGATGCATTTTTGACTCCTCTTTTAGATATTTCACTAATCCATTATAGTAATTTTCTTTCGTAGATAGTCCTAGAGTTTCTCTCCAAATTAAAATGATAGTAACAATTAACTCGAATTTGCACAACTTCATTGTATGAGGTTTATTTCAATTTTTCCTTAACAAGATTGAAAGCAGCTACTGTATTCACAGTTCAATAATGTCTGATTCTTTTTCTATTTTTTAAAAAAGTTAAATATAAAATATATGCATGAATTAATTTTGTTGATCCAAAAATGATAATAAAAGAAACATTGCAAATCGTTTGTATTTTATATTTTAAAAACACTTTAGAATTGTAAGTTTTCATATTCTTAGATTTTATCTCAATTCGATTGTCTATAATTGCTATCGATTAAAACTTCTTTGGTAAAAAAAAAAAAAACTAAGAACATCTTTTAAGATATTCGTAAACGATAAATACTCTTTCCATCCAAAAAATGAATACCAATTCATTAATTTTAATTAATTGCGCACTAGTTAAAATTAACCAAAATTTTCTAATAATTTCTAATTTTTAATTATAAATTTTTAAGTTTGGCTATATTTATTAAAAAACATTGAAATTTATAAATAGTGATATATTGATTTTGCCATCACTATGGAAACAAAAGTTATCAACATAACGATGGTTTTATTTTAGAACAAAGAAAAAACATTCAGTATAACTTGAGAATAATTATATTACATTTTTACAATCTTGTAATAAATTAAAATTTAATCCATTTTGTTACCAATTAGTTTTATTTACCAGATGGTAAATTTTAACAATTTAATTTTTTCAATTTTAATAGAAAAATTAATAAATTATTTTATAGAAAAATTATTTATAAATTATAGATTAAGAAAAATGTATTTTTTTTTTTGCAGAATTAACTGTGATTGAACCAGTGGCCGAAGCTCCAGATCGAGGAGAAACAACATCTTTAAGTTTCAGCACAGAGAATACAAGTTCCTGGCTCCGCGATCATAATATGGACGCGGATATTCATTCTTATGCGAGAGCGAGGCTGTTGAGAAAGGACGAGTATTTCTTCAAAATTTGGCATTATGCCAAAAAACTTTTTGAATAAGCATTTTTATCAATTTATTTATTTATTTATTTATTGATGACATCAACACACGTTCTTTCTCATTCTTAATTTTTATTTCTTATTAGAAATACAACAATGAGACTAATAAAATATTGTGAAATCAAATGATTTTACAATTGTCCTTTATTCCTTTTTATAGAAATCAATATTATAAATTATAATATGTATAATGACTAGATCCATATTAAATATTAAATGATAGCATGTATGTGGGGTGCATTTTCTCTTGTACCATTGAGTGTAAAATCTAGTCAAGCGCAAAAAATTTATCATTATTTATTTATATTTTGTCATGAATGGACCAAAAATGAAATAAAAAAAAAATTCTTTCGATGAATTTTTGAATCATAAAAAAAAATGAATCAATGTGAAAGAGAAGTCGCAAGAATACTAATTGAGACGTTTGTTTCTTTAAAGAAAATAATTTATTTAAAGAGATATAAATATATTTATGTATAAAAAAAAGATATCTTGAAAGAGACGGAGTTCGGTGCGACTATTTCCGAATTGCTTTTTTTTATGTGAAATGAAATATAATTATTGTATAAATAGTTGGAGAAAATGTAGAATTTAATGATTATATTAAATGCAAGGAAAAATGTGATAGCCGAACGTCCGTCAAAGAAAGTTTGTTAATATATATATTAGAGAAGATATTTAAAACCCCGGTCCTGTATTTATATATTGCTTGACAGAAAGAATACGAGATTATTATTCTGTTACATTATTAACGATATCGTTATCTCAGTTTTAATTAATTTTAATTTAATCATATATTTTAATTTATTTCCTTCAAATATATAATTTAATTATGATTACTGAAATTCAAAATCTCTACATAAAGAAAAAAAAAAAAAAATGTCACACAACGTTGGTTATACCTCGAGACGTAAAAATATAGGTGCAAATTAACATCATCCATTCACCAACATTGTGTCACAAACTCATTTCTTTAATGTAACAATTTATTAATAATAAGAAAAATTAAATTATTACAAATGAACTATGATTTTTCAATTTTTAATCCTTAATTTTACATTGATAACATTAAAAAAAACACACAATTGCAAATATAATTTTTATTCAATCATTTATTAAATTTCTATAACATATACAATATTGACATAAATAAAGTATTAATACTATTTTGAATATTACATTATAATATTTATTATAAGGAAAATTAATTTTTTTTAGGAAATGACATACAGCCTTGAACTTTATAATTGTTTATAATTATGGAACTTGAAATAATGCTATTGATTTTGTCATTGCTATGGAAAAAAAAATTGTCAACATTAACCAGAAGAAAACTTGATGCATAAAATGAAAAAAATAAAATCTATGAAAAATTTTCTGAACATTTCAAAAAAGAAATTAATTTTATTATCAAATTATAACTATAATGTGGTACATATAAAATCAAATGATAAAATTAAAATTAAAATTTTTTTAATTAGAAATTAATAAAATAATAATTTTATTAGGAAGAGTTACAAACGAACAAGTACAGACGAAATTTAATTAATTAAATTAAACTTAATTTCAATTTTACTTTTTTTTCTGAAACATTGCAATTTTAATAATAGAGAAACATTTTTTTTAGGAAAAATCATTGAAAAAAAATTTATTTGATTCAAATACTCGATTACTTGACTATTATCAAATACACATTTATTTTTATTCAATAATTATTATTTGAGTCAATTAAATGGTATTTGTTTTAAAAAAAAAAGTATTGGTTCAAATACAGTTTATTTAATTCAATTATTTGGTTTCAAAAATTATTTCATTCAATTAAATTTTTATTTGATAATAATCAAGTAATCGAGTATTTGAATCAAATAAATTTTTTTTCAGTGATTTTTTCTAAAAAAAAAAATGTTTCTCTATTATTAAAATTGCAAGGTTTCAAAAAAAAAAAATAAAAAAGTAAAATTGAAATTAATAGAAAGAAATAAACATATAAATTATGTGAAACAATAAAAATAACTTAAGAATTTATTTTTTTATAATAATTGAATAACTTTATATTTCTTCAAAAAGAAAAAACTATTTTTAAAATAAAATCGAACTGCAAAGTTCAATGTTGCAAATTTAAAATATATCATAGTTCCCGCTCTTACACGGTCACATGATTCTTTAATTTTTAAATTAACACAATATCTATAAATATTTACAAGATAAATAAACAAAAACAATCAATTAATAACAAAGAAATTAAATTTCACAGTTGATGAATTTGAATTCAAAAATTTAAATAATCGATTTACAACTAATCGACACATATCGAATCGATACAGTCGAAATGTATCGAGAGTAAAACACACACCCATCCCTATAAATATATCGTGGTGAATGTTTACGTGTTATATTATTCTCCCGCGTAAAATATTAAGTGTTTTTTTTCTATTAAAAATACAAAAAAAATAGTGTTGTGAATAGAAAATTATATTGCCTGCATTCGAACAATAATAATGGCAACCACAGAAGTGTTATTTTCATGTAAAAAACCAGCAAAAATCATAAAATGGAAAGTATCACCTGGAACAATGGTTGCTCCAGGAAAAGTGTTACTTTTATATAAAACATTGTCAACAAATAATGATGACAGTACAAATATTGAGGAAAAGCTTCGTTCCAAAAATGAGCGTGGTCTTGTCACAAAATTTTTGGCAAAATCAAATGAAATTATACAGCCAGGGTATGTGTATATTATTTCATAACCTCAAAATTGTTTTTGTATATCAATGCGCGTTATGTATATGAAAATGTAAACATTTGTTATTTTTCTCATAAATTATCCCAATGAATTGATAAATTTATTTTGTTAAATTTAACTTATCAATAAATATTAAAATTAGAAAAATGAGTATTATATTTTTGTATTTTAAGTTATATTGTCATTAAAATGTTATTTGTTTATTTTAAAAATAGGCAAGGAATACTTTTGCTTGAGTCATGTAAACATAATACAGTAATGAAGGATCTTTGTGCTGATTGTGGTATTGATTTAAGAGAAGGAGATGGTGTTGTTGAATGTCAAGCGAGTATATCAATGGTACATAGTATTCCTGAATTGAAAGTATGTCCCGAATTGGCGCAACAAATTGGAAAAGAAGATGAACAAAGATTACTTCGTGATAATAAATTAGTTCTTTTAGTTGATCTTGATCAAACTATTATACACACCACTAACGATGATGTTGATCCAAATATAAAGGTATAATATTTGTGTTTGAATTTTTTCTTTTATCAAATTTAATTATTATTTATTAATTTATTAATTAATTATGTAGATATTGAAGATGTCTATGTTTTCAGGATGTTTTTCATTACAAACTTCCCAGCCAAAGATCACAATGGTATCATACACGCTTAAGGCCTCATACTCGGCATTTTCTTTCTGAAATGAGTAAACTTTATGAATTACATATTTGTACATTTGGTGTTCGAGAATATGCTCATACAATTGCTGCTTTATTAGACAATGGCGGTGAACTTTTTTCCGATAGGATACTCTCCAGAAATGAGTGTTTCGATCCTGGATCTAAATATCCTAATCTCAAGTATGTATCTATTTTTTATTTTGTTAATATTAATTTTTAAATATTTAAAAATATTATAGGGCATTATTTCCCTGTGGTGATGAGATGGTGTGCATAATAGACGATAGAGAAGATGTTTGGCAAGGATGCAGAAATTTGGTACAAGTTAAGCCGTATTACTTTTTTCAACATTCGGCTAATATACATGCGCCACCCGGTATGAATAAAGTGATTGATCCAAGAAAATTGGAATCATATGAATGTGAAGAAAATGAAGATGACAAAAATGGTGTGACGGAAGAAATGTATCGAGAAGACGATGAAGATAATATTAAATCTGCAACATCAAATGTTGCTACTGACCAAGATGTGATAATGGAAATCGATAATATTCCTGAGGAACAACACAGTGAAATTAATAATGAAAAAACTGAAACTAAGGAAATTGTTAAAGATATTAGTGCTGATGCCAACAAAATTATTGAAAAAACGGAAACTAATGAAGTTAGAGAATCTGAAAATAATACTAAATCTGCAACATCAAATATTGGTACTGAGCAAGATGTGATAATGAAAACCGATAATATTCCTGAGGAACAACACAGTGAAATTAATAATGAAAAAACTGAAACCAAGGAAATTGTTAAAGATATTAGTGCTGATGCCAATAAACTTATTGAAAAAACGGAAACTAATGAAGTTAGCAAAGAAAGTGAAACTAAAACCAACGAAGTTAGCGAAGAAATTAAAACTGAAATTAGTAAAGAAAGTGAAACTGTAATCAATCAAGTTAGTAAAGAAACAGAAACTAAAATTAATGAAGTTAGTAAAGAAACTGAGGAAATTGTTAATGAAACTGTAACTAAAGCTAGTGATCAAGAAGCAGTTGAGGAAGAAAAATTATCTTTGATAGAGAAAGATGAGAAGTATGTAAATGAGAAAAATTCAAAAGACGAGGCTGAATCTAACGTTGAAGTAGAGTGTGAAGATCAAGACGATTATTTATTGTACTTAGAGGATATTTTACGGAGGATTCATACGGAATATTATACCGATCTTGAAAATGAAAAAGAACGTAAATCATTATGTGATGTTATACTCAAAGTACGAGCCAAAGTTTTGCAAGGTTTGATTTTAACGTTTAGTGGCATTATACCAATTCATCAGAAACTTCATCAGAGTCGGGCATACAAAGTGGCTCAAGCTTTTGGTGCACAAGTCACTCAGGTAAATATATCTAAATAATTTTTTTTTTCTTAAATTAATTAAATAAAATAAATTAACAATTAAAGGATTTAACGGACGAAACAACGCATTTGGTTGCTATGAGGCTAGGAACACAAAAGGTGAACACAGCGAAAAAACGAGGGAATATCAAAGTTGTAAATCCAGATTGGCTTTGGACGTGTGCAGAACGTTGGGAACATGTTGACGAAAGATTATATACTCTTTCATCAAAAGTAAGTAAATAATTATCAAGTTAAATACCTAATATATAGAAATTTTTAAATTCAGAGAATTATTTTTATACAAAAATAAATTTTCTAGATGCGAGGATCAAGAATCCCACCAGCACATTGTAGTAATCCAGAACCATCTCGTAAACGTTCAGAAAAAAATTCTTTTGCCAATACAATAAATCCTCTTTATTTCGTCAGCGAAGAGGAAATTAACGATATGGACAAAGAAGTCGAGGAAGATATGAATGATGTTGAACTTGATTTTACGGCTGGTGATCAAGACAATCTCAATGAATTGTGCTTAAAAAGAGATCATGAAAGTTCCGAATCTGATTCGGCAGAAGGTTATTTTTTCTTATCACTAATATTTATTAAATATGAGAAAAATTATTGATTAAACAAAAAAATTTTTTCAGAATTTGCTCCTACTGTTGCCAAGCGTAAGAAGAAAAGTGAAGAGTCAAGTGAGTCTGATGTAGAAAATGTTAATGATAAGGATGACAATGAGGAAACGGAGAATAGTCAGCAAGATGATAACGATGATGATCAAGTGGTACGTCTCAGGAGAGGAGAACCTTTATCCGGTGATTTGGATCTTGGTGATATTTCGGAGGATTCCGTGGAAATCGATGACACTGAAGATTTTGAAATCGAACGACAATGGAACGCAATGAGTGAAGCTCTTGAGAGAGATTATGAAAGTTCCAAATCTAATTCGGCAGAAGGTTATTTTTTCATATCTCTAATATTTATTAAATATTAGAAAAATTATTGATTAAACAAAAAATTTTTTTTCAGAATTTGCTCCTACTGATGTAGAAAATGTTAATGATCAGGATGACAATGAGGATACGGAGAATAGTCAGCAAGATAATGACGATGATGACGATGATGATCCAGTGGTGCGTTTCAGGAGAGGAGAACCTTTACCCGATGATTTGGATCTTGGTGATATTTCAGAGGATTCCGTAGAAATCGATGACACTGAAGATTTTGAAGACGAACGAGAATGGAACGCAATGGGTGAAGCTCTTGAGAGAGAATTTTTGTCTGATTAAATTGGTATAAATATATATCATTTTATCATCTTGTCAGGTTTTGAAATATGTGAGATTTGAGTGCTTTAAAGGATACCAACATACTGGTGAATGTGATCCCGGTTTTTAAAATTACATTATTCTATAAATACATAGTGTTTATTATTATTTTTTTTAATCGATATGATCGTGGTCACAATTCCAAAAAAAAAAAAACAAAAACAAAAATGCCTGGGTCCTTCGATTATTATAGTAAAATAAACCATTTTACAGACTGTATATTTGTACTATTTGCGTAAAACTAATTCAATTATATTATTTTGAGATAAAAAGGAAGATTTGCATATTAGAGGCAAATTATTGTTTTAAAGTATTTTTTTTTTTACAAATAAATTAAAGCATTTATGAAAATTAGCTTTTATATTTTATTTTGCGTTAGAACAAAACGAAAAATTAAGCACTGAACAAAATGTTTTTACTCATTTCTTGTATTACTGAAAATAATGTTATATCTTCTTTTTAAGTCATTAAAACAATATTTAATTAAATTAAGTTATTGTTTATGTTTTTATGATGGAAAAAATTCTATATTTTCTTCTAATTCAATAATTCTATGTACAAAATTGTTTTTTCAATATTACTTGCACTAAACTGTATCAGGTTGACCTTCGTAAAATTTAATATAATGTGGTTTATGTGTAAAATCACGAATTCCTTCCAATCTTCCTCGAGGAGGAGCTTTATCATAATCAAATCCACGTTTTGTATTAAACATTTCTCGGAAAGATTTCTTTTCATCTCTGAAAATAAATATAACTCTATGAAAATTAATTAACAGGAGAATATAAAAAAAAATTTTTTTTTTAAATTGTAAAGATCATAAAAGTAAAAAACAAAAGATAACAAATTACCGGTAATGGCTGACAACAACTTTCTTTCCTGTAACAGGATCAACTACATCTCCCATGGGATAAATAATTTCAAGAACCTGCAATTTTTAATATATAATTAAATTAATATTTACACGCTAATTGAAAATAGATCTATAAGAAAATTTGTAAATAACGGATATACATACCTCGTGGGTTATGAGACGTGTTAATTTTTCAGGTAAAGGTTTTACTAAAACAATGTCACCAGTTTTGCACAATTTATTTGGATCGTGAGCATAAACAAATTCGAAATCACGGAAATACTGTAAAATAAATATATATGTAAATAAATAAATATTAAATTAATTGAAAAGAGGTAACCTAAAAATAATTTTCATAACGTGTTATATATTTTCTGTGTAATAACTAACCATGTTAATGTAATCATCTTTTTTCAATCTAGGAATTCTGATTTTTGCAGCATGTTCTTTTGCACTTGGTAAACATAATCCAAGTAAAAAACGAATAGGAACAATTGTTTTTCCAAAAGTGTTGACAGCAGGCGTCGCCATTTTTAAAAAAAATAATCTAGTAATTTTAGTTGACAGATGTTCTAGTCAGTGCGCCGTTAAGGTTGGTAACATTGTAAAATCAATCGAAATATTTCAATCTCGTTCTTTTTAAATAATGTTTATTCTTTATTGAATATTTTTTACGTGAAGGCTATTAACTAACAAAAAAAATGTTTTTTTATCGCAAAAATTATTAGTTTAATTACATAAATTAATATATTCCATATGCAAGCACATTACATTGCTGAATTGACCAATCAGAGTTGGTGTATGATTTTGTCCAGATTCTAGACTTCCGGTGCTGCCGCCATCTTTGTTTCGTACTAGTTCAATGCTTTTGAAAAGTTTCTCATGCAGCACGTTCAGTTGATTTTCGTTAATTTTCTTTGGAAAAAAAGGTAAATATAACTTATTATATTAAAAATTTTTTATTTAACGAAGGAAGTGATATTTTGTGACGTTTGGTTTAAAGAAAATTTGCATGTAATAACATTGTGGCAAAATGGCGTGAAGTCGTTGAATGTGAGATAGTGAAATTTTTGCAAATAATATGTTTGTTTTACAGCTTATGGCAGTAAATGGTGTGTTCATTCATTGTCGAACAATGTGAAGATCTGTTTCGAGTCTTTTAATTCTCGGTCTCTTTGTAAGGTTAATTGCCAAATTTCTCAAAATTTGGTTATTAATCCAGAAGAGGGATCTCCGGGAAATAAATAGACTTGGAAGTATGATTCTTTCACTGGATGAAATTTATTGCTGTTAATGGTGAGTATTAATTGTAAAAAAAAGTATATTTATGCAATTTTAGTCATCTTTTTGTCTTTGATTTTTATTGTCAAAAATATCTTTTGTTTTAGAGGTTATGTTTATAATTACGGATTGTCAACATTTTTTTTTCTCATTCTAACCTTAAAAAGTAATGTAAATACAAATTTGTTGATTAAATCTGTTAATTAATCTTTGACAATACATTGCGATTTTCAACATAACCTCAAAAAATTGAATATTAAAAATCATATTTTAGTTTTTTTTACTTATCATTGCTAATGATAATATTTTTTCTTTCCTTTCAGAGTCATAATTGGAAAAGTAAATAAAGATGACAAAAAGTTTAATTAAAATTAAAAAATTAGTTTTTATAATTATGTTTGAGAAAAGTTAATGAATTCTAGTGAAGTTTTTAAAATAGTGTAATAATTTTTTTATTTAGTGCGGGTTTGGTAAATTTTTAGTGTTTTTAATAATAAATAAATGTAAAAATTTTGAAAGTGATAATTTAAAGATGGAAAAATTTTAATTAAAATTAAAAAATAATTGTTTATAAATATATTTGAGAAAACTAAATGAATTCTAGTGAATTTTTTAAAATAGTGTAATAATTTTTTTATTTAGTGCGGGTTTGGTAAATTTTTAGTGTTTTTAATAATAAATAAATGTGAAAATTGTGAAAGTGACAATTTAAAGATGGAAAAACTTTAATTAAAATTAAAAAATAATTGTTTATAAATATATTTGAGAGAACTAAATGAATTTTAGTGAATTTTTTAAAATAGTGTAATAATTTTTTTATTTAGTGCGGGTTTGGTAAATTTTTGGTGTTAATAATAAATAAATATAAATAATGTTGATATAAAAAAAAATATAGCACTAAATTTGTATTTTAAGATAAATTTTCAAGTTCTTCATCACATTTAAAGTATATTGAAAATTTATTCTTTAAAATTATTTTCATAATGTTTAAATTCAATGCGCGTGATTAAAAAAGTGATTAAATCGTAATTAATTCGTAATAAATGTCTAGTGTTGCGAAAATTAAAAAAAAGTGATGTGTCCTCAAGATTTTTGAAAATTACGGAATGCGGAGTGCAAATTGCTGATCAATTGCAGAGAGAATAATGGACCCAGCATCCCCTTCAACTTGAATCAACGATCGGTGAGTGGAATAATTTTTAAAAATTTAAAAATCAAAATTGAAATAATATATATGAGGCATTCTTTGTCAACTGAAGCCCCCCTCTGTCCAAAATTGGTTTAAGTATAAAATATCGGGCATAGGCCTATTATTTCAATAAAAATAAGTACTTTTTAATTCCGTGTGGCGTTTTTCAAAATTCAAAATGGCGGATCCAATATGGCGACTAACTTTCACAAAATTGATTGAATTTACTTGGAAATTGTTACTCGGGGGTTTTTGGGGTCGCTGATTACGAATCTGGTGTTAGTTTTTAGAAATTCAAAATGGCGGATCCAATATGGCGGATTAAATTTTAAAATTTACTCGGATTCTTCTGAAATTTCTTACTCGGGGGTTTTTGGGGTCGCTGATTACGAATCTGGTGTTAGTATTTAGAAATTGAAAATGGCGGATCCAATATGGCGGATTAAATTTTAAAATTTACTCGGATTCTTCTGAAATTTCTTACTCGGGGGTTTTTGGGGTCGCTGATTACGAATCTGGTGTTAGTATTTAGAAATTGAAAATGGCGGATCCAATATGGCGGATTAAATTTTAAAATTTACTCAGATTCTTCTGAAATTTCTTACTCGGGGGTTTTTGGGGTCGCTGATTACGAATCTGGTGTTAGTTTTTAGAAATTCAAAATGGCGGATCAAAAGACCAAAGACCGATCAAAAAGTGCGCCATACATTTTTTGTTCAGAACTTTCTTCTAATCACTATGGCGGTATTCCCGAAAGATTATCGAGCGAGTTTAATTTTTTGAAAATTTTTCCAAATTATTTTTGAGTGTAGCTCAGCATCCGCTGGACCAATCAATAGGTGCGCCATACATTTTTTGTTCGAAATTTTTTCCCTTTTTTATTGGCGGTATTCCGGAACGATTATCTCGCAAATTAAATTTTTCTGAATTTTTTCCAAATTTGTTTTCTATTTTAGCTCAGCATCCGCTGGACCAATCTAAAAGTGCGCCATACATTTTTTGTTCGAAACTTTTTCCCTATTTTATTGGCGGTATTCCGGAACGATTATCTCGCAAATTTAATTTTTCTAAATTTTTTCCAAATTTGTTTTCTAGTTTAGCTCAGCATCCGCTGGACCGCTTGCGAAATAATCCTTCTGGAATATCACCAAAGTCTAAACCCGGGAGTCTCGAACAAAAAATGTATGGCGCACTTTTTGATTGGTCCAGCGGATGCTCAGCTACACTCAAAAATAACAATAACTTTAAACGTCAAATGACAACTCTATGTGAAAAAATGATTGTATTTTGTTTTCAAAATAAAATACAAGACCAAGAAAAAATATTGTATACTTTTTTTTAGAATAAAAATCATAAAAACATTAAAGACAATAACATATGATTTTTATTCTAAAAAAAAGAATACAATATTTTTTCTTGGTCTTGTATTTTATTTTGAAAACAAAATACAATCATTTTTTCACATCGAGTTGTCATTTGACAAAAAGTAGCGAACAAAAAATGTATGGCGCACTTTTTGATTGGTCCAGCGGATGCTGAGCTAAAATAGAAAACAAATTTGGAAAAAATTCAGAAAAATTTAATTTGCGAGATAATCGTTCCGGAATACCGCCAATAAAAAAGGGAAAAAGTTTCGAACAAAAAATGTATGGCGCACTTTTAGATTGGTCCAGCGGATGCTGAGCTACACTCGAATAAATTTATGAAAAATTTTCGAAAAATTAAATTTTCGAGATAATCGTTCGGGAATACCGCCAAAGTCTTTAGCAAAAAGTAGCGAACAAAAAATGTATGGCGCACATTTTGATTGGTCCAGCGGATGCTGAGCTAAACTAGAAAACAAATTTGGAAAAAATTTAGAAAAATTAAATTTGCGAGATAATCGTTCGGGAATACCGCCAAAGTCTTTAGCAAAAAGTAGCGAACAAAAAATGTATGGCGCACTTTTTGATTGGTCCAGCGGATGCTGAGCTAAAATAGAAAACAAATTTGGAAAAAATTCAGAAAAATTTAATTTGCGAGATAATCGTTCCGGAATACCGCCAATAAAAAAGGGAAAAAATTTCGAACAAAAAATGTATGGCGCACCTATTGATTGGTCCAGCGGATGCTGAGCTACACTCAAAAATAATTTGGAAAAATTTTCAAAAAATTAAACTCGCTCGATAATCTTTCGGGAATACCGCCATAATGATTAGAAGAAAGTTCTGAACAAAAAATGTATGGCGCACTTTTTGATCGGTCTTTGGTCTTTTGATCCGCCATTTTGAATTTCTAAAAACTAACACCAGATTCGTAATCAGCGACCCCAAAAACCACCGAGTAACAATTTCCAAGTAAATTCAATCAATTTTGTGAAAGTTAGTCGCCATATTGGATCCGCCATTTTGAATTTTGAAAAACGCCACACGGAATTAAAAAGTACTTATTTTTATTGAAATAATAGGCCTATGCCCGATATTTTATACTTAAACCGATTTTGGACAGAGGGGGGCTTCAGTTGACAAAGAATGCCTCATATATATAAAAACTAAACTACTTAATTAGGCAGGTTTAAATTAATTAAATTTAAATAATTGAAATTTTCTAAATTCAATTAAATAATAAAATTGATTTAATATCAAGGTGTTTTACATCTTTATAATTTCAAATTTTTATTATTTTTTTTTGAATTTTCTCAATTAATAATGAACAAAAAAAAAATTGAATTTCTTGATTAATATAAAAAAAAAAATTGAAAAAAATATTACTACTTGGCTTGATATATAAGATTGGTAAGAAATAAATTGCTTTAAAGAAAAGAAAATTGAAATTTTTTTACTACTTATATAAAATGATGAAGTAGAAGTTTATCAAGTTGAGTATATTGACCGGATATTGCAACACATTTGACTTCTGACTGAATTTTACCGGCAAACATTGAATGAAAACTTATTTTCCACGTTATCCTTTGATGTCAACACTCGTGTTGATCAAATATATATATAGCTATATATACCATATATATATATAGAGAGAGAGAGAAGTTGGTTTTGGTCCTGGTTTTCACTATTTTTGCAAGAGAAGCTGATTTTCTCTGCGAAAAATGTATGTCGTATAACAGGGTATTTACTGATGACGAGATATTTATATTTGTAATAAAAAAAAGTTATTTCATATTTTATTTCACGTACATACATAAAAATGTACATATGGTACATAAACATTTATACATATATAGATACTATTTATAGAGGTTTTGTAATAAAAAGACTAAGATGTTTAATCTAACTTTTTTTTTATATTTTTGTCATCTTTTGCTAGTATTGCAATTTAATTCAAAAATCTTTCTTTACAAAGTCTTTTAATTATTTTCAATTTTTTATCAAATTTTGTAAAAATTGAAATTAAAAACAATTTTTTTTTTTAAAAATTAATTATTTGAGTTTAGAATGTTTGAAATTATTTTCGGCTAATAGAATGATAGAGTGTACTTAAAATTGTTCAGTGAAGATATATAAACGTTATGAAAGCATTTATAATATTAATTGAAAATTTATGGGGAAATGAATACTTGGAATTTAGAGAATTTCAATTGCATAGTGATAGTATAAATGAGGAAGGTACCGCAAATGTATAGTATTATATGCAATCAAGACGGATGTTCAACGCTTCATTAAGTGTATAGTTGTGTAAAGGGTCGGTTATTCATTACCATCTGGCAGATATGAAGGCTTTTAACTTTAGTGAACTATATATGTATATGTCTATAGGTATATATGTTGGGCAAGTGTAATATAGTAATGACACCTACAAAGTAAAAGTTACAGCCACTATATAGTTCTCGACAATGTCCAGAGGATGAATATTTTGGACACTGATGCAAATATCATTTATGAAATTATAAATTAGACGGAAACTCCACATTCTCGCACATATGTACATGTACATACATATTTTATGCCTTGGGTTAGTTTAGGGAATTATAAACTTATTATGATATAATAAGATATTCTTTCTGCTATTCTTAGGAATTTTTTTCTTTTTCTATTTCTTCTTTTTCACCATCAAAATCTGTATCTTTATTATTTTTGCTTCCTCGTGGAGGAAGCTTTGTACACTGAAAAAAAATTTATTTGATTCAAATACTCGATTACTTGAGTATTATCAAATAAATATTTATTTTAATTAAATAAATTGTATTTGAACCAATAATTTCTGTACTTGAAACAAATACCATTTAATTGACTCAAATAATAATTATTTGATACAAATAAATATTTATTTGATA